CACACACCCCCGTGAGCATTGTCATTTCACGCCGAGCTATCGTCAAATGTTCATGAGCTATGTGATGTAAGATAATATACTTTCATCTATGCATCTGTTGTATTTCTGTCCCCCCGAACTTCTGTCCACCACTCCATCGTTTCTCGGTCCAATTTAGCCAGTCTCTCATCTTCCATCAGCAATTGCTCATTGTGGACCGTGCGGTAAATGGAATTCCAAACTCGGTGATAAGAACAAGGGATTTGAAAACCATTCTGCATCTGCCTGCGTCGCCCCTCCTTCCCTCAACGAACTTAAATCACTATATATGAAGGCTCGCGAGACACTTCGTACAATAGAGAGGCGCTCGAAGGAGGACAAGAAATGTTGGACGGTTAATGGCCACATGCTCGACGTCGAAGACCGCATCAAAATCCGACACAAAATCTTCGAGGTGCGTGCATTATTATAGCTGATGACTGGTTGGCTAACATGCGGAACGTTTTCACAGCGCGTCGATCGGACTGATGAACGGCAGTACAACGAACGTGAGTTGAGGACTTCTGTGTCCCTTTGTTTCACTATAATGTCATCTATAATGTCATCTTGCTTCATTACTTGCAGGCTTCAACATCGACAATTGGCTGTGTTATAGCTGATGCTCTCGCGGCCAGAGACAAGCTTTCTAGACTCGGTATTTGGCGCCCCCGTCTCCTGCCGGCATATGACAAGCATGATCATCTTGTCCAGCCCGATAAGTACGAAGACGCGTTAAAAGGGGCACTCGTCAAAGCGATCGTAATTATATCGCGATGGAAAATCGACAGCTCGCTCTCGTTCAGCATGGACATCGTCGAGTTAAATATCATCGACCAGCCGGTCAGCCTCCTGGCTTCACCTCTTAAGCACCGTGCTCAAGACAGTCCGGCCCACAGTCCAACTAAGAAATGCCTTATTCGCAAATGGTACGTGACGTCCGACCACGCCGAACCTAGCTAATATTCATGAATGCACCAGAACACCCCCTACGCATAGTCAGGTCTCTACGACCTCGCTCTTTACGACGTGTGACTTCCACGCTATGATACGCTTTAACACCGATTTGTACTACTTGCACTGAATCACTCTACTGCGATGATACGACAGTATGATTCATGTACAATTACCTTGCAACTGCAAGGTTTCTCCCGGGGCACAATTGTGACGTGATTTCGGCGCAGGCAACTTTGGCCTTGTTGTCTCCTTCGACGTCATTCTATCGCTTACCGTTTTCGTTTAGACGCTGTGCCCGTACCACTTTGTTTATTATGCCATCGATGTCTCCGCTGCGAGACATCGATGGCATAATAACGCGGATGTTGTCCTCCGTGCGTTATGTGTAGTCGCAGATATCTTCTACTTACTATACTTGTCGTAGATTGTTATTTTCTGCCCACCTGATGGTGTGGAAGAATTATATTATATACTATGTACCGCATACACTCCTGCCTTACACGTCCTTTGTCTCGTTATTCAGCGTCATCCACCACGCCGTCGTCTCTTGATCCTTCGTCACTAGTCGGTCTCGTTATTGATTTTTTTTCTCGCCCTTAGTGTACTCCAATGTATGCTCCACCTCGCATTTTTCCGTGTCCTAAAAGAAATTCATTCTTTCTACACTACATCACCTATTCCGCATACTTATGACGAGCATCTCTTCCGCTCCATCCAACCGAAAATTCTTATCCACATTGATCGCTACCACCCGTCGCCTACAGTCGCAAGGTCTGCTGCCGGCGACTGCCGGCGCTTCTCGAGTTCCGACGAGTGACCAGTTTTCGAAGATCCGGCAAACAACTCTAAAAGCGTCTCAGCCTGAGTCAAATAAGTCAGCAACAAGGTTTATAGATTCAATGTCCCAAGATCGTACACCGCGATTATCGTACATCCGTCGAATCTACTTACATACCCGTATCCTTATGACTGCAAAAGTACATCGAGGTATCAATGGTTAACATCAGAAGTAATGGGCCCGATCCAGGCCGGACGCCATCCGGTCGGCCCCAGGCTCTTCATCTCTTACTTCTCTGTGCGCTACCGCCTCCCTCTGAGGCAATCCGCCAGGCATGGGCAGCCGGGAACTGCCCTCGATCCAGTCCGAACTCCTATCGAGGGTAACAGGGACACGGCGGGCAGCCGCTGACCTCATGCGCCAACCTGCCACGGCGGCGGCGGAACGAGGGGGCGAAAATGTGGGCAAATGGGTGGAGACACTGGCAGATACACTAACAGAGGGCGTTGCCCCGTCAGGCTTCTTATCCAGCTGGCTACGGAGGGACTTGATCTGTCGCTTCAGCACGCTGGCAAATGAGGGCTTCTCTCCATCCTCATATCCAGCGAGCAAGACAAGAGCGGAAACGCTAGCGGGACGGATCGATGAGGAACACGCATAGCTGATGCCAAAAGATACTGACAAGGCTTCCTTCAGATATGCAAAGCTGAACTTGTTCGTTTCGACAGCGATCTCATGGACTAGACTGTCAGGGAATTCGATGCTCTCGTTGCTCTTGAGCTTATTCTGCCAGTATTTCGCGTATAGGGCACGCTCCTCTTCGTCTGGATCGTCAAAGGAGCTAGCCACGACGAAGAAACGCGTGATCAGCATTCCGAACAAACGATGGCACAAGTCGACATACTACTTGCGGTCGAAACGGCTCGGCCTTCCACTCAAGGCTGGATCCAGTTTGTCGAAATGGTTGGTCGAACCAATGACGAGTAGTCCGTCGTTGCCTTCTAGACCATCAAGCTGGTTGAGGAAAAACGAGCGGTTGCTATCGTTGATGAGGGAATCCAAATCTTCCAACACAAGGACGCAAGGCGCCATGCTCCTGGCCATCTCGAAGACCACAGCCATCGACCCTTCCTCGCCTAGGTAGCTCTTGAAGGACTTGACATAGAGCGGCGCATATCCTTTGGCGTCACATTCCTTCATGACCGCCTTCATACTGATGGTCTTGCCATTCCCTGTAAAGGAGAATAATGTGAGCTTATTTCGCCGGCCATGCATCGGCAACATACCTGGAGGGCCGTACATGATGAGACCGCGCTGCAGAGACAGAACAAAGTGAGCAGCGTAGTTAAACAAGAAGTAATTGCAATGACCTTCCAAGGGATGGCTAGCGATTTGTACAGGCTCTCGGAGGAGAAGAACCCGTTAATATCCTTCTTCAAAGCATCTTTGAACTCTTGCTTCAGGATCACATCATCCCAATTGGCCTTCTGAACCTCAATCCAAAGCTCATGGCTCTTCTTCCAAAATCCGCTGTTGAATATGAGAATTTCTTCGTGCAGCAGGTTCTTCCAGGCGCCGGCTGCCATCAGAAGCGCGCGAGATGGCGCTTCTGGGCCTTCGTGCAGGAGGTAATGCTGCGTCCGGACACTCAAGCCTTGGACGTACTGAGAAGCTTGAGTCAGTATCCGCACCCGCGCCGCATTCAGAACCATATGCGTACTCTGATGACATACAATATGAAGTCGTATTTCTGCAGACAACGCAATGTGAGGTCGTATTCTCGCAAGCATACTCAACAGTCACGTACGTCCCAAGCGACCTTAAACGCGCCATACTGGAGTTGTCCAGCCAGAGTCCCCGCTTGGCCACCCAAGCGGCGAGCGGAGGGCAGGAATCCAAGGGATTCAATTATCTCTGATGGTGCCAGAGGTTGGATCAGAGCTCCAGGGAAACCTAGGAGGTTAACAGAAGGATCCGCGAACAGCACGAGGGAATGGTTGCGATACTGCTTCCGCAGAGCTCGAGCACTTCAACACCATGTTGAGCCAACGATACACGAGCGATGGCCGTTGATGGAGAGCTTACGTATAGACCGAGGGCTCCGAAAACGCGCTGGAGGCTAGGGTTGCCAGTAATGAGTCTGAGTACATTGGCGCTACAAGGCGAGCGCACCTTTATCCACCCATGAGTCGTAGAACGGGTCAGTGCTGCGGGAACGATCAGCGTCCACGTCTTCCTCGAAAGTGACCTTGACAAAGGCATCCTCGAGCGGACCGACGATCATTCTGGGGTCGATGGACATGGTTGTTCTCGCAGACTGGGAAGCACGGACTGCTGCTGGATCACACGTGGTGCGTATATATGCGCCAGGCTGCGCAGAGTGGCGGACCCGGATGGGATTGACCGCGTGCGCCTATCCGACGCAGCTGCTGCCCGCGCGTGTACATGAGCGCCTACACGCTGCGGTGTGCGGGTTCGGGATCTCCCGATCGGGATAGTCAGCGCTCGGGGGTGCGCTGAAACTTTCCATCCGTCCGACGTTCGTCATGGCCTCGAGGACGTCCACACTCTACACCATCGCTGGTGTCACCGCCCTCGGCGGCCTCGTCGCCTATGCCGTATGGTTCGACCACAAGCGGAGGAACGACCTGGAGTTCCGCAAACAGCTGAGTGAGTGTTCTAGCTGTTCTCGCAACACATTGTATTTACTCCCATACAATCTCGCTTAGAGAAGGACAAGAAGCGAGCAGAGAAACGAGCAGCAGCAGCACAAAAGAAGTCCGACAATGGCACGGGTGATGCTGATCTACAGGCGGCTGTCCTTGAGATCAAAAAGGAGATATCTTCGTTGCCTCAAGAGCTACACCAGCAGTACTTCACTCAACAGATTGCCATAGGCGAACAAATGGCGGCACAGGGTAATATTCTCCATGGTCTCACATACCCATTCTGTCTAACATCGGATATTAGGCCCCATGTTCCGTATGCAGGCAGCGCTAGCCCTTTTCAAAGCACTCTGCGTCTTCCCTCGACCTCAAGAACTGATTCCTGGTTTGCAAGAGGTTCTGCCTAAGGAAGTATTTGAGGTGCGTGCGCTACGTTTGAGTCCTCACAGTTTGCTAATTCTGTTGCAGATTGTTCTGGAGCTACTGAGTGTGGAAGTGAGTATCCCTAACTCGTCCGCTCTGGAGGAAATAGATGTCGGGGAAATCGCAGCAGAGGACGAGTCCAGCCCAACGAGGTCTGAGCCGCCCTCAGAGACGTCGCAGGAGTGGGACAAGGTGACAGACCCAGGCAGCCAGCCATAGGCTATGTGGAGAGAAACGGGCGCATAACTGCTCGGTTCATAGTTGCATATTGCCGCGTCGGCTCCCCTCATCTACCTCCCGGCTCGTCTTGTTCTACTCCGCGTGTCCGTTAATGCAGTCGTGATCTCATTACCTTTTTTGCATGTCGTACTTGTGTAGTTGTCAATGCGCATTGAAGGTGAGCCTATTGATCACAGGATCTCGAAAAGCGCTAAGGACGATTACTTTGTAATAACATTAGGTTACTTTAAGGCGTTCCCGCCTGCTGGCATGGGTGTTTCAATCAAGACTGCTCCTGGCGGTGAGAACAAACTGCGTAATATTCTCGTGGCAGCGAAGGACTTTGAAGCAGGAGACCTCATCTACAAGGTTTCGTTACCAGGTCGCTTGATATGTACACGTCGCTGATGCCAAGTCTCGCAGGAGCGACCCCTTGTTGCGGTGCTTGACCTGGATCTTGAAGGCCAAGGACGCTACTGCTCGCACTGTCTCCGCCGCATCGAGGATGATTCGGCTATTCGTCCCGAAAATGACCGCCTTAACTCCGTATATTGCTCTGAGGACTGTAGAGCGCGAGCACAGGCAGAATCACAGAATCTGCTCTTTGGTTTGAAACCTGTCCTTCCGGAGGAAGTCGATAGCGGTCTTTCAGAATTAATCCGAGAGCCTCGTGACGAGGCGCAGAAGAAATTCGTCGAGCACCTCAAGTCCGAAGGTCGCACTGTCCCACTGCTTGTCGCGCGCTTCGTCTCCAAGCAGGTGGCGATTGAGACAGCGAAGCAATTCGCGAAAGGCAAAAACCCGCTTATCGAGCAGATGACTGCTGAAGCCATGTCGGACAAGGACTATTCCCTCTATGATCACATGGAACGATTGCGTTTCATCGACGGCGAGGTATCAGAAGAAGAAACCAAACTGCTCTCTGCCGTTCTTGGAAGCGCCCTCCCTGGCCTTGAAAACCTGCTGACGTCGGAAAGGTATGCTACATATAAGGGTAAGATGAGGTACAACACGATTGGCATCTCGTATGATGATGGTCGCGACGACAAAGTCAGTTGACTTACACGACCTCATTGACATAGCCTGACCTTTGAATAGCCCGCATCGACCTTCCGTCCTGAGGATCAAGAGAGGACGCGCACTCCATCTGGTACATCCCGGCAGATAGGCAGCGGACTCTTCCTCGTGTCCTCCTATGTAAGTGTGTTCGACCCGGTGAATTCAGTCCGCCACTGAGAACTCTTTCACGCTCACTTTGTAGATGACGCACTCATGCGATTCCAACGCCCGACCTTCGTTCGAGTCCGGCAACTCGGAGCTGTCCCTAATCGCGGCACGGCCGATCAAGAAGGGCGAGGAGATTACGATGACCTACGTCGACGTCTCCCAGCATCCCGACGAGACGTCGGAAGAGGCTAGACGGCGCCGTCGGTTCGAGCTTGCTCGTGGCTGGCGATTCAAGTGCGAATGCGAGCGCTGCCAGGCGGAGGCGACTGGGGGCAGTGACAATGAGGTGGATGTTGAGAAGGACGAGTCCAAAGTGGAGGATTTTGTTGCCCGCGTGTTGGGAGGAGCCCACGCGGAAGACGGCCATGCGTAATTAGGTGTAGAGTCGACCTTCCCATAGTTGTTGATTACCTCCTTCACGGTAAGCAAAAGTTCATAAGCCAGTGTTCATTAATACTAGATTTTTCCCTCACTCTCCATCTCGGATTCACTTCCCTCCATCGGACGTCGGCAGTTAAAAAAAACTCAATCATTAGCGATACAATATGTACATCACAGCATTGCATAGCACGATCACAGCTAACTAGGTGTGTGTATGGATATATGCGCTAATTGCGTACAACATGTTTCGACGTATGTACGTTAATTAGGAAAAGACTACAATATAAATGTCAACGTCCAAGGTACCTTCGCGTATTCGTCAAGCTAAACTTCTCCACATCCCTAGGACAAAGAGGAGTCAGTATCGAACCTGCAGAACTTATGCGTAACACTCGCCAGCTTCAGGTATACGATTGCTAGCCTCCAGAATCTGCAATGCGCGCTTCTGTGCCAACGACCCGACTTCTGCTTCTGGCTGGATCTCTGGCTCCTCCTCATCATCCATATCCTCGGTAAAATCGAGCGCGCCAGGATCAATAGAACGTTGGCGATCGCGCTCCAAGTAAATTTGTCGCCGCACGGCTGCAGACGAAGACGTCATCGTCCGGAGCGCAGGAACCATTGTTCCAGGTTGCTCAGTGAGAGACGTCTTTGGCTCGTAAGAAGCAGCGCCAAAGTGCAGACCATTAAGCGAGATAGGTATCGGTAGCGAGGAAGCTACTGGGTAATGATGGTTCGCACGTAGGCCATCCTCTGCATAAACAGTTTAGTACCAGCAAATCCTAAACGTGATGATGTATACGGACCTCGTTCTCCACCTTCCGTTACATCATCAACGTCCATATCAACACCTTGGCCAAGACGTGGACCATCATACTCCGCGGCAGATTCATCGCCTTCCTCCTCGATCGCGGCAGGCGCATGCTCCTTGCTCTTCCTATCCTGCCTGTTCACGAATAACTGCCAAGCCTTACTATCTCTCTTCCAAGCACTCCGATGGCTCGGAGTACTCGCCGCCACTAATCTCAAAATCTCCGCCTCTCGAGGATCAGTAACTTCCTCCGCGTCATCCTCATGAATGTGTTCGTCGGCCTCATCTCGCTTGCTTGCTGCTCCCGCAGACATGACGGCCTCTCGCACGATCTCGGATCGCGGGCGATCCTGTCGCTGATCATCGACCCGGCGCGCTGGGGCGCGTATGTTGGATACGTTGGGTAACGAGGAAGGACGGAGGGCCGATAACGACGAGGGAAGGCCATAATTGTCCTGCAAACGATTTCTTGGATGTCGAGTGCGTGCAGCTTCTGCCGTTCGAGCTGCAGAGTGCCCATTCGTCGACGGAGCAGAACTTTGAGCCACATCTGTGCTTGGGGGCTCAGTGCCCTCTTCGCCTTCCATCTCGAAAATTATTTCTGACGAACACATTGTTGACAAATTTCTTACATATATAATAAAAGGGAACATACCTTCATCCTGCGGTCTAGTGCTTTCGGCCTCCATGGCGTCGGCACCGATGATCGCAACTTCAGGCTTGACGTCAAATGTAACTTTCCTTTTTTTAGCACCACCATCTTTCACTTCCGCACCGGTGTTTGCCTGTTCTGCAGGTCCTTCGTCCTTGTGCGGAGAATGTGGCTCGGCATTCTCCTTCTCCTTCCCTTTCCTGATGGAGCTCTTCCCTGCACGAGGAGATCGCCCACGCGGGGCCTCAGCACTGGTCGAAAGTATTCCATGCATAGCACTAGATGAAGCCTCCGCTAGAGACTCGGATGAAGTAGCTTGTCCGTACCGCGCCTGCATCTGCTCTTCCAGATCGTGCACATATCTGAAGCTGGTCGCGATATCCTTCGACTGATCCATGTTACGCCTATATGCTTCTCGAATGGTGCTTGCCTCATCATTCGGAGCCATAACCAGCGTGTGAGACGATGCCGAAGAAGGCGACTTCAGCTGTGGAGCGCGCGATGGTGACGGAAGAGAGCTTGGAGATGATGGGCCTTGAGCAGACTCAGCACGTGGGGCTGCGTTATCGTGTTCCCGTCGGGGATGATGGAAGGAAGATGTGGCCAACGAGGCAGAAAGAGCAGACGTCAGATGACGGGGAGAAGCAGCAGGTGACGTCCTCGGAGGAATATTGTGGTTGGGAATGAATTCATTAATTCTCACAGATGAATACGCCTCATGTGCCGTGCCGCCCCAGTGAGCTTCGCTGGATCCGCGCCTGGACGTATACGGTGGGCGGCGATGTGCGAAGTGCTCTTGATCAATCTTGTCCAAGTTTTCTTTGAACTTGCTCCAAAGAAGTTCGACCCTCTGCCTGAGCCCTCCTTCAACCTCTTTGATTTCGGCTGTCTTCTCTTCGACGACTTTGGCGATGTGTTCTTCCGCCGAGGCTCGGACATGGTCCATCTCGGCATTGGCGATAGAGACAAGATATGCAAAGACAGGATGGCTTGGAGTAAATGGAGGAGGCGAGAACAGAGGGGGTACCGGAGGCAGATACTTGGTAACGGCCGGCGTTGAGGTCGTGGGTGATGATGATGGCGCACTGAATGTAATGGTAGGCAGACCAGCAGGCAGGATGACGCCAAAGAGCTTCGAATATGCTGGAGAAGCCTCTGCTTTAGAAATTGCTTCTCCGGTCTGCAATTACAAGGTCAATGAGCCAAGAGAGATTGCGACATCGAGGATACACAGCAGAAGTAGCATTCCGCGGCAGGAACGGTCTCTCGAGGTGGGCCCGAGAGTAACAAGCACTAGCAACACCGGAAACCAGCAACCGCTACTGATCCGAATTCACAGCCAGACGAATTGACGCACCATGCAGCCCTTTGAAACCTCAATCCACCCTGTGGCGCTCTTCAAAATGTCTTGCTCCACCCAATCGTCAACTGGCAGCACAGGTCCTTCGCCACCATCGGTTTCCAGATGCACGACTTGTCGCACGCGGTACACCAAGCATTGACAGAGCATGCATGTCAACGAAACATAACGGGTGGCCAATTCTCCATGCTGCTCGGGCACCGGTCGAGTACGGGACCGGAGTGTCAGCTTGACATGTACCTAGTATTCATGTTTTGTAAGACGTTTTCCAAAATTCCACAGATGGCGTACCACCGACACTCCAGTATCGCCTGCAAAGACAGGCTCGTAATCGTCCTCCGAGGGCGGCGGAGCTCCTTGCGGCGGTTGAGGGTGTATGCGGACGTTCAGGCAGTTGCACGCATAACTCGCCTGCGGGCCATTAGTGGCCATAGCACTGAACGCGCGAGACGGAAAAGGGGGGCAGGTAGCGGTGCTCTGCAAAAGGTGAGACACCACCCGCTGCGTTCAGGCGGACGCTGACTCCGGACGCGGAGGCGCCAATTTGGATGAAACGACGAGACAATGTTTTTACCACGGCTGCGTCCACCAGCTCGGCGCTGCGCTCACCTCGGTGCATTCGTCAACTCTACGTAACACTTCCACGCCCCCATGACAGACGGCATCTCACAGCGAAACTATTACAGTAATCCGGCATGCTTCCCACATGTTTCCGTCACTTGTCGATAACCACCGTGTTCCGGCCGAGATGCATACAATGTGCCAGTCTACTCTACTTGTAGCTTCCTCTCCTCATTTGTTCTTCTTCGTCTCCGTGTTCTCTTTCTCTTCTTTACCGTGCACCGCGTCCACTTCTGATGCCATCACCTGTCCGTATTCGTTCATGCGCTTAGGATCAATCCGATATATCCAGCGCTGCAAGCTTCGGTCAGGCCACTTCTCCAGTATGGGGAACGTGGGGTACACACCTGATACAGAAATACGACGAAGACGACGTCATCCCGGAAACACGCCAGCCGATGCAACATGGGCATCTTGATACAGAACCTGCCCAAAAATAAATAAGCTGCGGTCATGCACATTCCGGACGCCCTTACGCGAATAGATCATCCACAACCGTCGATAACGACTTGTATATCATCGCCTTCATGGGCATGTGAGCAACGCTCTACGCAATAGTACGTCATAAGTCAAGATGCGAACATCCAATGAGGCAAAACGAACCTTGAGCTTGTAGTTTATGATCAGCTGAGGGATCAGCTGGGCCTGCAATAATGCATGCTGTCAACCTAGCCTCGGCCTCATGGCAAGAACAGCGCTTACGAAGCCAAACATGTACACGAATGACGTGAGCGTCGAGATCACAAAGCTGTACCATCCTCGATGTGTTCCATATAACAGCGAGTACACCGTGTATGCGGCAAGGCATGGGATGGTGAACCAGGAGACATATCGGAACGCAAGTTTGTCATATCTAGGCATCGGATTAGGCCGCCGTAATTCATCAGATATGAGTGTGCTTACTCTTGTGTCTTCTTCTCGTCTTCCGTCAAGGTGTGCTTATCTATCAAACACCGTCAAGAATAAGCTCATCGTCTACGTCATGTTCATCTTACCTTTAATATCAACCTTGTAAGGAAAACGAGAGCCCGGAGGTGCAGGTATTATGCTGATATCCACGGCTTTTGTGATCTGCATTATGGTCAGAACGGCAGACAGCTTGAAGACAGAGAAATGTAGAGAATACCTTCCAGGCCTCAATGAGCACTCCTACACCGTTACCCGCGAGGATCATCCAGCTCGTTTGTTCGTTGTTGTCAATCAGGTAGAGCAATATGATGATTTGGACGACGACGTTGGTCACGATCTATTGTTAGTTATGGTTACTCTTGCGCAAGCTCATACGACGAGCATAGCACATACGGTTCTACAGAGGAGAGTTACAGGACGCCATCTTCTGAGCATCACGAGAAGGCACGCACCTGACTGACACGCCGACTAACTCTTTCTTGTGTCGCCAATGCGATACATCGGAGGTGAACGCTAACATTTCGAACCTGCACGAACATAAGTAATCTTACCTCCAATACGTCCTCTCACACTCACACCATGTGCAACACACTGACCAAGGCTGTCAGGCCTAAGAACCAAGGATTAGTCTCCACAAGCATCCTCTTGATTTCGTCGAACTCTGCTCCCGAGCTGCCTTGTTGTTTCGCCGCCTCGTCAAAACCTTGAGTCATAGAAGAGAAAATCTGGAACTTCCAGAAGGTGATGGGCTGGAACGTCACATGAAGTGGCAGTCTTGGTGTAGTAGTGTTGATCTCTATAAACTGCGAGCGTAACAACCAGAAGTCGTTTGGATAGACGATAGGCTTGTAGAACCCCACTGCGCCAGTCTGATCTCTCTCGGGGTAGAGGTAGACATCTGGTACGTTCATCAGCTGCCAAAATCTCGCCAGTTTAAAACCTGACATACGTTGAGCGACGGGAGGGGCCAGCTTAGAATACGGCAAGACTGATGCGTCGGAGACAAGAGCTAACGCGAGATCCTACAAAATGATGCTCAACATATGGACGAGCATATTCTGGCGTTCGCTGACGTACCGGATGCCAGTGAGAGACAATGGTATCTGCCTAGAACGTACATAAGCACATCCTCCAATGGTTGTCAATTGGGCATACTTACCTGCGGCTCTTCGAGCTCCTCTGCCTCTTCTTGTTGTGCCGTTAGAAGGTTCTTCTCCTTACGCACTTTGAGCTTGGGCAGGTATCGCGTCAACACTGCATATCACCGTTAAAAAAACCACGAAAGACATGAAATGAGGACGCACATTTGCGACTGTGGTGAATCGCCCTGATGTCATAGTTCGGCTTTGAGGGGTCCGGACTCGCACCGTCCTTCACAAGGAATATATCTGCCCACAACGAGGCGTTGTGTTGCACGCTCTGCACCGCGATCAGCGTTACGCCTCGTCCAATCCGAATTGACAGATCGCTCTCACCTCAGGCAAATCCACCATAAAATCCACCGCGCGCGTTTCCTTCCAATCTCCATACGTGATATTCTCCCAGACAAAGTGCGGCAGCCCCGAGTCGTGGCTCTCTTGCCACTCGGAGGTCCACTGATTGGAGAAGACCTCGCCCTCAGGCGAAGTCGATAGGTATACGTACATCGCGAGAGGTATTCCAAGCGGCCATGCAGGCTGTGCACTTGTAGGGAGCAGCGGAATCTGGCTGGGTGACTGTCCTTGCGATACGCCGTCTGTTACCATCGCCGAGGGTACAGGCGGCGCAGCAGGTTGCTCCTTGGCCGCGAAGAACTTGGTCGCTTTGGAAGAGTGAGCACAAACCATTGCGGGAGCTGAGCGGCGACGTACCAAGTTGCATTATCAAATACATTACGATAAATTGCTTGGAGATGCATTGAGTGAGCCCATTGCCTCAATGACTGAACTGCGGACGACGGTACCTGTGCAATAGCCCATATTCTATTGAGTGTCGATTCCTCTTGGTTCCTGGCGGGAGGAGCATTGCCTGCCGCCGGACGGGCGGGTGCAGCAGGAGCGGGCATGACAGTCTTGTCTGGAGGGTATCACAGATCACTGCAGTGCTAATATACTCGACCAAGGCGACATGGAGGAGGGGAAGCTGGGGAAGCTGCAGCGTTACACCACGGTGTAACGCGGCCCACGTGCAGGGAACACGTCACACCATCTGCATCAGGTCTGGCACGTATATTGCGCTTTTTTTCGTCAAGCCTTGTCTCAGCCCGACCTGTAGGTCATCTCGCAGGCATCCGTTCAGTGAACGACTTGAAAGTGCAAGGATAGCCATGCTGTCGTCGCCTCTCAGTGACGAGAAACTTTGTCCTCAAGCTGATTCGTCAAAGCGTTCTTTGCAATTCACATTGAAGTAATATCCCCCCACTTCACATCTGCATTGCAAACTACGCACGACCTTCCTTCACGGAGAAGCCCAGCCTCGGGAAGTGACACCTCACAATCGCTGTAGAACCCTTCGTCTCAATCACGACCTCTTCACGGTTCAGAGCCAGCAGTTTCCCCACCGTCGGCACTTTGCCTTTGATCCTCCGTGAGTCACGGTGGTAATACGAACGACTGCAGTAATCACGCACCGTTGTCCCGAGGAGTGACTGACACGATGTCGCCGAGCTTGACCTTCAGGCGTGCCGCCTCCGTCTCGTCAAATCCTATCACGCTGAGATCCTCTGCTTGCGCCCCGCCAATCAGCGTAGCGGCCGCCTCACCCGTGATCGTCGTGAACTGGTTCGCGTTCGCCTTCTTGGCACTCTCTACATGAGCGTTCATACGAGAGAACCACTGTCGGCGAGATCGATGAGTATCCTGCTTAGGCAACGAACAAAGTTGGTACAGACCGCCAACGTATTCGGAAGAGTATTCTTGTCAAATAAGTCGTCGAGCGTTTTCATATTCTGCATCCATATGATCAAGAAGTGGACCGATACATCAGCCAGGCTAGGGCTTTCCGTGTCCATGACCCATTCGCGCTCATCCGTCAGCTGTTGCTCGAGCAGATACTGGGACCGACGCGCTTCAGCTTGCGTGAACTCAGCATTGCCGGAGGGAGATTCTCACCAAGTGCGAAGACAACGTGCTCTTCGTATCGTCACGTCGAGCCTGAATAGCCGGGATATCGATCGGCGCGCCGCGGTGCTTCGTACGTCTCATGAATCCTGCAGCATACACCCACGCGAAAAGACCTGCTCACAACGCTTCTGTCCTGCAGATACTCTACGGGCATCGTTTCATAAGGGAGATGGTCGGATACGGCCGGAAATATCACGCCTTCGAACCAGAACGTCGCCACCGCTATGATCGATGCCTTGTCGACGCTTTTTGTTCCCTTCCTAGGCGGGAAGAGCGTCACAGACGAGGGAAAGCGGCGCTCCAAAGCCGTGACGATCATGCTTGAATCACAATACACATCGTTCCCAATCGCAAGGGTGGGCGTACGGCGGTATGTGACTCCCAGCAATTCCGAGAGCTCCGGACGAGGCGGAACGCTGTTGGTCTGAAGGAAGCCCGCATTAGAGTGTCCTGTGAATTAAAACGTAGTCGGAATCACTACCTCTACTCTCTGATGAGGAATTCCCTTCAACGCCAACACGTTCCTTATCTTGTTGGCGAATGGAGAGGCTAAGAAACTATGTGTATTCCCATGAATTGGTGTCCGCGGGCGTATAGGATAGACTGAGCACTCACTGATACAGTACCACGGGGGCAGACATGATCGTTCAGCGCAAACGAAGGGGTCACCACTCGAGATCGCTTCCGTGGAAAGCCAAGGTGATTTCTCATGATTGCTCATGCGCTCATGAGCGACGTAAGATCACTGGCGTCAGCAAGGTTCGATCGAATGTACACTGTTCCGTCGCAGGCTGCAGCATATGATCTAAGATGCACAGGCGTCCATGGAGCATAGCCAACGAATTCGAAGAGCAACTCGGATAGTACATATAGCCACAGATGGGACTCGGAAATGAGCGGTCAGATTAATGACAAAGTCGCCCGAGCAAATTATAGAGCTGACACGTTGTCGGAGTTCCGTCGCTTGGGGAAGCAACGTGCACGTTGGTACCTGACTCAAAAGGAGGGCAGCTGGCAGATGTTGATGCACGGTGATTGCTTCCTGAGCGCAGTCGAACGCGGAGTATTCTGAGACCTATTGGAAAGCTTGAACTTGGAGCTCTCACAAGCGGTTCAGTCTTCCAAAGCGCAGCCCACTGACGAGAACTGAGCCATATCTAGTCTTGACTTCCCTAAAGGCGGGAGAAAGCCGTCGAAGCGCAGTCTACGATACGCTGAGGCTGTTCAGATCATTGCAACTGACAGAATGTACCCCGGAAACCTTGATCATGAGAACGAAAACACAGCAATGATGGGCGCAGACGTTGGAACAATGTAGAGATGCTGTGATAGGCTGTATCTGGCGCTGTGTGAGACAAGGAATCTTGGTGCACTGAGACTGTGACTCCCAGACCGGACTTGACAGATAAGACGGCGAGCGTTTATTGACTGTCGGCTATTTTTGGATAGCGGCTTGATTCAGGCATGTAAGAACAAAGAAAGGCTTAGAAAGGACGTGCGACCCCGGAGAGCACGAAAGTTGGTGGCTTTGACATGCTGTGAGAGGAGGAATGTCGCGTCGAGGAAGGGAGGCGATGCTTTGATCGATGGAAGAAACTTCAGCCTTATTGAAGCGACTGAAGCGATCGTGGTGTGCAGACACATCCCGGAGTGCGTTGTGGTTGCAGCTCGAAAGATATCTACATAGCACGGACAACCGAGCGATTGATGCGAGGCAACGCTGTGCGGTCTGCGGAGACTAATAATCCACAGCCCGTCCTTCTCCAGACTGCGATCACGAGACAATACTGCCACCCGCCGGCATTGGAATTTGGGGCGTGAGCTATGAAAGCAACCGGCCGGCATTTTCCAAGGCAACCTCCGCTCGGCGTCGCCGTCGGCCTGCCTCTTGCGGCAAAATCCGGCGCCCGGAGGCTGCATTGGAGGAACGGAACTGCCTCTGTCCGGACGGGAGCATTCGTCGATTGTCTGACGAGACGAAAGAGCGACGAAGCGGTATCCGGGGGTACGCGGCACACAGGCCTCAAGTTGCCAACGGGGCTGCGCCAGCTCTCTTTATTCCACGACGACCTACCCAACGTCTGGTCAACGCCCGACACGACATCGACATCCTAGGCCATTCTTTAATTGTTTTCAGTCATAATGGCCGAAGATCATCGACCGCCGCTCCCTTCCTTCGCTTCCCAAAGTTCCGTCAGCGACAATGGCTCGGACCCCTTCGCAGACCGCCCTCGCCAGGTGGCCTTCCAAGAGCCTCCCTTGTCCGCATACGAGAGCACAATATCTCTTCCACAAGAATTCGGCGGTATGGGAGGCAACTACGACGACGAAGAGGTTGAGAAGCTTCCTCTTACAGCAGCTCAAGGTGGCCTGTACCCTCCAGGGTGAGCAGTCGCGCTGCCGTGCGGCGCTTTCCCAAAATGGGCGCTTCCTGTGTGATGTTGACCGTTCTTCTACCTTCGCTCAGGCCTATTGACCCGAACGCCTATGGCGATCCGTACGATCGACCCGTGTCTGTTGTCTCAACAGCATCCTCTGGTGTCGATTCTGCGTGGCGGCGGCGACAGACCATCAAGCGTGGTGTCACCCGTAAAGTCAATCTCACGAAGGGTAACTTCATCACGGAGTATGCGGTCCCGACGCCAGTGTACAGCGCAATCGAGCCCAAGTGGCTCAGCACAAAATCGACGGAATTCTCGTGAGCCGGAAATCTCCATCGATGGCATGAGTTATTGATTGGAGCCCGTATTCTTCCCGCAGCCACATGCGGTACACTGCGGCAACATGTGATCCGGACGATTTCTCGGAAGCCAATGGTTACTCGTTGCGTACCAAGATGTACAACCGTCAGACGGAGCTGCTCATCGCAGTCACGTCGTACAACGAGGACAAGACCTTGTACGCGCGTACACTGCATGGTGTCATGTTGAATATACGTGATATATGCAAGACCAAGCAATCCAAGTACTGGCGTCGTAGTGCGGAAGAAGGTGTTCCTGGGTGGCAGAAGATTACCGTTGCGCTCATTATCGATGGCCTGGAGCCTATGGACAAGACAGTTTTGGATATCCTCGCTACCGTTGGTGTCTACCAAGATGGTGTTATGAAGAAGCAAGTTGATGGCAAGGATACCGTCGCTCACATCTTCGAGGCACGTGTCTTACTTCCTTTCTACTGCATGACCATTTTCTCACACGTTCGCTATTCAGTACACGACGCAGCTCTCTGTGGATCCCACACCACAGCTCATCCTCCCGCATGGCGACGACCACAGCAATTTGGTGCCGGTCTCAATGATTCTCGTAATCAAGGCCAAGAATCAGAAGAAGATTAACTCCCACCGTTGGCTCTTCAACGCTATTGGCAAGATGTTGGAGGTACGCATGAAGATTTCCACCAAGCTCAGGCATACTGAAGTTTCCATGCTAGCCCGAGATCTGTGTCCTCATTGATGCTGGTACGAAGCCGGGCCACAAATCAATTTACTACCTTTGGGAGGCATTCTACAATGACCCACATTTGGGAGGTTGCTGTGGTGAAATCCACGCCATGTTGGAGGGTGGACGGAAGCTCATGAACCCCCTGGTTGCCGCGCAAAACTTCGAGTACAAGATGTCGAACATCTTGGGTAAGCCGGTTTGGTGCTTGACTGGTCTGTCGTGCGTGCTAACGAACACCCTGCAGACAAGCCAACGGAGAGTAGTTTTGGTTACGTCTCTGTGCTTCCTGGTGCCTTCTCCGCGTACCGGTTCCGCGCGATTCTCGGACGGCCTCTTGAGCAATACTTCCATGGTGACCATTCGTTGGCAGATCGCTTGGGACCAAAGGGTATCTACGGTATGAACATCTTTACGAAGAACATGTTCTTGGCCGAGGATCGTATCCTTTGTTTTGAGCTGGTTGCAAAGGCTGGCGAGCGGTGGACGTTGTCGTACGTCAAGCCGAGTAAGGCAGAGACGGATGTGCCGGAAAGTGCTCCAGAATTGATTGGTCAGCGCCGGCGTTGGTTGAACGGTTCTTTTGCGGCGTCGGTATACGGCCTTGTCAACTTCTTCAAGCTGTACCGGTCGGGTCACGGCATCATTCGGATGTTCTGGTTGCACATCCAAGGACTGGTGCGTTGTTTGTGATCCTGGTGTGTGGTGTGTGGACGCTGACCTTGATGTAGTTCAACGTCTTCAACTTGATCTTCTCGTGGTTCGCGCTTGCCAACATGTGGCTGACGTTCAGTATCATCATTGATCTACTCCCTTCGGATAATTTGGTTTTCTTCGGCACGGCCGAGATCGTAAGAACGGACCGCTTACATACTTGGCTCCCGCTGACTGTTGGACAGACGCACTGGATCAACGAAGTTCTCAAGTGGATCTACCTGATTTTCTTGACTTTGCAGGTGAGTATCCCCGCTTTGGTTGTGCTGGCATGCTCACAAGATACCAGTTTGTCCTTGCGCTGGGTAATCGGCCAAAAGGAGAGCGGTTTGCGTACACGGTCACACTATGGTTCATCAACACGCTGCGCTGGTATGGACTCTTGCTAACAATATCACGCTCAGGGTTTACGCCGTTCTTGCGGTGTACTTGCTCGTCTGTTCATTCGCACTGACTATCAAGGCTTTCATTGTTGGTCGCATTCTTTCACACATAGCAAAATATTGCTCACAGTACATCATTGTACAGGCTGTGCCGAGCATGCTGAAGAGCAAGACGGCCGGGCAAATTGTGTTAACATTCTTTGAGCCTCCGGTCGGTGCTCTGATCGCCGCCATGGTTTCAACATACGGTGAGTGGTAATGGTCAATTGGACGCATATCAGACGAGTAAACTGGTATGCAGGTATCTACCTCATCGCATCGTTCCTCTACGTAAGCTCTGTTTGTGTTAACATCGGGTCCAGAATCTCACTGCTCTGTAGAGGGATCCCTGGCATATGTTCACCAGCTTCTTCCAATACCTCTGCTTGGCCCCTAGCTTCATCAATGTCTTGAACGTCTATGCCTTCTGTAATTTGCACGACGTGCGTTCTTGTGTGGTCCATCTAAATGGATACTTTATCGACCTTTTCTTGCAGGTGTCGTGGGGTACAAAGGGTAGCGATAAGGCGGAGGTTCTGCCATCGGTCTCATCCAAGAAAGGCAAGGATGCCGAGACAGCAGTCGTCGAAGATATCGCCCGAAGCAAGGAAGATCTCGATGCGCACTTTCAGGAGACCGTCAAGCGCGCGGTCGCCAAGCTCCAGGTGGTGGAAGAGGATGATAAGCCCACCATGGATGACGAGAACAGGACGTTCAGAACACGTTTTGTCGCTTTTTGGATGATCTCAAATGCTGCGTTGTCCGTCGCAGTCTCGAACCTCAACGGATTGCAAAGTGGCAACGAAACCTACGACGACGCGGCATTGCGGAAGAAACAAAACATCTACTTCGCAGTCATTCTGTACTCAACGTTCGGAATTTCATTAGTACGATTTATCGGGGTAAGTAAGGTTCAGCTCTCTGAAAGGTCATTGCTGACGTGCTGTTCCAGTGCCTGTACTACTTCTTCAGGCGTAACCTGTTCCGATGCTGCAGGAGGAATTAGGATGTTCTGTCTGTTCGTGGGCTGTTGGGTTATGGACATCGTGGTTGTCTTTCTCATCCTATTCTACTGCTGCATATCGGGACATGGACATTGTTATGCTGTCCCTGGACCCATCTCATCGTTTAGTCCTCAATCTCACATCTCGCGCCTACTGCTGTTCGTTCGTTATAATGGAATCGGAATATATACTTACTGGCGCAAATGCGCTACAAGTTGGCCCAGGGCCACAATGAAGTAGCTTAATGCTAAAGACTCTAATGCAGAAAATTAATGCGAGATTAAATTCATGAGGTGGCTTCTAAGCAGCGGGTATTGAAGGTCCTCATTGCGCGAATAGTAGTAGGCTGGACAATAAGGCGCCAGCCTCAGTCCAGGCAATAAGTCCATCCCCAACCGTTGCGTCGGCATCTGAACAGGAATGCCGCAGTCACACAGAGCGAAGCTGATTGAGAAAATCCAGCAGACAGCCACCGACGGACCGTCGTGCAAAATTGACAATTCTTCTCCGGTCCGAGGCGATTCGAATTTCACCATACCTACGGCATTCAATACGGCGAGACCTGGACATGGCCTATCAATTGCTTCGTCGGAAGGAGGGTGGGCGTCCACGAATGCTGCCGCGCCGACGAGCGAACTTCTTGAAATGCATGGCGCAACAACGTGCAGGCTAGGCGGTGCATCGATGCAATACTTGCACCCCAGTTTTGCTCAATGCTGGGGGCGTTGGCGGTCGCATTGCGTCGCTAACTTGAAAGTAGCCGGTGTCATAATGGCTATGGCATGGTTCCATCATCCTGCAATGCTTGGAATTTCCGCCCGGCGATACGACGCGGGATTCTACGACTCCGTGGATCGTGGACGAAGTTTGAAGGAGGGCACTGGGTACGGGGACGGGGGACGCATTCGACTCAAATGTGTGGGCACTTTCGCTCGATGATCGTGTCATCGCAGCAACTTCATCGTGTATACAGCCTAGTGAATGTCGAAGGCAATCCGCCGAGACATTGTTATCAGAACCGTGAGCAGCACTGCCGCACGAAGACCGATACTGCAAAGGAATTAGTGAGACAAACAACAGCCGATTTCGATAGATCATCGACGCACTCCTTTTTGAATAACATGCGTAGATCGAAACGTCGGGGAACTAATAAGCCACGTCTAGATGCTCGCTGTGGGAAGGCAATGTGAAGACATCTGATAGATCTCGAGTCGAGGCAACCTTCGAAGCCGAAGCAATGCTTTGATTGCAGTGGCAGATAGCATGGGAGAACACTGTCCCTCGAGGAATCGAGTTGAGGCGAGAACGAGAACCATTCAGATATTGATGCAGTGCCAGCTGTGACTACTACTACAATTACATATTTGCGGGCTGTCAAGGGAAAGGGGACAGCAGAACCGACCACATAAAAAACAAATGAGCGAGTGTATCGTACATGTGTATGGGAACAAGAAGTCCATCTCTCGGCTAATGAGTCTAGAACGGGTTTTCATCGTCATCATTGGCTTTCTTCTCCTCCGTCAAGTCATCTTCGCGTTCTTCTGCCGGACGGTCCGGTCCGGAACTGACTTCCTTCTCCACGAATAATGGTTGCATCGGCTTGGCGGCCCTAAAATGCGATTAATTTCGGGATATTGCCATGATGGGCGAAACGTACCGTGCAAAGTGTTTCTTCTTCGCTGCATTCAGTTTCTGGCTGACAGGAGTCATCAACTTGTCCGTCGGCGAAACAAACTTCGGGTTTCTATTCGAACATCATCAGTTCGATGAAACTCTACCAACCACTGCAGACATACTGGCTGGCGAACTTCTTTGCGAGGAGAGCCTTAGCTCCCATTCCAGGAGCCTGATTAGAGAGACCGTTTGTGGCATTGCCAAGCGGAGCTTGTGGCACGGCGACGTGTGCTGCTTGCGACGGATTGTGCAGTGGCTGAACGTGGGCCGGTGATGAGTTCGGGGTCGTATGTGCAGACATGTTGGTATGATGAGAAGCCAGCTCTTTGCGATGGAACGTAGGAGTCTCAGACTTTAGAGAACAGCAGTATTGACGATGAGAGGATGGTGGCTGGCAAGCAATCGTGTTTGAAAACGAACGGTCACGCGTTTAATATGCGCCACACATGGCATCACGTGGTCGCGTCACGGACGCGTGGACCGTTTGTGGCCCATTCCTTGTGCCTCGTCCCACCTCAGTCTTGGACCGCATTCACGCCGATACATATGTCGCGAACCGGATCGCGCACAGATATTCGTACTCGTGTGCATGCTGACACGATGTACTATACAGAATAAAGTCAGTTAACCGTTAAGTTTGCTGCGGTATGATCGTGGCGCACGGCTGATATATAGCTGTTCCGGTAGATGTCCTGGAGAGGCTAGTTGGATAACAGCCGATATCATCTTGCGTAAAACGTAAAGAGTAGGAAGGCATTGAGAGCGGCTGGGAACCAAATACAGTCGCAACGTGAGCCTGACTACAGTCCCGTCATAGGTGAGGAGGCGACGTTGCAGAAGATCAACTCTTTTCAGCTGCCACAACGTGCGCGAGGACATTGTGGGTAAACGTGCGACTGCAAGTGAGTTCTTGATTAGTTGCCAGGACATTTGAGGAGAGGACAAGGCCAAAATACTCTTCTTCTTTTTACTCTTCTCTTTTATGCTCTGTCTCTGGAAGCTCAGAGACACGAGCCACGGTCAAACACGAGGCGTTAGTAAATTTTCTGCTGTCGGTCTTGCCACGTTGCGTTAGCATCCTTGGTGCCGCTGCATCTGGGGAGAAAGCAAGGCCGTACCTGGAGTACACGATGCATCGCCTTGTCACTGGCTATCCGGACTTGACAATCGCGGTAACGTCATTTGTGGAAGCCACGGAAGCGAATAAGCTGACCGACATAGTAAGTTTGTCTATTTCCCATGCGTCCGGACTATCCTATGCCTAATGACGTTGCGCAGACTTATCACGTTCACCGAAATTATCGCACGTTGCCGGCATTTGTCAGGTAACTGCTGCTCGCCGCCCTCGGAGCGATCTTGACATCACATCCAGCGGCTGGCGATAAGAACCTCTCGTAAAACCCAATCACTGGTAGGCTCCGGCGGCCTGTGTGTCTGAGACTGAGATATAACAGATAGTGGTGGCCTGAGAATGCTGACAGATCTTGTAATAGGTGGCTGGTTGGCACAAGTTGTTGCCGACGAGGACGTTCTGTTCGTGAGTGTCGACATTCTACGTTGTACTGACAAACCTGACGGATTTGGTGTTTGCAATGCCTTCAACAGGACGGCTTGTTCCCCACGTCAGGTCTGATGTATTGCATACAGAGGTTTTTTCTACACGAGTGACTTGCGTCCATATGCTACCACTGTATACCGGGTATTCTCAGACAGCTCCGGAAGGGTCATAGATTTGTTCCCCTCATGTTTAAATGCAACTAGCGATTCAATCGCATCATCGCCTAGAAGGCGCAGAGCAGATCTGTACAAGGACCCAGAAAGGCTCTCTTGGCGACGAACTCGCAAGTAGGCGCGGTGGGTACACATGCTCGCATATCAACACGATAAGCTCAGCAAACAACGTCCCTACGAACTCTCCCCAGCGTCGGATACATTACGCTTCTCCGCCCATTGGTGGCCTAGAGCCGGTGTTCCACGTATCATTAGAGAGGTCTCCCTTCCCTAGATCTTTCCTCGGACCACAAATGTGTCCATGTGGTTGGTACTGCGGTTGTGCTAGACTTAACGCTGTCGCTGTGCGCTCCGCCCGCGGATCGTTGTGGTATCCTTCTGCCCCAGCTGCACGATTCAATATTCATCAAAGAAACACGAGTTGCGCACGGCGAACCGAACAGACTAAGTGAGGGATGAGGCTTACCCGAGCTCACTCAACCAATGGCGATTTGGTCTCCGCCATCGCTGAATGGGATGGGTCTTATCGTATTTCATCACGGCGATTTGATTGTATCGCAGCGTTCTTACGCCGGTGGCTGCTATCGATCTGCTGCCGCGTAATTACGGTACAAATTTGATTGCATGATGAGACAGAAGGGTATTCGCTGCTAGCCTATAATAACACATAATTCGACCAAAGGAAACAAGGTGGTCTGTAGAATTTCGCCGCTGCGACAGCGCGAGATCTTACGACGAATTACTTGTCATAGCGTCCGAAGCATGAGAATGCGCCGGATCCAATTGAGGGCTGTGAATTACGGGCGAAGGGCGACCCTCCAGCGCGGACCAGCATCCGAAGAACACGATGGCTGGGGACCTGATGGAGGCGCTCCAGACTGCATCGCTTGGGGTGCTGCAGAAGGAACTTGGAGGGCCGGCTACGACGCCTGAAAGCCGCGGAACATGTATTCTGGTGTTGGCGAGCGTGTCAGGAGGAGTGTGTGACATGCGACAGAATGATGAGCGGTCGTCAGCGGACCATAATGGAGCTCAGGTGAGGTGCATGAGGATGTAGAGGACGTAAAACACGGCAGGGAAGAATGCAGAGGTACGCGGGGCGTTTAATGTGGGTTTGGTTTGGCCTCGAGCGCAGGCACGCCCGATGGCTCATTAGTCTCTGCAAAGATTGGTTCGCTAGTGGGGCTCGGATCCGGTTCAGACCGTAACAACACACGCAGCTTAAAAGGCTAAACGCCTCAGACACGGACCGTCCCCGCAGTGCCCAGACTTCCCCGCGGCCTCGGACTCGGCATAAAAGCACTCTCCTCCAGCGCACACCTGCAGACATCCTGGCGACCATCGTAGCAGACACAAGACAACAGCGGAGAAACGGTGCGGATCACCTGCGTGTGTGGCTCGTGTCTGGTCGCACTCACTACGCGTGAACGCGCGACTTGCAGCCACACTCCCATAACTCTCCTCCACGTTTTCGCTACCATCTCCGTATTGCTGTCTTTAATCTCCACTTCTTCCGTCCTGCCTCTCGGTTTCTCGTCATGCCCGGTGAACTCCTCAGGAAGAGGAAGATCGCTGTTCTTGGTTCTCGTTCAGTCGGTGAGAGCCGTTTGCCGCAACCCCTGGCACGCCGCAACGTGCTTACACGCGTCATCGTCCAGGAAAATCCTCGCTCGTTATTCAGTTCATCGAGAACCACTTCGTCGAGTCATATTACCCTACCATCGAGAGCACGTTCAACAAGAACATCAATTATAAGGGCGTTGAGTACGACTGTGACATCATCGACACCGCTGGCCAGGTCCGTTTTTCTCGTTTCCTGACGTGGCCACGCTCACGGAGCATGTCTTCAGGATGAATACACCATTCTTAATTCAAAGCATGCTATTGGGGTTCATGGATTCGTTCTGGTCTACTCCGTCACATCGCGCAAGTCGTTCGATATGATCCCGATTGTATACGACAAGATCACCGAGTTTTGTGGCGTGAATAACGTGCCTTGTGTGATTGTGGGCTCCAAGACGGACTTGCCGCAGAGGTATGTGTTGGAACAACTCTGCTTTCGTGTCTTCTCCGCGCGATGTCTGTCGACCACACGACCTGTTCTCACAGAAAATCCAGACAGGTATCGGTGAGCGACGCAGAAGCTCTTGCCAAGAAAAAGGAGGCAGCCTTCATCGAGACGAGTGCAAAGAACAACTTCAACGTCGGTCAGTAGTAATCGACCTACCCCTTTCCATAGACGTACTAACTGCAGCGCCGTCTTTTCCACGTCGCACAGCCAAGGTCTTCGAGCTCTGTCTAGCTGAGATTGAGAAGCAGTCACCAAACGGCAAGGCCGAACCACCCACCAGCAAATGCATAATTATGTGATGTGCTCTAGAATTCCTTCGTGTTTCCGCGGCATTTTGCATCGGCTCCTCATAGAACCTATACACACACCTGCGCCACCCTGTCTATCCCGCTGCATCGCTTCCCGTTCATCTCATTCTGCTGCATCATTCTTGTCGTTCCTAATCAGATCCTCCCCTCTGCGATAGACATTCGTACCGTGCCCCGATTTCCCTTGGGTTAATTCTTGTATACTGGACTTTTGGATCCGAACTTCTGGTTCAACCATGCACCCCTTTCCTTTATCCCCTACCGCTAGTATGTATGTTTGTATGCCTGTTATGCCCGCATATACGGTCCTTCGGGACTCTACATAGCACCCGACCTCCGCTGAGGCGTAATCGCATGACCGCTTTCGATCTCTCACCCTTCTTACGCTTGTGGGGCTGGAAACAACGAGGAAACGTTCAGCAGTAAGTGCACTTCTGGTATGACGAAAGGTGCCTCAATTGAAAGATCCCGTCAGATCGTTCACGGCGTCTCAAAAATCATACGGTACGCCTGTAGGCGCCCTTCTTAATACAATCGGGCTCATAAGTGTGCGCCTCATTATCCATCAGACGGTCAGGCTACCCCATCTCCGAGGAACCTCGCCTTGACCTCTCTGCCCTTCAATCCCACGACCTTGACCACCTGTGGGTCATCTGGCACAAGATCAATAGCCTGGTCGCTCCACCGTGCATCTTCTCCTTCGACGTCGAGCACGATGCCTTTAATCGGCTTCTTAGTCGACAACTCTACGGATTCGCCATCCGGAAGCACAGTTATCTCGAAACCGAGGTCTTTAATTTCGGGAAAACTGATGAATTTGTATGGTTCGGGCCTGGAACAAACGAAGTTCGTCGGCAGTAATGAGCAATCGCTGGACGGGCAGATCGTGTGACATACCAATTGGAGTATCGCGCAAGAACGGTGCCAGAGCCATCCAGAAGACGTGCGGAGACGACGATGGTCTTGGGCACCTCACTCAACTTGGTCCTGGTGGGCTGTCCAGGAAGCTCCCCCACATACAGTTCCGTGCTTGAATTGGGAGCTAGCGTTACCGCCTGGATGAACTTCTGTCGCCAGTCCGAGTGCAGGTCGAATGCGATGACCTCAAGGGTGGCCGTCTTCTCAACCAGCGTACTGTTTGTGCCCCAGATCTCAAGGACGGTTTCGATAGTGAAAAACGCGGCAGTCAGGTCGTCTGCAAATGTCTTCTTCTCCTTGCGGGTCATGCCAACTGTAAAGGGACGAAGCTCGCGCTTGATCGCAAAGTACGCAGGCTTCGGACGCAGGAAGTAGTCCACGATGGCCCACGATGTCACGGGCCAGCAGTCGTTGATCTACGGATCCATTATTCAGACACAAGCGAAGGTTGACCGCGTAGCCCTGCATTACCTGCCACACAAGCGCACCGGCGGTGTATTCTCTTCCTTTCCCACGCCAGTTACGCCTCCAGAGACGGTACGCGGAAGCAAGGGTCTCGGCTTGCATGATCTGGGTGTAGTACACATAGCTGCGCGTCGGTTAGCAGACGGCGTCTCGGAAGTCGTTGAATATGATCAAGGCGCCTACTTTTCAATTTCGAATGAGTGTTTGAAATTTTCCACTAGGTAAAGCTGGAATCAAATCAAATCATCCAGAGATCCTGGAGGGACTCGAAAGTGCAGAGGCCTCACCTCCAGCCTCCTCTCAAATCCGTCCGCTTTGTTGTGGTTATTCATTGTCCTGAGCGTCAAGCATTGAATTGTACATCCAGCAATGAGCAGATACGAGATGCGTACCTGGACTGAGGATATCTCTCAGACGCATTTCCGCCGAGCCAGTAATCGACGGTGCGGATGTTAGGGTAGGCCTCCCTGCATGTCTTGAGCCATCGACTGACGCAGGGGAAGCACGAAGTACGTACATGCCGAATTCTGACACAAACCGGCCTGACAATATGTCCCAATGATGCCACGGCTCCTGCGAACCATGCCAGACGTTCCCTAGTCGTAGCAAGTGACCGTTACTCGCGGCCCTACATAAAATGCAGCACACTAACATTGATGCAGGTCACCGTAGTTCCTATCCGTTGTCGGTTTTCCAAACCCGCTGTATGGCGAGCTGCGATGATAATGCACGTCGCATAATCGCTCGACCACCGCGGGCAGCAGCCGTTCGTAGATGTATCGCGCCGGGAAGTTGGTCTTGCGAAAGTCCGACTTCTCGTCGGAGTAATCCAGGTCGAGGTGGTTTGCCTCCGCGAGCTGGTAATCTGCGAGGTATCGACACACTCAATGACCAGCATTTTACGTCTCAACGGGTCTGCTGACGCACCTTCATTGTTCCCCGCTATATTGATGCGAGCAGTAAGCGATCAACAAGCGCGCAAGAAAAGAACGAAAGAACAAGAAGACAGGAAGTGAATGCACGTTAGGGCATGAAGGCTCACCGAAGATGACAACGGATGGATGGTGCCTCATCCGCTTGACATTCTGTTCTGCCTCGAGCTCGACAGACTTCGTGAATGTTTCGTACGCGGGGTACTATCGCCGCCAATCAATCAGTGAGGCGCTTCGCGCAATATCATCTCGAGGATACGGCCTACTTGACCACAGCCGAACATAAAATCCTGCCATACCAGGATGCCCAATTCTACGTAATGGGATCAGACAGATGATCAGCAAGTCTGCACATCGCGCACAGAAGGACGACGCTTAAATACCATCACAGATGTCGTAGAAGTCATCCGCCTCATAGACGCCGCCTCCCCACACGCGGACCATGTTCTGATTCCCATCTACGAGCAGTTGCAGCCACGCTTGGTAGCGCTCGCGAGTCATCCTGTGTCAAGAGCGGCTGTGAGCGCACTAACACCATACAACGAGGTGAGGCGAGCCGGAACGGACGTGGTCAGGAAAGAATCCGCCGGGATCCAGTTTGAACCTGTCAAAGAGATGCTTTTAGTGCCGATTCATTACTCTGACAGTCTATGTATGCGAACCTCCGCAGAAGACCCTGATGTTGTTGATCTCGAAAAGGAACGTGCGTCCCTCTTGGTCCAGGAGCTCATCTTGGATGACCCTCACCCGTCGGAACCCGATCTTTTGGAACTTGTAGTCGAGCACGCCGCCGTTCTGTTCTCATGACATATCAGCTGCCATCCAGTTTGAGTACGCTGCCTCCTCACCTGGTCCCGCACCTCGACCTCGACTGTATACATGGCCTGCCGCCCATAACCGACGGGATACCACAGCTCGTACGTACCCTTGGTCAGCTTGAAGTGCGCATGTGCTTCGGACTTGTGAACGCGTACGCTGCTCTGACTCGTGACGAGCGCGCCGTCAGGCGCGCGTAGGTTCACGGATGCGATGTTGTGGTCGTCACGCGACAAGGCAAAGCGCACGTCGAGCGTTGCGGAGAGATCGGCAGAGACGCGCGCGCGAATGTCGACATCGGTGATGCGGGACACGTAGGCCGAGAGTGCAATAGGCTTCCAAGGGCCGACCGTCATGAGTACTGAGCCTGAGACGACAGTTCAATACGCAGTGAGCGTGGATGATTGGAAGGATTTACCCCAGTCCCACCCGTAGCTACGACGGCGAGATGAGCACGGTGTTCAGCACAAAGTTCCACAAACGTACTTGTACTGCGCTTTGCGGACATGGAGGCGGCTGGAATCACCGTTCCACAACTTGTACTTCTCGTGAGCCTTCTCGATCTCCCTCCCCTACGTGTGGCGTCAACTATACACAGAAGAACGTGCGGCCTGTGAGTGGTGGTGCAACCTCACCTTGCGAAATGCGCTCGCGAAGACGATGGACAACTCGTTCTTTCCTTGGACAAGATACTGCTTGACGGACACGCGGTGACCGATGAATTGATTGTCCGTTCTGTCTCGTATCAGAAAACACTAACGACTTAAAATCACAAAGGAGGCGTACTCCAGGATTTTGTGCTCGTTCTGTGCGATCACATAGACTTGTCAACATTGACTCCTAGACGTCGATGCCGACATTGTAGCACTCACCAGAGTGACTGTCGCGAAAGTGTCCAAGCCATCAAAGACGAGATCCGCACACGGCGAGGCGATTTCAGACGGATAGACAGTGAACTCGGTCTTGAACTCCCAAGGTTCCTCGCCAACCCCTACGCAAGAACTTATGAGCCGACAGCGATCGAGACATGCTCGCGCTCATTTACATTGCACGTCCCACTCATGCAAACCCACGAACTGCAGCCCGCCGCTGATCAGTTATTGCACAACCGTGAACGCGGTACCATACTCACTGGGTCCGGGATCCGCTTATGCTTCAGCAGTTCGACATGCACTGTCGTCGGAAACTCATGCACAGGCAACCACTCTCCCGCCTTGACCGCGCCATTCCAGTTAGCGCTGCCGACCTGCGTGAAGCTCCATCCCTCGTGCAGCGTCCTGGTGATCGCCATCGTCAGTATCGGTTTCAGGAGGTGTTCGCGAGCTAGGAGGTCTGAACCCCTGCGCTGTATGCGAGCTCACCTAAGAGCTTTAACCCGGGAATGCAGTCATCGGTCATCTGCAACGGGTCATCTGCGCATGCGGGAGAGACCCCGAAGATTCCCCGCGTGGCCGCGCGATTCTTCCGCACTTCTTGTGTGAAGCAGCGTTTGTTCTCATCCATATCAACCATCTCGGACGCAGAACTGTCGTCCTTCATTTCTGGTTCAGCATGCCGCCTTCCCGCTCAACCAGTGATCCAGTCAGATTCAATTGTTCCTCCACCGGTACATCAGCTTCACGTTCTTGTCGTGTTCGCACTAGCCAGCAAGCCGAGGTCATCGTCCTCTCTTCCGACGAAGACAACGATGACGAGGTTATCGTCATTTCTTCCGACAACGACACCGATGCCAAAAGCAAGTCACGCGCCACTAAGAAGACGAAGAAATCTGCACCACCATTGCACAAAACAACTCATCTGACACGCCCTGCATGAAGGAACGCTGCTGCACCCACCCCCGTGGGGCACCGAGCACTCACTGTCACGAGAATTCTCGCTGACGATTTTGGCGAGCCCAAAATGTGGACATTCAGCCTTCCTGAACCAAACTTCATGGATATGGACAAGTTCGTGAAAGATGCGTGGAAAGATCCTTGGTTGCAGAATATGACAAAGGCAGAATGGGTGACTGCTGAAGCTCGTCTACGAGCTATGAGTTCGAAGGTGCATAGGGTGAGCTGCTTCTGTCTCCTCTTTCATTCAGAACAGTTCTCTTACTTTCGCTCCACCACAGGCTCATCCCAACAAGAATGATTGCACCATTCATTACACGCATGCTGAGTGGTATCCTGGCGGGCCCATCTGGTTCACCATTCATTGGTGGAATGGCAGAAACCTCGGCAACTACTTCGATTTAGTCGATGTCGCAACACAAAAGCTCTTCCTTCCGCATCACGATCTCTCCAATCTCTTCGTCCAGGTCAAGTTCCTGGGTGGCATGATGCCCGTATGTACCATGGAAGAGGCCATGTGTCGTTCCCGAGGCATGAAGAAGATCCCTGGTGCAAATGACGATGAACGATACAACGCTCCTGAGGGTGCGAGGGTGCTGTTCTCGAGGATTTTGCTGAATGGAAAGAAGGTGGTTGTTGCGGATGTGTATTCTCCTTTACAAGACCGACCTGTGCAACCTTTGGAACTGCAGCCTCTGACATTCTCACTGTTTGGTCTGTGACCTACTTATCCTTGATCGATTGTTTTCCTGCATCTGCTTTGTCGTTCGGTTATACTAGGCTCCGATCGCTTTGAATTCCTTTCCAATACTGTCATGTCAATGTTTTGTCATTTTCCTGGTACCATACAATCCATATGAACCTTGTCTCTGTTACTGTCACTGTTGGTCCTTTGGAATATTACACGGACATTTGTACCATGGAAGAGGCCATGCGTCGTTCCCGAGGCGTGAAGAAGATCCCCGGTGCAAATGACGATGAACGGTACAACGCTCCTGAGGGTGCGAGGGTGCTGTTCTCGAGTATTTTGCCGAATGGGAAGAAGGTGGTTGTTGCGGATGTGTATTCTCCTTTACAAGACCGACCTGTGCAACCTTTGGGACCGCAGCCTCTGACATTTTCACCCTTCGGTCCTTGATGCTCTTATTTTTTAAAATCGGCCGTCTATCTCACTCGGTCCTTCTCATACTAGCACCACCCGATACCTTTTTATACTACTCCGATGCTGAATGCCGAGGACGAAGATCCGTCTTGCTATGTTATTCTATAGTACACGATAGCAAAGGAGGGAATGGTGAAAATATTCAACCGACAATTCTTACACAAGGTACCGGAAACCCTTTTCTTTCACTCCCTTTTCCTCCTCTTCTTTCGCCATCTGCCTGTTCAGCGATTCGAGATGAAGCTTGAAGATATAGCACATCAATATTGCGCATCCAGAGGTTGCTATACAGATAGCATATGAGTAGCGGTATGTGGGACCCCAGCTGCTCGGCCAAACATATCTGCGCGTGCGACGAGGTGGTCAGCAAATCATTCAAGTGCGGACCTATGAATAGGATACTCACGAGCCAGCTACATTGCCCAACTGTGAGAAGGCATTGACGAAAGCGACAGCCACTGCACGTTTCGATGGCGGACGGGGGAAAGAATTGCTGACCCAAGTGTAGAGAACGACAAACCCAGCGTACTGTTGCGCCATGAGAAAGCTGCAGTTCGACATGAGTCTCATCATGGCGGAAACCTTCGAATGGGCTTGTACGCACAGAGAGACATATCGCGCAGCCACGTCCATCGTGCAGATGGAGATAATAAATCCTACGATCCCTAACGCCCAGGATATGGACATGTGCCAGAACCGCTCTCCCGTCTTGTCAGAATGGCTAGAATGAACATGTCAGTGTTAAGACGAACCATTGGAAGGCATAAACGAGCACGTACCGAGAGTTGAGGTAAGCGAGGATGCAAGCTAGTATGAACGGCGGCGCGCAGAGCAGCAGCGTCACCGTCGTGTCGAATCCCATCGTAGCGCTTAAAGTCGGAAAGTACGCATTGAAGCTCAACGCGACGACCTGGCTCAACATCGCGAAGGCCATCCACCATACCTTCCAGTCCGTCATCGCCAGCCACAAGCCAGAGCTATGACGACCATCTTCAGTCTCGTATTCGTCTCCAACACCTGCATCCTCCTCCATTCGCCGCAACGCCAGACGCCGCTCGAGTGGGCTAAGCCACTTTCCGCGCTCGGTAGCCGGGAAGTCTGGCAGGATAAACACCGCGCAGATGGCAAAGAAGATCGTCAAGGAACCCTCGATGTAGAAGAGCCAGCGCCACGCTGCCCGCCCAAGCTTGCCTTGCATCGTGTCCAGGATGCCAGATGCGATTAATGAGCCGAAAGCATTGCTGATGATATTCCCGCCATAAAGGATAGCAGTCCGAGCGCCGAGCTCGCTCCGCTTGTACCATTTGCTGAGGAGAAACAGTGCGCCAGGGAAGAATGCTGCCTCGACGAAACCAAGAAAAAAGCGTGTCAGGAGCGCACCAACGAAACTGTCAAGGGTCAAGTGAGTTTCAACAAGACTGGCAGAGCAAAACTCTCTCCCTCACTTGTGTGTGATGCCTAAGAGATAATTGCTTGAGTAAATATGCGAGGATAATGCGTCTGAACGTGCTCACCAGTCAATATGGACAGAGCGCCCCAGATCATCATACAAATCGGCAACTGCAGAGACGGTTTCCCGATCAGATTTAAGATCATGTTCCTGCGGATACCTCATGAAGAGACGACGGGTGTAATCTAACTAATTGGTGCTCACGAGGGGACCTGCATGACGATATATCCCACATACAGGATGGACAACAGCGTTGCAAACTGTTGTCCTTGGAGGTGTAGGTCTGACTCAAGGCCCTTCAGTCGAGCAGCGCTAACGTCACGAAAATCAAGAAATGAGGATTCAAACAAAACACGAAACGATGTGCTGCTCACCTGGCATTGTTGCGGTCGATCTACGTGCAACCATTCATGAAATACATGAAGGAGCATCGAGAAGTAGTGAAAAACGCACATAGTTCAGTATATAGATGATAACCAGGATGAACATGCGCAAGTCGAGCTTCAACAGCAGCCTCCGCTCGAGCCTCCTCCGGGCCTCTGTCCCACAGAATTCTGCATCAGGGTCAATCGGGACGACTTGGATAGACTCGACACCCTCTTCCACCTTCTCCACCGGTGACTGAGAGCGCAGCTTGGACTCGGACTCAGCCATCCAGGAAAGACGGTATGCTCAGTTGAAAGCACAGAGAGACGACTGAGCAAGGACCAGCAAGGCCTTCCGCTCTTCCGCACATCCACCGCTTACTTGTACTTGCGCCATTCCAGAGACTGTCCCAGGAGGTCACAAGGTCGATAGCCATGGACGGCGGACGCGTCCCGGGCAAGCCTGAGTATGAATTCTCAGCCACCGAATGGCCTTGCCTTTTCGGGAAGATGGTGTCAGAGACGTCCACGTGACCATCGCGAACGTTGTTTACGCGCGACGCGTCGTTGGCGCTGGCAGGCGCTTGTTGCCCTTGCTGCTCCGCGGCCCGCACGCATGTCCGTCTTGCTTGTCTCTCCTGGCATCCCCGTAATATCGACTTGAATACTACTTAGGTCTGCGATGGAGGACTCTTTTGATGTTCACGGACGTGCACTTGCTGCGATCTTGCAACTGCCAGTGCTGAATAGGGACGAGATCCCAATTGAGGACTCGTGCCCCATATGCTTGAATAGTCTCGGGGACATCTGTTCTGGCTCCATACAGAACGAAGGGACGTACCAAGAATACCATGCAGAGGCGGCCCAGGAAATACCTCTAAGTGGCGTTACGAAGCTCGTCGGCTGCGGACATATGTTCTGCCGAGTAGAGTGCGTACTGTGTTCCCTCGGTTCATGCAGTATCCCTCACACACCAAACACCTGCAGTCTAATTGAATGGATCCGTTGCCTGGTGCGTACCCGCCTCCTTACCTCCTGCCCGTACTCACGCAGCCTCTCGCGCAGCACGGCACCTGCCCCACTTGCCGGCACCAATTCGCGAACATCCGTCCGGTCAGCGAGTCAGACAATGAATCTTCCGACGGGGACTACATGCCCAATGAGGACGAGGAGGAAGAGGACGAAGATGACGGCAACATCACAATCGACGTCGACGAGGACGACTTCGAGGCGTTCGAGATGGACATGTCATTCATGGACACGGATGAGGATGAGACTGAGGATTCAGCGGAGACCGGTTCGGATGATGCTGAGAGCGCACATACAGCTGGGAGCTCGCGCACAAGAAGCGAGGAGGTGCCAATCTCGCGGCTCGTTCGCCGCAACGTGACCGACTTCGTAGATCGGGATGCATTCGAGCGAATGCAGAACCCCGCACCCCCACAGGATCCCGCGCCTCTCCAACCCATGGCCACCATCAACGGGCGCTTCCACCTGAACACTGCCATACGGACCGCTCTCGACTTCGCCTCACGCATCTCCATCCCAACCATCGAGTGGGTGTCGAATGAGGAGGAAGACGAGGGAGACGACGAGGGTGGAGAGGAGGAGGACACAGATGTAAGCATGGAGAACTGGGGCTTGAGCGATGGAGATGGCTCCGAGAGCATATCGGATGGTTCGATGTTCGTCCTTGGAGACGATAGATCTTTTGGGCTGGATAACGCAGATAGTACGTATAAATCCAACAGTTCGTTGGTGTGAGCTAATTTGCGATCGCTTCTCCAGTTGCCGAAGTAGTCGACCTATTCCGTATCGACGATGAAGAAGACGTTACAGAGGAGCAGAAGTAAAGGAGGCTAGTGGAATGAGTGACATTCTGGTATCAACGAGGCATAGCATTGGCATCGCACTGTAATATTCCTATTGTCGATTTGACCCGGCTAGATATGATTGTAAATATGTCTATTTTGTGCCATATGCATATAAGATCTAATTGTACAAGCATCCGAGCTCTATGCAGCCTGGCTGCCCTCCACAGCCGCGAGCACCTCCTGCACCAGCTTACCCTCCCTGTACTCTTTCCACACGCCGGTAAATTTACCACTCCACCTCGATCCCTTCCCTCCTCCCTTCACGCCCAATTTCCCCTTCAAGCCCTCCCCAACGCTTCTCACCACGCTCTCATCCGAACCAAACACCAGTATGACACACGTACTCCCCGCACTCTGCCCCGCCGGCGCCGAAGACAACACCACGACATATTGCAGTCCCTCCTCCTGTGCCTCCCGCTCGATCTGCCGCGTGAACGCCAGCGAAACCGCATTCAGGAAACCCAGCGCACCACCAGCAGTGGCGGGATCGTCCGTCCGGTGCACATGCAAAAACGCGCCGGCGGTGCCCGCGCTGAACACCGCGTCCGCTAGGTCTTTCGCGAGCCGCCCGGCCAGCTCCGCCTCGACGTCCTCGACGCGCTTCGCCGTGCGCTTGCGCTCATCTACGAGCTGCTCCACGCGCGCAGGCACGAGCGGTGGTCCGCAGCTGAGCGTGCCCGCGGTGCTTGAGAGGAGCGTATGTGTGTTGGTGACGTGGTGCAGCAGCCGCGGGCCCGAAAAGAAGTAGAGTCGCGCGGAAGTTGTGTTGGAGCGCGCGAGCGCCTCGGTGTGAGGCACGAGGAACAGCTGCAGGTTGTGCACGGTAGGCATATGCGTGCCGCAGCATCTACGAGAATGATCAGTGCATACTGTGCAATGAGGCCGGGAACTGCTCACAGGCTACGGTCGATGCCGTCGATGACGACCGTGCGTTTTACGCCGCCGGTGTAGTCTGCAGGGAGTACTTGACCGGCAGCGCGCCCGCTCTCGAGCTTGGTGGGTTCTGGGAGCGTATCTCTGTCGAGTTCTTCGACCTCGACGTGGACGTTTCGACCCTCGAAAACGATAGCGTTTGCGGTTTCTTGGATACGTGCAATCTCATCCGCGGACATCCCTCGAGGAATCTCGACATAACAAGCGGATGGCCATGCGGTGATCGACCAGGAAAGTGTGGAGAGGTTGAGTTGGGACTCGAGGACGGCGGAGAGGAGATGCTGCGAGGTGTGCATGCAAGTCTGTGGAACGGTCATTAACGGCTCATGGAAGGAATATGGTCAACATACATGGTCCAGTCGACGCTTCCAGCCTTCCTCACCTAGCGCAACGCCGACTCGTGTGCCCGGTGCGAATGCGCGCAGAGCATCGTCTGTGCTGGTCTTTGCGCGGATATAGTGCACGGCATGTCCGCCGTGCCGTTTGACCTCGATCACATTCCAAAGATCACCATCTTCGCTTGTTAGGGTGCCAATATCTGATGGCTGTCCACCGCCTTCTGGAAAGATGATGGTATCATGCAAGATTATCTCGACGAGCGGCTCTGAGGGTGTGCTCTTGGTAGCATTCTTCTTGCCCTGGCTTCCGTTGGATGGCGGGGACAAAGACTGCGAGACGGTTGAGCTGATGATGGTCGTTACTAACTCTCGTAGGAGCGGATCTCCTGGCTCAAAGTCAGATATCATACTAGATCAGTGAGAGGATGGTCTGCAGAACACTCACGTTGGCAGGCGAGGAGACCGACAGGAATGGGCCTGCTGGTATCAGTAGGGATATGAAGGGTGGGTGAGACGATGCGATGGTAGGTGGGTGGCGTGACGGAGGGCAGCAGCGACACGGCAGCAGCCATTGCGCGGTGCAGAGCGGGTCAGTGGCTTGGAGATGTGGCGCACCGATCACTCTCGGTCATTTGTCGGAGAAAGTCTTTCTGTCGCCGGCGGCGGCCCGGCCGGCCCCTTTGTCCTTTCTGCCCTCCCGCTCTGCCGCTTTGTATCGTCCATTCGTGCGTGTCTAAGAACAGCCATGTCGCAGCTGTTATGAGCAAGACATGGACATCGCCGTTCCCTCAGGTTGCGCACCAACTCGCACTATGCTTTCCTGACATCAATGTTCCTCGGCAGACCCGAGAAAAAGGCCCGAGGAAATGGGTACCCCGCTATAGCATCGTCTTGGCCGATCAGAAATCCATCTGCAACAACATTCTTGCTGCTTGCGCTGCGGGGCTCCAGATGCGGAGCTCGCACTATTGGCTCTCGTCGTCCAGACGATCTGCGCTCATATAACGGCATGTTACACGCAGCGCCAGCATGCTTAGTCGATCCGCGCTTGTTTCTTGCCATTGCTCCTTTCTATGGCGTCCTCATCCAGTGCATCACTCTCAGTGAAGAAGGACCTGACGGAAGAGCATGAGCATATCGAGGAGCAGCCTGTTGAAGCTGCCAGCATCAGCGAAGACGAAGAGTTTGGCGGCACAGAAGCACGTAGAAAGCTGGAAAAGAAGTTGCTCAGGAAGCTGGACGCACGTATATCTATTCTCATTGTCATCTATATCCTCAACTATGTGAGTGAGGCGTTATACGACGAGCGATACCTACTGATATCGTGCAGATCGACCGAAATAATGCCTCGTAAGTGACCGTAACTCGACTCGAGCATAACTGATCATGTCGCGTTCCTTCATCACAGTGCCGCCCGACTGCGCGGATTCGAAGAAGACCTCCACCTTACTGGCGAACAGTTCGACACGCTCCTGAGTATTCTCTACGTTGGGTATATTTTGATGCAGGTGCCTTCGTAAGTGCTAATCACCCGTTCACTCGGTACGTGCCAGGCTAACAATATGCAGTAATATGCTTTTGAACTATATCGGCAGGCCCTCAGTGTACCTACCGTGCTGTATGATTATTTGGGGGATGATATCCTGCCTCACAGGTACACACTCCTCCCTCTATTGTCCTATATGCGGCTCGCTCACCCATTCCACAGGCGTGACTACCGAGTATGACCTCCCACTAATTGTCTCCCTACCTTTCATTCATTCATTTCATCCGCAGCTTCGTCGGCGCACTCCTCACGCGATTTTTCCTCGGCTTCGTCGAGGCTGCCTTCTTCCCCGGCGCGCTCTTCCTTCTCTCCAAGTGGTACACGCGTGCCGAGCTCGGCGTGCGCACCGCGCTTCTCTCCTGCGGGAGCCTCATCAGCAATGCATTCGGCTCACTCATCGCGAGCGGCATCCTCGACAGCATGCAGGGCAAGTTAGGGCACTCAGCATGGCGGTGCGTGCTCCACGATCCACTCACTTCCAGCCCATCTGAACCGTTCGACACATCCACAGATGGCTCTTTTACATCGAGGGCTCGCTCACGGTCTTCGTTGCCATTGTGGCTATCTTCGTGCTGCCCGATTTCCCCGCCACTTCGCACACGTGGCTGAGCCCACTTGAAGTGCGCCTCGCCGAGAAGCGCATGGAGGAGGACGCGGGCGTCGGCGATGAGGACCCCGTCGCCAAGTCGGACGGTCACTCGCACACCCAGCTCGAGGGCCTGCAGCTCGCACTGAGCGACTGGAAGGTGTGGCTCCTCGCACTTGCACTGACGAGCATGGTCGTCTCGCTCTCGTTCAACGCGTTCTTCCCGACGCTGACGGCGACGCTTGGCTTCGACACGACGGTCACATTACTTTTATGTGCGCCGCCGTGGGCGCTTGCGACGATAGTTGCATTCGCGGTGGCGAGGTGCGCTGATTCCGCTGCCCGTTCGAGTGTTGGCAGGAAACTGACAATGATGCAATGATGTTAGACACTCGGATAAGGTGGGCGAGCGATTCTGGCACATCGCGATCCCGCTGTTCTTTGGCATCGTCGGATTTATCATTGCCCTGTCCACGATGAACACCGCTGCGCGATACGTATCTCTGTGCGCGACTTTCTGTTTCATTTCGGACGTGCATTCATGCAAGCTGCATGAACCTTGCAGGTTCCTAATGGCTCAGTCGTATGCGGGCTTCATTACCTTCCTCGCCTGGGTGAGCAATTCGATACCGCGGCCGCCCGCGAAGCGCGCCGTCGCGCTCGCCTTCATCAACGCGTTCTCGCAGCTCGGGAATATCGCCGGCTCGTGAGTGCCCATTTTTACCAAGTGTTGACACAGGCTCATATACGCCGACAGGTACGTGTGGCCATCGAAATGGGGACTTTCGTACCGCTACTCGTATGCAATTTGTATTGCGGCAAACGGGATGTGCATCGTGCTGTGCTACGCATTCAAGAGGCACTTAGAGCGGCTGAACGCGCGGATGGAGAGGGAGGAAGCGGAGGGGCGTGCCAGAGGGTTCCGGTACTTGACGTGAATAGATCGATGAACTTCTATATACGACTACATGACGATATGCACGACACGAATGTGCATTGAGAACGCAGATAGGGAGTGCGAAACTGGTAACGATGCATCTGTGTGCTAAGTCCACCGGCAAAATGCAAGTGGCTCACGCAGCATGGACGAGTGATCACTGTAACAAGTGTCATGTTAACGGCGGTTGCACCGACCCTTGCATGACCCGGAATGTTGTTGGAAGAATGGTCCTCCGTCGTCAAACGTGTCAAGGGCTAATCAGCTGAACGTCGGACCTCATCCGCTCCCGCCTCAACAGCAGCAGTCCATTTAAGCCGGTCGATCATGCGTGCGTTCCCCATAGGCCGATTCCTACGCAGCACGTTGCTGATAAACCTTCATATCGAGCGGTAGGGTGGGAAGACGCTGATGAGAAGAGGGAATAAGCATTGCGATCCGGCAGGATCTCTCGCACGTTCGACCAGCAGTGAGATAGGTAAATTGCACGTGTATCCGAGCAGAAAAGCAGTCGTTCCGAGGACAGAGATATTCGGAGATGGGTACAGCACAGAAGCAAGCGAGGAGCGGAGTCGAGCTCGATATAGCCAGCGTTTTGCACCAGATACGACAGCGGCTTTTACACGGCGGAATGGGGGCATTGGGGATGGTCCAGCTGAGCACGAGCGTACTCGGGGCGGTGCCGGACGGAGCAAGGTTGAGCATATTTTACAGGAAGATACCAGCGCGCGTTCGGGACGAATACAAGAGGGAGCGGGAGGAACAAACCTAACAGACGACGATGGGAGAAAGCAACTCGCCTGAACGCGAAGACGACGCACGCTACACGCGACTCTGGTCCGTCCGCCACCGTCTCCGTGACCTGTTCCCGTCTCGTCCCACATCTCCCACAATTCATTTCCTGCTCGCTTTTCTGGACCTCCTGCTCGCGGCAGCATTCACTAGCGTCGGCGAGACGCAGATGAATTCGCTCGCCTACCTGTCGCGCCAGTTCGATGTGCTAGCCTCTCCACGCGCGCCACCGTCTACGCCTGCTTCTGAAGTACCGCCGTCTGTCGCTGGAGAGACCAGATCTGGCCGAGCGAGGTCATGGTCGACCAAGACGTTCCGCGTGCCCTCTCCTGGTGGATCGCCTGAGAGGTCGTGGACACTGAAGCGGTCTCTTTCGTCACCTGCGGTCAATGCTATTGCATCCGTAAACGAGCCGGGACCATATTTCCCTCGACGCTTGTCTACAGCATCACCGACACAGGCAGCTCGGTCTTCCTCTCGACGTCCGTCTCTATCGCAGACAGAGAAGGCAACACGGCCAAAGACTGCTTCTGAAAGCATCCTCCGAAGTTTACTCTTCGTGCGCATCATCCTGCAATTCTGGCATGCCATCTGCGTTGCTTGGCGATCGTTAACGAGGCAAGAGCCGGCGCGTGTATTGGAGGAAGTTGCAGTAGAGGATGTCTCAGACGAAGAGAAGGACACTGAAGACGAGAGTAAGGACGAGAAACCTGTATCATTAGACCATCTAGAGTCGCCCTTCCAGCCAGCAATCCCACCACCACCATTGCATCCGTCACCACCACCACCACCGCCTGCAATCTTTCCTCCAGGACCACCTGGTCTTACTGTCAGTCATCCGCTCTCGGACACAACGTCTCCTCAGGAACCTCAGGCTAGTGTACAAACCGCACCCACATCTTCCCCATCTTCTCCGGCGGATCTATCTACACCACAACATGTCCAGGCTCCATCCCGCACATCAACTCCCAGTGTGGCGGCGCATAAGAAACCATTCCACCTCCTCCCGAAGACACTCGTACTGGACCTTGACGAGACGTTGATACATTCGACCTCGAGACCGATGCATTCCGGCTCGAGCGGCGGCGGCTTGTTAGGTATTTTCGGACGCGGTAACAAGGGTGCAGGGCATGTTGTGGAGGTGGTGTTGGGTGGACGCAGCACGTTATACCATGTGTACAAACGGCCTTTTGTGGATTATTTCCTTAGAAAGGTCAGTCTGCCGCGACTACTGTCGGACGATGTGTCGATATTGCCTTTAGGTATCGGGGTGGTACACGCTCGTGGTGTTCACGGCATCTATGCAAGAATACGCCGACCCCGTTATCGACTGGCTAGACGCCGGGCGGGGAATCCTGACCCGGCGCTTCTTCAGAGAGGTGTGTACCAGATTATCGATAGGTTGCCTTACTTACGCAGAAGGATGGCCCTTTCCCCCAGTCGTGTACGCAACTTCCGAACGGTTCATACACGAAAGATCTTTCAATTGTTGAAGCCGACTTGGCTCGAGTCTGTCTAATCGACAATTCACCTGCATGTTATAGTGTCAATGAAGGTTAGCGCTGTATAGCTGTGTCTATGCGTCATTCCTGAATCTTCCACTTTTTGTAGCCAACGGCGTTCCTATAGAGGGATGGACGCATGACCCACACGATGAAGCACTGCTTGACCTGCTACCCGTTCTTGATTCACTACGCTTCACGAGTGATGTACGCCGAGTACTCGGTATCCGTGGTTTCACATGACGCAGCGACGATTCCCCTCACCTATAGGCACTTCAACTTCTTGGTAGAGCATATCTTGCATGGACTTACGAAGGTGTATCGAGTCGCTATTTTTATCCGGGTTCCGTTTTGCTGAAAGTTGCATTGTCGTCTGCTGATTATAACCCCATAACTTACAACACTACCCTTGTCATTCACATCGCAATCAAGCACAACCTCAGCAAACTTGCATGTTTATTGCTTAATGACTCTTCCCTGGTGTACATGTATATGTACGTACATAGTTGCCTTGCTTTGACCTGTTCGCGTCCAAGTCCCTCTAGTCGACGGCTGACGTCGCTCATCCGACGAATGATATAAGAAATGCAGGGGACGTACAATGTCACATCATAGCGGTGATAGCACTAATAAAACACACGAAACAGGAGAAAGAAAAGGCCCGGCATTATAATGTAACGGCAACAGCAGATTAGTCAAGAGACACGTCAGGAAAGAATGGGGGAGAGGCGATGTGCATGAATGGGTATACTACATCGCCAGCGCTGCCTGTAACTCTTTGAGCTGCGCCTCCTCATCGTCCTCGAGTGCAACCGGTTGCCGCCCTGATGTACCTGTCAACCTGAATTCATACATCTGCTGCCAGAAGTACACACCTTCCTCCACTTTGCTCGGACCTGCGGGCAGATGCAATGGCACATGATCTGCACCCATGAGCCTCTCGTTCAACTCATCTTGCTCGATATCAGCCAATTCAGCCTTCAGGTCCTCCTAAAACCACCCGTTAGATACGGAAAGCTCGTGTGATTAGTATGGATGACAGACCTCGTCGATGTCCACGCCGGAATATGTGGCTGCCGAGATGGCTTCTGAGACTTCGTTCGCCAGTTGCGTCTGCTCCTGGATCTCAGCCATCGTCGTATCCACCTTGTCAATTGTTCTATGAACATACGTCAGTAGCCAAGCATGACGATATGCGCACGCCGTACAGCCTGCCGTGGATGTCCTTCAGAGCACCGCTCGCTTTCTTCATCGCCGCCATAGTCTCCGCATTGAAGCTCGCCGACTCTAGGGTATTTACCTGCATCTCGAGCTGGAAACGTGTGCCCTGCAGTCGTTCGAGCTCCTGCTCCGTCGCCTTCTTTCGTCTCAGAGCGGCAGTGGCAGCTGCGGAGGTGATAGGACAGGGTACCGCACAGTTGAGTTGTCCGACCGTCAGCTACACACGGATGCCCACTCACCAGGCTTGTTCGTAACAGCGTTCGCCCTCGCCTTTCTCATCTCCTCATCGATCTTCCTCTGCAGGTACTCCTCCTTCTTGTCTATCAACTGCAGCTGCTGCCGCAGCGTGACAATCGCATCTCGTGAGGATTGCTTTGTATCGCGGCGCCCGCCAAAGTAGCTCATAAAGCTGGCCATCATATTGCTCTGCCCGTGCGGCTCAGGTGCGGATATAGGTTGTGCGCAGAGTATAAGTTGAACACGATCTAAGGGAAGGGTAGCGGAGAAGGAGTTCGGCGCGTGAGCGTGACGCGGCGAGCACTAGCACTGAGGCCCGTTAGGTCACTCGATTGTCTCGATTAGGCAACCGTACTGGTTGCTGTGGCACACTCGCAGAGTTAGAGACACACGGGCGACTTCATTCAAAATAACGCAACAAGTACACGAGAAGGCTATGCTAGTCAGACAACAATAACTGATAGGACAAGGGGGAAAACCAGGAACAGTCGGAACAAAAGAGCAAGCGAGCAAGCTTGAAGTATCACCGATCCTTCTTGGTTTCCTCGTCCAAGTCATCGCCACTGCGTGATGTGGGTAAACCCGTACTTCATCGTCAGAAAAACACACTCACTCTTCGTCATCGCTGCGTGAGTCTTCAGCGCCCTGGCCGCTGACCACTCTCCAAGCAACCCGACAGATCATCCAGAACCACATGATCTGGATCACCTGCAGAGACGTTAGCCCAGCAAGAAGGCCGGCTGAAAAAATACGTACCTGTAGCATCGAAAGGAGGACAAGGAAGCCCGAAAAGATTTCCCTAGTCGTGTAAAAACCGTGCTCGACGTCCAAGCGTGGAGGTATAGTGTTCATAGCAGTGTATGTAGAGATGATGACGAGAATGAATAATGCATGTCGCGTTACGGCCCATGAGATCATAAACCAGACGAATGTCACATCGCAAAGGGTAGAGAGCGACAGATAGCGGAACATTTTCGCGAGCTTGACGAATGATCAGACTACGCAAGCCGACGAATTGGCTTTACTACTCACCGGCAAGAATATGTCACACCAGTCCGTGATCATCAATATCAGACAACCCACGCGCGTGAAGTTGAAGAAGTAGCTCGCGACCATGAGAGCAACTGTGATAATATGGTGCGTCATCATTTGCCAGTGATCCTTGCGACGAGCCTCAGCATTGAGGATTAGTATTTGATGACAGTAGAAAGCGGTTTGCAGGAGATAGTAGAACTTGAGAGGAGCAGCGAGGGGTATATGAGGATAACTTGTCCACACATCTATGGGATTGAGGATTTTCGTAGGTAGATTGCTGTGAACATACTACGCGAATCGTCAGGCGCGCGATTACTGCAAGTCGTGGAAGGTACTGACCACGCCTAGGGACCACAAACAGGAGTAGTATATCACGGGCCAGCCTTGTTCAGCGAAGCGGAGCACACTTCTGTGTATTTTCTTGGCCTGTTTTCGCGAGATCACCACACCGCTCACATATACGGTATGTCCATTCTCGTTGGCATACACTGCATGCCCATTGCCGTTCGCGACGCCGTTGGCCTTTCCGTTGACGACGATGTGGCCGTTGGCTTCCCCGATTCTATTTGCCACGCCGTTCGCCTTCCCCATTCCATTTGCCACGCCGTTCACCTTCCCTACTCCATTCGTCGCGCCATTCGCCTTTCCGTTCCCATTTGCCGCTGCACGCTTGGCTTGCAGGCTGAGCCTCAAATCCCGCGTCAACTTCCAACTGCAGAAAGGCTCCAGGATCCATAGACGCGCCACGTCACGTAGGACGGCCATCACGGCGATAAAGGTGATGATGAGACAACCATCTAGCAAGCCATTCTTGTAGTACGAGGCGTTCGGAAACGAGTCCGGCGCTGCCGGGGGAGCCGTTGGGTATGAGAGCGTAAAGAAAGGAATGAGATACGACGGAAGCCACTCTGGGGCCTGTTGGACGTTCATAGCAGACGGCGTGAGCGTGTACCACGTCAATGTTTCATAAGAAGTCCAAAGACGCGTCCGTTAGGATTTGAGACGCGACACGACGTCTGCAATCGTGAGCAGGCCTGTTTAACGCGTCGAAGCGAATAGTGAGCCGAACTCTACGATCGCGGAGGAGTAACTCACAGCGGACAGCGGTGAGGCAGTGGGAGAGGGTCGGAAGGAGATCGTGTTGTTGACCTTCCTGACACCTGTTCCTTAGCGCCCCAGGGAAAATTGTTGAGAACGTGTGTGCGTGCACAGCAACCCCTGCCCTGATGGCTCCGGTCCCGGCCGGCGTTGCCGACGCGCTCCTGCGTGATGTGCCGGCAAACAGCCCGAAAGAGCGCCGGAGCGTGACATGACAACAAAGAAAAACCGTGGGAAGAGAGCATATTCGGCTAAACACCCACGTCCAGATTCAGAGATTCAGGCATCAACACCTACGACGCCAACTTCAGCTCATCTTCAACCTGCTTGCTCCCACCATGTCGACCACGCAGCCAAACGCGACCTTGTACGTCCATAACCTGAATGACAAGGTCAACAAGCAAGAGCTACGCACACAGCTGTATGCGCTCTTCACGACGTATGGGCGGGTCATCGACATCGTCGCCATGAAGGGCGCGAAAATGCGGGGGCAAGCCTTCCTCGTGTTCGACGACCTGGCGGGCGCGACCACGGCCATGCGTGCCTGCGAAGGTACTGTGTTTTATGACAAACCGATGGTGCGCCATCCATCTAAGAGCCGCTGCGTTTGGAAGTCGTTGATGCGAATAAGCCCTGAATGGACGCGTCCCACAGCGGATCGAGTATGCGAAGAACAAGTCGTATGCGACCCTACAGCGCGAAGATCCCAACTTCATTCCGCCGGAGGCAGTGCAAGCGAAGATCCTCCCAGTGACTAACGGCCGACAGGCGAACGGTACGGCGGGCGAAAAGCGGTCACGCGAGGAGGAGATGGGCGAGGATGGGCGAGGAACGAAGAGGGAGAAAAATGACTATGAGGACGATGAGGAGATGGAGATTGAAGATGATGAGGAGGGCGCGAAGCAGGCCTCCGCGGACGTCGACGGTATCTATTTCAACATGGTTCTTCTTCAGGATTCTGATATGTTCCGTCTGTTGCAGCGTCAGGTGTCATGCCCACGGTCGTACAATACCAGTCCGCTCGGTTGCTGTGTACAAATCTACCGCAAGAGGTCACGGATGATGTGCTTTCTGTCCTATTTCAACAGTGCGTCGTGACCTTTATACCGGCGGCGATAGTCTTTATATCGGAGATTGTACAGATATCAAGGCTTCCAATCAACGCACGTCGCACAGTCGCCAACACCAAATGCGGCAGGTCAGAAAGTCAAAATGGCACAGGTGTTGTTCGACTCGTCGGAGCTTGCGTCGGTCGCAAAAGAGGCTTTGGATGGCTTCGCGCTGAAGAAGGGATGGGTGATGTCTGTTGCGTATATTTGACCTCTTGTTCTCTGCTCGTTCTGTTTTCCGCAATCTCATCAAGCATGCTCATACGTTTCCATGCGTTGGTTTTGTTGAAACTACAGTATCGTACACTTGTCGACGCCCGACTTTCCACACAGTCCCTCAAGCTGTCAGAGCCTTTTGGATGGCCTCACCAACACCCTTCGCAGACGCAGGGTTTTGGCCGGTGATCAGTTTCCCATCAACCACGACGTGCACCTGGAAATACAAAGTCAACGTGGTGCGCCACATTGTCATCCAGATGGACACGTACCCCCCATGGTTCCGCGGCCTTCTCATAGGCGCCACCGAGCTGCTTGATCCTGTCTTCCACAAGGAAGGGAATGTCCTAAAGCAAATTTGCAATGAGTATTGTTCCAGTACCGTAGCAGCGCTGCTGTGGACGCACCTTTACTTTGTTAACCTGTACCTCTTCGGTGTCCGAGAAGCATGTCGCCTTCCGTCCGCTGAAGATCGGCGCGCCTTGTCTGTCCGTCACGCCGACGAGCGCTCTGCGCGAGAGATGTCAGAATGCCTCATACGCCGAGTGATACTAGCTTCACTCACGCGGGTCCGTGGCAGACGGCAGACGTGACCTTGCCGGCGCGCCAGAACTCCGAGGCGAGCTTGATGTTCACGGGGTCCGTCGCGAGGTCGAGCACGGGCCCGTGCCCGCCGACATAGAAGACCGCGTCATATTCGGCGGAGTTTACTTCGGAGAGCTTCTTTGCGCTCGCGAGCTGCTTCTTTACGGTCTCGTCCTGCAGGAAGCGGACGCTCTCGTCGTCCTTGAACATCCGCACGCTGTCTTCGTCCACGGGCGGGTTGGGCCCTTTCGGAGAGGCGAAGTCGATGGTGTGGTGCGGGGCGAGCACTGCGAGCACGTATTTCAGTTCGATAGGAGGAAGTGAATCTGGCCGATGCGATTCACCATAGTACGGGTGGGCGGCCTCGGGGAGGTACCAGCCCGTCTGTGCGCCGGTAAGCGTCTTGTTGGCAGACGTGAACACGAACAGGATGCGGCCCATGACAGTGAGGTGACCGGGGATGGATTAGATAGACAGACTGGAGCTACAGAGACAACTGAGGCAAACGGTCGTTCGGAGAAACCTACAGCGTGGAGCGTGCTGTATATATGCGCACCCTGAGTGCTTTGTCAGATCACCCCTTTGCGTCATGGAGTGGAAGGGGCGAGATCGACAAGGAAGGGACGGATAAAGCTTTATTAAAGCATTGGGCGTGACTATAACTAACGTGCAAGCAGAGCATGAAAGGTTCACACCCCCTGGCGTGCGCGATAGCATGCCGACGAAGACGAAGCGCTGGTGGCGCTCCACACTTTGCCACCAGCGCGTCGGGCGGCTATTAATGGCACGCGGCGCGTTTAAGACTTCGCACGTGTGCTTCACAGCTACTTGAAGCTAAACCGGCGCGGGCTGTCAGTTAATATTTGTGTCCTGAAAATATCTCGCGATCCCGTTCACCTACAACTCGCGTCGGACGTCCGACCGCACGCCATTATCCTGTCGATCAACTGCCTCGGGCCACAAGGAGCGCATTCAATCGCCCTCCGAGTCGACGGGGAAGACTTCTGAAAGAGGTACTCTACGAGCAAGTACGGTATCACGCTTTACTACTTCACCCAGATAACGATCTGCGCACGCACGTGCCCAAGCGACGAGCGCGCGAAACGTTAACGTCCAACTCGCCGGCCACCACGCTTGATACCAACCGTTCCCGGGGCTGGATCACCAAGATACCCTCCTCTCCATTAAATATATAGAGACAGAATGTCCTCGTTCTTTGGCCTGTGAGTCCGTTGTGCTTGTCTCGCTGAATGCTCTGATTGCTATACGGCTACAGCGGCAAGACGCGCACGTTCAAGCCGCGCAAGGACGTGCCCGAGGGCACGAGGCAGTACCAACTGCGCAAATATGCCGAAGCGACACTCGTGAGTGTGCTTGCTCGTTCCCAATGTGCAGAATCTCATTGTGGGAATTACGTCAGGGCTCAGGCAACCTCCGCCTCGCGGTGAAGCTCCCGGAGGGCGAGGATGAGGATGAGTGGCTGGCGGTGCACGGTGCGCGCGTCTTTTCTCATCGTTCGAGGTTTCTACGTACTGATTAGGACGTGGGTGCAGCGGTGGACTTTTTCAACCATTTGAACATGTTGTACGGGACGGTCACAGAGTTCTGCACGCCACAAGAGGTATGTCCTCGATTAACGTTGTTCCCATTCGAATGGCAGCTCATAGCCACATCTACAGTGCCCGATAATGTCCGCAGGCCCACGGTCAGTGTGCCTTCTACACAATGCCGTGTCCATAATAGGTGACACTGGGGCCGCAGATACGAGTACCTCTGGGAAGATGGCGTGCGATACAAGCGGCCGACAAAGCTGCCCGCGCCAGAGTACGTCGACGCGCTCATGAACTGGACACAGAGCTTGCTCGACAACGAGGAGGTGTTTCCGAACAAGATCGGTGGGCATATTCCTCCTGCCTCTTCATGCTCGACCGCGTTGACCCATGCTGTCTCTTCGCAATCTGCCCTGGTTGACTCTACCCTCTGCATGCAGGCGTGCCATTCCGCAAGGGCTTCCACGACACGGTGCGCACGATCTTCCGGCGGCTGTTCCGCGTGTATGCGCACTTGTACAGCAACCATTTTGACCACATCTGTGCGCTGGGCATCGAGGGTGTGTTTATTCGTTTCTTCTTTTGGTCTTCCTTTTCTGTCTCTTCTAGTGCTCTCGATGACGCGTTGTCCGCGGGTCGTGTGGTATCATGTGCAGTGCTATAGCACCGGCAACAGTTGTATTCGTTCCAGGTTTCGAGCGCCTGGGTGGTCCTTACGCGGACATAAGCGCATCTAGTGTGGACGAGATGCAGTCGTGGTGATGCCGCGTCAACTTACATGGATGAACTGTCGTATCCGATAGCCGGAACCCGATTGCGCTCTTAGCCGTCCGATGTCGTTGTCGCTGATCTTATTCGCAGCGCACCTAAATACGAGCTACCGGCATTTCTTTCTCTTTGTGAACGAGGTGCGTCGTACGTGTATGCGCGTCGGGCGATCGCTCAAGTGTGATTGGGATGCAGTTCAACCTGGTAGACAAGAAGGAACTGGCACCTCTGGACGAGCTGAACGATGCGATTCTTGCGGAGGACAAGGGGCGGTAGTGTGTAGATATGTAGAATTTCTTGACGTCGATACCCTCTACTTTAGCTTGTACGATAACATGATGTATGCGGAGGAGAAACGGTCTAGGCCGCGTAGTCTCCTGCGTCATTGGAACGGGCGTTGCAGGGCGAGCATGAGGTTAATGGGGAGGAACGAGGCAGGGGAGCGGAACGGGCGGGGACTCGAGGCGGCTCGCAGCGATGGAACGATCGCGTGCATGACGCGACGCGTCTTGGGCCGGCGCTTGGCGTGTGCCGTCGGCTGATCAACCCAGCTGCGACTTACTCCTCTGCCTTCTGCTCATCCTCCCAGCCACCAACCACTTGAAGGCCTGGCATTCTCGGAGTAAGTATCTTCGCTCGAGTCGATGGCTTTTTGTGGGCGGCATGACATCGGAGAACGCGATGGATATTTGCACTCCACGGCACCGAGAGGATGGCACGAATGCATCGCTAGCATATCCTATCCTCCGCGCCCATGACGTTCCCCGCTGACCTTATATCTCGTTCCTGCATCAGAATCGCCCTCGTCTCCGTTCCATCTTTCTTCCTGCAAACCCTCGCTCCACCCCGCCCCTGCATGCGCCTTTCCTCTTCATAGTCTGCATCCAGCTCTCCCTGTATCATTAGATCTCTGCACCGGGTAGTACTCGTGGTTCGCCCACCTTGCTCGCCTGCCTGCATTGCCCTACCCATCGACTCATTTCCTTGCACCAATCATGGATAGCCCTGAGTGGGATTCCGTTCTTCAGTTTGTCTCCGACCCCGCCGAGGGAACATCCCCTGCGCCTGAAAAGCGCGTGACGGAGAGGTCCGCCGTTCCCACCACTCCGTCCCAGGTGCCCACTCCACCCGTGAGTCAAGGGCCTAACTCACGTCTGCCGTCGAAAAGCCCGCTAACCACCCCTATCGCCCACTGCGATCACGCGTTTGAAACACCGCCACCGCAGGACTCCAGCAAAGGCACCCCGACCGAGCTCGTCCCCGACCTCTCCTCCGTCGTCTCAGTCTCCACCACCTTCTTCCCGGGCGCGAACCTCAACCCCATCCCGCCCGACCTCATCTTCCTCTCCTCAGATGCCGTCTTCTTCTACGTCCACTCGCACCAGGTCCTCGGCGCTTCCGACAACGGCTTCCGCGGCCTCCTCCCCGCCAAGCCCCAATCGCACAAGTCCAACTCGGCCCTCAAGGCTCTCGGCCTCTCTGACGACCTCGGGCCCATCATCCCCGTCCCCGAACCTGCGACCGTGCTCAACGTCGTGCTGCACACCATATATGCGCACTCGTGCGCACACTACTCTCCTGCGCTCGACACGCTATGCGCCGCCGTCGATGCGCTCCATAGGTACGGTGTCCCGCTCTCGCGCCACTGCGCCCCCGGAACGCCGCTTTACGCACTCCTGCTCGCGCACGCTCCCATCGCGCCGATCGAGGTGTATTCGCTCGCAGCGCACTACGATCTCTACGAACTCGCGGTACCCGTCTCGAGCCACATGCTCGGCTTCCAGCTCGCGACGCTTACGGACGAGGACGCGGAGCGTATGGGCTCGACGTACCTGAAGCGCTTGTTCTTCTTGCACCTCGGCCGGATCGACGCACTGAAGCGGCTTCTGCTCCCCCCACCGCACCTGCACGCGCCGACGCCGGGGTGCGATTTTGTCGAGCAGAAGAAGCTGACGCGCGCGTGGGCGCTCGCATCGGCGTATCTTGCATGGGACGCTAGGCCTGGTGAGTGCATGTTGCTGTGTATGCGGCGATGTGAGCGGGTACTGAGTATTGGTATGCGTCAGATTTGTCCACGGGTACCATGGAGAGTGCGCTGTGTCCTCTTGGAGAGCACCTCTCGTGCGATATTTGCCAGAAGGCCCTGCGCGAACGCATTCAGCAGCTCATCTTGCAGTGGTCCGTAGTCAAAGTGCGTACCTTCCTTGCCCGCTCTATATATGCGTGTATGCGCATCGGTTCCTGTTTGCAGACCTGATCTATTCCTGCACTGCAGAGGACCATATGACGGAATCACCCGACAAATAGAGTCGTGGGACGGGAGGTTGAACGAAGAAGGAGAGTCCGGTCGACGCACGCGTCGTGCACGTTTCTCTCCTCGCCGAAGCCCGGACCCACAGACGCCGCCATATAATTTATTCTTAACGCACATCAACAGACTCGCAATGACGCGCTGGCGGGCCGCCAGACCATGTAGCATCGCCACATACACGCATCCGATCTCTCATCTGTCCGCTGCCTCGCCTCGCCTCGCACTCATCATCAAAAGCAAGCAACGATCCGTTATTCACGCCGCATCATCTGTACTACTACTACTTGTATCAACGCATCCGTCCCGTCACACCGTCGTCACTTCCCCTGGGTCTCTCGCCGAAGCATTCGCGGCGCTCGCCATCGTTTCCGGGAACCGTGTTGTTTTCCCGCTGTTGAAATGTTGGACGTTGGCCGTTGAATGTCCCATGTTAAAGTATGCATGCATGTTTTTATGTACCTATAGTAGGTTTCCGCATATGCAATACGTATAGATGTCAGCATGTAAATCGTGCGTCTGCCTGCGTTTGCCGCTGATCCGCAGGACGCGCTAGTGTCATCACTGCAAACCCCCACGAGAGCGATACGGTAACAACTCCGTTTCTGACGTGTCTGGTAATTCGCAGTGGGAACGAACGATAACTCGGGAAGAACGTTATGCATACATTCCAAGCGTGGGTAATGGTAAAGTGACAGAATGTGTCAGTAACTGCGGAAAGCAGCGATGCAACTCCAAGTCATCGATGATCCAGACACAGTGATAGTTAGCTCCCTTCCGCGATGTCCGCCCGTCGCTTCGCGCTCTTGATCTTGTGGATTTCTTCCCGCTTGCCAAAGTCCGAATCGTGCAATTCCTGAAGGTATGATATGCGTTAGTCGTTGCACGTACGGATGGAGAGCTGATCCGGGAGACTAACCATGTTCGCGAGACGCTTTGCGGTGGAGACCAGGTTGAGCTTCTCAAGCACCTTCTCTTCCTTGAGCGTCACCTCGGTCAATTTCGTCTCTGTCCAACGCGCATCAGCCACCTATCCTTCGGATATCCAAAACGCTCTCGCCAGTCTCCGAGGGGAAACAAGCACGACACTCACTGATCCGCTCCTCAACACGCAGCACGCGCTCCTCGTCCCACTCCGTCACAAAGCTCACCGCAACACCGCCTTTTCCCTTCCGCGCCGTCCTCCCAACACGATGCGTGTACTCCTCCGGCTCATCGGGCACGTCCCAGTTGACGACCAGCGCGACGTCCTCGATGTCCAGCCCGCGCGCGCCCACGTCCGTCGACACGAGCACCGGCACGACGCTCGCGCGGAACAGCGACAGCGAGCTCAGCCTCTCGCGCTGCGTCAGCCGCGAATGCAGCGCCGTGCTCCGGATGTGCAGCGTCTGCAGCAGGTGGGTGAGGTACGCCGCCGTGCGGGGGCGCTTGCAGAAGATGATCGTCGGCGGCGGCTGTTCGATGTCTTCTGGGTCGTCGGAGGTCTTGGTTTTGGGTTTCTTGGAATGGGACTTGGGGGCGGGCTTGGGTTTCTTGCCGGGCTTGGTCGGCTCTGGAGGGGCACGTCGGAGGTGGAGGGTGGATTCGGGCGGGTTGCAGAGGAGGTAGTATAGGTATGCTTCGCGGACTTGGGACGGGACAAGGAGGTAGTGTTGCTGCAGTGTCTCCACTGTCTCAACACTGTGGCGGGGTAAGCGTCAGAAGACATGGGAGCGGAAGCAAGCACGAACGTCTCGGTCATCCTGTGAATGAAAGGCTTTTGCTTCCCAGGTCTTGGTGGCGCCTGAGCGAGAGTCTCCACGGCAGGTGTCAAAGTTGCCGTAAATAGACATGTTTGCCTCTCTTTAGGTAGGACCTCGAATAGATACGATAGCTCAGGAGCAAATGTCGGCGTGAGCAGCCGGTCGGCTTCGTCAAGCACTAGGAACTTGACCCTTGAGAGATCCCATTCCCCGCTGCTACTTTTCAAATGGTCCACTATCCGACCAGGCGTGGCGACAACCACATGCGGCCTGTTCCCGAGCTCAAGAGCCTGTGCCATCATGTCCATGCCGCCCACGACCACTGCTGTCCTCAAATTCAACGAAGAACCGAGAACAGCAAACTGCTCGGATATTTGGAATGCCAGCTCACTGAACAGATGTGAGCCGCAAGCCGACGGAACATGGCCTTAGGACATACCGCGTGGGCGTCAGAACCAGCGCAAAGATACCATATGGATCGACAGCCAGCTTCTGAAGAATGGGTAAGGCGAAGGCTATGGTCTTTCCTGAACCTGTCTTTGCATTGCCTATGCAGTCCCTGCCTTGGATATCTGTGGTGTGAGCACAGGGAAAGAGCGAGAGCCATCAGACTCGCCTTCCAGCAACGGGGGTATGCAAGCAGCTTGGATCTCGGTGGGGCAGCGTATAGACATCTTCGTCAGCGGAACAAGGAGAGCAGAGGAGATTCCGAGCGAAGCGAATGTCGAGGGAGATGGCCTGGTAGATCTCGCTGGACCCGCTCGTTGAGCACCTGTTGTCCGTGGCGCGATGGACATTCGTGACGACCTGAAGCGGTCTTCTGTATCATCCCAGTCGGCTCCAAAAATGGTCTCGTGTGCAGAATGGACAGAATCATCCTCCGAGTCGGATGTGCTGCTGTGGCTCAATTTCGACCGTGAATATGAATGTTCCTCCGCTGGACACTCGACGTCTTCGCCATCGTCCTCCGAGTCTAGATCCACGCGGAGCCTCTTTCGCCCAGGATCATCTTGCAGGCGCAAAAGGTCATCTGTAGTGAGAGCTTGTCGCTTTGCGCCAGCCATAACGTATTTAGGAAGGTAAGAGAAAAGCACAGGCGGCAGCGGCAACTGCCGGTATGACCGTCGAGATCAACTTTCCGATATATTCGGATCAATCAGGTGGCTTAGGTCTGGTCTGAGTGTTTACTATTAGACGCTCGTCGTATAAGTGCAGATATCAGAGTAGAATACAGAGTTTGCAGATGCAACAACAGGCTACAACATGTTCGCTACTTATGATAAGATAAACAACGCAATGTGAATGAAGTCAGTTCTCTGGGCTATTCATGAACTGGGTAAAATTCGAGCGCTCTTCGGTATTATCGAAATTCTCCTCGAGCATCGCGCGTACCAGATTACTGGACTGGAAGTCCACAGACGAGCCTTCGTATCGATTGACAGAGACTTGGAACCCTCCTTCGTTAAAAGGGCGATAGTGGCTCCCTGGTGCTGAGGAGGGACGATGTCCTTGAGCAGCGATGGCTTCTCCTTGCACGGCTCCTCCTCGGAGGAGGAAAGGTTGAGAATTGCCTGCCAGTAGGAATGGACCGCTCGAGGTTCGGTTCACGGGCTGATATGCGTATTCACGCATCCTCTGTGTAGGTAGTAAGTCGTTGTTGTAGTTATACGCGAAGGTAGGAACAGGCGTTTGCAGGGCAGGACTGGAGATCTGTATGTGCGGAGTCTGCTATGAGCTGGGTTAGCAAAGGCTCGTGAAACTTGATGGGATCTGAGACTAACCGTGTCAAAAGTTTGGAACAACACATTTCCCGCCCGTGCTCGCTCCTCATGTCTAGTCGACGCAGAAGGAGTCACGGCGGAGCGAGATCTAAACAATTGTCCAGGAAGTGGCGTGAAGGAAGAAACTATAGACGGAGAGATCGGTACATTGTAGCTCATGGCGTTGTTGCGTTCATTGTTTCCTAAGGAACGCGGGAAGGCCTCGACGGTAGGTGACATCGACCGCTCAGAATTCGCGATAGACGGCGTACGGTGTTTGAGGCGGTCAGCAGCACCGCCTACTAAACTGCTACGCGTGGAAGATCCAGGAAGGTTCAAATAAGTTGAACGAATGGACGCAACACGTTTCTTCTGCTCTTTTTTTCCCGTCAAGCAGTCCATCCTCGCTCTTTTCAGTGACCTTCTTCGCTTTTCGGCGGGGTCGATATTTGTAGTCAGGGTATTTCTTCTTGAAGGCATCGGCTTCGCGTTTCGCTTCCTGTTCGTACGGCACCCGCTCTTGCGGAGAAAGCGCCTTCCACGCTCTTGCCGCAGCCGTACTAGCATTAGGAGGACAGCCCTCCTTTGTACCGGGGTTCTTCTTAATAAATTCGCATCTGAAAATTATCCACTTATTGCGAGGCCTGCGAGGTCGATCCTCGCGAATAGTCTCGGCGGAGGGCAAGTCTAATGCATGAGGGAAAATATTGCTCGAGCTCACAGGCGGAGCGAGGGTTGTGTGTGGTCGTTGCCAGGCGAGTTGTGCTTGACTTGAAGTGGCGTTGCTCGGTGGCGCATAGGTAGTGGACTGCGGATGTGGCAGTGAAGGCATCGGCTGAGGAGGTGGCAGTGAACAACCGCCTGCGGTTGGAGACTCGTCGAACCGGTTATGGGTCCCGTGAGCGTTTGGTATTGTGAACTCATGAGATGTGTCCACCGTGGTCAAATCGCCTGTCAAAGACAGAGCCGGTGGTGGTCTTGATGATGTGGAACCTGGGAAAGGGGAATAACGCGATAAACGGTCGAACCAGTCATCCCCAGCCCATCGGTATGTCGACGCAGAGCGTAGATCGAATGAGAAGGACGAAACATCCGTGGGCAGTGTACTCGAGCCTGAGTGATCAAAATTCGACACGAGCTGAACGCCGTCCTGCCGCGAAGGTGCCACAGGCGTGGGCACGAGGAGCCTTGTTTTCACCATGAGATTCTGCCGTGCTCTTTGAGAGAATAGCGAAGAACAATGCGGGCTGCGTGAAGGGTTCGCTGTCGAACGAATGATGATGTGGCGAAAAAAACCAGAGTTTGTGTTGTGAGAGAATAGAGGGAGACACCACAAATGCCTTATATGAATAACAAGGTGGTAAGGCGCCACAATGTGGCCCATGTCGCGTCCCACGGGGTGAGGATCCATCTCCGCACTGTCACTGTCCGCCAATTGCTTAGCGATGTTTACTCCACAATTTAATCTTGGGCCACAGGAGTGCTCCGGGATGGTCATTGACGCATGTCCCAGTTAGAGGTTCACAGCTCATAAGTGAATCCGCCCAGTGAGCTACGCACCAACCTATGGGTTTGAATCCTTTGCGACTGTCCAGACGCGAGTGCCCTTCTCTTCAGCAGTAGCCGTGGCTGATGTTGATGGCTTCAGATCCAGGACGATTTCAGCGCGAACACACCAACTTACCTATGGTGCAATGGCAGTGAGAGACTGTTCATGGTTGAGAATTCGACAAATTTGAGGCGTGTTGTACAGCCTACAACTCTCGATGTACCCGACGAAGGTAGATAAATGACTGATCGCTACAAGGACAAGCTGAGTAGCATTCTTATTATAAGCACATTTATCTACAACACCTTTCAGTCACTGTCTATCCAGGGCAAAGATATCTATACGCACTTGCTATATCATGCAGTCTGATCTATCCAGACAATCTCACTCGCGGCTTTGTTGACGCGATTCATTACAGCCAATCCTTCACGCTCCTCTTCAATTCCTTCCACCAATATCAGGTCGACGCCGGCATTGTCCAGTGTGAGTAACCCATCGAATAAGCGTTGCGCAGAGATTGCAGGAACAGATATCGGCCCAAGAAGATATGTGTGCCAAACGATCTCATCGGTAGGTGCGGTCAATCTAGAGAGGAGGGGAGAATCTGACGGTGCCAATAAACCAATTTTAATGGGACGGTTCAACTTCACTTTCTGCTTGACAGAGGCCAAGAATGACGGAATAGAGACTGGCTGGGATTCGTTCTGCGCAGGCGAAGTCCTCAATAGGATCACAGGAACAGCGGGCGAATAGTGCCGGTATTTCATTCCCGGTGTAGTGGGAGCTTGTTCCAATGCTTCATCGCGATAATCACGCCGATACACGAACACTTTGGGCTTGTGTTCAGCGGAGCCCATTTCCTGCTGGATTACTCCTTCAATGTCCTCTACCGTGACTCCGCCTGGGCGCAGGATGCGTATATTGCCATCTTCGTTCAAAGCTTCGACCACCGTGCTCTCTAGCCCAACTCCGCAAGGACCACCATCCAATATCAGCCCGACCTTGCCGCCGAGGTCTTTAAACACATGTTCGGCACGGGTAGGACTCGGTCTGCCTGAAGAGTTTGCGCTTGGGGCGGCGATGGGCGCATCGGTCAAAGCTATCAAAGCTCTGGCCACCGGATGTGATGGCATCCTGATCGCAACCGTGGCTTGGTTCGCGGTGATGATTGACGGGATCAACGCGGAGTCGGCGGGAAACAGAAGAGTAAGGGGACCGGGCCAGAAATGCCTCATGAGCATGTCATTTGTCTTCGAGATTGTGTATCCCCTGGGCAATAACTTGTGGAGCATCGGAATTGAGGAGACATGGACAATGAGAGGGTTATCTGGAGGCCTGCCTTTGGTAGAGAAGATTCGGGATGCGGCTGTCGAGTCAAGGGCCAACGCTCCAAGCCCATAGACGGTCTCCGTGGGAAATGCTACTGTCTGAAGCCTTTTGAGTTGTTCAGCAGCCTGCCATAAGGCGTACAAGGTGGCTTGAGAGCTGATCTCTGGTTCATCGGAAGAGCCAAATGTGATGGAGGACGCATCACAGTGCAAGATCTGGGTAGTTTGAGAAGAGCCTGCCATGCTGTGACAAGAGGATATAGCACGGATTCGTATTCTATCAAGAAGAGGTCTAGGAAGTCTCATATATTCCAGTCAGGTAGACGATTGACAAGGCCCAGCTGCATGGTGTGCGCAGAACGATGGCACTCATCAGACGCCGAAAGCACTTAGCGCGTTACACAATATGCCTACTGCTTAAGATCGTGCTGTCGACACCCGCTTTACAATATCAGACGAAGCGCGCTCTCACAGTTTATTGAGAAGCAACTCGCATTTATGACATGTAAGCTCCATGACAAGTTACAGAATTACAGGAAAAGAAGAGAATCGTTGGCAGATCCCGGAACCCATACATCACCACACCCTTTTTATCTGCCCCCCATCATTCTCATGCGGTCAGGATGCATACCACCTACAGGACCATTGGGAACAAGATGATCACCATTCTGCTGCGGGCCTTGCGCTTGAGAGAATCCAGAGGGTGGAGCTCCGTTGGGAAGTGCGTTGGGATTGCCACCCTGCGGTACGTTACCACTGGGAGGGAACGGAGGGCGATTGCCAGCGGCAGGATTGGGAGGGAAAGGAGGCATGCCTGATGCAAAAGATTAGTGTAACACGCAACAATCTAGAAAATGTGGACATACTCGGGGGAAAGTTACCTGGGGCGCCCATACCTGGAGCACCCATGCCAGCAGGTGCTGGACCATTCGGTGGGAAAGGGAGCGCACCTGGGGGCATCATCATTCCAGGCATCGGTGGAAATGGCGGCCTCCCTTGTAGAAGTCTTTCAGCACGTTGCGATGAATACCTTAACCGGGTACGCTCACCTGGAGGTCCTCCGAAGCCTGGGCCGCCGAATCCCATAGGTGGTGGTGCAAAGGGTGCGGGAGGCGCTAGATGTTGCGGACCAAAACCGAAACCACCTGGTGGCGGTCCGCCGCTAGTCTCGTACGCAGCAGTAATTTGGTCGATTATACTTTGCGCTTTGTCGTGTCCCAACGCTAGGAGCTCCGCGTCAGTAAAACAGTTTGCATGGTGATACATAAGATACTTACATGCATAGTAGTCCCTCACATTGGCGAGGTGGTTCCGACCGCTATTATGAGCCTTGCGCACTGTTGTGAAAGATGTGAGTACGAGAACTAACTGGGGAAGAAGCAGCACTCACCTGATGCAGAATCGTGGGTCAGAAAAACGTCGCAATAGTCGCAATAGTGTTTCTAGGGATCGAAATCAGTACTGAATTAGGAATCCAAACAAAATAACGTACCGGCATGATTGCGCTGCCTTTGTTCAGGTGGAGGTGAGCGACAAGTGACGACAAGTGACAAGCTGGTAAGCACCGTGCATCAAGCTGGGCGGAGTTTTAATCTCACTGCACGTGATTAGTATTGCCTTTCGAGCGAACGCGTCTTGCACGTCGCCATCGGCGCGTGTAACATGGACTCTACAACACCTGGCATTCAGGAACCCTTCGATCTTATCCGGCTCTCACTCAGCGAACGTGTCTTTGTGAAACTACGTGGCGACAGAGAATTGACAGGTGTCCTTCATGTGTGTAGCACTATCTCAGCCTTGTGCTATGACACTCGAACCGAACACATTCCTCAGGCTTACGACGGTCATATGAACCTCATTTTGAGTGACGTTGAGGAGACGATTATGATTGTAGACCACCCATATGAGGCACCGGAGGGACAAAGTACAGTCAACGTATGTTCTCTTTCAGTTCCACATTGTTCACATGTTCACACTGATTCCTGGCGTAGGTTGCGAAGAGAAAGATGGAGATGCTGTTTGTACGAGGGGATGGTGTCATTTTGGTAAGTTCATCGCAGACTCATCCTCGTATACATTCATATCGGACGTATTGCACCAGGTCTCACCTCCATCCCGGACATGAGAAAATTACTGCTAATATATCTTACGGCGCCGACTTCGCTGCTCTTCGCCAATCACTCTCCTCCTCACGCCTTCCTGTTCCCTAGTCATTGTATTATTGCATCATTACAAATTCTGGAACTGTTGGGGTACCGTTATCGCTGCAGGCGTCCACTTAGCAAGTCGGGTCAACCACGCAAACATCACAGTCCTGGCAGCTGCAGAGTCTGTCCGGGAGGGAGAGTCAGCCACCCTTGGGCCCGCGGTTTCCAGGCGGCGATGTGTCAGCTTGAAGAGCTTCATCGTCCATTTGTGGTCCATTGAATATCGTTGCAATACGAGCTTCTATAGGCCCTGGCATTAACGATTCTTCTAGCCTATCAGGCGTGGTCGTCGATGATGGTCGTGACTGTAGTAACGGAGGAGGCAATTCTGTAAGTTCATCATCCGGCTCCGGGGCAACTCCGCCTCTGGGCCATGTCCCATCGCGAATCCATCCTGCCATGAGAATCTTCACCTGGAGGACAGTTCGTCAGAAATGAGTCTACATCAAGCATTATGGTTCGTCCGCAGACTGCTCGACAGCAATCGTGTACAGGCAAGGGTTCACTGGCTTGTACTGAGACGTTCGAGTGCGAATCTACCGAACTTTAATTAGCGATCGGAGAGTGTCACGAACTGCACGCCATGCACCATGAACCATGCCTGTGCACGATATCTGAAGACAATTCCAACGTGACCAACACCGCAATCGAGCCCGAAAAGTAATAAACAAAGTACGAACCACCATATCAAGCGGCAACGGGATTTTCAATGGAGAGCCACTGATCAGCGCCTTCCACACCTCATTCAAGCCGCTTGTCCACACCTGATCACTCTCCGTGGCGCCATTTTGACTGAGTAATCGCTCGAGCCGTCGACGAGCGGCAGAAGTCTTCGCTTGGCGAGGAGGCTTTGCGCCCGGTGTCCACCAAAGTGCTCTTCGCGCATCAAAATAGGCGGGCCCTGGTGGTGGCATTTCCGTGGCAGCCAGACGTTGCTTAAAGGACGAACGAGCAGATTCTACTGTATGTTCGTTTGGGGCAGCATCCTGGGGTTTAAATGGAGGGTTCATCGTTGGCTGACCGACCCGAGTGCGGCGAGTCGTGCAACGCGGGTGAAGGCAATCACCAGCTGAGGAGGTTGACGTCGCCCTAACAGTCAATAGACGCCGCCGTCGTCGTCTCGATGTATGGCAGCACTAGCGTAGCAGACGTGCAAGAGTATTTCGGAATACACCCTTTATAGCCCTTTTATTCAAATCTGTAGTGGCCTCCTGTGAGCGGCGTCTAAAATGCGCTGACTAAGCAGAATCAATGCAGCTGCCCCATACACGTGCAGCCCTTCATTCTCGGCAGCGACGACGACGACGCTCAACCTCGGAATCCGAGGCTACCTTTGCTATTGCCATGGCCAGAGGCCGTTCCCCAGCACAGTCCAGTACGTCCGGCTCCGACAACGAGGACGACAATTACAATAAATCGGCCATCTTCACCCCCTCTGACACGTCTAACATCGTCCCCGCGAAGTGGCCATCTCGTGTGCAGTATCTCCCGCTCGTCTCCGATAGCCCTCCTTCATCCCCGGCTTTACGTCTTCCTCCAGAAATTCTCATTCATATTCTGAAACATCTACACTCCTGCAAGGACCTGTATCATTCTTTACTGGTGTCTCGATCATGGTGTGAATGCGCCGTCGAACTGCTGTGGTGCAGACCCAATGTCTCCAAGCTGTCCACATTGGCCAAGATGATGCGTGTCTTGTCTCGCGATGACCAGACGTTCGTATACGCCTACTTCATCCGTCGTCTGAACTTCCTCTACCTGGGTAGCGATCTGTCCGACTCCTTGCTCTCCCGCCTTGCGCATTGCGTGAGGTTAGAGCGCCTCACCCTGATCAACTGCACTTCGATTTCCGACGATGGCCTCACGCGCGTTTTGCCATGCTGCCCGAATCTGGTGGCCCTTGATCTGACAGGCCTTTCAGATATCACTGACCGGTCTATTGTCGCGCTTGCATCGTCAGCGAAAAGGCTGCAAGGCATCAACCTTGGAGGGTGCAGAATGCTCACAGATGTCTCTATCCTTGCTCTTGCTGCCAACACGCCATTACTACGCAGAATCAAACTAAGCAATGTAGACAAAATCACCGACGCAGCTATGTCGGCGATCGCAAAGTCTTGTCCACTTCTGCTAGAAATTGACCTTAATAATTGCAGACTGATTACGGACAGCGCCGTACGGGATATTTGGTTGCATTGCGCGCAATTGCGCGAATTGCGGCTCTCGCACTGCGTCGAGCTCACAGACGCTGCATTCCCTGCTCCTCTGAAGCCGGAAATTACCTTCGTACCTGGATTCCGTCCCTTCCCATCATCCAAGCCCTCGGCATCGGACGAGCTTCTTCCTCTCCGCCTTTCTCGAATCGTCGAGTTACGCATGCTAGATCTAACGGCCTGCTCGCAAATTACTGACGATGCCATCGAGGGTATTGTCACTGCCGCGCCGAGGTTGCGGAATCTAGTACTCGCAAAATGTGCTCAGATTACCGACCGCGCAGTGGAGAGCATATGCAAACTTGAACGCAATCTCCATTACTTGCACCTAGGACATGCAAGCAACATCACGGACTTATCTGTGAGGGGTCTGGCTCGCTCCTGCACGCGCCTTCGATATATTGATCTCGCAAGTAAGTATGATAATTTACAGTGGCATTAGAATGTAACTGACGTGAGCATATGACGTGCAGACTGCATACAGCTCACCGACATGTCCGTCTTCGAGCTTGCGAGTCTACAGAGACTGAAACGTGTTGGTCTCGTTCGCGTCAACAATCTCACCGATCAAGCGGTATATGCCTTAGCAGACCGATACGCGACCCTCGAGAGAATCCATCTGTCTTATTGTGACCAAATCACCGTTTTGGCGGTTCACTTTCTCTTGCAAAAGCTTCCGAAACTTAGCCACCTCAGCCTTACTGGTATACCAGCATTTCGGCGGCCTGAGTTGCAAGGGTTTTGCCGGACACCTCCGCAGGTGAGTATAACTGCTGCTTAACCAACTGTAACCCTGACGCCCGACATGTCGTGTAGGAATTCAACTCAACCCAGCGGGCGGCATTCTGTGTTTACTCAGGAAAGGGTGTCGCAGAGCTCCGCAATTTCTTGAAGGATCTTTTCAACCACATCACCCAGGAAACCAGTGAAGCCGACGAAACCGAATACGAGGACCATGTCTACGTTAACATTCCGAGCTATATCGATGACGTCGAGGCACAAGAAGACAACGAGGAGACGGAAGATGGCGAAGAAGGGGTATTGGCGGAGGTTTATACACATCATCCGAACACCGTTGTGTCTCGCAATGATTACAGGACAAATGGGGCCAACGGAGCTGATGAACACTACGCTCCGTACGATGGATCCGTTCATACAAGGCAACCGATCGTGGCCCCTAGACAATTGGTGGCGCCGAGGGGACGACGCGACCACCCTGTTGCATCCTCGAGTGCAGCCGTAGAGCCAAACTGGACTAACGGGGAACCATGGTCGTCCATCGAGATCACAGGTACCGCCCGCCGTGGAAGAGGTTTCGGTCAGCAGCCTATCATTGAGCTGTCAACCTCGCCTACTCCGAGCGATGCTGCATCGAATCGTAGTGGCGGTACCAACCAATCTACCGGTACTGGGTTCTTCCGTTCCTATACAGAAGCCTCAGTCGCCGCCGCGGCAGCACCGAGAAACGGGACCATGACTCCCGATTTGGTGTTTGCTGAGATAGGGCACGGACGAGGTACAGGACCAGGACCTAGCACGATACTCCTGCAAGGACAAATCGTCCGCGGGTCTGACGCGGCGGGGGTTGGAGTAGCGAATGGATTCCACCCGGGTGCATCCGTACATTCTCTACCACCTCCTCGTACGTTCTCGTATTCATCCGCAAGCTCTGTCCGTCTCCCGGTAGTGGACAACGACACATCGCCGGACTACCCCCATGACCCACGCGTTCTAGTAGATTCATCCAATTCGTATCAGCACAGCGCAGTCCGTACTGAAGATGTCGCCAGTTGGTCTACGGCCCAGCATGAGGCTGCGTCGCGATCGCTATCCGATTCGTCGACGACGCGAGAGTTGCAGGAGTCGATCCACTCCGCTTTAGCTTCACAGTCAGGCTTTTTCGACAATCATGAAGGAGATTCAACAGGCCGGAGCGTGAAAAGAAGCCTGAGGAATACCATCAATGCGGCAGAACAGTATGCTAGCTCCTTCCTCTTCCGCGGTAGAAGCGGAAGCGGGGCTGGGCAGGATGGTTCTGCAGGAGCTTCGAGCAACCGGGACAGCCATGCCCGTGGACATTGAGTCGATTCTTGCAGTTCACAATCACAGGTCCTAGTAGAGGTCACCCATCATAACCTGCTTCTGACACTTCGCGTACATAGCAATCCTTCTTCTTTTCGGAATCGCGCATTAGCTCTCCATGTAATATTCTGCTCTTATTCTGTACGTACAAAGCGTGAAGTACTATGGGAATCGATGATACATTCGTAGTTTTATCATCCGTACAGTACATTGACGCCCGCCACACTCGTCGCAAACGACACTTCATTTCAGCCACCAACTCGGTAGCACCTTTGTGACTACATTCAAGCTATGAACATTCGGCCAGCACGGGTACGACGACTCTCTGCGTACTGAACGCTTCCGTTGATGAGCGCTAGGTAGAAGACCTCATGGGCATGCAGGCATGCAACCTGCAGAATCTGCCCGAAAACTACACCATGAGATACTGTGGGTTACCAAACCACTTCAGTCGTCACTGTAGTCAATGAACTCGATTGTGCAGACTTGTACCATGCATTGACGTGGCCACAACTCTCTTACGTGGCGGAGGATAACAAGGGTCGGATAGTGGGGTACATTCTCGCCAAAATGTAGGTGCTTATGCACAGTCAGTCATAGCAGTGGAGGCTGATGCTTTCACGACAGGGAGGAAGATGTAGAATCTGGTGAAGAGCCTCATGGACATGTCACTTCTATCTCAGTGTTGCGATCCTACCGTCGATTGGGGTTGGCGAAGAGGTTGATGGTGCAATCCCGTACGCCGTGCTGTCCCTCTCCGGACTGGAGCATTTGCTAATCAATCATTGTCTGCTTACAGAGGAAGCCATGGCTACGGTATATAAAGCAGCATATGTCTCACTACACGTCCGCAAGTCGAACCGTGCTGCGCTGAGCCTGTACCGAGACACACTCGGCTTCACCGTGAAGGACATCGAAAAGAAGTATTGTGCGTCCTCCTCCCCATATCTCGTGCCTTACGCACTGACGATGCTCTGCTTCTAGATGCCGACGGAGAAGATGCATATGCTATGCGCCTTTCACTGAAACATCTCGCGCGATGAACCGCGTACCGTGCACGTTATTGTGTATCAGAATTGCTAGATCATGCGGAATTCATGAGCGTGCGCAGGTGTCAGCTGCCTCAATGGTGGGATATGGTCCGAACATCAGTCTGACGGCATGCTGAGGATGTGACTGAGCCAATGCTGATGGGCTGATATCCGAGAGCCTGCGTCTGAAATACTGTTGCCCCTTGGATACTACATCGTCCTAGTCCCGACGACATGAACATCCGGCCAGCAAGGGTGAGGAGGTGGCCCGTCGTGACTGGCCCTATCACGGATCGCTGCATATTTTCATATGCTGATCATTCTCACGGCAGACCAGCGACTTCATGGGCATGCAGGCGTGCAACCTGCAGAATCTCCCCGAGAACTACGACATGAGGTTATGTAGGCAACGTTCCGTCTCGGTACGGTCATACTACTTTGAACGATCTCACTGGAGTCAGATCTGTACTACGCTGTGCGATGGCCCCAGCTATCGTACGTTGCGGAGGACAACAAGGGACGGATCGTCGCGTACGTACTGGCCAGGATGTGAGCGCATGCCCGTAGCTCGTGTTCTGGCCGTCCTAAACTAGGCGGTAGGGACGAGGACGTCCAGCCGGGCGAAGAGCCGCACGGACACGTCTCCTCTATTTCTGTCCTTCGATCTTATCGTCGCCTTGGACTGGCGAAGAAATTGATGGTACAATCCCGTATGCCACTTTGTATGCATTTCGCCATCGAGACGATTGTCGCTTACAGTCTTTGCTATTGATATAGAGGAAGCAATGGCGACGATATATCGTGCAGCATCTGTGTCTCTGCACGTGCGTAAATCGAACCGAGCGGCTATCAATCTGTACAGGGATACCCTGGGGTTCCAGGTGAAGGAAATTGAGAAAGGTTACTGTACGTGCCGGTCCAATCACGGGTTGCAGCGATGCCGTTCTCAGGTTTAGACGTGTTCTGGCTTCAGATGCAGATGGAGAGGATGCATTTGCCATGCACCTGTCATTGAAGGATGCCACGAAGTAATTTCTTTCTCAAGAAAATACAAGGTATACGGGAAATAGCGTACACAACAAGTCAGAATTCTCCGAGAGAGAATTGAATATCAAGCAGCTGCTCAAAGACGGAGACTTTACGTCGTCTCGGAATGTCAATCGAGTAGCAGCTGCTCTTCCGTTTGCTCCGCTGGGACATGAACTGCAGAGTCGGCAGCGGGATGCACCAATTCCTGAGACTCGCTCGCAGTTTTCCTGCTGCATACGACAGCTTCTCGGATGAACTGCGCCGTCGTGAGGCCGAGCGCGTAGTATCCGTCGTTCGCCTTGACGTCGAACATCCCCGTATGTGCTGAGACCTCGTCGGCCGCCAGCGAGTTCGTGGCCTGCACGAAATGCTCAACCAGCTGGGCAGGCTTCTTTGGGAGCACGATAAACGTCCGAGGAGAGGGAGAGGATGGAGGTTTGGGCGGAACGAAGGTGTAGAAACTGCCAATACAAACATGAGCGGAGACAGTCGGTCATATAAAATGGGATCGGATCTCACGCCCTGAAGACCACGCCCATCTCTTCTTCGATCTCCACGAGCCTCTGTAGTCGCCTTTGCAGGGAATTCTCGTCCAAAAGTGCCCTTACATACTTCATGTGGTCTGTGGCCCATTTGTATCCCCAGTCGAGCTCTTCCCGCTTATAATACGCGGCTCCCAGCGCGGCGCCTGCCAATAACGCACCGCCGACCGCATATGATCCAGGCGCCCACTTCTGCCACATAGAAGTTGATGCTGCTACATTAGGGGCAGCAGTGATGGCTGCCCTTGATGCAGTGGCGGAAGGGGGATTACTGGAGGTAAAGGACCGCAAGGTGGTGAAAGCATCGCGTACGTAAGAGGCCGCTTGAGTGACACCGTTTTTGAAGACGGCGGGGTTCAGGCCTAAATACTGACATAGAGGCTGAGTAAAGGAGATCTCAAGACACGCAGAATTCGAAACCTACTGGGGTATCAAAGGAGATGCAGGCTACGATGTTGGGCCACAGCGGAGCTAATGGATCAGGCCGAGTGCGCACAAATTCAATCAATGTATCTGCAGCAAGAAGCCCTCCCATGCTATGCAGCGGGCAATTTCCCATCAGCATAATCCCTTACAACTGAATCAAAGAGTAGCTGACCTGTGGCCGCATAAGACAATCTTTGCTTTGCCTGCACCTCCACCCAAGCCGCTGCCATTTTCTCGTTGTACGGCTAGGTTCGTAAGCCAATCTGCAAAGCGGACCACTGCTTCTGCCTGTTGTAACCCTTAATGAAACCCTCGAATAGGCAACAATAGCCAAGCCCACAAGTTCTCCTTTCGTCTAATGGTTCTTCCATTGAGCTACCATTGGATATACAGCCTATGTGGGTGCACCAAGCTCACTTCATATGCAGGGAATACGACACACTCAACGACCGCGTCGTGAATCGTTTCGGTCAGGATATGTTGCAGCCTCTCTGGAAATCTAGCAAAGGTGTTCTCGCTCCCCTTGAAACTGTTCAAGTCCGGGCTATGAGCGCATTATACTGCCGTCGAAAGCAGGGACGTCTGACCCGTGGATGAATACAACGAGGACCAGGTCGGAAGGGAGCGAGGAGGCGGAAGCCATGGCTGCGTGGGAAGAAATGCTGCAGCGCCATACCGAGGAATCGCCGAACGTGACCTCATCAAGATCCATGACCGATCACGCTCTGCGGCGGGCGCTTACACGCTTGCCCACGACGACCATGTTAGCTGCTTCTCCTCCTCCGTCCAACGCTACATCCCTGCTCTCATACCTAGGTCTTCCAGACGACTACCAGCCGTCTCCCGAGACAAATCCGGTGGACTTTTTGAGCAAACATTACCGCCAGCTTCCCCCAAACTTGCTAAGCTACTTCTCGGCCAATACTACCCCAAAGCAGCGATCAGTCATCTCAGCCATCCGGAACAGACGGCTCCAGTATACAACATCAAACCCACCAGAGCTTAGTCTCACTTCGGCTAAGGCGACATGGCCGACCCTGTGGCCCGGGCGTGAACCGCCTGGTCGCGAGCAAGGGGAGGATGAACGAACCTGGGCAGAGCAATTCTTCATGGGCAGTCTGAAACCTCACGTCGGAAAACTGGGCATGCTGCTCGGTGGATACGAAGAGGAGCGCGAAGCTGAGCGCGTACGGACGCTTCGTAGAAAACAAGCAGAGGAGCTCGAGTCTTTGCCGGAGGAGGATGATAGCTCGGACGAGGAAGAGGATGAAGAGCCTCCGGAAGAAGAGGAGCCGCCAGAAGATGTCCAGGCGCTCTTCCTGCGCAAAATACGGGAGCGCTTCATCTACGGCTTCTTAGAGGTACGCTTAGTTCGAACCTCATGCTGAGTCGGCGGCGATTCAGAGACGTTTTCGTCATCTGCAGTCAATAGACTATGATAAGGTGGATTGGGATGAGACATGGGATGCATATAACGACCGGGATGTGGAAGAGCGATGGTTCGATGACGAAGAGGAGAGCATCTCGATGCCTCCCACCGTGCCTGAATAGTGGCTATCTGACAAGCTCTTTTGTCACGCGGTCGTGTTCCCGGAGTTGATTTGTTCCGTGTTTTTTTCTGTACTTTCCTCAGCGTGTAAGTTATGTGAACACGAAGATGGATATAAATACGAGTTCCCGCGACGCGCCATCGAGCTCTGCTGATTGTCCCCCCACCTTCGAAAGAGGATGTCTTTGGTTCCTAAGTTGAAGTTGAACACAGGAGCGTTGATCCCTGCCATTGGTACGAAATGACACCATCTGTCGCTCAAACGATGTTCTGATTGCACAATCAGGTCTCGGCGGCTGGAGTGGTACCACTAAGGAGCAGCATGCACAAGCCACCCCTTGGATGCTTACTGCGCTTCAGGTCCGTTTGCAACAACCCTAGACCTTGCTCACGTCTCTCATACCTCTCTACAGTCTGGCTACAGACACATCGACACCGCGTGGGGATACGGCGAGTCCGGACCGACTGGCCACACTGCTAAGCAAACTGACATTACCCGCCACAGGAACTGAGAAATGCGTCGGCGAGGCGATTAGGAAGTCTGGCGTCCCGCGCGAGGAGATTTGGATCACTACGAAGCTTCCGTGAGCATTCATCGTCGGTAAAGGCATAGCGAAATCGCTGAATGGCTGTGCAGTTGGAACCACCCTGGGCTCAGGACCGTTGAAGAGTCGCTCGATGACAGCTTGAAGAACCTAGGCACTAGCTATGTGGACTTGGTATGTGCTTCATCTTATGAGAATGCATGAGAAGCGGATTTCGCTAACTCCCGTCCAGTATCTTCTCCACTGGCCCCAGGTTGTTGACTGGCCTGGTAAGGCTTGTACCCAGTTCATTCTCGGAATTGACCCTTACATGCATACACGTCAGACGAGGGTCCAGACTATTCCGGTCCTGACAAGATACGAGAAGATGCTCCCACTTTCAACGAGACCTGGGCGGCAATGGAGGAGATGTATCACAAAGGCAAAGCGAAGAACATCGGCGTGAGCAACTTCTCAGTGAAAACGTGGGTGTCGTCCCACCGGCCCGTCCAGCACCTGTGTTGTTGATTGGCTTGCCCCTTGATAGGCTTGAGGAGCTGCTCAAGACGGCGAAGGTGGTCCCTGCTGTGAATCAAGTAGAGTAAGCATACCATTTGACGAACCTTGAGAAGTTGTTGAGATTTGGGCGTAGAATGCATCCGTACCTCGCGCAGCCCGATCTCAAGGCTTATTGCGACGCGAAAGGCATCCTCTTAACCGCATATACTCCCACTGGTGGGAATACCTCTCGGTTCGGCCGCAAGTATGATAACTGATTACTTCTGTTGCATAGGGTACGGCACTGTACGTTCCGACCCGACGATTGTAGAGCTCGCACAGAAATACAAGGTGTCTCCCGCGCAAATCATCCTCGCATGGCACGTCGCGCGAGGTGTCGTTGCTGTCCCTAAGAGTTCAAACGTGGAGAGGCAGAAGGAGAACATCAATGTGAGTGCTTCTGCATTGTCGCATTGCAAGATCCCCATTATTGACCCGCGTGTGGGCTAGTTGCCGACGCTGGAGGAGGAGGACTTTAAGCGGGTCACGGCGCTTGACCGTGGTGAACGGCTCTGCAACAAGGTCGATGAGAATGGCTATATTTGCGGGTGGCCGCGCGAGAAGATGGGGTGGTAAAGGCGTGCATTCAAGGAAGGAACAAGTGTACAATATGAAGGTCTTCTATCTTCGCCACACAAAGTTTGTGTCTTCTGCGGACTAGGCTTATTATAATATAGTTTTCACAGCACATTCCGCCTCGCTTGATCCGTTTTGACATTCTCTCTACAGCGGAGCCCACTCCGAGAACCTTTTATCTGAGGTCATCAACTGAACTGCAAGAGTAGACATCATCTTGTTGACGATCATTCATGCTAACAAACCCTCAGTGACAACCAAAAAATACATGGCGACTGAACTAATGAAACGCGATAGCATAGAGGCAACACTTCCGCCGTCCGGTACCTCTGAAGTACTGGAACCATGAGGTAGCCAAGCATTCGCATACCCTATACCCAACCCTGCACCCCTCCGCGATGCTTGATCGTTTCAAGCCTATCAATTGTGCGTCCAGATCCAAGTTACACGCTATCCTCAGTGCGTGTTGTTGCTTGCCACCCACAAGTCGCATGTTTCCCCCGTGCCCAGGATCCGCTGACGCTTGGGTAGCTATATAGCCGGTGGACGCCCGTTTAGATGCGATATCGCAGCGCGTATCTCACAGAAATGTCTCCTGTACGTCGTGCCGCAGTCGTCATGGTGCATAAGTAGACTGATGGGAGTGCTCTAGGTGAATGTGACACTGTCTCGGTTGGATGGTCTCTTCATTGCCAGACTTGCAGAGCAGGCGGAGCGCTATCACGGTGCGTTTTAATGCCATCACCGCATGCCAATGCTCACACAGGGACGGTTAGATGTGATTGCGCAGATCAAAAGCATCGTCCATTCTACCAACGCCCAGCTCACCTCGGATGAGCGCAATCTGCTCTCTATCGCGTACAAGAACATCACTGCGAGTTTCCGGACAAGCTGGCGCACCATTGACACTCTGCAACGGAACACGGTTCACCACTCGACGTGGCAGCAGCGGCAGCTCATGCAGCGGCAGAAGGAGAGGATAGAGCAAGATTTGATCGACACCTGCAAGGACGTCGTCGAGTTGCTGGAACGCTTCCTGATCCCCGCGGCCAATCCTGGAGAAGAGAAGGTCTTCTATTGCAAGATGTGTGTATTGTCTGCTTATCTTCGCTTCAGGATTCTAACTACCTTTGTCGAAGGCGAGGGGACTATTATCGTTACCTGGCAGAGATGTCGCGAAGCCAGACCCACGAACAGTATGCGGCGACTTCTCTCGATGCCTATAAGTTCGCATACAAGCATGCTCTCAACACCCTCGATCCCGCACATCCAACGCGGTTAGGACTGGCACTTAACTTTGCCGTTTATTACCATGACATTCGCCAAAGTCCTGAGAGAGCTTGCTTCCTCGCGAAACATGCTTTCGATGAAGCAATGGCGGTTGTCACCGACGTCTCCGTTCACCCTCAGAGTCTGGAAGACTCGCTTACGATACTTCACCTTTTGAAGGATGATCTGTTGTTGTGGGCGGGGGAGATGACTGTCGAGTCGAAGTAGGATAGAAATTATACGTAAACACGTAGAACATTATCTTAATCCGTAACTCTCAACGGCCGCCTGGCGAAATGGCATCGCGTCTGACTACGATGAAGCTTCTGCTTACGTAATATCAGGAGATTGTAGGTTCGACCCCTACGGCGGTCATTGTTTTTTGCACACAGATTCGCTGCGAGTTTTTTTCATTTGTGTTACAATCTCTCTAGTCTCTTTCGTGCACCCATTGTGTGCGTGTGCAGATAGCGTTTGACATTCTGTGATCTCTGTATGATCATGCACATGGTAAAGGTATTCTAAGTGCATTTTTTTATACCTGCTTTACATTTGTAAGTACTCCCTTTAGGTTTGTAAGTACCCGGTTTAGGTTTGGGAGTGCTTGGTTCACTTGGTTTGAGACCTGCTTCATCTGCCATCCCATACTTCCTCCACACTGAGGCATGGGTGAAGTGGGGTATAGAGATGCGCAAAGTACCTTCCCATTCTTCCACTCCATGAGTCAACACTCTACCCCGCAACCAAATGCAGTCCCCTGGAGACAATCTGGATCAGTGCATTGATTTAAATTTAAGCAAGAATATTACCTGGCTGCATCCTGACCCTGAGACCTAAAGATGCCAGATAGATAAAACCTCCAGTAAAATATCCCAACGCTACAATCCCAACCCATCCTAAAGGAGTATCTTGCTTGTCGATGTGGATGGGTGCTCGACTATTGACAAGATATTCTCTTCCTTCCAGGACCAGAGGGTCCATCCCACCAATCATTCTTGCACCTGCATTCTCCTGATTCATCCTGTCATGCACTTTTTCAGCATTTGCGTAAAACTGGGGATCTATGATTTTGAGCGACGCATTCATGCGTACAGCCAGTAGGTCTTGTGATTCCAAGATCTCGGCAGATTGCACAAATCCAGTTCCAGTTCTGAGCATATCCATGCTGGGTGTAACAGGACTAGTAGACTATCTGGCATATGAATGTCATGCTTAAGTAAAAAAAAACCTTTATACTTACAGGGTGACCAATTTGATGCCAGCCTCGGTTCGACCCCTGCGGCGGTCATTCATTTTAGCTCCATTTTGATAATTGATGTAAGCGTTGTTGATTCTCTTTTGTAATTTTCCTGAATTTTTCTGAAATTGTTTGAAGAAGAAAGAGCAAGAAGAGGAGGAGGAGGAAGGGGAGGAGGGAGGCGTCGCAGTGATCGCGTCAAGTCGCGTCCGATCGTCCAATCATTGACAATCTCGATCCCACGTCACGACGCCTTACATCGTAATCTCCTGTCTATTCGAGACGAATGTTGAGGGAAAGCGAAGGTATAAATTTGCTGAGGCCGTAGAAGAAGACTACACTCAAGTTCCTACCAATCGCAGGGTTGTTCATAGCAACCTTCAGGGCGTTGTTCATGAAAAAAGCATTTTCAGACTTCTGCGTGGAGTATGTCGCACATGTGATATGCGAAACATCTAAGTTGCACGCCGCAATAATGATGTAGGCGACTCTATTCTACTACTCTTCCTTTGCGTCATCGCCTCTCGAACAGCGTGGCTCACGTTGATGAGTTGCGCGTTATGATGGGTCGGAATGATCGTCAACCATTTTTTCTTTGCAAGGAGTGTCTTGCGCAAACGTCGCGGCTACCAGCATTGGGAACACGAGTGTAGCATCTGCGAATACCTGACCGTACCGATTTAGCAGATCGTGTTTTCGACAATGAATGTAAGCAGTACTTTGACCGACTCCGCTCCAGCTCGTATCTTACCCCACGATACAGCTTCGTCTGGCCGGGCACCTGAGTCTGAGCCGTCAAACTCCTGACCTGTGTTCTGTCGAAGGGAGGTGAGTAAAACACATCTGGCGGGTTAGGGAGAACATACAATATATACGGAATAGTCCGCTCCGTTACGCTAGTGCGCATGGGTCTTCTTCGTTAGTCCCGAAACATGTTTAAGCAGCAAGAGCTCACGATCAACATGGCATTTGCTATTTGATGCTTGCAAACACCTCCTCCTAGGATGATCATTCCTGCCTTTTTTGATGTTCGAGACAGCTCGTTCAGGGCGCGGATATCTTGGACAATGTCCACAATCAAACCAGGGGAACGGAATGAATGAAAGTACATCATGTCGCCCAATGACCCGTCAGTAAGCGCAGGGCAGAACACAGGGATATCATTCTGCACGATCGTCTCAGCGCTGAATTTACAGATCATGTCAAAGGTAGTCCGCCCACTTTGTAAGCCCAGTAGTACACGCTCTCCTCGTTGTTGATCTCTTTGCCCAGCCTTCTGATGAATGAGCTTGGGCACCAAGATACACCAGTCTTCTTTTGCTCAGCAAGCATGGTATCTAGGATGGGCATCATCCAATCTTCGAATTTGCAGTAGTTGTCATTTGGTACAATTAAATTCCCAATGCGGTTCATGCCTTTCTGTCTGAGGTCGGCACCATCCAAGTTGAAGTCCGCTAAGTAAGTCTTGCCCAAACATTTGATGAAATCCTCTTCAATCCCACCTGCCGTCGTCACGATCGCTCGGACGTGCTTGTGTTTCACAAGGTGCAGGATCACTTCGCGTAAGCCAGACGAAATGAGATTGGATGTATAGCCGAGGAAGATGTTGCAGCGCGTCTGAGCTCTGACCTCCGGGGAAAGGTACTCCTCTGAATCGTCCTCGGCTATAGGCTCGTCAGACAAACGCCATTTGCGCTAAGAGAGGTCGAATGATGTTCATGTTGTACGTCCAGCATTAGTGAGACGTACCATCTTGTTCACAATCTCTATCGCTTTAGCCAAACTGCTCGCCTGGAAGCCAATGCGTTGATAGCTGTCCAACAATTGCTGCAAAGAGATTGGGTGATCGAAATTGGGTCCCTCCACAGAAATAGCATTCTCGGATATCGGCTCTGAGGGCTTGAGGACTGCCGCAGATGCACCTGAGGGAATGGCAGCAGTCATGCGTTCGCACGACGCAGTAGTGAGACACAGTACGAACGTAGAGGTAGAGAATAAAGTTGGCTCAAAGCGAATTGAGCGTCACGATCGAATGGGGCCGGAGACGCCGAACACGGCGCGCATTAGTGAACGACTGTAATACAACCTCTTACCCGCCGTTGCTTTGACTGCGCAGACGGCGTCGACACCTCCTTCAGCACCTTGTCGGCTGACTAGACGATGGACGCTGCTCAGCTCGAAGGAGCTGCATCGATACCATTGCCTATTTCCCCCCCTCCCGACCAGACCCACTTTCCAGCGATCCTTCTCGTCGACTCGGTGCAACGCGATACATCAAATGAAGACCACGTTGGCACTACGGACACGGTCCCTGTGGAATTGGACGCGCCTGGAGACGTTAATGCTGACGCTCTGGTCGAGCAGTCGTCAGACGCAGATGCTTCAATAGAGGAAACAGCTCAGATTGCGTCGCAGAATGATGAAGACCACTCTGTTCTCAGGGCCGAAGAAGATAAGGCGGAGAACGAGGTTGAAGACCTGGGACATCTGCAAGCAACAGAGCCACCTGCGGACGATGCTCAGTCTGTCCCTCCCACTCCTCCTGCCAAAATCATGTCTGTTGCTTCTCCGCCTCGTCGGGACAGTTTCTCCGCTCCTTCTGCGCATAATGGGACTACTGACGCACCAATTCCTGACCAAGAAGTCAAGCCCTCAATTGGCCATCCTCCTGCTCGACCGACCCCACCCTCGAGGCCCGCGTCGGCTGCATCTCATAGACGTTCTCTCACACTTTCTCGGGGACGCACAGTCTCAGTCGTCTTGATCTCATCCGCCCTTGAGACTATCGCAGCCTCGAAGGAAGCAAAACGCTCTGCGCCATTGCGCGAAAGCGCTCACCATGCGCTGGAAATGCTGAAAGCCGGTATGGGTGGGGATCGCCCTCGCGAGATCTTCGAACCGCTACGCCTGGCATGTGAGACTCGGAGCGAGAAGCTGATGATCGCCAGTTTGGACTGTATCTCGAAGCTCATCTCATATTCATTCTTCGCTGAATCGTCACCGGATCCGCGAATCTTGCCTTCACCGCCTCCCTCTCCTGCTCTCACATCGCGGAATTCGATGTCCAACGGGTCACATACCCACCTCCCCTCCATCTCTCTGGTCGATATTGTGGTTCACACAATCACATCCTGTCATTCCGAAACTACGCCAGAGACTGTCTCATTGCAGATTGTGAAGGCATTATTGGCTCTCGTATTGTCTCCGACAGTTCCTGTACATCAGTCTTCACTGCTGAAGGCTGTCCGTACAGTCTACAACGTCTTCCTCCTCAGTTCGGACCCGGTTAATCAAGCTGTAGCGCAGGGCGGGCTGACGCAGATGGTGAACCATGTATTCTCGCGGTGTAAGCTTGATTCTCCGTCTCTATCCCGTAGTGATTCTGGCTCGAATCTTCATTCGAAGGCCGAATTCATCTACTCAGGACCGCGCTCTCCACCACCTCGGAAGTCCACAACTTCAATGCCGCCACATAGCCCCCCAGCCCACCCAAGACCGTCATCTGTAGCTCCATGTTCTGCCGAAACTGAACGTACGGCATTTTCGCTGGCAAATGGCAATGGACACCACACACCAGAGTCCATGAATGATGATTCATCGACGATGGTGAATCAAGAGGAACATATGGGTGAACAATCGGAGTTGCACATGAATGGCAGTGCACCCGAGCAATCGCATGATGTTCCGTATGTACCCAATCTAGATGGCCATTGTCAAAATGCTAAACCGGTCATTAGAGAGCCATCCGAGACTGCTGCGAGTGAGACCTTCCATGAGAACGAGGCATATGCTGCACCTAGGCAATTGTCGACAAACGATCTCTTCATCAAGGATGCGTTCCTCGTATTCCGAGCACTATGTAAGCTCACCATGAAGCCGTTAAATACTGAGAGGTACGACATCCACACCATCAACTGCATTTCGATCTAAGAGTGCATTGCAGCGAGCGCGATCTCAAATCGCATGCGATGCGATCAAAGTTGTTGTCTTTGCATCTAGTGCTCAGCATACTCAACTCGCATATGGCTATTTTCGTCTCGCCGTCAGCTATCATTTACTCAAGTTCTACGCATGAAGCCACGCCTTTCGCGCAAGCTATCAACCAGTACCTCTGCCTATGTCTGAGTCGCAATGCTGTCAGCCCTGTCCCGCAAGTCTTCGAGATTAGCGTCGAAATCTTCTGGAGGGTCATCTCGGGCTTGCGGACAAAGCTCAAGGTCTGTCAGATTTGCGACGCCTCTATGGCATCATGTACAACACCATTACTTATCTAGTGATGCGACATTGCAGAAAGAGATTGAAGTGCTTCTCCACGAGATCTTTATCCCGATATTGGAGATGAAAACCTCTACGTTGAAGCAGAAAGCCGTCATTCTCGGGATGCTGCAGCGACTGTGCCAGGATCCCCAGGTGCTTGTCGAGATCTATCTAAACTACGATTGTGATAGTGAAGCAGTGGACAACATATATGAGCAGTAAGTGTGCACGATTGTGCTGAAGCACCCTTATCATGCTCATGCTTGTATGACTAGCCTCATGAACATCCTCTCCAAGATTGGAACGGCAGCGATATCACACACCCATCAGAAAGGAAATGAGCCAACAAGCCCTACCGTGACTCCTCCGTCCAAACCTCATCACCATACTTCAATTCCTCCATCCCTAAGCACAACTTCATTGGTGGGACAAGGATCTCTGGATACGTCCTCGATGGGACTGTCAGAGCAGCAGCTAAAAAGACAAGGTCTTGAATGTCTCGTGGCTGTCTTGAAGTCATTGGTAGCATGGGGTACCGCGGGTGCACTATCTGACAACGCATCTGATACGAATAATCGAAATCTGCCTAGTGAAGACAGTGGTAAAGACAGTACGATGTCGGATCCCTCGCTTGACGTCAAGAATGGACCTCCAAGCGCAGACCCGACCAGACAGTCTACGCCGGACATTGGGGATGACCCCGGCAAGTTCGAGAGTGCTAAGCAGAAGAAGACGACCTTACTAGAGGGTATCAAGAAGTTCAACTTCAAGCCGAAAAAGGCACGCGTCTTTCTATTTGTCCAACGGCTGATCCTCATTTTTCCTAGGGCATACAATTCTTCATCGAGACGAGCTTCATTCCAAGCAACTCACCTCAGGATATCGCCGGATTCATGCATGAGACTGATGGCCTGAGCAAGGCTATGATCGGCGAGTACCTAGGCGAAGGGTAGGTTCACTCAACGTCTATTGTATCTCGTCTGATAATCGAGTGATAGCGACGAGGCAAATATTGCAACGATGCATGCTTTTGTAGACATGATGGACTTCCGCGACCTCGGGTTTGTCGATGCCTTACGGACGTTTTTGCAAGCTTTCCGTCTTCCTGGCGAAGCGCAGAAGATTGATCGCTTTATGCTCAAATTTGCGGAGCGTTACATTGCCAACCAGTCACAAACTCCTTTCGCGAACGCCGGTATGATTTATCGGATTCATCGTCTATCAGTGATTAATAAGGAGAGCCATCGCAGACACCGCATACGTTTTGGCTTATTCGATCATCTTGCTGAATACCGACGCTCACAACCCTCAAGTCAAACGCCGCATGACTTGCACAGACTTTATCAAGAACAACCGTGGGATCAATGACGGTGCTGACCTTCCTGACGAGTTCCTCTCTTCAATCTACGAGGACATTGTTTCCAATGAGATCCGTATGAAAGATGAGGTTGAATTCGTTCCTCTGATTGCTATGCCAGGGCCTGGACTCGCCAGTGCTCTAGCCAATGTTGGACGAGATCTGCAGAAGGAGGCGTATGTGTTCCAATCGAACAATATGACGAACAAGACAGAGGTATGTGTCCGTCCTCACGTATTTTTGCTGCTGAAACCATTTGAGTTTTCCGTTAGGCCTTGTTCAAGACGTTGATGCGATCGCAGCGCAAAGGTTCGAAGTCTAGCGAGCAATTCTTCAGTGCTTCGCATTTCGTCCACGTTCGTCCAATGTTCGAAGTAGCATGGATCGCTTTTTTGGCAGGGCTTTCCGGACCACTGCAAGACACGGATGATCTTGAAATTGTCGAGCTATGCTTGGATGGTTTCAAGAACGCTATCCGAATCGTGTGCTTCTTCGATATGGAGCTTGAACGGAATGCGTTTGTGACAACGCTCGCGAAGTTCACGTTCCTGAACAACTTGGGAGAGATGAAGACGAAGAACATGGAAGCTATCAAAGCGCTGCTGGATGTTGCCGTTACAGAAGGCAACAATCTGAAGAGCTCCTGGCGGGAAGTATTAACATGTGTCAGTCAGCTGGAACACATGCAGCTCATCAGCAGCGGCGTGGAGTTGCCCGATACTGGTCGTAAGAGGTATGCATTGTATTTTCTAAAGCAGCACTTGCGCCTTCTCATCTCAGCTGCTAGCCGCATTCGCAAGCCCCCTACTGAAGAATTAGCGAACGAAAGCCGATCAACGCATATTACAGTAGCGGCAGATATGGTCTTTTCGCTGAGCCACTACTTGTCAGGGGTATGACAGGTCCATTATTTGCCTTGCCATGTCTAACCTGCACTTCATAGATTGCCATCGTCGACTTCGTACGAGCGCTATGTGACGTTTCATGGGAAGAAATCCAATCATCGGGACTATCGCAACATCCCAGGCTGTTCAGTCTTCAGAAGCTTGTCGAGATTGCGTATTACAACATGAATCGTATCCGTCTTGAATGGTCCAATCTGTGGGACATTCTCGGCGAGCACTTCAATCAGGTGAGGTGCAATGCCGCTGATTAGTTATACTAGCTTACATTGCAATGAAGGTCTGCTGTCATAATAATCCCCACGTTGCGTCCTTTGCTTTGGATGCGCTGCGACAGCTAGCAATGCGTTTTCTGGAGAAAGAAGAGCTGCCTCATTTTAAGTTCCAGAAAGATTTCTTGCGTCCATTCGAATACACCATGATCCACAACTCGAATCCAGATATTCGCGATATGGTACGTTGGACTGCATAGCCGGTTGGGGCCTTCTGACATCACATCGCGCACAGGTCCTACAATGCCTGCAACAGATGATTCAAGCACGGGTGGGCAACATGCGGTCGGGATGGCGGACGATGTTCGGTGTCTTTTCCGCGGCCTCTAAAGTGCCTACAGGTATATCTTTATTTATAGCAACATAGTTGCGTCGCTCAACTCTTCTGTAGAACGGATCGTGAACTCTGCCTTCGAGATCGTGACTCGATTGAACAAGGAGCACTTCTCCGCGATTGTTCGACACGGCGCCTTTGCGGACCTGACGGTTTGCATAACCGACTTCTGCAAAGTAAGCAAGTATCAAAAGATCAGCTTGCTCGCCATTGCAATGTTACGAGGAATCATCCCGATCATGCTCCATTCCCCGGAGTGTCGACTGAACGAGCCTATCGACGATGCTACTCGTAGTGTAGACGATCCGATGATCAAGTTCTGGTTCCCCGTCCTCTTCGGGTTTTACGACGTTATCATGAATGGAGAGGATCTGGAAGTACGGCGGCTGTGAGTTTCCATGCCATCAATGTCGGTGACTGTCTTCTCACTTAGCCTTCAGCGCTCTTGACTCGCTTTTCACGACCTTGAAGACCTACGGCAAGACCTTCCCTGTGGACTTCTGGGATACCGTCTGTCAAGAGTTGCTGTTCCCTATGTTCGCCGTACTCAAGTCGAGCCAAGATCTGTCACGGTTCACGACTCAAGAGGACATGAGCGTCTGGCTATCAACGACCATGATTCAGGCACTACGAAACTTGATCGACTTGTACACGTTCTATTTCGAGACATTGGAACGCTTCCTTGACGGACTGCTGGATCTCCTCTGCGTGTGCATATGCCAGGGTTCGCCATTTTGTTCTGACGTCGTGATGTTCGCTGACTGCTTGTCTTAGAAAATGACACACTTGCACGCATTGGTACCAGCTGTCTACAGCAACTACTGGAGAATAATGTTCAAAAATTGAGCGTTGCTCGATGGGAACGCGTAGCTACGACATTTGTGAAATTGTTCAGAACTACAACACCGCATCAACTCTTCGATGAGAGTCTTCGCGTTGAGATTGATGGCAACTCGGACATGCCTGATTCGGCAGGTATGAGAGTTGAAGTCGCCCGAACACGGTCACGCTTACATGCGATTTGCAGAGCCTAATGGACAAGCAATCGTGCCTGCTCCACTCTCACCTAACGGCGATCAGCCTCAAGGCGAAAACAAGGTCACTCTCAATGATCGTCGGCGCATATTCAGACAAATCATCGTAAAATGCGTCCTTCAATTGTTGTTGATCGAGACAACCAGTGACTTGCTCAGGAACGACGATATTTACAATACGATACCCCCTGACCAGCTTTTGCGCTTGATGGGTGTGTTAGATCAGAGCTATCAATTTGCGCGGTCATTTAACGAAGACAAGGAGCTTCGTACTGGGCTCTGGAAAGTCGGTGAGCACGGTCGGAAGCGTATGCCTTGCTACGTGGCTCACTAACCATTATCACAGGCTTTATGAAACATTTGCCCAATCTGCTCAAGCAGGAATCAAGTAGTGCCGCTACTCTGGTGCATGTTCTCCTGCGCATGTATTACGATACACGCCCTGAGCACCAGGCAGCGAGACCACAGGTCGCTGGTCGACTGATGCCGTAAGTTATACATCTTGCGTGTGTAGACTCGCTCTCATCAGGCGTCAGCTTGGGACTCGGTGTATTGGGAGACTTCAACAAGTTGCGCGTGGATTCGCAGCTGAAAAACATCGCCGCGTGGACACCGGTTGTTGCGGAAATCCTGCAAGGTTTTGTCCAATTCGACGACAATGCGGTACGTGATAAGCATCAACAACGCCTACTCTTCTTAATATTAGAACATCCAGTTTGCAACGTATCTTCCTGCTATATACCCTTTGGCGACCGGATTGCTGGCGAGAGATGTGTCACCAGAGGTCCGAGATGGCCTGCGAGAGTACTTCATACGGGTCGGGTATATACAGGGCATTATGGAACGGGATCGGGCGTGACGGACTTCGTAGCATCTACCACTTATCATTATGCATGGCTTGTGTATATGGCATCCCTCGGTATATTAATGCATCTATCCTAGCATAGCAACGGTGAGCATGAAAATTCGTATACAAGACAAGTCCGGATCAACGCTGGAAACCGTATCCTCCACCCAACGTGCCACTACCGTTCATCGCTTGGAAGCCCCAGCCCGTGGGCTGGACGGTGAGCGGAGATGCTAGAAAAGGTAAATTAACCATTATTGCAAATCGCAAAGAGAATCCGTGTACTAACGGTTGACACGTAGAGCATTATACTTGTCTGTTGAAGATTCGTGTCAATTATCACGTCATCGTCCTACTAGGATAACATACCTGCACTCTGCGGCGACGAAGAGTTGTCTTGAGCGAAGGTCCCGCTCTTCATTTGGGCAAAGACATTCGCAGGTGTAGTGTTCGCTACGGTTGACTGAGTAGGTGGTGCAAGCGGGGGAGAGCTGATACCATTGTTGAATGACGGCATGCTGCCAATTCCGGGGTTATAGCCTGTCGCATCTCGAGTTTGCATGAGCCTTCACGTGCGAAAGGCAGAAAAGTGCAGATACTTACTGCTCTGAATCTGTCCAAAGCCACTAGTCTGGAATGAAGGCGTCGATCCAAAGCTTCCACTAGTGGGAGCACCAAAGTTGCCACTGGGCATGCCCGTTGGCTGAGACATAAGTGGTCCAGATGAAGGGAAATTGTTGCCTACGAACCCCGTCGGTTGAGGCAACATCGGAGCCGAGGCTGAGAACCCTGTGTTCTGTGGCAAGAACGATTGGCTAACACCGGAGAATCCTGTAGGTTGAGGGGGGAGGAAGGATGGTAGTGGCGGTGGTGTCTGAAAAGGAGACCGTGCGCTCTGCGGTGGTGTCTGGAAAGGAGACTGTACGCTCTGCGGTAGTGTCTGAAAAGGCGGCTGTGCGCTCTGCGGTCGTGTAGGTACGAAATTGTTGAAACCAGTTGTCGTGGGTATCAACGGTTGCAATAAAGTCTGATTCGCAGGAACGGGGGCGAGAGGGCCGCGAGGACCGTTGGTCAGCTGAGCTGTTTGAAGTGATGGTACCATGCCCGTCTGCTGATTCTGCAAGTGTTGCCCCATAGGTGCGGGAGATGGACCCATACCTAGGCCTGACTGATAGCTTACTGGAGAGAAAATAGGAACGGAAGGAGCGCGCTGAGGGGTCTGGATCGCAGGGCTCTGTGTAGTACGCAGTTGACTAAGACGTGCCAATTGCTCGAAAATATCGTTGTCGGTCTTCGCTAATGTTGTTCCAGTAGCTTGCTGAGAGGTAGTACTGGCAGGAGCTGCAGAGGCAACAGGTGGCAGAAGTGGCGCAGAAGGTGCGGGAGGCGCAGAAGGCGCCCTGGGTGCAACAGCCGGCGGGGTGGGCGCAGTCGGTTTCGTTGAGCTTGGCCTGTTTGTCCATGCGTCGTCATCAAAGCCGCCGACAACAGGAGCAGCCGAGCTGGATCGCGATGGAGGCTGCACAGACGGCGCTGGAGCGGGAGGAGCGACAGCAGTCGTAGTCTCTGGACTGCCCACCTGCGGAGAGTCAGTACGCTGAATCTGATCTGACGCGGTCGTAATTGACTGCAGGACGACATTGGAAGGCGGCGTGCTCTTACTCGGCTGAGGACGGCCCCTCCGCATTGAATTGTTCTTGAGGGCCCCATTTGGTCCCGCAGCGAAGAGGTTGGGAGGCTGGCTGCGTGTCTTCTCACTGTTCAATCCGCTCTCTTCAGCCTGCAGCTGCCTCGCAAGCTCCTCGTCGCGGCGCATCTGCTCCTGTGTGACATCCGAGGAAGACTGCTTCTTGAGCTGCCGCTGGTCAATTGCCTTCTTCACACGGATGATATCGCCTTCGCGCAACCCAAGTGTACGCATTGTTGACTCTGTGATATCCGGCAGGATGGCCTCATCAATCTTGTCCCGCTCAAAGGAAGATGCATAACGCGTGCAATCATCCACATCACACCCGGCGTTGAGGAAGAAATCGAACCAGTCAACGGTCGGCTTCTTCGGCGTCGACGATGCTGTGCGCATCGTCTCTGGTAGCAGAGATCGTCTGCGTAGCTCTAGCGGTTCGTCATCATCATCAGCCTTGCGCGAAGAATCAGACTTCTTCGCTTGCTTCTCGATGTACTTCAGGTCATCTGCGGACATCTTCTCCGCTGGGACCTCGATGACGACCCCATTGATCTTGTGCAGGCGCAACTTGCCATTTTTAAAGCCTAAAAACGCCGCCTCGACACGGAACTGACCTGTTCGGTCGTGCCAGACACGCGTGCGATCTGGAGGCGGGCCGCGTCTCTCGATCGAATTGCGCGACGAGCTAGGCGAGTCCCCATTTGTCTTCTTACGTTGCGAGTCCGATGATGGGCGTTCTGCCTCCTCTTGCCCCTTCTTCTTGCGAGAATCCGAGGAAGGGGCGGCGGCGGCAGCGAGAGCATTTTCCTGCTGCTTTGTACGCTCCTGCTCGCGCCGTTTCCTGTCAACCTCGGCGGCAGCAGCGGCCGCATTTGCACGTTGTTCAGCCTCCTTCTTGCGCTGACTCTCAGCACGCTCGCGCTCCGCCTGTTCGCGTGCCTTCTCCTGGCGCTCTGCCTCTGCGCGCTCCGAGGCCTCTCTTGCTGCAGCTGCATCTTTGTCCTCGATGACCGCTGCCGAAGCGCCCGTCTCTCCGTTCACGAGCTACACTATTGTTAAGAAATGGTACGCGACGAACAGCAGATGACGCACCTCGACATATTGCGCTGGAACGACGCCCTCCCCACCGGATGAGTTCCGACACTTCCACCAGTCATCGCTGTCTCTTTCAAGAACGTAGAGACTCTCGCCTTCCACAACGGATAGTTCATCTTCTCCGTCAGCGACGAAGTCATAAAGCACCACGCCCAATTCACCGGGCGGCTGTTCTTCTTCGTCCCCGTCATCTGACGGTTCTCTTGGAGGTATGATTGCAGGCTCAGCTGCATCAAAGTGCACAGCTTTCTGCGGACTGCTGCGCCGAGCCAACGGCGGGGACTCCGGCTCTGTCGTTTCTCCAACTGCAACAGCGGATGGGCCGGCGGTGCCAGGGGTGGAGAGCGCCCGCGAGGACTTGAGCTTGGCCATGATTGCCTCTGCGATGTCCTTTGAACCGGCGTGGAAGTGTAAGCCAATGGGCTCGGCTCCTCCAATATCGATGTGAACATGCTTTGACTTTTCCAGCCGCACATCTTGAATGTCAGCGGTTTGCCATTTCTGCACAGGTGTCTGTGAGAGGGAAGAGGTTGAGGATACAGAATAATGAAATCACGCGTATAAAAACAGACCTTGTCAGACTCGCTCGCGAAAAAGACGGCACCATTCCCGACGCCCAGCGTACCCTTCTTCTTCTTGCCTTTCTTGTCGACCTCTGAGATCGCCCACGTCTGAATGTCGTCAGCCTGCGCTTTCGTTGGGACCGTGGCTACAAGATCAGCGGGGTCCACGTAGGTGCTCACTGGACGTGATGGCTAATTGACTATCTGTGAGACAAGACAGACGACATCGAGCAGAAGCCATACCGATGGAGGAATAACGATCTGTGATAAGGCAGGCGGTGCAGCGGCAAGCGTGCTGGAGGCTTCTTCACCATTCACCTGGAATAGCCGACTTATACAGTTCAATTCAGAGTGTGATCGCTGGGACGCACCTCCTCGACATAGTTCCCCGGCACATAGCCGACTTGGGTATCATCTGATGTCTTCCGTACCAGCAACCACGAGTCATCCTTGTCATAGACGTATAGGAGCTCCTCCTCCTTGATGGTCAGTTCGGTGGATTGCGTGGCCTCGTAATCATATAGCGCTTTGACGACGGAGATATGCTCGGCCTAGTACGGACATGTATCAACGATGGACACTGTTACGTAGAGGTCAGCAACCCACCTCGTCCATATACGCCTTCGGGACCATCCCAACCGACCCATCCCCCTCTTGCGATTCTGGTTTCAACTTGACTTTCCACCAGCTATGATGAGCACTGTTCAGCGAGAATGATATTAGCCGTGGGATGTGAGACTCACTCCTCGTCCGTGCGCTCGAGAAGGAGGAGGATCTGACCCTCTTTGATGGCCAGCTCATCACTGGCGTCTGGCTGTGGTTCATAATCGTAGGAAGCTTTGAGAACGGCGAGATATGTTTCCTGGTCAGACATCGGGAAAGTGAGAGTCGAGGAGCTGGGTCAAGCTGCAATGCGAATGATCGTATCGGTTGCCGGGGTCTCCACGCGCCTGAGCCCCCCGTGTCCATTTTATGCACACGGCCCGCCGCTTGCTGGCCTCGAGTCTATCTCGTTCTCTCCAATCTTGCCTAGGCGACCATCCCAGCCGTATTCTCAAAGTAGCTATAGATGTTCCCATTCCATTATCTAGCTAGCCATCTGCTTGGCGCGCCCGCTCGCGGACACTGATTTGGTGGTCAAGATATCAATACATGTTTTGTCCCACGCATATCTTGGTCATTCTGCGTTTCCTTTCGACAACTAAGTTCAGCGAGCCAGCTTGTCATCTTTTTCGGACGATTGCTGGGTAGATGCCTCTAGGTTATTGTTACTCGCGCGATGCAATGTCCTGCTCCAGCTGCTAGCGACATATTCTATCCTGCGGTCCCAGCGCTTGAACAGTTCCCTCCGAAAGCTATACCCATGGTCGGCATGGAGTCCAGCATGGTTGTTCCAGCATCGACACGGTCTGGACTCTGTACTGTTGTTGATTGGAAATTCTCGTGATCTTGACTGCAATTTACAATCTCGCCAACGATGCTCAATTAAACGTCGAAGCTCTGGTATTTCTGCTCGCGTACAGGTGATGTGACCAACGAGCAGTTGTTTTCATGTATGGTTGGTGGCTGTTGGTGGTCAACCTATTTATTTGCCTTTTCTAGGCCTTACAGGTTCTCGGTCCATGACAGAATGCAGTGTTCCTATCATTACTGGAGTCCTCTTTCCTTCGATGCGTAGCACTATCATGGCCACTTTGATTCAAACTCTCTCCAGTTTCATCCTTCATGGACGATTCAGTTACAGAATTGCGAACCTAGCCCACGGGATCAATCACTCAGTGATTTCCCGTCCTGCCTCGCGGGCAAGCGGAACAATGAGGACATACCGAATCATCATCAAATAAAGCGCGTAGATCAATGTGTTCTTATGTCCCGATGGGTGTTGCGTCAAGGTGCTTATACAATACAATTGCTTCATCGCATGCGAGGTGAGACCACATGTCAGACTGTACTCCAAAATGTGTTCTCCCCGCTGTTCAACCCGAGATCTTATTTTATATCAGCTGATATTTCACTCGTTGTCCCACGTCGCTTTGGCTGTCATCGCCGTTGCTCCGGTAACATGACTGACGAGACACCATCGTCTTTGTTTTGAGCTCTGCACTGCTTTTCTGGCTCAGCAAGCTCAGCACGTCCAAAGTGACCTCGCCTTGAATGTGTGAGTCGCGATCCGCATTCAAGGAAGCCGTTTCCGGACGTTGACGTCCCCGTCCGCTCTTGCGCAGCCCTGCACGTGCGGTCAGATCATCACTTCAACTAGATATCTCTACGAAAGTTCTGACAAGGTCGGTGAAGCGGGTGGGCTGTGAGGGTATAGTCGTCAGGGCAGCTAGCAACGGATCAAGAACTTAGTTTCTTCCCGCGATCTGTCATGTGAGGTTATGTTGCCGTTTTCATTCATGTGAGAATTATAGGATCGTACAATGTGAGCCGTCGTCTGCTTTGCGAAAACCCTTGCAGATGAACAGGCTCGTACCGTATATCGGTATGCAGGTGATGTGACATTACATATATCATGATGGAATATAAGCTTTCCAAAAGGGCATATAACTAGGCTGACTGCTGTCAACCAGTTCATTATCCACAGTCCGATCGCCTCGAGGGCGATGACCATGCCGGGTGCTATGTGCAGGTTAGGGAGCCAATGTGAAACTTGAACGGAGAAAAATGTGAAATTAGAACAGGACGGCGACGAACGGCGCGAGAGTGTGGACAGAGTTTGCGAAGGACAGGGCAGAAATTGTGCCACGCTTGACGACGCCGCGAAAAAAGAAGACATTCCTCGATGATATCAACAAGCGCTCGAGAGCGGGCAAGAAGATAGGTCTTTAAGGTGCGTTGTTGTGCGGGTATCAGGAAAATTATGTAGTCGACATCTGAATAGTGAACCCTCGAAGTTACCAGGAGTCTATAATATAATGAAATGTGCTTTTCGAGCTCCCGGTGGGAAACTACTTACGTGAGCTCACCCACCCGATCAAGCCTGACACCAGCAGGCTACATGTCCATGCTCTGAGTCCCCTGGCCTCAGCGGCCCATGTACTCTGCGAACTGTGAGAAGCTGCATCGATTATGTCCGCCAGATTTACTTCCGGGCTCGGATGATTGGCTAACGGTGGCACTCTAGCAGTAGAACCATTTTCTGCTTCTATTGGAAGTCCGAGGAATGGCATGTCCATATCGAATTCATCCTCGGCCTCTGCGGAGGAAATAAGCTGGGCGTCGGGTTCCAAGACGGGCTCATCAATCGCAGAGGACAAGACTTCTGCCTGTGCTATGCCGCCGAAGAAATCCGTCACCAGTGTCTCTTCCAAACGACGATTGAAGAGGTCCGAGCGCACGCCCGCGTGTGACTCAATCTTCTTGAAATCATATGTGTCGAACTGCGCCGGGAGGAAAAACCGTCAGGCACTCTGCGACTCAAGTCTGGATACAAAGAAGACCTACGAGGTCTTTCATTGACGCCTGGCTTGTCTTGTTAATTCCCTCCATGAACTGGAGGATGTAATGTGTGAATTTGTCGATGACAGCCACGCCAATTTCATAGTTATTCTCATGCTACAATGGAGCCCAGTTGATGGAACAAACGCTCAGAAAGATCGCGGTACTCACAGAGTAAGAATTCTCATGGACCTCGGAAGATCCCGTCGCAAGGATGTTGGGAGAGTAGAACTTTGAGAACATGCTGTTGGCCTGACAAGTGTCGATCATGAACAATATTTCATTGTAGCTGAAAACAAGCGGCGTCTCGTCAACCTTGAAATTTGACACAGCGACGACAGGCCTACCGCTTCTTTTGCCACATCTGCTCGAAGGCATCAGCGATGTCGAACGCACTGATCTCTTCATTGTCTTGGAACTTGAGGAATTCGTCACCTCCGTGCCCCGTCATGTAAACGAAGATATTGGATCGATCGTCCGTGAGTAGGCGCTTCGAACGGGGAACGGAGGGCTCCATACGACCTATACAGAGCATACTTTAAGTACTCACTGAGTCCTGTCAGTATACAAAGACTGCGGCGACGGACCCGTCAACACTCTGAGGAGATTCTCGACCGTCACCTCATATCCCCTGTAGTCCACCTCGATATTGTCTCCATACAAATCGAGATGCCGGTCCTGGTTTGCGTACATGCAGCCGGGGAACTTGTTTCGCGGATTGCACGCCGCGTCGTCAGCGAGCATCAGGATGATGTTTGAGTCTGGAATCCCCAGCCGCTTCACGGTGCGGTACCTGCACGGCTAGCATCGTCACCGAGTCGCGTGTCACCGATAGGTGTGGCATGCACGTACATCCCTAACGCATTCGCCATGTGCTGCCGATGCTATGAGATCTTTCTGACCTTTCGCAGTCCAGAGAACGCACTCGATAGTTGAACCAATATCGCGACGAGCATACTAGGACTGCCCAGTTATTCGTATGGGCCGATCCACTGTCTTTCGCAGGTTGCGATGCATGATCGCTTGGGAAAAGCCCGTCCGCTGTGGTATCTCTGAGCCAGCTAATGATGCACAAGGCCGCGAAAAGAAGGAGACGAAATCGCAGCATGCAAACACCAGGCATATCGCGCGACGAGCCTGAGATCCTGACGTCCTGACGGTGCAATGCAAGGTTGATCGCAGTGTGGCGCTGCACAAACGGAGTCCTAGACGCCCATCGAGGTTACAACCACAGTGCAAGGACTTTGTTTTTTCATTTTTGTAGTTGGCACCTCAATCACACGTGTAGTACGTTTCTGATGTCTCTGTGAGAGATCATTTACTCGTGTTTTGGCTCTCATTTAAAAAATCTCGTTCCCCACTTTTCGTGGAGAGATCGCGGGTGCATTCAATCCGTCGACTGCTGTCTCTTCCCAGGCATAAATTTCGACTCTGATCTTAAGGCTCACCCTTTCGTTCTCTGTCTCCCTCGGTTATATGGTGCTGAATGTGTTCTAGACTCGGACCGGCCTGCGGACGAGCGCAGAGAGATTACCTTTTCATGCAGGCCGCATATCTTTGTGTTCCATCGGTACGCACTTGCAGCAGCCAATCGACTCAGACTCCTTGGCACCACCTACAGTCATAGTCCTATACCTTCACCGAAACCATCGATCGCGACTCCGCGATTCGCGAGCACTGCTGCAGCTGGCTTGCTGCGCGGCTACAAGCCAACACCAGTGTACATGTCATATCAGCGCGCATTTCTGTCCCGGTGTCTATGGGCGCTTGCCCCTCTTCGCCGCTTTGCTGGTCCCTTGGCTCACCATCCAAGCACACAAGTTTCTACGCAGCATGGTGGCTGTTCCAGTAGCTGACTGTCTGGATGCCTAGCGGTTCGTTGTCCCGTTTGCCAGCCGCACGCTGACTCACCCCTTTGTACGCCTCTCACGGCTCCCAGTGCCAATTGAGCCATCCTGCACCTCTATCATGATCTCGTTTTCCTACAAACACGTTCCACCCTGCGCGTCACTGCCACAGTGCCTCTTCTATGCAGCGCAATCTCGCTCGCATCTCATCTGCCTCGGCAGCTACCCCGAAAGCCAAATCCATCACTGAGACTGCGCTGCGGGTCACCACCGCGCATTCGTCATGCGATTCCGAACTACAGAGCGTAGTCGTTACGTGCGCAGCAGCAGCAGCGCTTTCGGCCTCTATATTACCGATCTGCGCGCTCACCATCACAGAGGATGAGAGTGTATGCTCCCGTACGCAGTTGCGCAAGCCTGTATGTGCGGTCAGATCGTCGCGTCAGCTGGATATATCCAGGAACGCTCTGACAACGTCGGTGAAGATCTCATGTGAGATGAGATGCGGAATGCGGGTGATTTAACATTAGATCATGATGGAATATGGGCTTATAGACAGGCCCACTATTCCTCACTTCACAATTCACAGTCCGATCCTTCTACTCAGACATGTCTACTGCAGCATCTGAAGCAATCGCTCTACTGGAAGAAAGGTGTGTCACTTCACGTAGTTGGAACTATCCTGCATTGAATGATGTACAATTAGTTTTCCGATAAACTATACCATTATAGCCGGTGCAGGCCAGTCGGACATTTCTCGCTTATTACTGACTGATCGTTGACGATTTCCATTCAAATAGCACTCATATTCTTCGACCATGTCATTGCATTTGGCCATGAGGTCCAGCTATTCTGGGGCGAGCGATCGTTCTCTGCATGCTTGTTCTTTGCCAATCGGATGCTTGCACTGGTCTATGCTAGCATTTCTGTTTGGAATGTCATGAACTTTTATACAGTAATGGTATGTTGTTTAACATCGCCTCGATGGAATGTATTTCGGATTTATTGATATTGTAGAGGAGATTTGTTCCCAGTTGCCATATTTATCCGTGTCTGACTGTCATTATCTCGTAGCTGTATGGCAAACACCCTGTCGGGCGATTTGGTTTCCATACTCATTGGGGTAATCTCAAATAGTAGGCTGGTATGCTTCGTGATAAATCATCACAGCTCAAAATGTAGCGAAGTGATTACCATATTACGAGTATACGTCGTGACAGGTGGCGACCGACGACCTGCTATGCTCCTCGCATCGATGATGGTTTTCAATGTGGTCGTAGGTTTCTACACTGGTACGCTTCATTTGATCGCGACATATTCCTGAGAGACTTATGACGAATTCACGAGGAGAATTCCGCCAAATATTATATTCTGTGGTCATATTGGATAGGACAGCCATATGCATCCAGTCCTACACTTCAACTTCAGCGCAAGACATCGCTACAAAGTGTGTAAGCCGGTATCCTCAATAATATCGTACTTGCTGATATGGTTCTCAATAGATGTGAGTCTGAACTTTAGAAAGCTTCTCCCACACTTCTTTGATAATCCCGCTGCAGTGAGAATAGCCAATGACGTCGTTGGTATGGTCGCCGCCATCGTGACGCTCGCAATTCTCTGGCGCAAGCTATATGTTGAACATAGACCAGCCATTGCTAATCTCCTGTCAACGAGAAATCCGTCGCTTGCTGCGTTGCTACTCAGAGACGGTATGACTATCGAACAGTGACTATGGATTTCTGAGCTCAGATAGCATTTGCGTCCACCATCTTCATAGGCACGATTCAACTGACGTGAGAAGTGGAGTCGGAAACAATTTGACGACATCTGAAGCGTATCATTAGAGCACTACTATTACTGGACTTACTAGTGACCATATTGGAATTCATGAACTTCGTAAGTGCATGTTCTTTCCGCCCACGTCACATCTTCTGGAAGATGCTAATCACTCTGCCGTTCATAACAACGGACATGGTAGAGTGCTGCAAATGTTGTCGCTTATTTATTGGACTCGTGAAGCAATCTTCTCACGTTTTCTCTACTAATGACACGCTGACAATTTTACAGATAATCTCCGGTCCTGATCTCTCGTGTCCTCCTCAATATCCGAGCCGCAGCACGCTCCACACGCGGAGAACAGTCCCAAACACCCTCTTTCGTACGGTCACGGCGTGGGCTCCAGACACGAGCTGACGTCGAAAACATGTCGTTCGGAATAGACGTCCTCAGCAACGCTGAACAACCCTCAGAGAGCGATCGCTCTCATCCGTAAGACTCAATGAGACACGATCAAGGCATTGCCGAACCGTACAGCACGACAAACGGTGTTGTTACTGCCGGCGATGCTCAGCAGGACGTCAACGAGGAAGAGGTGATGGACGATGTAGAGGAAGAAATACAGTCGGATGGGGAGGACGACGAGTAATGGGAGAGAATGGGTGTCCGAGCCGTGTTGTCAGATTCACGGTGATTGTGCGTTTGTTTGCTATTTGTGAGTGGCACGTCAGCCTTCGTATGCTCCGTCTCATCCGGCTGCGTTTCGCAGATCTTCTATGCAGAATTCTTCTGCGTTTGCTTTTGTCTTCGCTTCCTACGAGATGGCCGTTGGCGATTCAAGCCTCATCAAAGGGCTTCGTAACCAACCTCAGCAGACACATGTCGCGCTATAGATCTCATTTAATATGTTTCTCGTTTATTTGCCCCTCTTGATGGTATCTGTCATTACTTTCCTGCGTGCCCGTTTCCTGAGAGGATCACTCGAGCCGGCAAATCGCACGATACGTCTCCCCCTATTGTGCAATAGTCGTCAAGCTTTCAAAATTTCAAGACTGAGGGCTGCTCCATCTATGAATACCTCCATCGAATCTCGATATGACTCTTTCTGCATAGTAGCGTGACGTTGACTAACCGGAGTACCGTATTGCAGACCCGATCGAGTACGTCCGATCGCTGTTGCCCTCAACTTTCGGTGAGTTGGCATGCCAGCCAAATAGGCAGTATACGAACCACAATTCCTTCACACACCTGCTTAAGGCCATAGATGTGAATATTCTTTCAAAATGTTATCTTGAGGATGTACTTTACGGTAATAAGGAAGGGCAATGTTCGACCGTGGTACTGTACGGATAGTAGGTTCTGTAGTCTGGTCATCAGTGAAATGGTTATTACAAGTTCATTACAGCGCTAGCTGCCTAAGATGGAAGTCGACTGAAAACTTGCAGCCTCGGGGCCGCTTACAAGTCACCTCCATCTGCTCCTGCCATCGTCTCAATCGTTTGTCTTTCCTTGCTGATCTGTCCGATATCCCATCTTTCTATCGCCACGATGAGTAGACTGAACGCAAATGCTTTCAGCTTTGTGCCAGGACAGGGTTTCCGTTCGCCACAGCCTGCTCAGCCCGCTCAACCTCCTGCTCCGATTGAACGGCCACCACAGACAGAAGCCCCGCCCCCGCCTCCAACCATCTCACTGAACATCGGCGGATCCAAGCCTACCCCCCCTCCTTCTGCTTCTCAGCCTACCCCCGCTGCTACCCCGCCTCCCAAGCAGCCAGAGGCGCCCAAATCTACACCATCCGTCCCTGCTGTTCCTGCCGTATCCGCTGCGAAGTCTTCTTCTCATTCAGGTTCGAGGTCGGACTCGCCAGCTCCAGCAGCCGCTGCAACATCGAAAACATTCTCTTTGGCAAAGGCGAAGACTGATACCGCCGCGATCGCGCAGGAGGTGCAGGAGCTGGCTGATGAAACGACGCTACAGGACCTGTACGGCAGCAGTGCGTGACAAAGGTTGATGTGTCTAATGACCGTCGTGCTCATTGGGTATATTTTCTGCTACCAGTCAAGGAGCATTTAAACATAGTATTCATTGGCCATGTCGATGCCGGGAAGAGTACCATGGGCGGCAACCTCCTATATCTCACAGGAACGGTTGACAAACGGACGATGGAGAAGTACGAGAGAGAGGCAAAGGAAGCAGGCCGTGACTCGTGGTATCTGAGCTGGGCACTGGATTCAACACCTCAAGAACGGTCGAAGGGCAAGACGGTAGAAGTGGGCCGTGGCTACTTTGAGACCGACTCTCGTCGTTACACGATCCTCGATGCGCCCGGTCACAAAACGTACGTTCCGTCAATGATTTCAGGTGCCGCGCAGGCGGACGTAGCAATCCTGGTCATCTCCGCTCGGAAGGGCGAGTTTGAGACAGGGTTTGAGAGGGGTGGACAAACGCGCGAGCACATCATGTTGGTCAAGACTGCTGGCGTGTCGAAGGTTATCTGTGTCATTAACAAGATGGATGAGCCTACGGTCGGATGGTCAAAGGCCCGTTTCGACGACATCAAAGAAAAACTGACTCCCTTCATACGTGCCGCCGGTTTCAGCATCAAGACAGACGTTATCTTTATCCCTGTTTCGGCGTATACGGGTGCCAACCTCAAGGACCGTGTTTCGCCTGACGTTTGCTCATGGTATGGGTGAGTTGGCTCGAAGCTCTTTGGAGTCGCAAGCTATGTTGTACTGATCGGGCGTATAGAGGGCCATCGCTTCTCGAGCAGCTTGACACCATGCCGATGGTTGGTCGCAAGATCCATGCACCCCTTATGATGCCCGTCTCCGAGAAATACAAAGACATGGGTACTATCGTCGTGGGCAAGATCGAATCTGGCCACATGAGCAAGGGCGAATCGCTTGTTCTCATGCCAAACAAGGACATCGTTGAAGTCTCCGCGATCTACAACGAAATGGAGGAGGAAGTGCAGTCTGCATTTTGCGGCGACAACGTGCGCGTCCGGCTGCGCGGCACCGAAGACGATGATATCAGCCCGGGCTTTGTTTTGACCAGCCCATCTAAGCCCATACACGCTGTTCGCCAATTTGAGGCGCAACTTGCGATCCTGGATCACAGGAACATCATTTGCCCCGGATACTCAGCAGTCATGCACGTTCACACGCTTGCTGAGGAGGTGACACTATCGGTGCGCCAGATTTTACATAATAAGCCTTGCCGGCCTCTTAACCGGTTTGTTAGGCCCTCTTACACTATTTCGACAAGGCAACAGGTAGAAAGTCAAGAAAGCCGCCACAGTTCGCGAAGAGAGGTAACTCATACTCTTTTAGAGCGCGTGCGTGCCGGAACTGATGATGCGCACAATCTCAGGCCAGAAAATCGTCGCTTTGTTCGAAACGCAACAACCCATCTGCGTTGAGCGCTTCGTAGACTATCCTCAGCTTGGTCGGTTCACTTTGCGAGACGAGGGTAAGTGCTCTAGGACGTACTATCCTTCCCTTACTGATCTAAGTAACGGTATTTAGGGAGAACAATCGCCATTGGCAAGGTATGACCGAGAGGTGTTCGTAATCGGTATATAATACTGATGAGTCTTCATTTGCAGATCACAAAGCTCATCGAAGGCATACCGGAAGAGGTTGTGGATGGAGTCGCGAACCTCAATGTTGCTGCCGCTGCACAGGGCTAAATATAACAGTGTAGATGAAATTTGTACCGTGTAGTACCTCATTCATGATTATGTCGCGCGTAAAAGCAGTGACTGATTGTACAATTGAAATAAACGAGCGGCCTGTGTAATCAACTATCGTACAAGTGAACAACTGCAAAGCTTGCAAAAAGGAGTGAATTGGTGCGCGCCGGAGGAGGCGCAGCGAGAAAAGGCAAAATAGGTCATCGACGGGGCCTTCGAGTGTATGTATCGTTGTTAGAAGCGATGCCATATCGCCGGTCGGCCGCTGTTAAATAAGGCGTTTACGATGGAATTTACGTAGATCAAAACCGAGTGATAGCTCATCCAACACGCAGAACGTGAAGATCGGACTGTTATGAAAGCTGAACAAGTTGACTAGGCATAATCAGAGAGATAGCGTGACCATCCATAGTGTTCTGATAGGGCTGAACGTATTTCTTGCCGTCGGTTAGGCTGTGTGATTGCCTCACCGCATCGATAGCAGAAATGCCTAGACATGCACTAAACAGCAGTCAATTAGCTATCAGAAGTGGAGAAGTACCGTTCGTCGACGCACCGTCATATGGTATCAATTTTCTCCGCAGGCGTTTGACTCCAGGGTGCGGATCATTTGTATAGCGAAATAACAGGAGATGGGAGATACCTGGACAATATTTACAACTCTTTTCATCCATCAGATGATTCTAACTCTGAGGAGCCATCACAGGAATGTTTAGGGCCGATGATTCGATCTTCTGAGAACACGCCTTGTATCAAGCATAGTTGCAGCCGCTTGTCACAGAGGACATACGAAGGTTCAGCCTCGTACTCTTCTTTATCAACGAAAACTGACTGATTAAACGGATGAGTGTGCCGTGACCGAGGGCGATGAATCATGAACGTGTTACTGACAGCATAACTTCTTACACACTCCGTCCGCATGGCTCTACCTTCGCGACCACATCCTCATTGAATTGATCGATACAGATGCCGCGTTCAAATGCGTCGGGAGCAGTATGCTGGAGAGCATGCATCTGCCGCTTCAATTGATGATCCTTTTCGTCGAACTTGCGTTGCTGTTCTGCCGCGTACATTTCGTCAGTATCGTTCAGCTACGGTCCTGCAGACCGATCATTCAGTTCGGAAGATCTCTGAGAGGCCGTTTCGTAGTGCTGGCGGCCATCTTGCCTCTTATTTTCTCGGACATTGACGACAGGTCGCTATTGCGATGAGCATCAGTCGGTAACCGCATTGGCTGCACCTTCCAACCTGGGCAGGCTTCACTCGTCCCGGAGGTATTTTGCTTTAGGTTCCATGATCTACGACTCGACGAGCAACATTCTCAGATAGTTGCGCGTTCTCCACACTAAGTTCTCCGGGCTTGGCTCTCCAGGCCCCAAACCCTCGCTCTCCGGTCAAGGACTCCGAGACTAGCCTCAAACATGGGTTCAGCCAATTCGACTGTCGCCAGAAGCTGAACTTGCCATTGGACACTGCTGTCCATGAGCAGGCGATCGCAAGTCGCAGCTAAACAGCTCGGCTAGGCAGCTCGCAGCTGCTACCGCCGATGGCTGAAAGATGAAAGCAGCCCCATTTGGATGCTTCTGGGGGCGAGGATGAGAATCGAAGATGACGAACACACCGCAATTATTTGTGGCTAGCTTGGCACATGCGAAGTATTTCGGGGGAAGCGAGTGATGATAGCGCACGTTGAACGTTAAAGATTGAAGACCGTGTGTCACGCGTACGATCTGAAAGGCGGCTTACAAGTCGAAAATGTAAGCACATAGAAGACTGATATACACATAAACCACTACGAAAAACTCTGCGTGGATTCCCCAAGTCCTGAACGCTCATAAGCAAACATAAGCAGCTTGAAGACTTGCTGAACATAGGTGCTTTGTTTTTCTCCTCGACAACGAGATGCACCGGTGCCTGCAGTGACCCGATACAAACCCCTCGAAGGTCATGTCATTGCGATGTCACCATCAGCATCAGGGCGCGGGTCTCCTCGTGCAGCGGAGTTGACCAACTCTCTTCGTATCTCTAGGCCAAGTTGTGGGTGGGGATTCACGCGCACGACGTCCAACAATGCATCTTTTTGATCTGGTGTCAAGTCGGATGCATACCTAAAGGGTGACTAATTGTGAGAATACACAGCGAACGGGTTGTCACTGAAAGAACGCACCTCTGACAGAATACCAGGAGACTCTGATGCCAGAGCACGGGAAGCTTATCAACATCGCCCACACTGCGGGCTCTGTATGTGTTCGAGAGGCGGATGAAATGGAAGACGAGCGCGTCAACCACCTTGTATGGTAGTGCATGCTTTTTGTCGAGGAGAACGCGGATGAAAAGGGAGTTTGGGCCTACAATTACAGTAGTTAACATGAGCCTCCTCGGAGCAAATTATCGCGCTCACCTGAGTACTCCATGTTGGCCAGTCGAATCAGCGCAGCGGCCGAGTGCAAAAGCGGGACTTTCACTTTAACTAGCACAGACGCAACAATTGCCGCCTCCTGCAATGTGCAGCCTGTCTATAAAACGCACCATCAGCTCAGAGCAACCGGTTCTGAATGCAAGACCAATATACATTCAAGAGGGGGAACACAATCCCTTTGAAGAATGCCGCTGGCTTATATAACGCCCTCCGCATGCTCTCATAATAGTGCACGTTCAGCTTTCTATGGTTCTTGATCTTCCTTGCACCCTCCTTTGTCAGTCGAATGTCCTCGCGGATCGCATCGAGCAGCACGCCCTCTAGGAATATGCGGGCCTGTGGTGGCTTCATTTGCGAGATGAAGATACGCGTCGCGGCATGGCAGGCCTGTGGCGTCCAGTTTTCAGGGCGCGTGAGCGCGAGCATACGCGCCCAGGCAGGGAGAGAGGGAATAATCTTGAAGGGTTTGGGTAGCAGGCCGGACTTGTATCTAGAGAGGACAAGACCGACTCTGGAAGTGTGGCGATAGAAGTCAGTGTGGCACGGCGGAAGGCCAACTATATGCGCACTTTGTGTATAATTCTACCACTTTGGGATTTAGCCCTGCTGCAGGATCTGGTGCTCGGTTGGGGTCTTGGAGGATGAATGTCAGTAAATGAAGCCTCCAGGAGATACGCATGTTCCCGAACCTTCCGATGTTTTCCGTATTATGGTCGTCTGACCGGATTCAAAGTCCTCCAGTTTTGCGAAAATAATGTCGGCCAGCGTCCGTCGCTCGCCAGCATTTGCAGGAAGGAGTGCATCGAGCGTCTTCATGTCATTCTCGTCTACCTCCTACATATGATCAATAAATCCAGGACAGCGTTGGTGGGCTCACTCACAATCTCTTCCACTTCTTCTTCGTAGTCGTCATTTTCAAAACGCTCGAGATCATCCTCGTCCTCGTCAGGAATTTCTTGTGTCCGTGTTAGTGAGAAGTTGGCCCTGTCCTCGTCATCTTCCTCCTCTTCCTCCCCATCATCCCATGGTCCCAGCTCCTCCTGTTGCTCCCTTGCAAGTTGGAAGATCTTTTTTGACGTCTTTGAATCCAGGATAACCTATTCGTCGGCTAGTTGTGAGCGATCTGACACGGCGAGGCATATTCTGGGCGACACACCTCTCCCGCCTCATCATCCGGTTTAGGATTCTTTGTTTTCACTCTTTTGCCAGGCCGAGACACTCTGCCATATTTCGCATGTAGCTCGTCTTCTGCTATTTGAACATGAAGCGGGTCATGCCGTTCCTTTCCTGTCGATTTGGCTGCGCGAGGCATAGCGGCAGAGTTCGGGGGTGCTACAGTTGAGTGTTAATATTTAACAACCCAGAAACGTTCAACAGTGTGTGATCCCCGGTTGTTGATGGTAGAGGGAGTTCAACGGCAATGACTGAGATGCAGCGAAGATATTGCAAGGAGGGCCATTGATTGGCTCGGGCGACGCCGAGGGACGTCTGCAAAGAGCATCTTGGTCTGGTCAAGTCTGGCTGCACGACGAGCGCATAAAAGGCCTCCTTACTCGCTGGCACGGTCAGTCCTCCCCGTCATCCTCGTCGCTGGCACCCATGGCATCGTCCAACTCACAGGTGAGCCCGCCGCCATCGTCGACTTATGTGGGAAGGCACGCTCTAGGCAACAGCCGTATGGTTCGCATTGCCATGTCATGTGTCGCAACCTGCTATGGCTCTCGATTCCCAGCGCTCGCATGAGACTCGTCTCGGACAGGAGAACTGACGATCCTCATTCGCTAGTTCCGCACCGTCGACAAGAACGGCAAGGAGATCACGACGGTCGGTTTTGAACGATTCGGCTTTGATTGCGAGGCTTCCTTGGAAGCTGTTCGTTCTCTCTATCTCAAGCCTCACTACATTCGCAGCGCGGAGAAGCAGGCTGGGGCCGGCGACGATGCAGAGGCCGTCTATTATCCGGACACCAAGTCCATTTCCTACACCACCTTGACACGCTTCCCTCCAGTAAAGCTTCTTCCGCCTGAAAAGCGCAAGCGCATCCTTGTAACTGGTGGTGCTGGCTTTGTGGGGTCTCACCTGGTGGACCGTTTAATGCTGCTCGGACATGAAGTCACCGTGCTGGACAATTTCTTTACCGGTTCCAAGACCACTGTGAGCCATTGGGTCGGTCATCCTAACTTTGAGCTAGTTCGCCACGATGTCGTTGAGCCTTACATGACGGAGTGCGATCGTGAGCATTCTTCGACGGTGACGTGTATCGCTTAATGTGACCGTGGCTTCAATAGAAATATATCATTTGGCGTGTCCTGCATCTCCGCCTCATTACCAGTTCAATGCGATCCACACTGTCAAGACATCCTTCTTGGGCACGCTCAACATGCTTGGTCTTGCCAAGCGAACGAAAGCGCGTTTCCTAATTTCTAGCACGTCTGGTATGTCGAGCAACGTCCCTTACTCACGTGTCATTCATGATCGCCCCCAAAGAGGTATATGGTGATCCTGAGGTTCACCCCCAACCCGAAGACTAGTAAGTGTTGCTAGTCATTAATAAAGAATCTTGCTCAATTGATTACTTTGTCAAGCTGGGGTCATGTCAACCCGATCGGCCCTCGGGCCTGCTACGATGAGGGAAAAAGAGTAGCTGAGACACTCACGTACGGTTATCACCGCCAGGAGGGTGTCGATGTCCGTGTTGCTCGTATTTTCAACACATATGGTATGCATCTCGTTCAATGTGACACCATTTGTACCTAATTGTACCTCTTTACAGGCCCTCGCAGTACGTGGTGTCCGATGCAGCCAGAACCCGCAAAGAGTCGTTAATATTCTGTTTTCAGTGAATCCTTACGATGGCCGTGTTGTGTCCAACTTCATTATCCAGGCGCTCAAGGGCGAGGACATGACCGTCTACGGTGACGGCAAGCAGACGCGCTCATTCCAATTCATTCACGACCTGATCGATGGACTCATCGCGCTCATGAATTCCGACGAGACGCGCCCCGTGAATATCGGAAATCAGGACGAGTTCACGATCGGCGAGTTCGCGGAGCTTGTGCGCGAGATCGTCGAGAAGGTTCAGCGCGAAGATGGTGAGGCGCCCAAGCGCCAAGTGCAGGTCGTCTACAAGCCCATCCCCACGGACGATCCGCAGAAGCGTCGTCCTGATACGACCCGCGCGAGGGAGGTGCTAAACTGGCAGCCGCGCTGGTCTGTCCGTATGGGTCTCGAGGAGATGGTTCGCTATTACAAGGCGAAGATGGCCGAGGGCAGCATCTAATATCTTTGGACTTTGTATGGACGTTCGGACTGCCTTGCAATTCAATCGCGCTGTGGCTTCTCTTGATCGCTAGATGTCCCTGTTGGTTACGGTAGGCGCTAGCTAGATACAAGTGTGCCTCGGAGTCAAAATTATATGACTTTATAGCGACTATACACCCTTCCGACCGAAGTACTTTTCCCGCGTGCGTCATAGTGACGTTGGTCTATAGATACGTCCAAAAATGCAGCGAAACCAATATATGCATGTGAACCCACGAACGAAATAACCCGGAACAAATGAAATGTAAGATATTCGTATGCGTCTCTTCCCCTCCCCCCCCCCCTCGCCGGTACGTGCTCAAGTCAGGCGCGCTGGCACCTAGGATCACCCGCACCCGTGAGACGAGGGAAACTGGTGACCACCCTCACCGCAGCAAACGCGGTAGCGGCATGTTTCCCCCAGTCGCGACGACCTTCGCCATGGAGCCCTTAATAACCTGCTTGTCGACTGCGCTCGGGTTGATCGTCGCACGCCGGAGTCGAGAAACCTGTTGTTCCTCAGACACTGGCTCCGACGGCGGCAGCATGATACCGACGTCATTATCATCTCGCCGGCGAGAGGGCTTCTGTTGTCGCTTCTTCTCCTTGTACAGTTGGGCGCCTGGCGATACGCAGCCGGGTCGGTGAGATGTGCGTTAGCGACGAAGGTGAGGCAGATATTGCGTACTCGAGTAGGAGTAACCATCCGAACCGCTGTCCAGCCAGTGATCCTTTCGCTCTGAGAACCTGTCACGAGTGAATATCAGTTGGTATGGGGCAAGTTACCTGATACGCACTTGCGGAGGGGCCGCCCATCAAGGCCCAGCGGAGAGAAGGCCGTGCGTTCTTCCTTCTGATATGTTGCGCGGGTCTCCTCCTGGCTCTTGCATACCTCGGGAGAGACACATGAGAACGACAGCGGCGAGAGCGGATCCCGGTCGACAAAAGTTGGCTCGTTGCGTAACTGCGCGAGCTTCGCAAGACCAGCTTTCATGCGCTCTGCAAGGGGAATGCTGGGACGCTTGGAATCAGAGCGCGCTGGAGGCTGACGGGCAAGGAACTTGTTGAAGACCTGGTTGACGATGGAGGCACTTATGATAGAGAGGTATCCTTGGCTTGCTGCAGAAGAATTAGTGTTGCAGTCGGTGCATGGACGAGGCAATACCCTTACCCTTGACCGAGAACACTGTACATCCTCCTGGTACATTGACAAGACTGTTTGCAACGCGCTCTGCGTATTCTAGTGGATGTGTTTGGCTGCGCTCAGCCTGATAAAAATTTAGTAGCGATCACTCATTGCGTGAATGCTATGTACCTGGATGATAAGGGTAGGGCATGTTACACAGGCGAGCTCTTCCGGGGTCAGTGGTCTTCGCTAGAAAGTGGCCACCTAAGCATATTGCCAACAGGGCCTCAAGGCTGCTTACGTTCATGAAAAGATTCACATTTGTGATGACATGTGACCTCCGGAAGGGCGGATAGTGTACTTCCCAGTACGCGACGAGCTGGAATGTGTGTGAGCACACAGTAAGCGGCTGGCAGCAAGCGACTGTACCTCGTCTTGTAGATCCGGGTGTGCGTCCTTCGGGAAATAGCCGTGCAAAGACGCGCATGAATCATTGTTAGTGTGATCTTCGCGTAGTTCATATCACATCACTTACTTGGCCGGCAAAGAAGTCTAGAAGCTCTTTGCAAGAATACTCGAACGATTCTAGATCTTCAGAAAACGACCATAACTGTGTGAGCTCTTCGAAAGCCTCGAAGACAGTACGAATTCTGGAAAATACGTCAGTTCCATGGGACAGAAGTATAGAAGACACCTAACGTACTCTGTTTGTGCAGGAATGTTGACCAACGTCAGGCTAAGCAAAAGGTCGGGAAACCTAGGATCGAAGCTGAGCACGAGTTCTCGGCCAGTCATTTAATACGTACAACGCTGCTAATCGTAGGGCTGCGTATGCATTTAGCTCCGGAGCAAACATATGTGCAGGCGGCAGGCACAGGTGCTGTCAGAGGTTATTAGTGTTACTCCGCCCATCATTGTTTGACTAGTGCCGCGCGATGCACCTGTCACGTACATGGAAGCAATGCGCGAGATCGGCGGCGTTTACCCAGAGGTCGTGCCGACCTGTAGGTCTTGATAATGATTTACCTGTCGAACGCGTGTCGAATATGATGATATTGAAGCACGAGTTCAGCCGATGGTCGTCCATCTGTGGATGCAGCCACGTCGAGTCCAAGAAAACCGGGTGCAACATCACAATGGTCGGCTTTGCCGGGTCGAAACCGCCGACATTCCCATTCGGTGAATTTGTAGTGTACCAGATAGACGTGTAGTCGTCAGAAGAGACCAGGTCGACATAGGGCATGGTCGCGAAAAGAAGAGAACCGAACGGCGGTAAAGTGTGGATTGCTCACGACATGGGCGGAAAGGCGAGTGATAGAACGGGACAACCCTGAAGGGGAGGGCGGTAAGGACCCGTCGGCAAATAGTCAATTTACGACATTTGTAGATTGGTAGTCGTACCCGATCTGAATCTCAGGACAAGAACACAATCGGTGATGAAGACTTTGTCTTGCTGCACGTGGCCAGGCCACACGTTATTGCTCGCCATATTGTGCGTGCTTATCGTGCACCTCCTAAACATCCAACATTGGCAGCATTGCTGCCTCTGCAGGACGTCCAGTTGGTAGTTGCCATCAGCATCATTTCCACGGATAACCGGCCGGTAAGCGCCGGATGTGTACGCGAGGCGCCTAACAATGCTCCCGCGCCACAGTTCGCTGCTCTCCAAGTTCACATTCACAGAATGGTGGTCGGAGGGTTCCAAATTGCAACGCTGCGCCGTGACGCGTGTGTACGTCCAAGGTACACCCCAGGACTGTCATCTAACACACACGAGATGCCTGCTTACTGCCCAGGTCGGTCGACAAATCGGCTCTAGTCAGGGACGGGCGGATCTGACATTGTACCCCGACAGACTACCTTGTTCTAACTCGAATTTGAAGCATGCAGACAATTGACCCACGATGGGATAGGCCCGACGTCGCGAGCTTGCTCCGCAAAGTAAACCTCTTGCATTGTCGGTGCGACGGCGCAGCTCGCGCAGCTCCATGGACGTGCAAGAAACTACTGCTGATTAGTAATCTGTCACAAAAAGGTTCTATTTGACGCGATGATCGATCCTTTCAATTAGTCACATCTCTCAGGATAGGCATTCTAGATGCCTTTGAGATGCTCAGAAGACACCGTCGCGCAACATGCAGTAGGACCAAGAGAACGAGGACTGCGTGAAATCATGACGACGAGTAGATTCGCACTAGTCTCTGGTAAGCTTCCGCCTTGCACGATCAAGCCGATGTGGACCGAGTCTGGATTAAACACTGACAGATGCACTTATGCTCGCATTCAAGCAACCGCGAACATGGCTGCGGATCGTATTGAATGGTCTTCACGCTCCTTCACTGTCGCCTATTCCGGCGAGCACTTGGATCACACGTTGCTGGCGCTGCGAGGGAGCTCGGTGAATCCGCCTAGCGTGCAAATCACAGCCTGCCACGTACCTCTCTGTCTGCAATCATCACGGTCGGATACATGGTGGGCACTCCAAACGCTTCGAGCTTGGCCTGCTGCTTGGAGACTAGACCATCCCAGGCAGGAAGGACCCGTTCTGCGTCGAACTTCTGCAACTCTTGCCGGAAGGCGGCCGACATCGTCTGTTCCGCCGGCAAGTTGCAGTCAGCATGGGGCCCATCAGATGAAGAAGACACATGACGGAGGAACGCGAACATCGGCTTCATACTGTGTGAGTCCAGCTCCGATCATGCTCGCCCTGTGGAGGTGACGCCGATCAGCCGCCCTGGTCGCCTGATAAGTACAAACTCGGCGACCCACTTCGTGCGCGCGACTTTGACCTTTTCCTCGTGGCTGCACTGTATCGCCTGCCTTTCTTCCCAGAGCTGTCTCTCCAGCTCGGCCTGTTCCTTCTTGAGCTATCATATGCATCAAATAGGTTAGCGACCGAGGCAGTCGCGTTGCAGGCGTGGGCTTTACCGTCGAGATAGCTTCCACAAAGCCTGGATCCTCGGAAAGGCGAGCCAGATGGGGCAGTGTCTGCTTGTAGGAGAGGTTGCGAAGGTCTTCACGCCGGGCCGACGACACTGTCGGCGTGGACAAAGGTCTGCTGGGGCCGGGCTCGGGCAATGCAGGAGTAATGGTTGTAACCTGCGACGGCGGGTAATCATTACATGTCGCAGGGTATTGAACATGAGGATGAATTGGATTAGAAGAGCCACTGTATGACGAAGTGCCACGCAGCTGAGACAGCAATGAGGCAACGGTCGACGACGGCGCAGCAGTTGCATCGGCCGCAGCTGAGCCGCCGATGATTGCATGGGTATCAATTTTAGGACTTGCCAAGACCGCGGCGCCAGAGGACTGCTCAGAACTGGGAACGCTACTGGTGTTAGTGCTCGGAGTGGCTGTGTTCTGTGTCTTAGGATTGACGATGTCTTGCCATACTTGTGATGCCTTCAGCTGCTCTAGAAGGACCGCGATCGCTGCGGGATCCTGGCGCGACATGACACATAAGGCAGACGTCGTGAGCGCGGGATGCGTAAAATCTGACTCAAGTATCAGGACATACGTTGATGTTGTTCATGTCGAGGAGGGCGTGCGTGAGAACATAGGCTGATCGAAGTGTGATTGTGCTGGTACTATAGCGCGGCTGCCATTTTAGGATTTGGCTGTGTGTATCCATGAAGAAAGCGCGTCCGCCACCCGTCCAAGGCAGCAGAAATAATACATGAAAGGTTGATCATTAATTAGATTTAATTCCAGGGTTCCGATGAGGACGCGCCGGTCGCCTCTCTGTACAGCCACAGGTATCCACAGATTTGCCACGTCCAAGTATTACCCGAACAACTCAATGTAAAGGTGCACCTGGTGCCCGACAGCGAATGGGACAGAACCGACCTCACACGCGATGTCTAGTCCACCACGAACGTTGGTCGCCGCACTCCGGCATGTCCCCGGGAATGCACGGCATCATGTAACAAAAGGCGCGGAACATGAGCCGCAGGTGAGACGAGGTGGTGGTGCGAGAGTCTACGAGTTGCAGCATCAACACGAGTGAGTCACAACCGCGGTAAAAGAAACAGGAAGTTGTTGTGTCGCAAAATATCAGAACTACCATCACATCAGTCGTAAACCCATCTCATCCAGCGTGATCATTGTCAAGCAGACCAACAAGAAGCGGCTTCTTCAAGTGGGCTGCTGTCGCATTGTGAGAAAATTGCGGTGCGCGAAATCGTTGCTGATGGCCGAATGATATTATCGAGCACGAAGACTTGCTTATATCTGTGTGCTCGGACGGGACTGAAGCATACGGACCGTCGTCAGAAAGCCATAGAGAGTCATACGTTACCTCCGAGCGCCGCCGTGCGGTTATCATAGATCCATCGCTAGGCAATGCGTAACAACCTCATTGAGGTTATGTCACTTGATTGCCGTGCACCTTGCGAATCGTCTAGAGAATTCGAAACTCGTCAGAGGGCCGGACCTGTCTGGCTGCTCTGGATGATTACGTGTTGTAGCAAAATCCAAGGACAGCTCGAGCGAGTATCATGACGATCATACCTGTCAAAATAGCGCAGTATGAGACTAAGCAGGAGATGAAGACAGAGACGGTTTCATCGTCGCGATACAACCGCGTCGCGAATTAAATAAGACAGGCACGCAAGCCCGCTATAATGGGTCATGCGCCGTCGGAGAGAATTTCGGACATCAATACATCATGATGTCGGGGACGTTCATGCCTATAACGAGCATTAGCATGCGTCGGCGGGACCACAGTAGCTTCCGAGCCCGTGTGGAACTCGTGCTAAGTGCACAACGTGGTCATGATGATGAGATCCGGCTGCAATCGCTCGGGCGGAGCTGATACCGTTGGCGAGCGAAACCAGGTCGTCTCGACTTTTTTTCCTTCAGCGCTTGCGCATGACGGGGTCCCTCTGCTCATTTGATATGTGACTTCGTGATTATGTCCATTTGTCGGTTTTCTTTTATTATGTAATATTTTGATGGCTGGTGGCTGTGCCATTCCTTTTGTACTTTTATTTAAGTGAATGGGTATGAAAATTAAGAGTGCGGTAAGACATTGAAATAAATGTACAAAACGAACGGCATATGTACTATGTAGCCACCTACTGGCAACACTCACAAAGCATTGCATCCTTAGTGTCCTCATTCTATATCACCTCAGACAGAGACCCATTTCCATTTGCGACAGCGCTTTTTCGAGGTAAATTCAGTTTGATATTGTGAATTCATTGCCATAAAAGGGAATTTGTAACGTACTAAATCGGATTTTGACGGCATATTACAGGGTCAAAAACATCTTGGGGGGTGCATGCCGCAGTACTGCACAATGGCCATAGATCTGTCTCTCCAATTCTCTGTACTGTGATTTTTCATGCATCTTCATCATCTGCCTTGCTTGTGCTGCTGCCCTTTGTCTCATGTGTGACAGTGCATTATAATGCACCACATCCATTGGTTCATTTAGCTAGCCATCAATGTTTTAGATACTATGTACGCACTCAGCTAATTCCATAGTCCTCAATAAATAGTTTCCACCTCCCTGTCTTGCTCCTTTTTATCAAACTGATTATATTGGCCTGCACTCCCTTGCTGCCTAGCTACTCACTCAAATCTGAAATCTCATACTTCTTCACTCTCATATCTCATTCCTCACACAATCTGCCCATTACATTATTAAAATTCTGACTGTCAATATGTCATCTGGTGGACCGTGATGTGCACCAATGATAATTACATTCTCCATGGTCATGATGCTATAAGTTCAAGCCATTCCTACCAGACACTCAGCCACACCGGAAAGCCTGCCAGATTTGGATATTTAATTAAACTTCCGCACAGCATGCTCAGCAGAGAATTATGGGTAGTTGTGACATCCGCCAAGAATTGTGATGTCTGCCAAGATGAATTGGGCTCGGGCCGATTATCCATAATCGTCATGCCGCGTCATGCCGGACAAAAGACCCCAGGGGTAACCTACTCAGGCGCTGAAGGAAGAACTCAAGACGACCTGGTTTCGCTCGCCAACGGTAGCTGAACAACGCGAGTGAGGCACATTGCGCATCGTTACGTGACGCAGGCCGGCTGTGGCGCTCGCGTAGACCACGTTACATGCCTGCAGGCCGTCGCGGACACCGACAGTCGCGCTAGATGAGTATGCTGGCTCGTGGGGCGGGATTATGCCGTTTCAGATGCGGCATACATGTTTGAGGGACAACGTCAAGGCTGCCGGGTACGGATATGGTCATTCTTGGGTTTGGATGCTGCCCGACAAATTTGGCTTAGCCTGAAGGAAGTAATCCGTTCATGCGAGGTTCAACTGCGTTCGCCACCTGGTTTTGATCGATACCAGCGTCGGAGAGTGCGAGAGCCGTTCCGGGCTCGTCGGACGCAGATACGACAGACGTGCATAGCCCGCCGAAGGAAGAGGGGAAGGCGCCCCGCTGGGGCGATGATGGCGGGGAGCGGCTGAAGAACGCCTGGCAACCGGCTGGATGGTGGGCGAGGACGAGGTTCGAGCACGTTTTGTTGGCGGCGGCCCTGCGGAGGCGCTGGCTGCCTCACACGAACAATGCAGCCTGGCGACGCACGCAAATCGGCGATAAAATTATTTTGCCTGTAAGGCCCCGTGGTTACCGAAAACACAATATTCAGCACTGCCGTTCCTGTTTTAGGCGCACCGATAAGGGGAGATTTCGAAAGCTTGTTTTTGACCTTTCCCACGGCGTCCTCTCCAATCTTCTCTCGCGCTCCCCTGCCCAGCTTCTTATCCTCCGTTTCATTCCTCCTTCTACCACCTTTCCCCCCTCCCCCTCTCTTCTTCGTGGTTGTTTCTATTTCTTTTCTTGACCAACTATGCCCTCCGATGTGTCTTCGGCGGCGACTGCGTCGTCCTCGTCGCACATGATGAAGACCACAAAACGCGGCAGACCATTCCTCAAGGTTCGCATCTAATGCTACGGCGTGTATCACAATGCCAATCTTCTCACTGGATTGACCTTTAGGATACGCTCGACCTGTTCGCAACCCTCATCGTGTCTTTGGAGCTTTCATCGAACAAGCAGTTCTTTCGGACTTTCCATAATTCATTCACAACGTACGCGAATTCAATCTCACCTGCTCCCCTACACCTTGGAGCTGATCCTTCTTCAGTGACGATGCCGCAAAGAACCTCGCTTCGCTCAAGTTTTCCCAATCGAATCGTGGGCCTGACCCTCGAGAACCCTCACGGATAGTGACGACCACGACCACGACCACCTTTTCCATGACCCGCGAAATGGCCAAGGCCATGTGCCAGCAATTCATGGATGCGCGTCTCATTGAAAATGCCGCGGACCCTGGCTCCAACCTGTTCAAGGACCGGGGCGTCTACGTCCTCACTCCAAAGGGACTCCACGTGCTGGAGCGGTTCATGAGCAAGAATGGCATCAGCGGTGACCACCTCGCCAACGCGTTCGCAACGCAACCCATCTGCATGAAATTGCTGCATCTCGAGCGAAGATCCGTCGACGACGAGATTATTGTGTCGCATTCAGTGATCACTGCTCTCTTCCGTCGCTTCGTGGGTCGTCACCCCAACTATCCGCCGGAGAATTTGGATTCCATGGATGCCTTCCAAAAGTATCACGAGCGGTCGAAGGGGGTTGCGTTGATGGACATTACTGAACGGCCCATCGGGAGCAAGACATCGATGACTCACAAGTGTTGTTTCATGGCTGTGACGGCGTTGGAGTGGCTGTGTGACTTCACCTCAGTCATTGGGCGAGAAGAGGCGGCTGAGATGGCTGCGCAGTTTGTGCGCTTTGGGTTGATCCAGCTTGTCAGCGACAAGCGGAAGAACAATGATTCGGCCATCATCTTTACCGTGCGCGGTGCCTCAGGAGGTCAAAATTCTTCAATCGCGGTACGTATTCCTAGCGAGTCAAACTCCAAGTGGCTCATTTTGATTTATCTTCCAGCAAGTCGGCGAGTTCCGCTGTACGGCGAAGGCCATCTACAGGGTGACTGAGGAGGGTCGGCAGCTAGCTCGCTGGGACATGCCAGACGGGGCGCGGGGCTCACCGAATCCTTCTTCGTCAAACATGGCAGGCACGCGATCCTCCGATGACCATACGTCGGAAACACAAGCTGGGGATCCCAGCGCTCCTGGCGCTGATGTGAAGCTTCACCGCCGGATTTCTATGACCGAGAAGCTGAACGCAAGCCATGACGCGGACCAGAAGCAGAAGGAGAGCAATTCAGATCGCCTCAAGTACATCATCGAGGAGCCTCAACTGCGATCGTTGTTTCGTGATTTCCTGCGGAGCAATTTCTGCGAGGAAAATCTATCTTTCTATCTGGATGTCCAGGATTTGCGAAGGAAGTTCCACATCACTTCGAGCGCTATGGCTTCCACAGCTGCGGCGCGCCCTAGCCAAAAGGCTACGCCAGGTCAGGTCGCGATGGAGCGTCATCACGAGACCCTCATCCAGACAGCGTTCGTTATCTACAACACATATCTGGCTCCTTCGAGTCCGAATGAGCTCAACATTGACCACGGGCTGCGGAACGAGCTCTCCGTATGGCTCAATGAGGTCATCACGGGCTTGAGCGGCAAAGCCTTTCAAGGGCGGGTGGATATCGACCACGCGAATGCCTTCAATGCGACACAGCTGCAGGCCATGATCAAGCTGTATGAGCGCATCCAGATGCATGTGTTCCGGCTCATGGCCACGGATTCGGTTCCCAAAGTGAGTAACGATTTCACCTACTCGTAAAATGTGTAACTTATCACTTGCTCCGCAGTTCATCAAGACTCCAAAATTCTTGGCGTTGCGAATCAAGCTCGATGACGAGGACGATGGTCCTAACGGTGATTCTCCTGTGATGGCATCGAGCGGGTCGACACCATCAATGCCACCAGGGCTGAACGACGAGGAAATTGGTGGAGCCTACGTGACGATTTCTGCACGGGCAGCTGCGCAAGAGCGTGCACAGACCAGCGGCGAGCGATCATCATAATGAGCGGAGGGATATCCTCATTTTCCTCGCCAATGTATGCCCGATCGTCTCAAAATCTCCTATGCTTTATGTTACCCACCGCCGGTATGCCTCGTATGCTCTCACATGCCCTCTCACTATGTCCCACGGCCGGCGTCATGTCATCAAGTCATCAAGTCCTCGCTCACAATCTTGTTCGCACGCACAATTTCGTTCCATCGCATATTGCATCGGGCTCCCTGGAACCGTCTGCAGCTAATCTTCATCGACTTTGCTATCTAACTTCCTCGCATTTTCCTCTATCCTCAAAGACAGTTGTCTACGCTTGAGGATGGGTGTATACGCATCTCCCATCCGTACTTGTCTCCTTATAGTTGTACATCTAATACCTTACGAGCTCCCTTATTCACATCGCTAGGGGTTGTGACTTACTAATACGCCATCTCACTGTGTCTTTGGTAATGCAGAATCCTAATACTGCTTTTGTACCATCAGATGGCCGCCCGACGGTAGCTGTTTGTACGAATTCCAAAACCATCCGGTCAATACACTCGAGATTTACATCCGTGACCGTAACGATCATGATCGACCGTTCCGTCGAGCATCGTATTCGTCGAGCAGGTATGGCCGAAGGACTTACTCCCATTCCCAAGGGTGGTCGGAGCAAGGCGATTTTTAGGACACGTTGCATCACATGACGCGGGGCGCCTCCTCAAGTGGCAAGAAGATTGCTCTTGCCTTGCCATTGGAGGCATGCTGTTGCCAACAACGCTACGTCGAGCGCCAGCAGGCTGCAAGTTCTGGAGGGTCACAGACGACTTGGACATCATCTTGTAGGGTGTTGCGTAAACTGCACTCGAACACGCTCAGGTTTGCCCCGAATCAACTAACCCGTCGTTGGTATGTCTTGGGTTCTAAACCCCGAGGGTGATGGCGGTGGCCGTGCCGCACGGAAACGTCCCACTCAGGTGCCATCGGAAGGAGGCAACACCGCTTCTCGTGATACAGAGACAGATGATCCAGCCTCGGCTTGGACAGAGGCTCCGGTGGATGACGAGGGCGAAACAAAGGTGCCAGACCCAGTCGACCCCAGCAGAATGGTCTCCACCAAGGCAGCCAACCGTCCGTTCCTCGGGTGCGTCAAGCGGAGTTTGTTCTATTTTTCTGCTCAGAACCCTTGACCTGCGTGCAGCTACTCTGAATATCGCACAAAGCGCGAGCAGGAACACACTGCATGGCTGCGGCGCAAGAAGGAGCGAGACGAGAAGGTGGCGCGGGGGGAGGAAGTTGGAGCTGAGGAGCCCGATCCAACTGAGGAGCCAGAGGTCGGCTGTTTGGGGCTTCTCAAGTTCATCGTGTACGCGATCGTTTTCTTGCTGCTCGCGGGCAAGTTCTTCACTGGCAGCTACCTATGGGAGCACGAGCTGCCTAACATCAAGAAGCTGATCCCGGTACGCTTACGTCCAACAGGCTGCGCGTGGCTGTCTCAGCTTATCGGCGGTGTATTGCAGACGAATCAACGTCTGTATTCCGAGAGGATGCTGGCCACGTTCGATGGTACAAATCCCGAGAGACCGGTTTATCTAGCCGTACGTCTTATGAAGTGCATCCCTTTTTGCTCCGTCCACGGACCTTGTTATGAACAGATTGATGGCGATGTCTACGATGTCAGCGCAGGCCGCCGAACGTACGGTCCGGGAGGACCCTACCACATGCTGTACGTATTGCAACTTTCGAGTCGACCGTTGGTGCAAACTTTTCTTTCAGCGCCGGAAAAGACGCTGCCCGGGCGTACAGCACCGGCTGCTTCAGCACGCATCTAACGCATGACCTTCGGGGACTAAGCGAAAGCGAGTTGCAGGTATGGACGCCCATGCTGCGGTCCTGATATCGGACCGTTATGAAACATGGCTCCTGCAGGGCGTCGAGAACTGGAAGAAGTTCTATGCTGAACATAAGAAGTACGTCAAGATTGGGCGTGTATCTCATCCACCGATCGACCCTGCAAGCCCGGTACCGGAGCATTGCGATCCGAAGAAAGCGAAGGACTCTCGAACACCGGAGCAAGTGGAAAATATGAAAATTGCAGATAGCCGCAGGCATGGACAGGGGCATGCTGAATTATAATTTGAATTGTCTGTGTGATTGAGCGCTGTGAATTATCTAGGACAGACTATTGTATGTACTATATAGCGACAATCCTAAGTTAATACCGAGAATGAGTGATCAACATGATGCCTCGCTAAATGAAGATGAAGCGTAGGCTTTTGAGGTCGGCTTGCACTAGTCTGATAGTCTGTTCTCGAAACATAAAGTACTGTGTATGAAAGCCAGTTGTGGCTGTCCGACAGGTGTCCACTCGCCTACATGAGCCCTATGAGCCGGAGTTGTCAGTAACGCAAAGCGTGCAAAATCTGAGATGAAGATTGCTGACCTGCAACCGCCTTGGGTTTGGATAGCCAGTTTTTGAGGATTGGAAAATCTGCCATTGTAGCATGCATCATCGTGGAATAACTTTGGTCGCGATACTTTGCGATGATGATGTTGCCACACCATGCGTTCGCCTCGTTGAAAGTCTGGCCCTGGATCTCACGTATGCACTTGTTCACCGGAAACGGCATACCGTCCCGGGAGACAATCGGGTAGAAGAGGATGTATGGAGTCGAGAACTTTCTGCTCATGTGTTCGAGCTGTTCTACGACCTGGGAGACAGAAATAAATTCAATTGGAAGGTGATGTATGAACTGCGCTGAGTTCTATTCACCTGAAATCTCCAGGAACGAGGGCCGAGTCCTTCCGCGATGTACTCCATATACATTTCCGGGTGAGGTATTCTCCCGCAACGGTATGGCTCGGGTGGGTTGGAGATCGCCATCGTTAGAGGGCTGGTCATGAGCGCCACAAGATGCGGAGGCCGTTCGTCGGCAGGAAAGAGGATGGCATCGAAGGGAAGCATTGGGTCCATGTAGAATAGAAGAGAATGTAAGATAAAGAGAAAAACTATGTACAAGAGGGAGGCTGATTCGACGAGGAGACGTTCTGCACCTCCATCTGCGAGCAAGAATGGCTGAATATATACCTGGTAGCAGTGGAATCAGGGCAACGGTTCGTCCATTTCACCTTGGAGGGTTGCTCGCACAGCCCACTGCATGGTGATGTTAAAGGGTGGCGGGAGACGTTACTAGCGGCTAGTCATGATATGGAGATGCATGAGGAACGTCGGCACCAATATAAGACTCGAGGGCATTTATGAACGAGCGCATCGTAGCGAGCTCAGTGCGAGGTCTGGACGATTCCGCAAATGCCGCGCGCCCCGAATAGCGACTCAGAAAAAGGGAGAGTAAATCGCCCTGTTTTGAATTCATGACCGTGCCGGTCACGTGGCTGGCATTGTTGATTGATCTCGAATTGCCACATTCATCGTGGCCGGCGGTCGCAGCCACACTCTTTCTCGGTACTTCTTCATCAAACGCGACTTCATCTGACCCAGATTTCGAACACGCACCTCCTCCCATTTATGCCATCATGACCACCCCAAACGGCAACATACTCGTCGCATCTCAGCTGTCAGCACTTCTCCCGCCATCCCAGCCGATCCCCGTGCCCACGACAAAGCAGGATGTTGTCAAATTGCACGCGGAGAACCCTCCAAATTGTCCACGAGAACACGCAACCTTTGCCAAGCATTCCTACACGCCCATGACCGGCAACATCTTGCTACGCGTCACGCATGAATCGCGCGTCCTGGAAATCATCTCGTTGTCCTCGGACGCGCCGCCTCTGCGGTTCGAATTTCCTTCTCCCCTATTGCCCTATCCTTCGATCATGTTGCATGAATCTCAAGGAGTCCATCTTATTGCAGTTACCGCGACAGGTTCCCTGTACTGCATTGTGATCCCAGTGCACGCTGGTAAGATCTCGTGGCCACCCCAATCGACTGCCCACTGGTGCCATGAGTATCTCGTCCAGGGTATGGGTTGCGATACCGAGGGACTGGTACATGTGCAATCACCGGATTGCGTTATCGTCAGAACGCCAAATGGGTCCCTGCTACGCGTTGAGAGAAATCCTCTGGGAAACAGTATACAAGGTATGGACGTCTGTTTGTCCATCTACGGTGATCATTGATCCAGCTGACCACGTGGTCCTCTAGATTCCTGGACAGAGCAAACACTGCATGCGTACGCAGCAGCTCCAATTGCTTTCTTATTACCCAAAATAGCCACGCCGAACGAAGCAGATGAGATTACTTCAATCGCAAGCCTTCCACAGCCCACTGAGATCGACTATGTCTGGACACTATCACGAAACCGCACACTACGTCTGTGGACTGCGGCCAACGGTGTCATCGCGCACGTCGTGCTGCCTGCTATCGCTCATGAACAGGCCGTCGCTGTACAAGAGCGGGGGTCGGTTCCTCCCGCTGTGAGATACTCCGTCTTGCTCCCACCAGAACCACAAAATCTCCTTCGCGTCTTCTCAGTATCGGAGACGAATACAGTCTATGTTCTCGTCTTCATTCCCACCGAGATCTCGCCGTCTTCTGGTGGATTCTTCCAACTCTTCACCACTACCAACAAGGGCTTGCAAAAGCTTCACCTTCTTGAGGCACCAGAAGACAGCACACATTGCCATCTTCAAGACTTCACCATCGTGGACGGAAGAACCCTATATACTCTGTGGGACAGGCAGGGACAGTCAATGGTGCACCAGCTTGAACTCACTTTTGACGAATCTGCATCCAATCAGCCTGATTGGCGTACCATGATGTATCCAGCAGAAGTCGAGCTCACTCCGACCTATCTAGACGAACTGCTACTGTCGCCAGGCTCGCTATCGGAGAGATTCTTCGAGTCGATCATGAGGCCCGGAATGTTCTCCCCTTTGACTCTCAAAGTCGCCATCGATCGGTACACTAATGCATGTTTGTCCTTACCGTCACTTCCTCCATCGCAGCTCGTCGCGGTCTATTCCGACGTCAAAGAGCAGATTGCTGCGATCGTAGGTTGCACTGTCCAGGTGACTCGCGACCCGCACTCCGGGGCGCTGCAATGGGCAAAGTACTGGAATGCGTTGAAACGCGACTGGGAGGGTTTCATTGCGCGGTGTAGAGAGATAGAGCGTAGTGCTCGGTTGCCTTTAGCGATTGGGATGGGGAAGCAGAAGGATGGCCTAGTCATCATTGAGCGAGAGCGCGTCGCATCCACAGCTACCGAAGATGGAGCTTTGAAGTGCCAGAGGTTGCTTTCGGCCAAATCGCAGCTTGTGCCGGACGTGGTCGAGTTTGTGTGGGATTTGCGTTCGCGCCTTGGTTCGCGAGCGATGAATGCTCTGGAGGGCCGTCTGTCGGATATCTTGCACCAGGAAGTCTCATTTTCCTTCGCGGATATTATCAAAGATCAGGCGGCAATGATGGAGCTCCGCGCTTATGTCGATGGAGGTTTCGACGATTGGATTGCTGGTCGTCTGGAAAAAATCGCAGATGAAGACCTTCTCAGCGGCGTGCGCACCATCTTGGACATTGTTGGCAGCACTGGTCTGTCAGTCAAGGATGAAGAAATCAACGATGATTCTACAGACAGCCTCTCACAAACTCAATCACAAAATCCAAACTCGTCAGAATGGAAGAGGGCATTTGCAGCCTCATACTTGACTGCAACCGTCCACGCTAGGTACGAACTGTGCTCTGCCGTCATGGTTTTGCTCTTCTGGTTCGCACACAAATTGAATGAATGGCCCCCAACGCTACTCGCTGAAGCATTTGCTGTGCATCGTGGAACTTGCATGTTGCGCGACATCGCGTGGCAGCCTGTGAGCGAGATTGCATCTAGCGAAGATGACGTCGTCACTCAAATGAGCAACATGAACGTCTCGTCTGGGCGATCTGGAGTCAACCCGACGATGTCTCTTGTACAGCATCTCCTCATTTATTACGGCATAACGGAGGAGTTGCCGAAGGCGGCTTTCCAACTCCTAGATCAGACCGGTTTTCTACGAAACTACTCTCCAGCATTCGCGAACAAGCAAGAGGTGCGATTATGCGAGGATTTCCGCCGGCTTGGGTATCATGAAGTGGCAGGAGAGCTGCTGTCTTGGCTCCCCGGAACGCCTGCTGTCAAGTACGTGGAGGCTCGACTATGGCTGGACGAGAACCAATTCGACAATGCTGCGATAATCTTGGAAAGCCTCGCCGGGAGTTTCGGTGCGCTGTTTCTTTCCCTGCAGTTGTGATATCGATGCCAACTGACGGTTCCGGTATAGGGCCGGAGTCGCTCATGTCTAGTCAGGCCCTGTCAGATGCAGACGCCGAGCCGGACGACCAGGGGGCTCTCGGGGCTGTACTTCCCGGTGCACAAAATTTCAGAACAGAGTTTGATTTATACTTGCACGCTGCAGAGCTCTTCAGGGATGCCGATGCAACTGCGCATGAAGTGTCCTTCGCGAAGCTTGCAATCTCACATGCGCCGACCGGCGGCGACACGTCTGCATTGTGGCAGTCCCTCATCAGGGGTCTCACGGACCTAGGCCGACATGAGAACGCGTACATGGCTCTCGTGTCCACGCCTTATGACAAAGTGTAAGCCGGCCCCCTCTATTTGAAGTGCCCCTTACTGACTCCGAGCAGTAAACGGGAGTGTGTTAGTCAGCTGGTGTTCAAAATGTGCGAAGAAGATGCGATTGAGCGCTTATTGTCGTTTAACTTCGCCACCTTGGGCGACGAGGTCGAAGATGCTCTGTCGTTCAAGGCTCGAAATGCTGACCCTCGAGTGCGACCGTTCTATTCCCGTATTCTGTATACCTGGTACGTCTCGAGGGGAGATTACCGCAACGGTCAGCGCATCTCACTCTATGCCCAATGTGTTCTGCCCTGCTGACCCTTGATCACTTGACATGGCATAGCCTCGCTTGTAATGTATCAACGGGCACGAAAACTCGCGGTCCTGATTGAACAACACCACGCGTTTCGTGACCTTGCGGAACAGCAGCTTGAAGCATATATTATTGCCATGGAAGCTCTGGCCCTAGTCGATCGGAAAAACGCCTGGATTGTTATTCCCGTTACGGCAGAGACCGAGCATGAGGTTCGTGGGCCTTTTTCTGTCCGGTTTCCAGTCGAGCTATCGCTGATCGGGATACTTATAGCCCCGTAAAAGAAGGAGGCTATGCAAGCACATACCGGAAGATAAGTTTTCGTCTGGGAAGCGAGACGTCGAGATAGTGGAGCTGGCAGACATGCAATACGAGTGTGCCCTACTGACTGCACGACTCGAGTTGATCGGACTCGACCACACGTTGTCGAATGGAGGTTAGTCTTCGAAGCAGAATGACATTCGCGGAGCGCTAACGGTGCGGTGTCCAGTGTGGGTGTCTTCCCCCAGCGCGATCGTCATGAAATTTGCGCAAATGAACCGCCTTGACAAAGCGTTTACCATTGCTCGCGCGTTGGGTGTCGACATGTCCCGTCTTTTCGCTCATTTGACTACGCAGTGCCTGCATTTTTCACGCAAGCGTGATGCCATGATGTGACTTCTTTAATTAGCCTTCCAATCATCCGCTGACTCAACTTCTGGTAGGACGGAGGACGTCGGCGACTGGCTACTTACGGATAAAGTTTCCTCATGGTCCGGGACTATGGCGGATAGGGCATGGCGCTACCTGCGGCAGGCATTGGAACGCTATGACGGGTCGGACACAGACCATCGGTACTACAAGGAAGCGCTGGAAACTGTTTTGTCGTACGACGCATCGCCGCCGCCGTGGTTAACCCATCTACTCGAAGTCAGTCCTCTATCTCACTGCACGATACCTCATCTAACCGCAGTTGGCTATAAAACAGAACGAAGAGTCGGAGTATCTGCTGCGAACGTACATGCGCTACAACCGTCTGGAGTCTGCATTAGAGTACACTATATCGCTGTTCGAGAAGGTGAACCCTTCAACTAGTGTGGGATATGGTCCTGGAAGATTATGTCTGATCGCGTATAACGTTTGCAGAGTGATGCACGCCTTGCCCAGGACGAGCCAAGGAAGGCCTCGGCAACTTGGCTGCCGTATACCCTCATTGATCAAGTTCTTCTGGCAGCTCAGGAAGACACCTTGCCGCGCGTGCAGGAGCTTCAGAAGCGGCTGCGAGCACATATCGCAAACCATATCAAAATGGTAGAGAAGCTTAGACAAGCTAGTCAATGATGCATGCTGGGTCGCGAAGGGGGGTTGAGAACTGTTCAAACTTTGCACACTTTCGTCAACGGCACTTCTGATTGAGTTCACATGTTGCTGTATTGGCAATCCTCTGAACCTAGCAACTGTAATTTTGATGGCGGTTGATAATCAGATTGGCACTTTTTAGTCTCGAGAAAGTTGATGAACGGCGCGCCAATGATGCCTTGAGGACGAAGGCAGCATCAGGTTCTTCACACTTGGGCTTGGGCTCGAAATGATCGAGGCAGGACTGGGCAGCGGTAGAGCACGTGCCACTGACAGACCAGGCGCGTCGGTCAGGCCGGCCGTGGGAAACATGGAGTCGACCGGTTACGGTGAGCTTCGGAAGTGAGCACACCTCTTACTGCCACCGTCACCTCGCCATTCACAATGTCCTCGCATATGCGGAAGTCGTTCTTGAAGAACTGGTTCGCCGTTGAGGTCAGTATCTCTCTGAGTTCTCTGTCTGGACGTGGATTGCTCATCTCCCTGGACCTTTGGCCTAGGCGACCCCCATGTGAGTAGAAGACCCGTCATTCAATTGATATTGCAGGGTTGTTAATCTTGGCAAAAGTTTTGCTGTTGTCGGAGCGGTTATAATCGGTGGGACTTGGTATCTCACACGGCTTGCGCGGGGCCCAACTGGTGAGCATGCGACACTCCAGGGTGTTTATCGCGGTTCACCAATCTGAATGCCTTTCCAGTCGTCTGGACGAAGGAGAACCCCACTCCCTGGAACGACATCCAGCCAAATGAGGGTACCAAACTACTCACTGTCAACCAGCACTTCGACAAGAGGTGCGTGAAGTCGTTCTCTTCTCTGCCTCATGTTCTCTTACTCTGTCGTAATATAGCTGGGAAAGGAAGAAGCTTTAAATGTCCGCCTACTTTCCCGTCGTGTATGGAGGTCTGGAATTCATGCGGTGGACGCTCTGTAGCCGCCCTCTCAAATGTCCCTGATCATCCCTTCCCAATGTATTATAATGCGTGACGTGTGATGTCTGTCGTTGTGACCTTCAGCATCGGTCTCTGTTGACATCGATTCATCTCAACCACTGATCCCTTTGATATTCTCGAACATGGTGGTCCGCCTCGACGATTCGCAGCCTGTGTATTCTCTACCCTCTTTAGAGATCCCAGATGAAGAGGAGGATGCCCCTGCTCCTGGATTGTCGCTGGTGAGACAACTCGGGAGCGCGTCGAGGACGAAATATAACCAACAGCAACTTAAGCGCGTCGTCGGCGCCCTGCAGCTTCCTGAAATCATCTTCGGTGCTGCAGCGCTTTCCAGTATCTACAACGAAGACAGTCACTTGTCTGGATTCACGCCAGTGCGCACCGTAAGACTGGCACTGCGGTAAGTCGCATGGCGGTGACGAAGTGCGCGCAATTCACGCCATTGCAGATATGGTATCAATGCCTTCGATACATCTGCATACTATCAGCAATCCGAAATCGTATTGGGTACTGCATTGAAGGCGCTCGAAACCGACTTCCCGCGCTCTTCATATAAATTGGTAGCGGGCTTCGATGATCATCGGAAGCGTTCGTTCATATCATGATCGCATACATAGATGACGAAGTGCGGCCGTTACGGCAGCACGAGAGCCGACTTTGACTACTCCCCCACCACGATCCGCGCGAGCGTGCAGCGCAGCCTCAAGCGGCTGAATACCACCTACCTCGACGCGGTGTATCTGCACGATGTCGAGTTCATCGCGACCCAAGTTGGCGCGCGCGTCGCTGGCGATCCGACACTGGCGTTGAACGAAAAGAAGGCGGAGTACGGCCTGGTCGAGGGAGAGGAAGGCAAGGTGTGGGGTGAAGGTGACCAGAAGATACTAGATGCGCTCGCTGAGCTGCGCAAGATGCAAGACGAGGGGATCGTCAAAGCAGTCGGGATAACAGGTTCGATTTAATTTCTGTGTCGTGCGATCCCCGTTAAATGCAAGCATCGTCATCAGGCTATCCACTTCCAACACTTCTCCGTCTTGCTTTGCTTGCCCTGCACACGCCGCCTTACAAGCCGCTCGATGTCCTGCTCTCATATTCACACTTGATGCTGCAGAACACCGCATTCGCCGAGTTTGCGCCGCATTTCCGCGACCGTGCGAAGATCTCCCAGCTGCTCACCGCGTCCCCGCTCAACATGGGCTTGCTCACGCCCAAGCCCCCAGCCTGGCACCCTGCCTCCCAGGAGCTCCGCGATGCGGCCAAGCAGGCGAGTTCGACTTGCGCGCAGTGGGACGGCGGACTGCCGAACGTCGCTGTGGGATTCAGCTTCCGCAAGGCGAACGAGCTCAGTGTGCCGACCGTCGTCGGTCTCAGTAACCCGCGCGAAGTGCACGAGAATGTCCGAGTATGGCGCGAAATATGCGAGGGAAAAGAAGAGAAGGAGCTGGAGCGTCTCGCCCAGGAACAAGAAGTATTGAAGGTCTTCGACAATTTGAAGGGATGGTCCTGGGCGTCTCCGCCTTCCAAACTCTTGTGACCCATTAGAATGTCAGACACAAAGATGGTGCAGATTAGTTAAGACTATAGATACAATGCGGGTACAAACAAATGGTCATTTAACAGCTTCATACGCCAGATCGCCAGCATGGTTGTCCAATCCTTGTTAGACATCAGACAGGTCCTCGAAGCCTGACTGATTACCGAGTTTTGATGATACCTGCATTGACGAGCTTCATGATATTGTTACGGACAGTGGGGTTCTTCATGTGATCCTGCAGCGCTGCAGGGTTTGACTGTGCCTGCTGGAGGATGGACTGCATTACAGGGTCACTCATGATTGTCTGGTAACGATTCCATCAGCGTTCGAGATAACGACAAAATAAGCCAATTCTGAAGCACATACAGCGATCTCAGGGTCCCGCATCGCACGCTGGAGCGTTTCCTCTTCGCTCTCCTCTGTCCGCTGGCTGAACAGCTCCTGCTGGCACTTGAGCATCTGGTCCTGGAGCTCCTTTGTATGCTTATGCTCATCGTCTATCTCAGCGGCTTGCTGAATCGCCTCGAGCGCCTTTGTGTAGTCGTGCATCGCGAACAGCACGTGGCTCTTCCGAATGTACGCTTTCACGAACTTGGGGTCAACCTTGATCGCCTCGTCTGCATCCTTGACCGCCTCGGGAAACGCGACGAGCTTCGTGTATGCATTTGCACGGTTGTTGTACCCGCGCGGGTCGTGCGGATCGCGCTTGATCGCCTCCGTGTACGCCTTCACAGCGCCAGCAAAGTCGCCCTTCTTGAAAAGCGCGTTGCCCTCCTCACGCGCCTGTTCGGCCTTCTCTGGGTTGATGTATGCGAGCCGCTGCGTCTCTGCTTGCGTGCGCTCTGTCTCGTGCAGCTTATTGAGGATGTCGGGGGTGCGGTGTTCGGTGAGCGACTTGTTGTAGAACTTGATGGCGGTCTCGAGATCTCCCTTTCGCGAATATGCGTTGCCGATACGGCCGAGAGCTTTTGCGACAAGTTTGTAGTCCGCGCGGAGCTGAATCGAAAATGAGAGGCTGCGTCAGAGAAAAGCAACCAACGGCACGCACCGATCGTCCCTCGTCAACTGCCTTCTCGCACGTCTCAATGCACTTATCGAAGTTACCCTCCTCGAAATATGCAGCTACAGGAATGTAAGCAGACCTGTGCGACTCCAGTATCAAATCGAAGCTCACCTGCAAGATTCGTAAGGAACGTGATGTCCTGCGGATAGATATCCCACGCCTTTTGGAAGTGCACTGCGGCCTCCTCGAACTTCCTTGACTTGTATGCGTCCGCACCGAGCTTCTTCTCAGCCTCAGCTTCTTTCCGTGCCTTCGCCGTCTCATCGTCCTCAGGCTCCCCCATTTCCACATCCTCCACCGTGGCTTCCTCTTTGGGTGGTGGCGGTGCTGAGCTTGACGAAGCGGTCGGCTGCGGCGAAGGCGATTCGGGCTCATGGACCTCTTCCATCTTCGCCACGCCCGGTGGGAGCTCGTCCGAACCCTCCTCGCGCGCGAAACCCTGCATGTCGATGCCCATGAGCACGCCTAGCACGTCGATCATGCGTGCATCGTTCAACACGCCCTGAGCGGCGTTAGGGTTCTGCTGAATGAACTGCAGCTGCTGAACAAATGAGGGATCCGCGAGATGCTTCGCCGTGCGCGGGTTTGCGGCGAGTTTGCCGAGCAGGTTGGGGTCGGCGAACATCTTACCGAGGCCGAAGGCCTCTGCGCCGTCTCCTCGTTCGTCCGCGGCTGTCGATTTGCTAGTTCAGAGCATGCGAGATGTCGAAAAGAACTGAGAAGGCAAACCTTTCGCATCCTGGACCTCCTTCAGCCCCTTCCTCAGCGCAGGGCTGTCCTCAAGCTTGAGGCCGGTCTCATATGCTGCAATGGCTTCGTTATATTTTCGCAATCCGTGTAATGCAGCACCCTTGCGTGCATAGCCCTTCGACCATGCAGGGTTCACGTTAATGCACTGAGAACCTCGTCAGTCCAGCTATCACTGAAACGGCACGCTCGGAGAACCACACCTGCTCGGCATCCTCGAGTGCTGCGGCATACTGTCGCTTTCCTGCCTTGGCAGCGCTACGATTCGAGAAAAGGACAAAGTTGTTTGGATCGAGTGCAATCGCCTGCGAGAAGAGGTCGATTGCCTTGTCGTAGTCTTTGGCCTGGAAGGCCTTGTTGCCCTGGTCTTTCAATGCGTCGGCCATGAGTGTCGGGGATAGTTTGCGGCTGAGGGTGTAGTACTATATGAACCGTGCAGACGCCTTCAGCCAGAGACTCGAAGATTCGAGAACCTTTCTTCGGTCATCCTTAAGCCCAGGTCCCTTATCTTATCGATCGTTATGTATTTGTAAATAAATGGTAGACCAAGCTCAATACTATAGATACCGTAGCGTGGGGGACAGCACAACCAGGGATCTACAAGCATACTATACAAAGAGACCCGACTTCACCGTGCGATTGCAACAAACGTTGCAAGCTCAAGACCCGGGGTGGCGCTCCATGTGACTGTGTCGCGTAGGAGCGTCTGGACGGTGCACCACGTTCAGGAATTGCGCCCACTCGCCCAACCCAAATCCCACAGAAGCGCCCCACATGGAGCTCTCATCTGCCGGGTGTAAGTACCCCGTCGGCTGGCCACCGTCAAATGCCTGTACGTGGTGAGGTTGCGGCTGCTGCATCATCGTCGCCTGCTGCACGGCATATGAGTTCATCGTCGGACGAGAGTATGGTGAAGGAGCAGGGGCATGCCCCGGAGGTGGCTGTGGCCGCGGTGGATGGCCGATACGATTAGAAGGGACGGGATCAGCTGCGAGTGATTTTTGCATATTGAGTAACTGTTGATGCGTCTCACTAGCCGTACGTCGTCGCTTCATCATTTGTTGCGGCACGGCAAGTGGAGACTCCGGCGGTGGGTGCATGTATGGGGGGCTAACGTCATCCTCAGTCTGCACCGGCGGCCATTGCATCGACGCTGTTGAGATGACTGTATGATCATGCACCTGCACATGCAACGCAGGTGATCCTTCCATCTGCATCTGAACGTCGTTCCTGGACGCCATGGCAGATTCTGCAACCCTGGGTGAAAACGGCCTGTACCCAGGCGACTCGACGTCGCGAGAATACGCCAAATCCTGATATGGAAACGCAAGGTTTTTGACAAGTTTGAGAATCTGCGCCTTGCGTTTGGAACGCTCCTCGGGCGACTCCTTCTCCGAGCCAGGCGCATACAGCGGCTCGAGAGCCTGCAGGATCATCAACGCCTTGTCTGCGACGGGCAATACCCTGCACTGGTCGAGCAGCACCATTCCTTTGCGAATCTGTTCTCGGAACAGTCCCTTGCCTGGCTGGTTCGGGCTATTGATCAGCTGGAAGCTAAAGAACATCAACGCCGAAAAGACGTGGAACGGGCCCCAATTGAGGTGGCCCGGCACGCACGCGACGTTAAATGCTTGTGCGAAGAGCGAGATCAGGCCCGACGCGGCGCTCACGGCGATTTCGAGGCTCTCAGGAAGCTTGACGTACGGCCTGTGAAGCGTGAAGCGGATATGGAAGTACGCGCATCGGTGAATCACGCTCTGCACTGCGAGGCGCCGCAAGTCGGAATCGACGCTCGTTAGTCCACGGGCCAGCGCGAACTCGTCCAGGAGCAGCTCCCGCGGGAGCGCGTCGTACCACGCTTTGAGCATCCGGTCGCGCTCCTGGACGGCGGCATACGGCACCGGGCGGAACGACACCGCGTCGTCCATGATATCGCCGAGGATGTACGCCAGGCGGAACAGCACGAGGTTCGGGATGTACACCTGACCAGACGGGTCGAGCGCCGAATCGCAGAACGTCGGGAGGTGCGTGTCGAAATGGTGCGACGCGATCTGCAGCGGGCGCCCGAACATGAACGCCTGCCAGCGCTCGAAGAGCAGGATGTGCCACCACGCCCAGCGCCGCCGTTCCGCGAGCGTGCGTTCGTAGCGGTGCTTGCCTGGGTCGCGGTGCAGGCCCATCGCCATCCCGACGGACACGAGCTCTGACCCGAGCGCCCACACCTCCTCGGGACCCTCCTTCGCAAACGTCATGTAGTGCGACTGCGCGAGGAGCAGCTCGACGAGCCCGAGCGTGTATGTGCGGGTGCGGCTCTCCGCGTCGGCGCGGTACCGTTGCAGCGCGGTTTGCGACAGCCCGTTGTACTTCTGCGCGAGCTGCTCGCTCGCCCCCAGGCCCGCGAGGAGCGCATGCCCTGGCGGCAGGTAGCAGACCGCAAGCGCGATGAGGACGCACACGGTCGCGAAGACGACGCGGTCGCCCGACTGCCCCTCCTTGTAGCACGCCCAGCCGTCTAGCAATGCAGGCTCATTCACGTGTCGATAGATCCAGTTGCAGTAGCTGAAGTAATAGGCGACCATCTCGTCGACGGTGTTGATGGGTGGGAGGGCTGCGATGAGGTCTTCGTCATAGGCAGAGGCTAAGGTTGCAGAGACCGTGCTGCTTGGCGAAAGCGCGGTCTCCAGTTCTCGCGAAGGCGTTGGAGGGTGCTCGCTCGCATCGGATTCGTCCTTGTCAGATGTCTACGAGCGGATAAGTGCCAATTCAAGCGGCACGACACAGCGAGTGCACTTACGTTTATGAGGTTAGATGTCACAGTTGTCGGGCCTTCGTATAGGCCGCCCGAGTTGTGCTGCCCATGCTTACCAGGCGTGCTGATGATGTTCGGGTCAGCGGCCTTCGCAGTATTTCCAAGCGGAGTAGAAGCTGAGGAACGAGATGGCGGATCTGCCATACTCTCAAAGAGTCGTTTCGATGGCGTTGCAATGGGATGCGGCGGAAAACCCGAGGAATTTGCTGGATTGGTACTTGTTGAGCGGGAGCCGCCCGTGTCTTTACAATGCAACTCGAGAAGGGCGAGTGAGTCGCGTATACGGATGATTTCGCCTAGAGGGTCAACTTGTCGTCTGAGCCCGCAAAGGAGAGGAAGAGCAGCGGACATGCATTCAGCGCCTACTTGCAGGTAAACTTATGACTAACGACTCACCGGATGTCCTGAATACGCGAGGGACTGCCTTCCTGACCTTGATAACATAGTGCGGTAGTTCCTATATAGAGAGTTTATTGAGCTTCTGTGTACCAGGACGTGATATTATCATGAAGAGGCCGTGCGCGAACGTCGGCTAATAACCTGGGGCGAACTTCTTACGAATTCGAAGGTCTCCGTGGGAGCGCAAAGTCAACCCATGACACATTCCTATTAATCAGATGTAGCCTCTTAGTCTCGAACCTCTGCATGAGTTACATTCAGGGAGCCGCGTAACACAGCATCCCGAATAAGCAGAATACCGAAACTGTACTCCAGTACAGGCGCGCAAGCGCCCTACGAGTATAAGCGCTCCAGGCCTCATTTTCTGCACGAGTCTCGCAGAGGCCTTTGGAACCATCTGCGAGGTCGATCGCCGGCCTCATCGCTAGAAATCCGTAAATAAATGAATGTGACTGCACCCGAGCTTCTGCATTCTGTACATTGCAGCGAATCCCGGAACATGGAAAATGTACAGCCTGCTGAGCTTCACAGGGCTGTGCTAGGTGACATTTGGGTGTCACAGCTGCAAGTCAGATGAAGCAAAGATAGAGCATACTGTTGTCCATGCTCAATGCAACCGGACGTAGGTCGCAGTTGCGCGTCGCAAATTGTGGCTCCCATGGACGCGTCACAAATGCGATGCTTTGATGACGGGATTTGTGACTGGCCCCGAACAGCAACATGCGAGCTGAGGTCATATAGATTTTAGCCGACGCAAGGGACCAGCACTTTCAAGGTTCTATCGCGGCGGGGTGATACAAATCCCACGTCAATGCTCACTTTGCGCCGATGACGTACAACCAACAAAGGCTGACTGGCAGGATGCCCCCATGGCTACGAGCTGGCAGCGACGTGATGGCCACGACATGATGGGCAGCTTAAATGCTTACCTCGCAGGACACAAGACGAGCACGGGCGATTCCTGTGAAATCCGAGGAGAACGAAGACACGTGCGATGAGCGCGAATGGACATATATCTACGGGACGGGGGAAGGAGCCGACGCCTCACCTGTCGCATTTAAGCTTGCTGGCCCTACAGGGCTCGCAATTGATGGCTTTGCGGGCTCGCTTGAGGCCAGCGTATCCGTTTGAGACCGGAGGATCGCCCTTCGGTCGCTCCGCGCTCCCCGCGGTGGGCGAGTGCATCCGGCGCACCTTTGTGGCTCTAGCGACCGCCTTATCCTCTGCCTTGGAATTCGACGCGTAATCCATCGAGTGGGGGGTTCTGAGCCTTTCGTACTGTCGCCCTTGCTGGTACGCTCAAGAGAGCTGCGTGGCGATGGGACGCAGATACCAGCTCGTCCCGGCTGCACGACTTGCCCCTGCATATTAGACGCGCGGTCCTGGGGCCGCAACCTGAAACGGACGGCGTATTGCCTGCAGAACGCGGGTGAGCGGGTGCACCTCTGATGCCATTCATTCTATCGCTTCATCCTTTTCCCACCCTTTCTCCGCTGATTTCGCGCGGTTGTCGATCCCCCTCGTCATCAATGAAGGCGTCCCCCGACTCCTCAACGTTAACAATCAACATTGACATCAATTTCGGCGTGGTATGGGCGGTTTCCTCTTCGCAATACTGCTGCTTTTTTGTCATTGACGTTCCGTGGACTTTGTGCATGTGATGATTTATCAAGAGACTTGCGGAGCAATTCGGCTCTGATCGCCTCGCGAGATCACTATCTAGATACACCTGGAAATCGCATCACCGTCCTCGGGGGGATCGTACACACGCTAGTCGCCGTCTGCCGCCCTGTGTGCCCAGCCTGCTCCACGAGCTATCCGGGGCCACATCTTCACATGTTCCGGCTCGACTTGCCAGGACACAGTTTTCCTTCTGCGAAGAGAACATCTTTTTCCAGCTTGATCCGTCGAGTAAGCTCTCAGACTCGTGGCCGTTACGTACGTTCTATCACCGCAGACGTTACGAGTCAATGCACATGCTCCGCATCTTAGCCGCGTCATCCCTATCAAGGGACCTTGACTATCGTGGTGCGCCGGCGCACGGAGACAGCCTTCTGGACCTGAAGGCTCTGCCTGTTTTGCCTCGCATTCACACATTGCCTCGTCGGAGAACAAGCGTTAACTGCGGTAGCACCCTAATCTCTGGTCGCTGGAGCTTGACCAAGACAAGTAAGTGGAGTGGTGATCGCTGATCAGTCCCACGGAAGATACGCGACAGGAGGCGCGAGTGAAATACATATCGCGCTGTGCGTGTATCTTGGAGCCTAGCGGACGTAAAGGTTACGTAGGATAAGGCGTAGAGGTTTCGCGATCGTAAGGAGCATGTGCGTAGAATGGCGCCCATGCTATCACTGTTAGCGCCTGCCACCTTGTCAGGATCGGCCACTGCAAAAATCTTGTCAGCGATATTCAGGACAAATGTTCGTGGAGCGTTTCGAGAATGCAAAGAAATCAGGGAGGGGCACAGGAAAATCTCGGCGGCGCAAGGAGGACCAGGAGTTGATAGGAGGTAGAGTCGATCAGCGTCTTCTGCAACCCATCTCGCCAAGGTAGAAGCTACTGTCTGATCCAATGAACGAAGGAGATGGTGTCTAGCGACGACAGTCTTTCGGTACAGGTGCGGAGGACCTGTATGTGTCGATTGTGCCATCCGAGCTTTTCTTTCAAGCTCATGGGATGGCATACACTTCGTGCGGTCTGACGAAGATCGCAGAAGACCGGCAGCACTTGAAGGTAGTGACTCTGCCCTCTACACTCGCGCTGCTTCACCAATTCGAGCACAGCGCCTTCGCTAATGATGAGCTTGATCGGCATAGAAGGAGGCACAGGCCGTATCCCACAAAAGTCGACGATGGGTATAGGAACGACTGTCTTCAGACTTCCACGAAGGCTGATTTACGAGCCTAGATCGGTCGGCATCACCGATCACGCCACCCGAAGACTGGGGTCGTGCGAATATCTGCACAGCAGCGAGAGTGATGAACCCAGAGGGTTTGCGGGTGATGAGAGAGCGCGGCATTCGACGTGGGTGCCGGTGCCAATACGACCTCCACGTCCAATCGCGTTTTTTTGACTCTTCCGGGGAAATGTCCGGAGTTGGCAAGAGAGCAGCCCGCAAGCGGTAGGCGGTGAGCTACAAATGCCCGGTTACGACGAGGTGAGGACAACAGGAGGAGTGCATTTGCATGCGAGTAAAGCACTGGCAGGTGTGAGTCGTCGAGCCGATTTGGCATTGTGATGACCTTGGTATCATTATAGATGTATCATTCGAAAACACCAACCGCAGGCGAACTGATATATGGCCCGTGGGAGCTCATGAACGATCGACGAGACTCGGCTCCACGCAGGGCTCTGAAGACTAGATAGTCGGACATGTCTGGACATTGAAAGCATGATGAGTTGATTAGCGATGACGGCAGATGGAATGCTGAGGGGGAAAGCTGACATCGATAACGCGCGAAGAAAATGAGGCTCGAGAGACTGTCTTGCAGCACTTGAAACGGCGTAACTTAGGATGCGCAGTGAGCTAAAGGAAATAAAACACGTGGGCTTTCCCTGGTCTCCTGTGGGCGAACTCGGCAACTCCTTCGAACCTCCGCAGGCTTCGGATATCCTCGTCTGACGCTTTTCCATATGATGAGGTCGTGAGAGCATTGAAATGCCTGTACGCCTCAAGGATGCCCATTCTGATGCGAGATAGCGTTCAATAGTGCGGGTTGCGATTCACAGCAGTGTGGTGTCCTGGAAGAAAGTGGAACGCACAGACGACCCGATCATGCACGATGCGGCACAAGGTAGCATTCGATAGGGTATTTTCTCCAAATGGCGAAGTGAACGATGGTGATGCGTGTCCATGCAGTCTTCAACAATGAGTCAAGAAATTGCGCTCAAAATCGAATGTCCTTGCGCGCCGCACTTCACAGCCACCATGTCGTCGGCCACTTTTAGACCAGAATGGATAGACGGTGGAAGAATGACCGGCAATACACTTCACAAACGGACGGATGTGCAAAGAGACGATCGGATCGGCCAATATGGAGCAGAAATATGATGGCCGGATGTGCCTGAAGATATTAGGAGATCCCTCCGAGGCCGACGCGATTGCTGGACGCGGCACGCAGCTGATTGGGTACGCAGTGATGTGTTGTTCAGAAGAGGTAGCAAGGGAGGGAATAGCTTGACTGAAAGAAGAGTTTGGCCACGCATATACACAGGGGTTCAGGGGGACAATAGGAAGACACCACCACCGAAAAGGATCATGCGTCGCGGATTCCTGAGTAATGATCACATTATTACTGTCAGCCTCATGTACCTGTGCATAGAGTAGCAACTTGAAGCGATAGGGCGCACCTCTTAATATTCCTCATCATCAAAGTAATTGCGTTTGATGTCCAGATATCCCACGCTGAGAATACGCGGCGCACATGTGCCTCCACTTTATGATTGGTGCTCTCCCCTGTCTCATGGAATGGCCCAAGCTGAATTTCGACTAGCTCTAGCTGAGAGAATTTTTCACGATCGATGACATGATCAATGCCAGACACATTGAGCATATCGAGCTCATCGAAGAAGCGGGCAGCTACATCGGGATCAGATAGGTACTCCATGCGGGATCCTGAGTCTAAGCGGATCCAAAGTTCTTGTAGCTGAGCGCTCGTGATGTGAAAGAGAATCTCCGCTACACTCTTCCATAGCGTGTGCCACGTGTGGTCGGACCATACGTCAAGACTGAGACTAGTTAGGCTGGTACAAGGAGCGAGGCTGAGTTGCGCAACTGTTCAGTCACAAATTCAATGTCGCAAATTAGGATGCGTTCGGAGGATAACCTCACCCTCAAAAATCCCGGACCCAATAACAGTCAATGATTCAAGAGAGTTTCCAAACGTTCGCATCAGCATGTCAAGATGACAGCCAAGAGATGTTGCCAGTCCAGAGTGGAATATAGCTAATCTAGTGAGTCCTCCAGGGGCGAATGCGTCGATAAAGCATTCAACCGATGTCGCAAAGAAGTTCGTGTCGTCACTCTCGAGTCTTAATTGTGCAAGCTGGATTCGGTGGATGGGAGGTTCCGGAGCAGAAGTAGGTGGCAGCACCATCTGCTGCAGGTGCTCCGGTTTCTGAAAGAGTTCTACGACGGACAATTTGGTGACGCAGGGGAAGCTGCGAAGAAGAATCAGGATGCCACTGAGGTCCATGGTAGAGGTAATCCAAAGCTCCACAGCCTCTACTGATAGAAGCAGTTTTGAAATGAGCATTAGGAAGTCAGCTTGCGAGAAGCAATCCATGCTACGATCATAACCCTGTGAAAGTATTAGAGTCCGTGCACTGCACGCAGACATGTTGGAAAGGATGGTTCCTGGACTTGATGGATGTCTTGTGGCTGGAATCCAGGAAATGTAATCTAACGTTAGAGTTTCCAGCTGAGGGAATGCACACAGAATACGTCGAAGATCTTGCAGGCCACAGAAACGACAAGCATATAACCCCAAATGTGTCACGAGGTTGAATTGTGCCATCGAGGTGAAGAAACCCGGATGGAGCAGCGGGTTTGTCTGCCAGTCAATGTCTTGTAAATTGAGCGTCTGGATCCTCTTGAAAGAATGACCAAACACGTGTGGTATGAGATGGGCGATGATCCGCAAAAACTTCACGAAGCCAGCATGGCTCCGACGGCCGGAGCGAACCATGAGGTGCGACAAATCATCGAATTGGGAAGCACTGGTCAGCTCGAGGGAGTATGGAAGGTAGTCTTGGGCGAGGGAGTGCCAGTCACGACAAGTGAGGGCGCAGTGAAACAACGCCACTGAGTCGGTCCATTTCAGGTTGCCCATGATAATGCTGATCACATCCAAGGGTAGTTCTGGAATCATGCTGCACGCAAGATATTGCACGGTGAACAACGAACACAACAATTCGAAGATCAACTTGCCAACCTTAGTGTCAGTATCTCTGGAAAGTCTCAAAATTCTGTATTCGGCTGGAGGATGTAGCGAACCGGCTGAGTAAATGTTAGATTCGTGACCAGCAAGTACAATGATTCCACTGGTGGGAGCACTTTGAAGACACCATAGCTAACGCGCGCCGCACCGTGTGCTGCGTGGTCCTCATTTAGAAATTTCAATCGAGATATACTATTATACGTTTGAAATATTGTTACGATATTGTCTGACTGCTTTCAGCTGCCGCAACAGTATGCATCTGGCTTAACACTAGACCAAAAGGATGCATTGCTAGATACCGTGCGCATGAATCCGCACCCAAAAATTGGCCCAGACATACGAGGAAACTTGGTCAACTCCACTGCACGAGGAGAGCGCACCCTGATGTTGATGGAGACATCGCAATGACAGGGTACTTATAATATTGTAGGTATTTCGCGACGCTGCCACTCCAATGAATCACTTTCATCGCTTCTTCACTTTCTTCCGATGGTTGCTATTGTCCTTCGGCGCTGCTCGTATAGCACCCAACACGTCCTTCAGGTCCTTGTCCTCCGCTGTCGAGATATCCTGCTTTCTTGTCTCGCCACTCTGCTCATCCTCGAGGTCGTTTGCGAAGTTCGGTTTCTGCTGTTCAGCGTCTTTTCCTGCACCTAGACCGCCCTTCCTGATCTTATTGCTAAGCCTAGCATTAAAGAGAGCGTCGATTTCGTCCTCAGGCTCTGTTTTATGCTTCCGTTTCTTTGGCTTGTCTGCGCTTGCGCCTGCCTCGTCTGCAGGCGTGACCTCTACAGCTGCAGTAGCGGTAACCGCAGACAGCTGGGCTAGGTTCGACCGAACGGAATCAGAAGACGCAGCTTTCGACACGGATTGTTGGTCTCTCCATTGATCGGGTTTGCGCTGGAGAAGGTGCAAGTTGAGGTTGCGAGTGAAGAATTTGCCATACATTGAGCCGGCGAGAAAGTACTCATGAGGTATCACTGAACGAGCGATCTTTCCCTAGGCATCCACCCTTCTGTCAGTCTAAGATGTAATACGGAGTGTAGATAGACCGACCTTCAAATATGGGTCAGCATACGCCCAACACCGCTCGCCAACCCTGCTACCGATCCGATCATCCACGAGCGTGTGGAAGTGTCCAATAAATGCGAGCACGAACTTCCGCTTTGCCTTGGTGGATACTGTGGGCGACTCAAGCAGAACGTCCAGCACACGCGAACTCGTCGTGCTGTGGGCCATCGCGATCAACTCGTCTATGCTGAGGGATAAAACGCTGTAGGTTCTGTCAAAAACAACAAACAGGGTATTTTTGGGAGAACAATGCCGACCTATCAAGTACATACTCGTTGTAGGGCGACGGTAGACGCAGCATGGACTGCAGAAGCAGTGAACCCTGCAGCTTGGGCTCCAGTGGATTGTCCCCGGCTTTGACTCCAGCTCGTCTGTTCGAGGTTGTGCCTTCGGGTGTGTACGAGGACTCAGCTTGTGTAGACATTGCGGCCTTGTAGTCCTACACAACAGGATAATCAGATAACACCCACAAAGCTAGGGGTAATTTCTTGCATTGAGCGCTAATGTTCGTAGTATGCAGGGAACAGCCAATTCCCTCTCTTCTGAACTAGTGAGCTCGAATGCGGCGCAAACTGCCTATAGTTTACGAATAAGTTAACCGACAGACCATGATTGGGTGATACTTACTTGGACGATTCGCCCCTCATGTGCATGTAGAGCCGCAGCTCTGTCCACTAGAGCACGCAATACGCCAGTTCGAGAGGACTCTACAGAATTCAGCTTGATGATATAGCTCAGCTCCATTCCGATGAGAGAGCGCCTACTGATGATCTTTCCGAGGACGCTGTCCAACTCCTGGCATGCCTCCTCTAATTCGCTTGCATCTACGCGCTCGAGAGCCTTCGCGACGACGAAATTGGCAACAGGATGCACGGCAAGCTTCGGCAATTTGCCTCGGAAATAGGTTGCCCACAGAACCTTGAATACCTTGGCAGGCGACCGGTGCACGAGCGTTTCCAGCAGATGCGAAGCAGTGGGGTCTCGAAGCAGGGTCATCAAGTAATCGGACGCTTCAGGCTCGACCGAATCATCCTGATCTGTATAGAGTGTCAGTGACATTTGGCGTCCTAGTAAGGCGCAAAAACGAACGGGAAAGCGTGATGAGCCCTGCCAGCGCTCGGTCCATCATGGAACCTGGAGTATCTGCCATGTCAGAGCCTGCTTCTACTTCAAGCAGCATCTGTGACGCGCATACATCAGTATCGTATGTGCGGGTACCACGGGTATTGCCACAAATTCACCTGAAGCACGGGGCTGGCGACTTTGTCCGCAGCTAATGCGCGCACTTCGTTGTCACCGAGGTCCTTGCGAAGCTTGAGGACAAATTTTTTCGCGACCTCGTAAAACTCTGGAGGTGCGCGTTTTGCTGTAGTATCCAGAGTGCCGGTCTCCCTATCAGAGAACACCGACTTCATAGGCCCTTGGCGAACCTTGTAGGAGGCGCTTTTCTTAGATCGTACGGAACCGGCACCGCCATCAACTTTCGGGAAACAGTCAGGTGCTAAGAGGAGAAGGAGAGCACGAATAACGTGAGAAGCGAACGGGTCCACGACCAGCGATGGTAGTGATGGAAGCATTTCCTGAAGTCCGTTTGTCAACTCGTCATCGTGCACAAGCAGCAGCTTAGCTAACCTCGCAAGCATCAATCACAAGGCGTGTCAACGTTCGCAATTCCCCAACATCAGAAGACTCCGTTGCGGAAGCGATGATACCCCTGGCCTATTTACATGTTAACAACATCCGATCGTAGTGTATGATGTTACACAAACCTCTCTTAATACCGTGTCGCTCGCAACAGCAAACATAGTTTGACATACATGCGAGGCAAACCTATGGGTAACCAATTGCTCAAACCTTCAGATTGGCAGTCAGTGAGATGCGCGCAAGTCCCTATTGACTGTAGAACTTACGATCCCATAAGTCTGTCCATAAAAACTCGCCGAACGAAATCGTCCATGGAATAGGCCATCCTCTCCAGCATGGTCGAACAGTCTGGATCTGTAGCAAGCTGTTTCTCTTTGCCAGACATTTCCGTAAGAGCAGAGACAAAGAAAAGCGTTCGGTCTGATTATCATATATAAATTCCACATATTCTCAGAAGCATTCGGCGCATGAACACACCTTCATTGGGATCGACATCATCGTTGTCTTGCATGGCGCCACTCTGCTCCTGCCATTCGCGGATCTGCACGTCGACAGTGCGGAAATACGCCTTGACTTCTGGATCAACGTACCCGAACGGCGCGTCTCGATCGACTTCAGACTGGGCAGGAGCCGGTACTATCCAAGAAGGCCCGGCTTGTGGTTCGTAGTCGGCTTCACTGGCATGCGCGACGACCTCCTGATGACCCGCCTGCGACAGTTCTTCCTTCGGCTTTTTGTGCTTTCTGCCTCGCTTTCTATTCTCTCTAGGCATATTGAGCTAGATACAGCAGAGTGATTTTGAGGAAGCTGATCCTGTCTAGAAATTCGAGACAGTTGAGCGCAATTGACAAATCTGCGATCGGTTACCGCATTTGGCAAGAACGTGACTTGGGCAAGAACAGTCATGCCGCCGCGAACCTGTGCTCTCTGCAACGATGCTCGGCCCATCCTCAAAAGACCAAAGACGGGCCAGCAAATATGCAAGGAATGCTTCTTCTGGGTGTTCGAGACAGAGGTACACAACACAATTACAAATGCCAAGCTGTTCAAATCAGGAGACCGGGTCGCCATCGGTGCATCTGGAGGCAAAGGTATGTTTCCCTTTATCGTAAATTTACGTATTCCACCCATCGAGGTGCCTGCGCAGATTCAACAGTACTTGCTTATGTTATGAAGACATTGAACGACCGATACCTATACGGCCTAGAATTATTTCTTCTATCCATTGACGAAGGCATTACTGGATACCGCGATGATTCGCTAGAAGTCAGTGGTCTCGTTGACAATTTTGGTGGCATCAATGTTTGACCATATCCCTCATCAGACGGTCAAGAGGAACCAACAGCAATACGACATGCCTTTGAAAATTCTTTCGTACGACGAGCTTTATGGCTGGACGATGGACGCCATCGTCTCGCAGGTTGGCAAGAAAAATAATTGCACATTCTGCGGGGTTTTCCGTCGACAGGCTCTTGATCGTGGCGCGGCCGCCCTACATGTCGATCATATAGTTACTGGACATAACGCCGATGACATCGCAGAAACCGTGCTTATGAACAGTGAGTAGTTGATCAGTCCGATTGGCGAATTAGGGGCTGATCTCAACGTCAGTCATGCGCGGCGACATAGCTCGTCTTGGTCGGTGTACTATGATTTGCACGCAGGGCGAAGACACGATCAAGCGGTCAAAACCGTTCAAATATGTATATGAAAAAGAGATTGTAATGTGAGCAGCCGTTTCATAACACGGCGGCTATGTCTAAAACGCGACACAAATGTTAGGTACGCTTACTTTAAGAAATTGGATTATTTCTCCACAGAATGCATCTACTCTCCCGACGCTTACCGAGGTCATGCACGAGCATTCCTCAAAGACCTCGAGGCAGCGCGACCGAGTGCGATCATCGATATCATACATTCTGGCGAGGCATTTGGGGTCAAGGAGGAAGTTAAGGCCACGCAAAAGGCTCAACGTATGTGTCGCCATTCGCAGTCTGAGGTTGCCGCCGACATGATCTGCATTTCTATTTCCAGAAACATGTAAGCGCTGCGGCTATATGTCCAGCAATGATCTGTGTAAGGCATGTACCTTGCTAGAGGGTCTCGAGCGAGGAATGGCAAATGCGGCTACTGTGAGTCATTCTGCTTATCGAATGAATGTTGTCATCTGATCATCCGATTCTGGCAATGACAGACAGATCGCGCGCGGAAGATATTGGATGCCGATGGACCTGCACCAGAGAATTTGCGAACAATATCGCTCTTCAACCCGAAGCCAGGGCCAGGATGAAGCTTGAGCGCTTCAGGACTTGATCACATGGATCTGTGCGTAGTCGGATCTATTGTAAGCGAACGTCTTTTAATTTTTTAAAAAACAAATTATGCATGCACAAAGCATACAAGAGTCTTGTTCATTAGACCGTTGTCTTTGACATTGAGCGTCCCGGAGGTATTGCCTCAACGTATCGTCCGATCGTCGGAAGCAGTGGTAGCATTGGTACGTACTGCACAGAGAGATTCATCCTTGTTGCCGACCAGGGGAATACAACAAAACTCCAACATCGCATCTCTCATCCTGGCTGCGCATGCGTGCGTTATCAATCTTCGGGAACAACTTCGGGAAGACAGCAGAGGTCATGCGGCTGCCCGGGATCCTGCCATGCGGAAGAACCCTCGCTTAACAGGATATTTGTAACTGAGATAGCCCTCGATTCCTCATGGAGCTCAACGATGTTCTGTGCCTCAAGTTGGGCAGTCATCAGAATATGATGAGGCAGCGAGCTTCACTGGGTAATGGCGTCCCTAGTTTTTGGTTTGGCGGACTTCCGAGTGAACTCCCACTACCGCTCCTGATATGTACATCTGTTGCAGGCACAGTAGGATGACGGCCGGCCTGTCAGAAAGATCAAGCACGATAAGGGATGTAAGCAGACAGCCGTCAGCTCGTTTGTGCTCACAGATCCTCAAGAACGTTTCCAACGCCTGTGAGTGCAACCATGCGAATATTCACCACGCAGCAGTCATGGATGAGTCGTCGGACTGCGCTAGGGTTTTGATCAAACGATGCACAATGGATGGCCATCTCGGCTAGTCGAATTTCCCATGTGAGGTTAGCGCCAGAAACGTTTTGTTCTGCAACACAAGCAGACCTTTTCGGGGCACGCTTGTGCACGATGGGACATGACTTGGTCCACAGATGCTCGGTTCACCACGGCAGCGGCTAGCACAGGTTACGCTATTCACTGATTCTTCAGGTGCCTCGTGTCCGAAGCGTCATTGATTCTGTGCCTGCCAGTGGGTCATCGCATTCGCCATCGACACGTTGTTGCACGAGTGGAAAATGTTGTTTGTTTTTCAGAGTGTATTCATTCTGCTCACCGTTCGGCACCTATCTCGCGATGTCTGTGGCGTTGTAGAGCCCGCGGTTGCTTTGTCATTGCAATATAGAAACAATAACACCAAGATAATCTCGCTGGTTAAAGGTTTCTTGTTGCAACTCCGGGGTGTGCGCTGTCCTCGTGAGACCCATGTCCTGTCTACTAACAACTTTAAGCACGTGCGTTCATCACAAGACTCAGTTCTGCCGTGAATTCAGCTGTATATTCACCCAAAAATGTCCAAACTTAGAATGCATCGTTAAGTTTGTTTGGATGCACCATTGGGAGCGGAGCGGAATGGAAGAAGAGGGATGTGGAGCAGTTTCACCGTCACGACCGTGGCAGCCCGGGCGACAATCTGTTTGGCTTTGTGGGTCCTCGTAATTTGATTTGATGACATACGGGACCAATTCCTTTTCAAGTTACCTTTGTGGTCAATCTGATTCCGCAAACAATGCGTTACATCGACTCTGCGTGCAATTGTGGCTATTTCCAGCTTCTAGAGCCCTCTGATTCTGTGGCTGATTGATAACAGGTGCTGCGGGAGCTCATCTCCTCACAGCCTGAGGCCGACACCTGTAGCGCTGTTCTCTGAAATCTCTTCGGGGCCTCGCTACACAGTCACTTCACGGGTTTTGGATCTCGAGCCATTTCCCTTCTTGCGGATGTCAGAACACCACCGATCACGATAACTGAAAGGATTGAGAGCGTAGATCTAGAGTAGAAGAGCGTGATCTACACGTATATGGATCAAGCCCACAATGTGATTGGGAATATTCAAGACAGGTATACGCTACAGTGGACAGCAAAAAACTCGTAACAAAAAACATACGTAAATTTTGCGGGCTTACCCTTGAATATCAGTAGCCCAACGGAAAAGCCGTCTGCCGAAGTATACAGCAGTATCGAGTAGCGACACAGTGTCATACATCGCCGTCAGGATCACGTCCTCAGTGCGAAGTTTGGGCCTCCATCTCAAGAGCACGGGAGAGATGGTAACTTTAATGATCTGCCATTGAGCAACTGCTTCGGCAGCGCTGGGTCTTCGTGCAGGATCATCCTGCGTCATCGATAGCACCATTGGCCACAAGAAGTCGAGATTGGAGAACTTCTGAGAGAAAGTATGAGCGACAATTTGCTTATTTGGGCAACTGGGGACGTACCTCATAGAATTGATGACGAAAGACATTCCCTATTATGAACACGTCGACCTTAAACGGATCATAGGGCTGGTCCTCGGAGAGCTCGGGAACCTCCTGATCCCTTCCTTTGGCTCCAACCACCAATTTGTACTGTGCGTTCGGGGGAAAGTGAACGGATATACCGTAGTCGACGAAATAGTACTTGACATGTACGTCCGCACGACGATAATAAGGTGCTGTTGTTTGTCCGTCTGGAAGCTTTGATTCTCTCACTGGATGGTGTCCACGAGGAAACATTTCGCGCGCATCCATCATCAGATTTTTATACGTGCAGTCGCTGGGATACTCAATGAGACGAGGAAACCTTAAGTTATCCACTCATGCTCACCGGTGTGCCACACCATGCTTATGAAGAAACTGCAGTCCCTGTAACGCACAGCATAAGTCACACGAAATCATGATAATATAGTCGAATGTACTTCAAGGATCTGATCAATGAATTCAACAACCTCTACAACGAGGGAAAATGGAGGCTCATCGATGAGACGGAAAAATGGCATGACCAGATATAATACGCTCTCGCCATTGGCACCTTGGAATGAGTCTAGGATAGGGACAGAATGGTTCTCCGGATCGCCGCGCAAAGGTGGACTGGAGAGCATGGTGGCGATGCGAGACTCGTCATCACCTGTCTTCGCCCGCTTGATATATACAAGCATCCCGTCAGCTATCCTGGTTGCGTCGATGAGATTTTCCCGCACCTATATCGGAATTAGTATCCCTCGAGGTGGCTGATATTGAAAGACTTACAGGTGAAGGGATAGAGTCCTCAAATGACCTAGGATGCTGACCTGTCCTCCTTCATGAAGGGACCCAGTCTGCATGATAGCGTGGGCGCAGCATGTATCCCCGCGACTGGCGGAACGGTTGTCGATCTACCCAACTCCGTTCCCATGAGCGAATTTTAGAGTACAGCCTGTCGGCCTCTTGTAAACGCTCTTGGGGAGTACGCTTTGGGAGGGTTGTATGAGACATGAAGGGACAGATGCTCAGGACACGGACGAACGAGGCTCACGCTTTCATCAATATCATGTGATCGAAAAGCAGGACCATCCCATGGACCCACAATTGAAGAGTTCAAGCTCCGACAATCGGAATAGCCGCCCGAGGAATTGCTACGGCGATGCAACCGCTCTCTTGTTCTGATTAATTCCGACGTCACTTGCGAGAACAATAGCAGGCATCGTTCCATGGTCGCCTTCTTCGGAAGCTCTGTGAAGATGCAGTGAGTCTGGACTAGCTACCCATTCGCTTGACTAGGTGGCTCCTTGGGGCAGCACGAAGTCAGATTACCTCAGGCAGTTGTCTAGTCATTGCATTCCCATGCGCACATATAAGGACGCGGAACCATGAGCGGTGTCACCTCGTCATCACTTACGGGTTTCGTTATTCCTCACCTGCTGCCCAGTCATATACCATTTTACAAAAACAGTAGTACCGCGCCATTCATCTCGCCGCACCCGGGGAACGTACACCACAGTACGTTTCTCAGTTCATCTAGTTTGCCAGGCGGGTTCTCACTGATCAAGCTTAGGAGTCGGACAATAAGCGCAAGGACGACCATGAGCTTTGGCACCATTTCTGGCGGCATCGGAGTATACGCGGCCGGTCTTGCAACTTGGGGTGCCATTTCCACTACAAAATGGACTGCCAAAGAGCTCGTCAAGGAACTCAGAGCAACCATGAAAAATATTCAAGATCTGAGGTCCAACATGAAGCCGACCGAGCAGCAATTGATCTCAGAATCCAGACCTGGCTTTTTTGATCATTGGGACACATTCATGGACGAGTGAGTGCAAACAGCAATGAAAGTCTCATTCGTACCGATCTGTAAATTGTGCAGCATGAATGCGGCTATAGTTGTCTGGGATGAGGAGGCCAGAGGTGGAAGTTACTGGCAGAAATTCGGGCCTACAAGTCAACTGAAGCAAGATATTCGTGAGGCGATAAATATGGTGGAAAATTTCCGCTCGGATATATTGGTATGAGTTTAATCATTGTACGTCTGTCCACAGATGGCTGAGAGATCTCTCTTTAAGAGACAACGACAAATGCCGTCCGACGCAGAACTGGTGCCATCCCGCCGGGTGTTCCCACTTGTGATTCACGTGGCATCAGGCGCACTCTAGGTATGATGGTACTTTGGGAGATGGACTTATGCTCCAATTCTCACAATCGTATGCAGCACCTCTACTCAATAGGATGGCATTGATGATTCCCCAATTGCCATCTATTGACTCAGGAGAGTCTCTGGAGCACATGCTCGCCGACGTCACCAGTTCATCCGCTGCTATTGACGCAGGTAAGCAGTGGATGATCTTTTGCGAATGTTTCTTCATGAAAGAAGCTGAAACACAGGCTCGATGGTATGATTTTTGTGTCGATGCACGTGTGTAGGACTATGTTATGCACCCGGAGCTTTGTGTCGAGTTTAAGTGTGAATCCTATCTCTTCTATCTACCATGCTAGCATAAGAACACGCATGATGTGAGCGCCTCTGCTGCAGCAGCTCGTTGTAACAAACGTCTTCTTTTGGCTCAGATCAGTTGGCCGGCCGCGTCTGGGACAACGTGTCTTTCGTGGTGAATATAGGGCCTGGACTACAGGGTCCCCGTAGGTTGACGAAGTTAAGTCAGTACGTGACCGCATCGGAGAATCAAGAGCGCGGGCATTCCTCACGCGTTTTGTCATAGTATCCACTGCCATTGCATGACGCTTGAGTAAGCGACACTCGTCTTTTCATTGTATGCCAGCCTTCTATCGACAGAAGTGTGTCACAATTTTATGTCCCAAATTACTTACATGAACAATCAGACCGGAGGGTCCGAATTCATACGCGTTTATACGCCAAAGATACAGATATGTCAAACTATAGGCCTCAATGACTATGGTCATCCGCACCTTTACGACTGTAACAGCAACATTGAAACTGTGCTGAAAGTGACTTCGGATATGCCGCATTTCAGAGGTTGTGGGATCATTACATAAACTTTAAGTTCTCGCCCGAATATGCAGGACGGAGAATGTATTTTTTTCCCGGTCTGGATTATCCTACATGATTGGACTGTTTCCACGAATGATGATAGTGATTTTGCTCGTTCTGCGACAATAAATCGTAATCCGGCGGCAGCATGACTCGAATTCTAGAGCCCTTTGATCCTGTGTTCGATTGCCAATATGTACGAACTACAGGAGCAGAAGGACATGTTCAACAATGCCGTATAAATACAAGGCACCGCCGGATTATAAGTCACCCTTATAACAATCTCACGAGCATCATCAGTGTAAGGCCGGTTACCATCATTTGGAGACAACATACATTATCTTCTGCATACTGCAACATCATCCTTGCCGCAGGGAGATACTGCATGATCCTGCAGTGCGTGTTTCTAAGTCATCCTTACGATCAAAATTAAGATAGCAGAAGACAACAACACATACATCCGACACGGGATAAGAGATAGAGAATATTCAAGATCCGTAGGTACATGCTGGAGCAGAGCGCAAAAAGCGTTGTAGTGAAGGACATACACAGAATTCGCGTGACTACTACTGGATATCAGTAGCCCAACTGAACAATAATCTGCCAAAGTAAGCAGCAGAACCAACCAAAGACACGGTATCATTAATCGCCGTAAGGACGAAGCCCTCTGCGCGAGGCCTTAGCCTCCATATCAAGTGCACGGGCGAGATAGTGTCTCTGATGGTTTGCCATTGAGCGACTATTTCGGAAGCGCTAGGCCTTCTTGCTGGATCGTTCTGCAGCATTGACTTCATCGCGGGCAATAAGAAATCAAGGTTAGAGTATTTCTAGGAGCCCTTTTTATGAGAAGGTGCACAATGTAGACGATGACAACGCACTTCGTAGAACTCATGGCGGAAGACGTTGCCAATGATAAACACATCGACTTTGAAAGGATCGTAGGGGGTATCATCAGATAGCTCAGGCACCTCCTGATCCCGTCCGTTGACTCCGACCACTAGCTTGGATTGTGCATCTCGCGGAATGTGAACGGATATGCCATAGTCGACAAAGTAGTACTTGACATGAACGTCCGTGCGACGATAATAAGGAGCTGTTGTTTCTCCATCCGGGAGACTTGTCTGGTCCACTGGATGAAATCCCTGCGGAAACATCTCGCTTGCATCCATCATCAGGTTTTTATACGTGCAGTCACTAAGCAAGCTCAATATATGCCATCATACACTGATAGGGTAGCTCGTACTCACCGATGTGCCACGCCATGCTTGTGAAGGAATTGCAATCCCTGTAACGCCCGGGATGAGCCATACAAATTCAAGATGACGTGGTCGAACGTACTTTGAGAATCTGATCAACAAAATCGACAACCTCCCCAACAAGCGCGAATGGAGGTTCATCGATGAGACGAAGAAATGGCATAACCAGATATGATATGCTCTTGTCCTTTGCATCTTGAAATGTATCTAGGATAGGTACAGAATGATTGTCTGGGTCGTCGCGGAAGGATGGGTCGGAGAGCATGGTTGCTATGCGAGACTCATTATCTCCAGTCTTGACCAGCTTGATGTATACAAGCATCCCATCAGCTATCCTGGTTGCATCGGTCAGGTACTCCCGCACCTATCTTCGCGTTAGCGCCACACTGAGATTATCGACAATAAATCGCTCACAGGTAGGCTGATTGAGTCCTCGAATAACCAAGGATACTCATCGGTTCCCCTCCACGAAGGAACCCAGCCTGGACGATATCGTGGGCGCAGCATATACCCCCGCGATTCGAGGAACGGCTGCCGGTCTACCCAGCCTTTCTCCCATGAACGCAGAGAAGAGTACAACCTGTCTGCGTCCCGCAAACGTTCTTGAGGAGTACGCTTAGGACGGTTTTCATGAGACATGATGAACGGGGGGGTTAGATGCTCAGCGTGCGGACGTGGCAAGGGCGGACAGCGACGATGTCAAGCACTTGTGACTTGAGCACCGTGTGATCTGAGCAAAGATGGACCCACAGAGCGTTCAAGTTTAAACTCCGACAGCATGAATCTCCGCTGCCGCCCAGGAAGGTTTAGAAATGCACCTAGATACAGCCGTTCTGTTGTTCTGATTGAATCTTGACGTCGCTGAGTATGAGAACAAAAGATTCACCACTTTTGGTTACTCTCTGCGGACGGCTGTGAATTTGACGATGTTCTTGGTCTAGCCGTTCGCTTCTCTGAGCGGTACGAAGCTCTAGTACCTGAAGCAACTGCATCACACCACAAGGTGAGCACACTCGTAGAGCTTTCATTACGTGTTTTCAGCGCCTTTAAGCTTTGCAGTCGAGTGCACACGCGGTCGGCATGATGCGCGGTAGTACAGCGTGCATATAAGGGCATGGCTGCACTGGCACCGAGTCTCCTCACCGCTATTGCGACCTCAGGGACTCCTCGGCTGCTTTGCAGTCACGTACAACACTACGGAAGCAGTGTCTCAATCAGCTTTTTCTACTCGGAGAACGCAAGCTCAAGTACGTTTCTTTCCGCTGATGTGTTCGGTTTGCGCATTAAAATAAGAGTCAGGGCAGCTGAGACATGAGCTTTGGTACGGTTTCCGGTGCTATCGGCATGTATGCTGCGGGCCTAGCTACCTGGCAGTTAGTTGGAGACCGAAAGGAATGGGACGTCCAGTTGCACATCAAGGAACTCAAAGCGACCATGAAACAAATTGAGGACATGAGATCCACCATCAAGCCAGCGGAGTGCGAGTTGATCATGCGATTCAGACCTGAATTTTTCGCTCATTGGGATGAATTTGCGAAGGAGTGAGTGCGAGATTGACAATGATATTTTTAATGCTAATTTGTGGATCCTGTAGCATGAGTGAGGCTCTAGACATCTGGGATGAAGCCGCTTCAGGTGCAAGCTGGTTGCAGCGGAACAGACCAGCATTTGCAAATACACTAAAGCAAAAGGTGTACAAGGCGAAGCGATCGGTAGGAGCTTTCCGAGCGGATATATTGGTACAGTGCTTTTCGGGTGTATACGATGGCGTCCAAGTGTATGCTAAGGCGACTCCTTTCAAAACAGAAAACGACGAATACCGTTAGACGCAGACTTGGTTCAACAGCAGCGGAAAATGTTCCCTCCTGGAATTCTAGTGCCACAAGGGACAATCTATGTACGATATGTACCCGAAAGACAGACACTTAGTCCGATTCTCACAAGATTTTCCAGCGGGCTTGATCGATAGGGTGATGTCGTTGCTGCCCCTACCGCCGATCGACGCAGGCGATACCTTAGAATCCCCTGAACAAATGTTCTCTGATGTCAACAATCATTCCAATGATGCTAGTAAGCGGATATATACTTTTCGCGAGCATTGGTTACACTGAACAATCGAAATACAGGCACCATGGTATGATTCTCGCGTGGATGAAACATTTAAGCTATGTTACACACGCGGAGCCATATTTCGGGGTTGGTTGGTAGCCCTGTCTATCCTCACTATGTGCCGTGATCATCCCGCCAAATTACATTCCTGTTTTTCGGAACTTGCACAAGCCGGCCAGCCATGCTTTCATGTACCAGTGGTACGTCTGTGAAAAAAAAAACTACCTTCAGATGAAACCTCATGGCTGGCTTCTCACTGCTTGATGAGATCCGCGATAGCCGAACAATCACTGCAATTCCGGGACTGAACGATTGAAGCTAGCTGCTCGTCGTGACGAATAGCGGCATTCATGGGAACGTTGGCTGACATCGCCTTGAGTTCGAGGCCCTATAATTGCAATGATGGCGAACAACAGAGCCTAATGGAGATTGGATGGATTAGCTAAACCAATACTTTTGTACGGACACACTCAAGCGGGATACTCGACATACAGCGCAGCCTTCCAGCCGTTCGTGGAGTGTGCAAAACTGGATAATTGTGTTCTATATGAGCAAATAAAGGACAAGCAACTGCATCCGAATCCCGATGCAATACGAACTGTGTAACATGAGGACAGAAATCACTGTGGACTGGAACAAGTATACCTAACCCTGAGAACCTGCAGCCCACTTATACAGCTCTTTACCGAAGTGCGCTGCAGTGCTTACTAACGATACAGCTTCATAAAATGCCGTCAACACCGGCTCTTCCTCGCGCGGCCTCGGCCTCCACCTCAATTGAACGCTCGAGATTGTGCCTCGAATATTCCGCCATTGAGTCAAAGCCTCCACCGCACTGGGCCTGCAGGATGGGTCGCGCTGTGTCATAGATTCTATCATGGGAACAAGGAATTCGACGTTAGAGAATTTCTAGAATGCACATTAGACCGCTGTCGCTAATGCAAACCATTGTATCGTAAAACGTACGTCGTGGAGCTCATGTCGAAAAACGTTTCCGATGATGAACATGTCAACTTTGAAAGGATCGTAAGGAGTTCTCATGGATAATTCGGGCACTTCTTGATCTCGTCCATCGGTCCCGACCACGAGCTTGGGTCGCACGTCCGGAGGAAAGTGTACCGAGATACCGAAATCGACGAAATAGTATTTGACGCCTGCGTCTGCTCGAGAACGATAAGAAGCTTTCGTCATGCCATCTGGCAGGCACATTGTAGCGACAGGATGATGTCCTTGCGGATACATTGCGTGCGCATCCATCATCAAGTTCTTGTACTCGCAATCCCTGCTCGTTACCAATCAAGATATTATGAGGACCCATGCACGCGTTGGCACTCACCGATGTGCCACGCCATGTTTGTGAAGGAACGCTAGACCCTGTTGACGGTCAGGAACACTTTCTACTTGCAAGAGGAATCTAACAACGTACCACTAAAATTTGGTCCACAAATTCCATGATCTCTTCGATAAGCGCGAAGGGAGGTTCGTCGATGAGGCGCAAGAAGGGCATAACCATATATGATATGCTCTCATCATCCGCGTCCTGAAACAGCTCCAAGATGGGGACGGAGTGGTTCTCCGGGTCCTCACTCAATGGAGGACTAGAGAGCATGGTGGCTATGCGCGATTCGGTATCTCCCGTCCTCACTCTTTTGATGTATACAAGCATTCCGTCAGACATTCTAGTAGCATCGATGAGATGCTCCCGGAGCTGATTCAAGTCAGTGCGAATGGTTGACGTAGTACGCGGCTTTACTGACAGGAAGAATAACCGAATCCTCAAAGAACATTGGATGCTTTCCTGTGCCCTTCCACGACGGGATCCAGCCAGAACGGTATCTTGGGCGCAGCATGTAGCCGCGAGATTCCAGGAACATCTGCCGATCAGCCCAAGCGGTTTCCCATGAACTCAATGACGAGAAAATCTCGTCACCTTCCTCTATCAGTTCCTGAGCGCGCAAAGCCAAAGAGTCTTTGGACATCATCAAGAATGGAGGAGGGCGGAAGGTGTAGTAGGTTCGAAGAGAGATAGCATCACTATACCTGTATCATCAGGTGATCCGCCAGATCACCTCCATCAAACATCAAACAGGGACCCACAAACATTCAATCTCCGACGGATACTCGGTTGACAAATGCTTGCAACAGTAGTACGGCTGTTGTTCCTTTTCTGATTGACGTCGCTTGTGGACAATAAGGTCGTAATCGTGGGCTGTGCTTCGAGAGATTTTCGTCTTGATGTGTCGCTGTCAGGCTGAGCAAGCAATCACAACCGCGTGCACCGCGTATCGCATCGGAATCATTCTGATGTTCTGTGACCCAGCTGGCGCGGATCCTGGCCTCACAACTGCTCAAGAGATCTTAGCGTCCATTGTATTCCTGAGATTGATTTTTTCAGCTTGAAAGCAGCTGAGGTGATAGCTTATATAGGACGTCAGTGAGCTGTCAATTTTCCACTCCCGCTTCATTTCCTCCTTCATTGTAGCATTCACATAAACTTCCGCTGTGCCGTCACTGGTCAGCCTTGATACATTGAGGACGACAAAAGCGGTCACTACGGCGCCTTCGCTCGTATTTCTTCCAAGTCTATCGACAACACTCTATCTCAAAGTAGGTAGATACTATTGTCAGTGCGGCGGATGCAGTGACGGTTGTTGACTGAGACCAGACGGACATTACCATATTACAGTATGGTCGACAGTGCTGCGTCCTGGGTCGGCATCTACGCAGGAGGCCTTGCTACCATGGCAGCGGTTCACCATGGCTACAACTTGATCAACGACCGGTGGGCCGCCAAATCAGTTGCTCAGCAAGGCAGAGCTGTCCTTCAAGCGATCAATGAGCTGCGAACAGGGATTAAACCTCAAGAAGCTGAGTTGATCCTCGCTAAGAGACCTACTTTTTTCACAGAATGGGATCGTTTTGTGAATCGGTGAGTTCTCTCAACGGATGGAGCTTTCTCGAGATACTGGGCTCATCGAATCAATCTTCAGGATGTCAAACGTCATAAATGCTCTTGATATAGAGGCTGAGTCGTCCGGACAGTGGCAACGAAAGGGTCCTGCCATACAATATATCGGTAGTGACCTCAAGGTGCGTCTGTACAAGGCGAAGCAGTCGCTTCAAGCCTTCCGCGCAGACATTTTGGTGAGATATGTTTCTATATCTACAAACTGCAAGACTTATGTCGCGTCAGAAAACCACAAACGCTGTGCGAGACGTCTCCGTTGTTTCAGAGGTAGATATTCCACAGTGGGATACTGCGAGCAAGCTGGAAGCGGGATACATTCGATCGGAACGTGAGGTCAGACTTCAACTAGGTGAGATACCTTCGTCTCATACATCATTAATTCCGACTACTGACTTGGGGCATAGCCTCCTTGCTATCAAAGCTACCAGACTTGGCTCCTACATTGCCGCCTATGGCCTCTGAGCCTCCTATGCAGATTCCGCCCGAATTTTTGGAGGGTGACAGTGCCTAAGCCTCATCCACCAGGCCTGCATCTTCTACCACCACGCAGATGGCAAGTGCCAATGGGCCTCGACTCTTCATAGGCTATCAGACCTTACGGTTACTAGGATTTCACGGATTATTCGCTCCGATACATTTCTAGTCGTGAATCGGAGATAAGATGGTAGACAAGTACATTTAGCGCTTCTAGATACCCTCTCCTCTATGAATATATGCATCGCGTGCAACTCTTATGATACACAGGTGGATGTCCATCTGTATAAAATACCTGTGCACGGTGATGCAGCCCAAATCACAGTCGATTTTTCGACGTCAAGACGTCGAGACCAAGGAACCTGCGACTAGGCACCGGACACACACGGACGTGCGAAACGCAAGATACATATTCCATTTGAGGAATGTCAGGTTGAGTAGTTCGCTATTGTCGTGTCATGAGACACATTAAGAGGCAACATAAGACACCTTGAGGACGCGCGAATGCACACTTGGGTCTGTAGGTCCGCAGAGCATCCAATGGCTGTGAATTTCTGCGAGCAAAATAGTACGGGCAAAACGGTATCCACCAGACTGGAACAAGTAGATCTACCCCTGAAAATCTGAAGCCCACTTAAACAGCTGCTTACTCAAATGCGCTGCCGCATTGACAAAGTATACAGCTTCATTGAACACCGTCGATACTGTTCCTTCCTGGCGAGGCCGAGGCCTCCATATCGAGTGAACGCTCGAAATTGTGCTCCGAATACTCCGCCATTGAGTCAAAGCCTCCGCCGCACTGGGCCGACAGTAAGGATCGCGCTGTGTCATAGATTCTATCATGGGAACTAGGAAGTCGATGTTAGAAAATTTCTGGAGGGTATATCAGACCATTGTCGCTAATGCAAACCATTTTATCATGATAACGTACGTTGTGGAGCTCATGTTGAAGCACGTTGCCGTTATGAACACGTCAACTTTGAAAGGATCATAAGGAGTTCTCATGGATAATTCGGGCACTTCTTGATCTCGTCCATCGGTCCCGACCACGAGCTTAGGACGTACGTCCTGAGGAAAGTGTACTGAGATACCAAAATCGATGAAACAGTATTTGATGCCTGTGTCTGCTCGAGAAAGATAAGGGGCTTCCGTCATGCCATCGGGCAAGCACATTGTGGCGACGGGATGATGTCCTTGCGGATACATTGCATGCGCATCCATCATCAAGTTCTTGTACTCGCAATCTCTGCTCGATATCAATTAAGATATTACGAAAAACCAATACGCGGGTTGATACTGACCGGTGCGCAACGCCATGTTTGTGAAGGAATGCTAGACCCTGCGTTCGTTGTCAGGAACGCTTTCTACTCGCAACAGAGTAATCTGACAGCATACCGTTAGAATTTGCTCCATAAACTCTACGATCTCTACGATGAACACAAATGGAGGGTTGTCGATGAGACGCAAGAAGGGCATAACCATATATGATATACTCTCGTCATCTGTGTCCTGGAACAGCTCCAAGATGGGAACGGAGCGGTTATCTGGGTCCTCACTCAATGGAGGACTAGAGAGCATAGTAGCTATGCGCGATTCGGTGTCTCCTGTCCGCACTCTCTTGATGTATACAAGCATCCCGTCAGACGTCCTAGTGGCGTCAACGAGATGATCCCGAATCTGCTCCCGATCAGTGCTCATCATTGACGTAGTATACAATGCCCTTACAGGAAGAGTAATTGAGTCCTCAAAATACATTGGATGCATTCCCGTGCCCTTCCATGACGGGATCCAGCCAGGACGATACCTTGGGCGCAGCATGTAGCTGCGTGATTCCAGGAACGGCTGCCGCTCAGCCCAAGCGGCTTCCCATGAGCGCAATGACGAGAAAAGTCTATCCCCTTCCTCGATCAGTTCTTGAGCATGCCTGAACAGAGGGTCTTCTGACATAGTCAAGGATGAAGGAGGTGCGGAAACCTGGAGTCTCGGAAAGACATGAGAAGAACCCTTGTGACCTAAGTGTATTACTTTTGATAAAACAAGATCAGCGATATCTGTCGGAGGTTGAATCGTTGTGGGTCCCTGTTGGATCAGTCGAATCACCTGACATATCCTGGATAGAATTATTTTCCCACAAGATTTTTAAAGGAATACAGTGAAGAAAGATAAAGTCCTGCTCCGGCAATCCTTCGAAGAAACACCCTTCCAGGATTGGTCATGTTACTACCCAATATGGACAATGTAACTTTCCACAGCGAAACTTAAAATATTTCCATTGTGACTACACCGGATTTTTACACGGTCAAAAATGGCTCGATGTCTGCAGCATGTATGCTTCTCCCCGTCCAGACCTCATACCATCCTCCACAGAGACATGGCGCCAGAATTACCAGGCCTGATTCCCGATGACTTCCACTTCAGCTCAATGGAGACTACCGAGGACATGACCCGCTACGTCCCGGGGGCTACCATCCTATCATCATTGGCGACATTATCGGCTCGTCTCCTCGTACGGACTCTGCGAGCAAGCCATGCCAATATAGGATCATGCACAAGTTGGGCTTCGGGTCATATGCGACGGCCCTATGGTTGGCTCAGAAGACGGATTCAAGCGGAGCGTTCGTCGCAGTGAAGATCACAACGGCGGCAGATGGTCATATACGGGAGGCCCAAATGCTTGAAGCAGCCTCAACGGTGATGCCCAATGGCCAGCCGTCGCCACATATTATGACGCTGCTGGATCACTTTACCTTGCGCGGTCCCAACGGCGCTCACTCTGTTCTGGTGACGGACGTTGTAGCGCCGATCGTCTCCTTTCCTTCACCCGGACGCTCTCCGCATTGGCGGAAAGCTTTCGCATACGGTCTAGCGCAGGGTTTAGCGCACCTACACGCTACAGGGATCGTCCACGGAGGTACGTTTCCGCTTCCACTGCTGACGATTCCCTGACTCCCGCCTGTAGACTTGCACCTCGGTAATGTTGGGTTTGCCATGCCGCAGCTCGCACATCAGGATGAAGACGATGTGATGCAAGATCTCAGCCCATACGACCTGACCATTGTTCTGCCTTGCTCCGCTGCCAAACAAACGCGCTCGTTACCCGCTTATGTTGTCGCGCTGTGCCACCTCACTACGTACTATGAGAAACTCGCCGGCTCCGATCCGCCTGTGGCTAAGATCTTCGACTTCGGCAATGGTGAGCTGAGTTCTTGAGAACTCTCTCGGCTTCATAACCACACTCAATGCAGCGCATAAAGCTGGAACGCCACCACTGAACTTCCAGTGTGCGGTGGAAGCTTGCGCTCCAGAGTTAGGCTTTGCTCGCGTCATCGAAATACAGAAAACCCGCCCGTCGAGCCCCCAGCCGACGTCTGGGCTCTCGGTGCTGTCGTGCGTCCTCTCCTGCTCCCTCCTTCGAAGCACGATATCCTGATACATTCGCGCAGATTTACGAGATCGTTACTGGCGCCCCGATGTTTCATGGCGACGGCATGCCCGCCCTGCCGTATCACATGTCTGAGATGGCCGGCTACGTACCCTCAGAGTGGCAGTCATGGCGCCCTGACCTGACCATATCACCCGACCAGGCCGATGCCTGGTGGACATCACGTAAAACGCAGCTACGTCGAGGCTGTGTTGATGATAAAGACACGGACGCGCTCGTTAGGCTGCTGAAGAAAGTGCTCGTGCTCGACGCCGCGATTCGACCGACTATCGCAGTGGTCCTGCAAGACCCGTGGTTCCATGATGATGCCGCGCACCAGGTCCAAGGTTGAAGCTAAGTCGTTTTGTGTATATGTGCCTGGAAGGAGCCTTGCCCAGATGTACCGTATGTTTCTTTAGCTTCGAGTCAAGAGCTCGAATATTGCAGCGCTCGAACATTTGCAATTGTGAGTGCATGACTGTTTCGGCGGAGCACAAGAATGCACCAAACCGGGTTAAGACGTGATTAAGGGCTCCATTCTGCACTACGCGGGTCTCACTGCAAAACGTTCTCCAAAAGTTTCGTCCAGCTGAGACTCAGAGCTTCCGATGTCCTTTTCTGCTTGGCGTGTCAGAGCCCTCATGTGGTTCACCATATCACCGGCTAGTGATTCTGACATATTGGGCTTGCACGTGGAATTCTGGCAATCATAATACCGTGGTTACAAGAAAAAGATACTCTATCGCAACTACTGACACAGACTTATTCGACGAGTCAAAGCTTGATATTCTCAGTACAGTATCTTGGCATTCTGCTTGACTGAACACGCATGATTCTCAAGCCAAGTCGCCTTGCCCCAGCATCCCAAAATTCTTCGCCTCTGCCTGGGCATAGGCATTCTTGATCGCATCATTGTTCAGTGTGTGCCGCCTCCCCGAGCACAGAAGTAGCCTTGATAGCCATTCACGAGCTCCTGTTCCACAGCGAAGATGTGCACAGCCGTGCCATGCTCGTGGGGCGTGAGAGCCCAGTTGTCATCGTTGCAGACATACACGGACAGGTGCTTTGGTTGGCCGGCATAGTTCGCGTGCGAAGAGTTATGAAAAAGCATGCTGTTGCCGTCTCAACGTCAGATCACAGAGCGAGCGAAAGGGCGAGAAATGAACACGAACGTCACAAGAAGTCGGGAAAACGGCTTGGCTTCAAATTTGGACCTCGTGCGCGGCATCATCATGGAACCACGGATCTTGCAGGACCTCTACGATAGTCGGTCGAATCGTGGCGTCGAGCACGAGCACTTTCTTCAGCAGCCTAACGAGCGCGTCCGTGTCTTTATCATCCACACAGCCTTGACGTAGCAGCGTTTTACGTGATGTCCACCAGGCATCGGCCTGGTCGGGTGATATGGTCAGATCAGGACGCCATGACCGCCACTTTGGGGGTACGTAGCCGGCCATCTTAGACATGCGAGACGGCAGGGCGGGCATGCCGACGCCATAAAAAAGTGGAGAGCCAGTAACGATCTCGAATATCTGTGCGAATGTATCAGGTTATCGTGCTTCGAAGAGGGGGCAGGAGAGGACGCACGACAGCACCGAGAGCCCAGACGTCGGCTGGGGGCTCAACGGGTGGGTTTTCTGTCTTTTTTATGACGAGTGCATAGACTACCTCGGGAGCGCAAGCTTCCACCGCACATTGTAAGTTCAGTGGTAGCGTTCCGGCTTTATGCGCTGCAGTGAGTGTGATTAGGAAACCGAGAGAGTTCTCAAGAACTCAGCTCACCATTGCCGAAGTCGAAGATCTTAGTCACAGGCGGATCGGAGCTGGCGAGTTTCTCATAGTACGTAGTCAGGCGGCACGGCGCGACAACATAAGCGGGTAACGAGCGCGTTTGTTTGGCAGCGGAGCAAGGTAGAACAATTGTCAGGTCGTACGTCTGGATCCTGATGTGCGAGCTGCGGCATGGCAAGCCCAACATTACCGAGGTGCAAGTCTACAGGCAGGAGTCAGGGAATCGTCAGCAGTGGAAGCGGACAACGTACCTCCGTGGACGATCCCTACAGCGTGTAGGTGCGCTAAACTCTGCGCTAGACCGTACGCGACAGCTTTCCGCCAATGCGGAGGGCGTCTAGGTGAAGGAAAGGAGATGATCGGCGCCACAACGTCCGTCACCAGAACAGAGTGAGTGCCATTGGGACCGCGCAAGGTAAGTGATCCAGCAGCGTCATGCCATGTGGCGACAGCTGGCCATTGGGCAGCACCGTTGAGGCTGCTTCGAGCATTTGAGCCTCCCGTGTATGACCATCTGCCGCCATTGTGATCTTCACTGCGACGAACGCTCCGCTTGAATCCATCTTCTGAGCCAACCATACCGTCGCATATGACCCAAAGCCCAACTTGTGCATGATCCTATATTGGCATGGCTTGCTCGCAGAGTCCGTACGAAGAGACGAGCCGATAATGTCGCCAATGATGATAGGATGGTAGCCTCCCGGGACGTAGCGGGTCATGTCCTCGGTAGTCTCCATTGAGCTGAAGTGGAAGTCATCGGGAATCAGACCTGGTAATTCCGGCACCATATCTCTGTGGAGGATGGTATGTGTGAATCAGAACTGCTGAGGTATATATGGAGGGATCGCTGCTTACTATGGAACGGTTGAACAGCAAGGACACCTAATGTTGCACATGCATATGATGATATAGATTAAGAACTGAAGATGGGGAGAAGCAACACTGCAGGCCGCCGCATGGAGCCACGGCGGAGATTCATGCTTTCGGAGTTTGAACTTGAACACTTTGTACCCATGGTGCCACAGTGGCGCTTACGTAAGGTAGGTGGTTGCGCGATCACCCTTTTCGGGCTAGGACGTTGTCCGATCGCTGATGTCAGCTTCTGCGCCACTTTCGCCCCAGCTTGCCTATGATAGCGTCGCTTTAACTCGCCCAGCCCGTCTTTCGGATGGCCGCCGATGCCTAGGCCATATCGCACACCGACATAATGATACAGCGCCGTTGATCCCGGCCCATATATATACGTTCAGACAACTGATGGGCTGAAATTTGAAAGTTCGACTTGTTGTACCGCTACCATTCGCGCCTTAGATCGGTCCTACATCACGCGGACGACATAGCATGGCGGAACATGGGCCAATTTGGTGCGAATCGTCCCCACTCCACTGGATCGACCTGAACGTGGGCGGGCCGCCCTCATACGTATTCGCGCAGTTGATCCTCGTCGTCGTGTTAATTACTGTCCGCGGCGACTGCTGCGCACCCTACAGGCCATTCAGTGCGGGCGTGCCCTCCGCCGGATCCTCCGAGCGTTTTATGCCAAAAGCGACGCTGCCCTCGGCATGTCGCCCCAGCGTAGCTTCGCGGGGACAGAGTGTGTCGTGAGCGTCATCAACGATGGAGACGAGATGTCCGTAATGCTGACCGGCAAGCCGCGGCAGGAAGAAAGGCTTTGACCATCGAATCGCTGGTCGGTCGCCCCTCCGAAGCGTTTGTTTCCATTGCGCAACACGGTGTGAGGAATTGTGCTAGAAGACGTCGAAACACAGTCGCATGGTGGCAAACGGAGGGGGAGGGAAGCGAGCATCAACACGGAGAGCCTCTTCATGCGCTTGTACGAATCGCCGCTCCGCTGACGTGCCGCAATGGAGCTCAGCTTGCATCGAGGATATATGCATGTGAAACTAGACCAGCTAGTTGCGCTTCGTCAATGAAGTGAGCCGCGTTTGGCACACATAGACGTCGGTGGATGAGGGTAGTGGGCACGAGGCTCAGCTGGATGGCCATCAACCTTGTCCGCGGCGCCATATGGAGGTATACTGTCAACGATGGCTGCTGCGGGGGCCGCTGACGTTCCAGTACGGTCCACGCGTGACGTTAACAGGCTCCTTACCATAACTACATGTCCACGTACAACAGTAATCATTTTACTCCACACTTCTAATTACACTTTCCGTCATTCAATGCATTGCTCGTATATACAGCCCTTTTGTAATTGAACCCCGGGCGGTCTTTCTCTGCTACAATGGACAGAGTCAAGAATCAAGCTTCAAGTTTCGAGACCTACCTGGTCTCCGTCTCTCAGGATGTGATGGGGGCTAGCTGGTTCGCGTCCCCAGGCTGATGCGTAATGACACAGATGGACTGACGGCATCTAGCCATCTAAAGACTTGGTGGCGATCGTCACCAAGAGCAGGAGTGAATCGAGCTAGGAGAGCCGTTCGGAGACCGTAATTGAATGCCACTGGCAAAACGTGGTTTTCATCACTATAATACTTTAGCCAACCATTTCACTGACAAACTAGACGTCTCTAGATCGAGCATAGTGACACCGGTATAACGGGACAGCCAATAGATCCCAGAAAGCAATAAGCATGTCTCGATACTCGCGTCGAAGGTAATAATAAAATGATTGAGATAGATAATGGACGTGAGCGGCAGAGAAAAGCATACTATGGAGACTTATGCTTCCGACTTTCTCCGCTTCTTCTTCTTGGACTCGCCAGACTCTTGCTCCGCGGCGGCCTTTTCTGCTTTGCGAGCCTTCTTCTTTGCCTTGCGCTCCGCCTCAGCATCTGCGTCCGTCTAAAGAGTGCATTAGTGTGATATTCAGCAATTGTCTACTAGGATTACTCACTGTTGCGTCCTCCATTGTGACATCTCCATCGTCCTCATGCCTTTTCCGCTTCTTCTCCTTCTTCTTCTTCTCTTTCTCCTCCTCCGCACCGTTCGCCTCCACAGAGGCTGCTTGGCCGTTCTCCTTAACCTGCGCCTCCTCGCTCTCCGCCGTCTTCCCCTCCTTCTCCGCCCTCCGCTTCGCCCTCCGCTCTTCCTTCGCCTTCTTCTTCTCCGCGTTAACGTCCAACACCGCCGCCACTGCCGACTCCAGTGGCTCTCGCTGCGTTGAGATGAGATCCACCGCATCCGCCGCCGTGTTGTACGTCTTGGTTTGCCCAGTCATCTGGAATCGCTGCTGGTTCCTGTTCGACATCGCTGAACGCACACCAGCAGCGTCGCCCTGCGACTCGAGCGCACGCAGGCGTGCTTCCAATTTGGCGCGGTTCTCGATACCTATTGACGGCGCTAGCGGCTCGGACTTATCCTCCACTTCCGTCAATGCATCAACACGGATAGACAGAGCGGCCTTAGTTGCAACCATACGAGCCATCTGTGAATAATGGTTAAACAATCGTGAACGATGTCTATAACTGCGATCACGCGATCTGACCTTTCCCTTCAGTTTTGGTGGTGCTTGACCAATCAGAGATGCCTGTAGCCCCCTTGAGACATTAATGTTCGATAGAATGTAGTGAGCAACGTACATGGTAGATCAACCCGTATTTAGGCGTATCATGCTTCGTTTTTAATGCACGGAACAGGGCTTTCTCCGCCCCAAGAATTTGGATGGTACTCGCAGGATGCTTCGCGAGATTCAGAAGGCTACCAGCATGGCTGATCAGCCGTGCACCGACAAGGTCACCGACAAGAACAGTCAGATTGGGTGCAATCGCGTTCATGCGATTCCGTAGATACTCCGCAAGCTGTGTCCGGTAAGCGGTGATAGCAATCACCTGGTCACAGAGAGAGTTGATGTGGGCAATGTCAGAGTCTGAAATTTCTGTTCCCATCGAAATTTCTGCCGCAGCCTTGATGGTCGCCTCAAGATCCTCAGGAAGGACGGCAGAGAAGTCAGTAGTTGCCGCGTTTGTTCGGAAACCTAGACATATATGGGTCAGGGCGACGGAGAACCATCTCTGTTGAACATACGAACCCATCGTCTTTATGACCTTGGCGTACGCCAAATTGTCCACGATGATTTTTGATAGCTCAGGGAAATGCCAACCATACCACTCCTACAAAGACGTGATGAGGGAGGATTCGCATGAAATGTAAAAGTGAATTACCTTGACTCGCATAGCATAGATGTTAATCTCTTTATCCAAGTCGTCGAGGAGAGCTATGGCTTGTACGACCATGGTGTCTACTTTATCCGGAGAGAACTTCAACTTGAAACTGACGGAACGTTTTGAGCAAGGAGGAGTCATACGCGATATAGGCACTGCTCACCGAGATAGTGAATGACTCAAGCCCAAGCTCATAGTAGCCAGATCCTTCGGGTCTAATCCGTCAAGAAGGGCTGCAAGCTGCTTGCGGATACCACGGAAGAGTTCCATGGTGCTATCTTGGGCAATGACATTGATGCCTAGCTTCTTGCTGATTGAATGACCTGATCGAGACGTGGTATCACATTCTTCAGCAAGCGAAACCCAACGGCAAGAGCCTGCCTAGCTCACCAAGTTTTGGGTCAAGGACAACTAGTGATCTCTTCCCCTTTCCTTTTCCTACAACCTCGTCCGAAAGGAATTTCTTCAGGCCCTTCCCAAGCTTCCCTTCTTGAAGGGCGGTGATCTCTTCGACGGCGGTCGCAGTGGATGTGAAACGGTGCAGAGATTTGAGCCTCAGCCTGTCAAGGAGTGTTATCAACAAGAAAGAGATTCGGAAAAGCATGAGAAGCCGTGAGCATATTGATAACCTCGGTAGAGTCGGTATTATATGCCTACAGTTTGTTAGCTCGCTCCGGTGTCTCGAAGTCCTCCCACACATCGGCACTTGAAACCTTGGCAGAGTCGGTGAGCTTAAAAAGACAATAGCCCAGAGACGTCTCGTATAGAACCAGCATGGCGAATGACCGCAGTAGAAAACAGCCTTAGAGCAGAAGTTGGAAGGCGACAGACTTGACCTTGCCTTCGAACTTTTCAGGCGCCCTTCTATTGCGCCTCCATTTATGGCAATGCCAATTGTAGACTGGCTCCACGTGACATGCAGCGACTAATTACGGTATATTCCTTATCCGAGCGAGGCCCATGAGAAAATCCAAATATCCGTTCTCAAGACACGTCTGAATGCTGCTCGAGGTTTTTAAACCTCACACTGGATGGCGATGATGCTGTGGCCTCTGGTTGTACTCATTTCGGTCGGTGTAGCCTTCCAGGCTGAGGTGATCGCGCGGCAGTCTCGCGGCTTCACGAACAATGTTGTTACTGGTGGCCATGGACAATCGTTTGGCCATGATATAGGCATTGCGCAGTGGCGATTGTCATCTATAGATCTGAGGAAGAGTTTAGCATTCTGCGGCATCCGAATCTCCCTGCTCACCGAGTCAGGATCAAGAAAAGCACATTCTGTGATCCGACTGTGAAGTGAGGATGCACTCAAAGTCAATGTTTGCCATGTAACTCACTTGCATGACTCTGTATGCTTTTGTTTTCTCAGTGTGTACACGGGATATCTGGATGTTGATTCTGGTGCTAAGCATCTGTTCTTCTATTTCTTCGAGAGCAGAAGGGACCCAGCCAAAGGTTCGTTATCTCAACCGAGAAAGAACATCTCTCAGCTTACACTTTGTATTCAAAGATGATGTTATGATGTGGATCAACGGAGGTATGGTACCAGCAGATCTGTCTTGAGGGCGAATGCCCTGATGCTTGCTCAGGCCCTGGCTGTTCGTCATCCATGGGCCTACTCATGGAGCTAGGTACTCCACATTTCTACTGTACTATCGAATTTCGTCCCATAATCCCTCGAAGGACCGTGTAGTATCGACAAGGAAGACAAATCTCCCAATGGCAGTGTTTGGAACCCGTACTCGTGGAACGCGGAGGCAGACATCTTCTTTCTCGACCAACGTGCGGACTCCCTCCCCTTGCGATCAAGTAGTGTCTGAATTACGATCTCAGGGTTGGCGTCGGCTTTTCTTATGCGGATTATGGAGAAACTGTCGAGACCACAGAAGACGCTGCCAAGAACATTTACGCATTCCTCTCGATCTTTTTTGAGATATTTCCTCAATTCACTGGCCGCCCCCTCCACCTCGCAGGAGAATCCTATGGTGTGAGTACACAGAACACTGATGCGGGTCGGTCTTGATGCGCGGCACGCCCTGCTAGGGTCGCTACTTGCCAGCATTCGCAAGCTACATATTCGACCGTAATACTATCGCAAAATCAGAAGGCAGAGAGATTCTCAACCTCACGAGCGTCCTGATTGGAAATGGGATCACGGACATATCGACGTGCGTAGCTTGCCTGCTGTGAAAGTGTAGCAGTGTTAACGTTCGTCATAGGCTCTATTTCGGACGCTACGAGATAGAATGCGGCACGGCTGCCTTGCAAGTGCCTTTCCAGGATATTAGCACCTGTGTGCGCATGAAGATGGCAGTGAGTTGTCGCGCGCTTGTTGTCGACCAATACGCACATTTCGGAAAACTAAACCCATTCATGGTAGCTTCCTCGATGCTAAGAAGCTATGCGCAGAAGCTGCATAGACCAATTTGATGCCATCAATTGCAGGGCCGAACGCTCAATTCGTTGCAGGCCGAAACGTCTACGACATCTCGAAGGTACATGTGTTCCTTGACTTCCGAGAGCTACATGATATGACACGCCTTTCGTCTACGTCCCGAAAGATGTGTGAGGGCGACAGCCTGTGCTACAAAGAAAACACCGTGATAAAGAATTACCTTGACCGACCATCCACTCGCAAAATCTTAGGCGTCACATCGCCGAACAACTTTTCGGCTTGTAGCCGCGAAGTCGGGACCCACTTCAACCTCCACATGGACAAGTGGGTCGTCCCGTCGCAGCATTACGTCGCGAACCTGCTTGAGCGAGGCGTGCGCATGCTCATCTATGCCGGGACGTACGACTGGCAATGCAATTGGGTCGCCAATAAGCTGTGGGTAGACAAGCTCGACTGGCTGGGCAGAGAGGCGTACAATGCAGAGGAGTGGCGCGACTGGGTCGTCAACGAGAAGAAGGCCGGAGAGACCAAGAAGGCCGGCACGTTGACGTTCGCCACTGTTCCTGGTGCAGGACATATGATGAGTATCCGAGTTTTTCGTTGGCATAGTGGAGGTGCTGACTCGTAGGTTGTATCCACGTCCCCCATGACAAGCCTGCAGAGGCACAGGCAATGGTGTCGAGCTGGCTGGCAGAGAGGGAGTTTTGAGCGGATACTATGAGCACACATACTATACGTGCGAACTGTCGAGCGTGATCTAAGAATCCCCATTGGTCTGTCAATATCAGTTTGGTCATATAGGTGAATGAGTGCTTGTACATTGTGAGGTTCGTCACAGCTTCATGATTGGCTGCATAAGCCTAACCTCAGGCTGCACGCTCTGTCTGTTAGTGCACCTCATGCGTCACAAGCACCAGCAGCTCGGAACAGCATTCAAGTTTGACGCAACTGATACGAGGTACACGACAAGCATACATGTAGTTGTAAGTGAGATCGCGGCTGACAGTCCTCCAAAAGCGCAAGGTTCATGCCAAATCCCGACTCTCACGTCCATTCAAAACAATCCTAAGCTAATACACCAGAGCTACAACAACATATGGTGCAAACCCTTCTATGTCGTCGACCAACCCAACACATCAACAGCACCTAACGGCCCAACGTACGTGTTCGGTCCACCGGGGTACGCTACGATGTCCGTGGATGCCCCACTCGTGCTGGCGGGTGCTGCGACGATAAGCGTCGACAAAGCCTGGGCCGCCACATCCGCCGCGCCAGTAGCAGTTGCCGCAGCGGCGCTCGCCGCACTCGCAGCAGACAGGATTGAGCTGGCCTGCTCGGGCGAGATTGTCTCCGTCGTGGAGCCGGCCTCGGCCGCAGTTATCGTGCTAGCGCTCGTTGCGCTCGATGCCGAGGCAGCGTTCGCACTGCTTGAGGCTACAGTGGCAGCTGCGCTGGCGGTACTTGCCGAGGTGGCAGTAGCAGATGCGACGTCCGTGCTGACTGCAGTGCTTGCGCTTACGACTACGCTGGACACGGCAGTCGCGGTCGCGGTGCTGTCAGCAGCGCCAGCCGAGCTGCTCCCCGACGACGTGCTATTCCCCGACGACGTGCTATTCCCCGACGACGTGCTACTCCCAGTGGTCGTGCTGTTGTCCGCGACGGTGCCGGCGACCGCGAGCTCGCCCAGGTAATCAGTCTGCGCGTCTACGAAGATCATCGCCGGCCCAGCAACGATAGTGTTGGTGTTCATTTCGCGAATGTTGCTGTTGATCGGCTGCGAGTCGGACGTGACGAAAACGGCGACGGGTCCGTTAATGGAGGATGGGACGACACAGCTGCTGAGTTCCAGGGAGATCGACACGGCTGCGCCTCCGACGAGCATTTGACAGCTGAGGTTCTGCGAACGCGAGACGTTTCCGTCAGTATCGAACTAGATGCTAGAATGGGCCACATACGTCTGTCGAACTGTTCACAGCCGTGGACGAGAACGAAAGTGTATCGCCTTGCACAATAGGGCCGTTGTTCGTTACGGTGAGCGGGGTGTTCGCTGCGAAACAAACTGAGTCTGCTGTGTGTACGCCACGTGTGTCGACTGCTGCCTACCGGAAAAGCCGACATCACACCCAGATACGAAGGAGCTTGCAACGGCAAGCACCTCGCTAGGGTTCAGAGCGATATCGAACGCTTGTGGAATGGACGTGGCGTCGTTGAGCAAGTTCAGGATGGTTTGATGCCGAGCCTCCACAGACATGATCGAAGCCGCCGCGGTCAGGAGAGAAGCATCGGAGAGCATATGTGCCGCGCCCAAGTAAGCGGAGACACCCATGTTTTCGACAACTCGGGCTGTGGCGGCCATAGTAGAGACGTTCGTAAGGGCACTCGAGAAGTCAAATTCGCAACCAGATATGGGGGAGGCTCCAAGAGATTCAAGAGTCGACTGAAGACGTCGCTGAGGATATACTAGTGATCTTTTCTGTCGAGAACGGACTCACATTAATCACGGACAGATGTGTCGCTTCATCGCTATGGATATTCTCAAATTGTTGTATGGGAACTTGCGCTTCTGTGAATCCAGCAGAGGTAAAATCCGAATCCTGGAATTTAGCCAGAGCCTGCGCGTAGAATTCGGTCTCGAGTTGCTCCAAAACACCGGCAAATTCTGACGTTTGTTCGAACTGGAACGTGAGATTCCTGCATATAAATCCGAGACTTACGTAGAACCTTAACATCCGTAGAATCAGACGCCCTTGTCATTATCGGTGCAGCATTGATTGGCACAGCGAGTGCGAGGGCGAAAGCGAATAGAGACAAATGCATATTGACCGAGAGGAGTCGTCACTCCCAGATTGTACGGCCTGCCGGACGCCAATTGAATAGAAAAACGAATCTTGTCCAGGGGCGCTACCGGGCAGCCCAAATGAAGTGACTGGCCACAACACAATCCGTCAGTTCGCCTTTGCCTAGGATGTACAGAGTAAAGCTGTCCTCAACTGACCTGAAGCACTTGGACGAAGGAGTGAAGAGAAGACGAAAGGCAAGTTGGCGACAATCGCTTTGCGATGCCGACGCCTTATGTGACCGACGAGGCTTGGGAAGGCACATGGAAATCAGACTGTAGTTACCATTGGTATGCACGCTCCCAGGACGCCGGACATCGTTCGTCTCCATGGCAACTCCACTAGAATCGGTAACACGGGTCCTGTAATCGATGTACGCGCCAGATTGATGAGGAGCTGGCGGCTGATTTGTGGCAGCTGAAGTGTCCACTTACTATGCACTTGACACGGAAATGATGATCAGAATCAGTGTCGGATTAGGGTTCAGGGCATAAGTGTGATTATCAAAGGCCAGTGCAGTTGCTCTGGCTAGACTTTACTGAAAGACGGATTACGTTGGCGTCATATTTGAGAGGCGGCCGTGTATACCGCCAGTATATGATGAATTCAAGTAGTTCTCGAGAGGCGTGCATTGGCTATGCATCAATGCATGACCAACAGACACGTCGGATTGGATATTTCATGATGGCCTTGACAGATTTTTCTTCGCGATGTAATTGGCCGTTCCATCGTTGTATGAAAACCTTCAAGGCATGCTGTACCCGCATTGATGCTTACTCCGTGCCGACCATGCCAGCGTTGACAGTTATCGCTGCGCGTTGCAGGCAATTCAAAGGACATATTCGACCGGTTGATGCTGACGAAGAGATTGTTTGCACTGAACGCAGCAGAAATAGTCTGTTGATTATAGCTTCAGGTATTTGTTGAAGAACAATAGCGTACCATTCTCAGCGGACGTTACCTGCGCTCTCGTCATCCTGAATGAGCCGCCGTGCGAGATCGAGCACAGTTGCACAAAGTAAGAACGAATAATTGCATGGCAGCATTCTCGGAGGAGAACAACGTCAATGATTCGTGGGCTTCTCGAACTTTGAGCGAGACAAGGGGCGAGCTGATGAGAATTGCGAGAGCTCACTGTGATGAGCACTCTCGTGTCTTTCTTGAGCGCCAGATCCCAGCTGGAGGTATATCCTTATCGGGAAGCGGCGAGGCTCTCCACGCGTGTCCGTGCTGCCGCGCTGTGCTCGTCGTGCTCGTCGTGCATTTATTCTGTGCTGGACGTGCTTCGGCACTAGGCGTGCCGTAAAGTTTACTCTGCAATATCCGTCCACACCAGATGCCTCAGCAGAAGGAACAAATGGATGAGGCGTCGGCCACGCCCGTCGTCTCCAACTCGTTCATGGGCAACATCCTCACCCCGGGCTCCTCGCTAAACCCGACCTTTCTTCTGCTCCTAGATGCAGCGTTCGGGGCGCTTCTTCTGGTCTTGCTCTCGCTAGCCGTAGCGACGCGCGGAAACATACACCTGATCTCGCTCATGGGGATCGAGCTTGCGCTATGGGCGAGTGTGAAGTGGTGAGTAGCATGCACTGTTACAAGCCCTAAGTCGAGATTTATTTTGCGCAGGTTTGTTCACGATTTACATTTATCCGAGGGCCAGGAGCAGGACCACGGTACGGCAGCTGAGGCGCAGGGGCCGTCGACGAGGACAAAGGAGGACTGACCGCTCTGCCCACAAGCATGTTACACTGACACAACTCAGTTCTCGCTTCTCACCAATTGGAAGTCATTGTCCATCATGGTTGCTGTGTTCGCTGATACCATAGTACCACAACATATATGCTAGCGGAACGGAAAGGTAGTCTTTGAGACACGGAAGAGGTGACAAGACGTGTAGGTGGCGGGGGCAAGAGCAAACAAAGCGCTGACTGGCAGTGATAAAGCCCTATCCACACACTCCATCATGAACGCAACCATTCCGATGTTAGCAATGCATTCATGACCGAATGTTCAAATTAACATTGCTCATAGCAGCCCCTTTACCAGTATACACTATGACTCTATATCGTAACATCCTCCATAACGTAAAATGCATGATAGATCACCGTCGCGGTCTGTCGCTCGTTTCATACCATCGTTTCGTCCTCCATGTGCTATCTTGTGCCAGCACGAACACTACGAAGCGAACAACAGAGGATTGCATTCATAAGCACTTACTGTAATGGTTTATGGAGAGAACGGACGCACACTCGCGCTCCGTTCCGTCGAGTCCTTCTCGGAAAGACATCGTAGCTTCGTCGCTCGCAAGCGCACTGATGCCTCCTCCAGTCCCGGACGCCGCGGCAGCGTGAATGGAGGCAAAGTGCTGTGCCTGGTCGATGACCTGTGTAAGGCGTGCTCGGAACGTCTATCCATCGGAGGTCAGTGACCATGCTTTGAGGTCCAGCCGATGAGTACCTTGACTAGAAGGTCGGATATTTCCTGAGCTTGTAAATCATTCATGCTGAGACGAGCCGATGTCAATGACAGAATGTAACGCTGGGGGGTTCCTTACTCACAGCCGTACGATCATTCTCCCGAAGCCGTACCATAACCCTCCTTGCCCGACTAGAGCTGACAGACGCACACTGCGTGCTTCTGCGTTCAGCGCGTTTCTGACGCGAGCGGAGAATGGAGGCGGAATGGTGAAGTCCGCGTAGTCACTGTGTCAAGGGAAGCATACATGATAGTGGATGACCAGGAGAGACGCGATACAGAGCTGACGAGTATATGAGGATGTATGCCATCCACATCGGTACCTGTACTTTGCTGAGTGCTTTTATCTTGCGAAAGGCAGTTAGCAGACGCGTCTAATCTCATCGAAGCATCGCGTACGTCGCGTTCGTTGCCGCCGTCGAGGTGACCCATGTCTGGGATGTCAATCTTGAATGTACATTGAATCTTCTGGTTCTCCGCAAGGATCGACTCAACGGAGTAATAGTCATCTTCCATGAAGCAAGGTTCTGTCTGAGATGATGGAATGAATGTTGTTTTGTCGTATACGCGATGGGTCTGCCACTTACTCTCACGACGACGCGGTGCATCTTGACGCGGTCACGCGTTACGCGTCTTTCTCACGCCCGCTATGTAGCCCGCTTCGGGTTCCTGGCTTCAACTCGTCTCGCAGTCGTTCTCCAAACAGTTGCTTGCGGCACGGCTTCTCTGCACTGAGACATGCTCAGGACAGCAATTCTTGTTCCCTTTTCTAGGCAGACTCTGTCTGCGCGTGCTATCCACTCCAATGCAACGACCCGGATCCTTGCCTCACATCGTCATCGCACGCGACAAGCTGCGTTCTCTACGACTCCGGGACGGAGGGCGGAGGAAGATGAGAACTTCAAGCAATATGTAGAGATTTCTCAAAAGTTAGGACACGCAATAGAGCATAAGCCGGAAATTAAGCAGATGTTGAAGGAATTGCAGCAAGCTCTGGAGGATGCAGGTGCGCAGTCGTCCGCCTCCGACAAGATGTCGGACATTGCATTTATAACAACGTTATGGACACATCTTCAGGACTGGATCTCACCAAGCCGCCGTCAAAATTACAAATGTTTCGTTTGCTGTTGAAATCGGATGTGAGGAACGCCGCGATGAAGGTGTCTGCAGCACTCTCTGAGTCGGGCGTCGACGTCCAGGTACGTGCATACATGAGACTGTCTCTTCCATTTCAACTCACTGGCGAGCCCCGCTCCGCGTAGGACACGTGGGACCAGTTGGTGGCAATGCAGAAGAAACCCAAGGAGTAGATGTATATGTGTGTTGCCAAATCGATTTGCAGCCTCCTGTCGCCGTAGACAGCATATGTAAACTAGCGAACATGGTTCATCAAGACATGCACGATCGACTTTCTGTCGTCTTTATGAATTACATACACGAGTGAATTGGCCCATAATGCATGTATCGCGACAAGATATCGCATCAATTTGTTGAACATGATCGGCCCGCCACCCGCCACCTGCCACCTCTTGAGCGTACCCCTTCCTATTTCGATCACGCCGCCTTCACTCTTCTTCATCGTGGACTCAGCTGCTCTTTATATACAATGTCTGATGTCGCAACGGACGACCCCGTCGCAGGTCCATCAAATTTGCTGTCCGTGCCAGCACCAGAGACCACGCCAGCGCCCGAGAGGCCGCTCCCCGCCACGCATTTCTACTCTATCGAGTATCCGGGCTACGTGAAGCCTACGTCTGTCCCACTTGCTGTTGAACGTCTCGGTGGACAACAAAGCATCGAAACTGCATTTAAACGCGCCGCTGGAAAGACGGAGACGCTCCTTGAGCTGCATCTTCGACCGGGGAATCCGTTCGCGCATCCGGTTCCAGGAGATGTTGCGCCTACGAATAATATCTTGCTCAAGGTTGTGAAACGCAAGCGAAGAAGACGAGAGGGTGAGGTAGGTGCAGAGGAGGATGGTGTGGTAGGGGAATATACTGTTGAGGCTACGGGGGCTATTCCGAAGACGGCGAGGTTCAGGAGTGAGTGCAGTTGTGCATTCCTCCGAACTCTCTTATTTATACCCTTCTTCCACATCGTAGGTATGGCGGATTTCCAGTTCCAGCCGGACATGAACGACCCAGTGGCAAAACTCCGAACAGCGATGGACACCATGGATGGTACGTGCACTTGGTCCTCGCTGACTTGGAGACGTTGAAGGCATTCTAGTCGAGGGCATCCTCAGTTATAGGATCCCTCCCGAAACCGAAGACTATGTCATCCCAGAGGATATATCTTCCATGGATATTGACCCGCGGCTCACTGAGGCGAGTAAAGAAGGTTCCGCAGTCCCGAAAATGAAGAGCAATCTGCGGCTCTTCCCTCCTCCGCTCTTCAGTCGACAGTCCATACCACAAAACTATAAGTGCGTCATATCGTTGACTTTGCCTTTCACACTTTCTCATGCCTGTCCAGCTACAAATCCAACCCCGCATCTATTGTCACCACCGTTATTGATGAGGAGACAGGCGAGGAGAAGAAGCGACTGATCAACCGGATGAGGTGGAAAGGCTTTGGGCCCATCTCCATCAGCTTCACTGATAAAGGGGTGGGTGCTCTGCACACGGATATGTGGAGACAGTGCTCAACGTGCCAAACAGGTTCCGGATAAGCCGTCTCCTTCAGTAGAAGAGCAGAGGGACAAGGCAGACCAGGAGCTACTCAAGAGGCTACAACAGGTCAGCGCCGAGGTCAACGGGGCCCAGGGTCCTAATGCGATGATGTTCTTCCGCTCATTGCTCATTCTCAATAGCTGTTCGAGCAACGGCCCATATGGACGCGGGCGGCTATATACAACCAATTCTTGCCATTCGAAGTGCGTGAAATCATAAAGTGCGTGCGATCGTTTACTTCTTTGAACCTGTTGTTGAGATATTCCCACCCTTTAGTTCGAAATTCCTCTTACCCCTCGTATCATACGTATTCCAAGATGGCCCATGGCGCGACACTCAGATACGCTTCGGCTACGATCCTCGCGAAGATCGTGAAGCTCGATTGTGAGTACTATCATCTTCCATTCTTGTCATGAGTGGATTGATCAGACTCCTTGATCAAACAGCTACCAGAGATTGTACTTCCGAAATGTGAACCATCCCATCGTTCGTCCTTCTGTGGTGAGCAAGCGACAAGAGGTGAGGGTAGAATCCGCACAAAATCGCACAGGAGAAGTACGTGAGGAGGACAGGAGGTAATGATATTCCCCGCACACTCGCAGTTCGCTGGCAGCTAACGTGCATCGTAGGTCGCATATATTCGACGGAATCACCATCACAGGAGAGACAGCTGCATTTCAATTATGTGATATCCATGACCCGATGCTCAAAGAGATGATTGCTGACGAGGAAGATCTCCGCGATACGTGCAATGTACGTCGATCTTTCGCCGGGTTCTGCACTGGTGTTTATGGACGGTATAGGAGCGCGATGGCTGGTACTCCACTCATGCCTTCGAGCGCATCAAGACGGTGCTGCGGCACAAGTTCTTCTCTCTGCTCGGTGGGCACATCGCGACGCGCGAAGAGTGCGAGGCGCTCCTCGTTCCTCAGGAGGGCACGAACAAACTCCCACAACGGCCCGTACAGAAGCTCAGATTCGGCAAGCACAACATGGCAAAGGGTGCATTGCCTCCGGAGGATGCCGCGGTAGGTTCGCTCCCGCATTCGACACGAGCACTTTTGACTTTCGTCTATCTAGGCACACAGGTTGATGGCGACACTGCAGCAGCAGCAAGTGAAGGGAGGGAGATCCTCAGACAGTCGTCCATGACGATTTCCGTCGCTATGGTGTCCCATTGCGCGACTCCTAGTTGTATCGATAGCATTACGACTCACATGATGTATCATAGCTCTCCGCTTCCACAGCTCAGCATATCAGTGTTTTTGGGCTTTTCGATTCCTGAACGAAGAATGATGTAGGCATACTGGAGAGCATATACGCATGGCGGCGGTGCTGATGGTGGAATACATAAAGGCAGTTCGCCGCGCCAAGACTGAAAGGGGCCATTCCCACCGACATCTCCTTGATGTCAATTCCAATGTTCGAGGGCACATGTGCGTATTACAGACGAACGCGTCATGACGATTCCTTGGCCTCCTTGCGTGCCTTCCGCTGTCAATCATGATTATGAGAGCTTGATTCACGACGAGTTGTATAAACAACATACCGAGCCAACGAGCGCATACTTCGCATTGCGGCGGAACTGGATTATGCGAGTTGGAAGGAATTCATATGAGATACCGGACACGGTCAATCAGCGTACCTTGGGGTCAACCTGCATCGTCGAAATCTCAATATCTAATTCAGGCTCGACACATGCAATATCAGACGTACCCCCTTCATCGACCTTGTCCTGTGGCTCTGAGGCTTCTTGATACCATTGCGGTGAGCCTTCTTGTTTTGATTGTGATTGGTATGGCTAGAGAGGTCGCATACCGCACCGTCAGCACTCGTTGTTACCATTCGAAACATCCATGTGGGCACACACTTCTTGGATTTGGCCATGGCGTCGACGAGTCTTGAGGATGGGCTGGTTACCGCGGCTGTGGCGACGCACTATACCGGCCTGGGAAAATGTAGCGGCCGGTGGCTGAGAAACTGTGCAGTTACCGGCATCTACCGGGGGAGATGGAGACTGTCCGATTACGGTAAGTATCTACGTTCCGAGCTTCTAAGCTCGACGAGCTGTGCCTTCCGCCTCCGCTATACAAATTTCCTAGAAATATTCCATTTACGTTGCTACCTAAGGGTTGTGTTATTTGTTTGAGCCCGACTATTTAATGGTCGTCCTCATAGTGTTGGGCATACGCTCACTTGCAGTGCACAGTCGAACTTGGTGAGTGCCACATTGAACGCGATCACGTGTTTCATCGTCGCGTCGCGTCTTTCGAGGTAGTCGCCCGGCGAGCACGCTCATCTGAGGGCGACCACCAACATAGGCTTTACCAACCGCCAATATCGCGACCAGCAGCTCGCGTAATTCTTCTGCTCCACACCTCATCTCACGGAATACATCGTAGTGCGCTTGCCGCGTACCGATGGACAACCTCAAATGCAACAGATTGACATGTAGGAGGGCTTTGTCAGAGAAGGCGGTGGTTGTGAGTACCTAGCATAATACATGCGTATGATTACGTGATGGGGTTGCGCTATGCTTCATAGACAACCTGTAAGTTAAGTCTTTGCGTCGCAGAAGGCTAGTGGCTGTGATCGTTATTAACGTCCGCCTTCGTAGGTTCCCACATCTTCTGCGGTACGTCACATCAGAACTTTACTCTACATACATCGGAAAGTTAACACAAGCTACATCCACTGACAGTCGATTGTGCGAATGAACTATTCAATGCGTCGCGCCTATGCCCGGGTGCGTTTCTTCTGTCTCATACCCCATGAATGGCCGATGCTTATGTCGTTGAGCACAGCCTGCGAGACATCTCTTACCGAACCGTAAGTAAAGAATGACTGGTACAAACCTATATTAGCGTGCCTTGAACAGTTAACAGTGACGACGTTGTCGTACGTAATGCCTGCTACGCTTGATTCACGTACTTTCTCGCAACGATCTAGGATAGGTTTGCTCTCTACACCCATCAAACGACTACAAAACGGTGAGTTGATGCGCATATATGCATTAAATCTGGCTGAGATGTTGCAAAGTCTGTCTTGTCGGGACTCAGCCCGACAATCATTTTAGAAATCTGCAGCAGGCATGTCACTCACTGGGATATTCTTTTGGAAGATAGCCGCTCATTCACGACCTTCAGAGCAATGTCTTTCTGGCAATACCAGATTCACCAAGAGCAGTTGAGCGATGATCGTAGTGCAAAACCGACAACCACATGCATTAACACAATTGCGCCGCAGTTCCTTTCAACAAGCCGTATATCGCAACGTGAATGAGAAGAATGCGCAACTGCAGAAACAACTTGATAACGTCATCAGAGAAGGTCTATCCGAAGCTTCAGTCTTGAGCTTATCAGAACTAATCAGATTCATCAGCGAACGGAGAAATCAATCTGCTAAACAACAAGCTATCTGGTCAGGCCCGTTTGCATTGCCTGCTGTTGACTTACCGCCATTATCGTCCTAACAGAGCTCCAACGAGACTTGGAGCTAGAGCGGCGCAAGCACGCAGGTCTGCAGGATTCTCTCAAAGAACGAGACAAGGAATACCAAAAGCTCAAGGTTGGCATATCTCACCCCCCTAACAGTTTGTTGTTCACCGATCAAAAATCATAGACTCAATACGACAAGATCAAGCGAAAAGCCCTCCTCGGGCCCAACGTGCTCGGAGGCGAAGCCGGCGCTGCCTTGGCAGGAGCCGAGGGCCAGGCAGCGGACAGGACAATGATGGGTGATCAGCCGAACAGACTGAGATCAGGAGCAGTGTTCGGGACGAATTTCGGGGGCGCAGCCGCCGGGGGCGGCGGAGCAGTAGACATGGGAGCAGTTGTTGGCGACATGGATGCCAACGGTGTTTGTGCCTTCATTTCCATTCAGAATGTTACTCAGCCGCTAGCGTACTCTGCAGATCCAGCGGACGCCAATCGTAAATCGCACCATGGGCATGCCTCCCGCCGGCCTACAGCAAGGCTCTGTTTGGCGACAGACCATTCCAGGACAATCACGCCCTAATCCTCAGCGGCAGCCATTTAATGCCCCAGTCGCTGGCCGCCAAGGTTCATTCAGGAGTGCCACGACAAGATCAGACCAATCCGACAGTGCAGCAGAAGTAGAACGTCTAATAGGCAGTTCGAATCGTCATTCTGCTCGCAATGCAACTGCAAATTGGGCTGCCGGCCAGGGTCAAAGCGGGCGAGCACCTCAGCGAGGTGAGATCCACAACGTCGTCGCGTACCGACAGACATGACCATAACGCACCGCAGTCTTTGCGCAGCCCACGCCCAGGCGCTCAAGCGGCGGATTCAGGCCAGCTCCAGTCTCAGGTTAAGCTATTCTTCTTTATTTCCAGGCAAGAATGAATATGTGCATCCATGTTCTGTAGGATGAGTCTGGAGTGTAGTAGTACAGGATGTCTGAAGGGTATAGATACAGTACCATATTGTAGCCGCAGAGCTCGGAGCATTGTCCATTATTCCAGCGTCCAAGTTCGTTACATGACCCTCTACGGGCGAGGAAAAGCATAAGTCAAGAAAACGGGACTGAAGGAACGGTCAAGTAGAGCAAGCATGCTAATCGCGCCGAAGGTTACCACTCCGCTCATCCTCTAGGTACTGTCCGATAGCAAGCATGTCCTGCCCAGCTCTACGCAAATAGCCGGCTAGGATGTCCCTGTCCGCGGTCGGCAGTATGTCCGCCAGGCGGTCAACCTGCCGTTCAAATTCCGGGTTGAAAGGAGGGAGGCTCCGATGCACTGTTGCAGGAGTCTGTACGGGTGTTTGGGTCTGCGCTCCCCGCCGAGAAAAAATCGACGATCGACGACTCGTGCCGCTCAAACGACGGTTATTGTTACTAGGAGGCGGGGTAGACTCATTCGGAGGAGAACGGCCCATGGCGGAGAAGGTCTGCGAGCGCTGTATCCGGCCTGGTGCGGCGCGCGGTCCTCCTGGAACCGTCGGCATGGTCATGACCGCTACTGGCACGGGCCTGCTTGCCATGTCCACATTCGCTCCACGTTTCGCGGGCGCCCGGGACGACATCGGCAGCGAAGGCCTTTCCTTTTTGACGCTCTTCATCCTGCCGATGGACGAGAAAAAGCCGCCTCCGGCGAGCGGAAGTATTGTACGAGAAGGATTTATTATGGATGACGAGCGAGCTGGTGCCCGTGTAGGCTGTACACTGGCTAAAGACGGGTACGGGAGAGCGGCTGGGGGAGTGTTGGTCGGTACGACATCAATTGGTCTGGTCGTTAGATCTGTAGCGGTATATGCGTCCGAGCGGATCGGGAAGGTGGCTTCAGAGGCCTCGGATGCACCGGTGAAGTGTCGTGTCTGCATCACGAGAAAACGGCTTGCAGGAGTTGCGGGTGCCGACGCCAGATTCAATCTAGACTGAGATGCCCGAGATGCAGGTCCTGCAGGTCACGCATCGTCAATATCTGATCTGCAGTTTTGCCTTCACCACTCACCTAAGCCTCTACGCATATCTAGCCACTCCGCCAGGCCACAATCATACAATGCGAGTTCGTTTATCTTCTCAGCATATCCAACTGAGCGCTCCAGTGCGGATTTTCGTGACGTCACATCCCTGCAGTGCATTGCATCTGGCCACGGTGACTTGAACCGGGGTTTTGGCCTTGGTTTCGGGAGCAACATAGGCGGTGGCGACGGCGTCCTCAGCCGCTGCGGCGGAGGACTCGGCGGGCTCGGCGTCTTCGCCACCGACGACGTGGCTGACGGCGTGCGCGGTAGCGCTGAGAAACGCTTTAGGTTCGAAAGCGCCCCCTTGAGCGGGTTGCTGCTCGATCCCGTCCCCGAAGAAGCTGCTGGTCGCTCATCAATCGGAGAGCATCTGCCGCTCTTGGGTGGTGGAGTGGGTGAGTGTGCGGACAACGATGAGGATGAGGAATGCGAGATTGGGCTTGGATTATACACCGCCTTGCCATTGGGCGAGCCACCTCGGATTTTCTTCCGGAGGCTCAACCAACTGCTTTCTCGACGAAGCTCAAGATCGGACCTGCTGATTTTGAGAGGCCTGTCCTTGGGCGGTGCAGGAGGCACGACGTCGATGCTCTTGCGGCTGCTAGCCCTGGATACTGACGAAACGATGGATGTAGGACTCGTCTGTGCCTCTGTGGCAGGTTCCGTTCCGCTCTTGGTAAGCTCGACGGGTTCATCTGAAGGAACGACAGGTGAGTCCGTCGCTGAAGATGGTGGGTGTGCGCCTTCTCTTCGGTGTAATGACTTCGCTTTCGAAAGCGCTCTTGACAGTCTGCGAGGGAGCCCCATAAGTGACGGAAACAAGGCGTCCATATATGCGTATATACATACCCAGTTTCCTCCACAGCCTCCTGTCTCACCCTCCCCGACGTTGCAGGCAATGTAGTGGCGGTGCGCTGCGGCGAAAGTGGAGTTGGTATAGATGCCAGCGCAGCAGACACTGATTTGGGCAGCTGCAGAGCCTCTCGAAGGGCGCGGATATCGTGTTCTGTGTTCGGCCGGGATACAGCAAGCGACCGCGCCGACCAGGTAGAGCTACCCGCAGGCAGTCCATCAGTTGATTCTGCATGAAACAAAGGCTTTGGTGGCGGTGGCAGTGGCCCAGCAGTGAGATGCACGTCGACAGGCTGGTAGCGCACGTATCGCGATGACCCACGGGCATGTTGCTGGTAGAACTGCGTCGACTGCATAGGATAGGCCTCGTCAGGAGAGGACATGCTCGACGTGGTTGTGCGCGTCGGCCCTCGTCGAATAGCGTCTGAGGTATCGACGATCACGGGGCCGACTACGGGCTGCGATATATCCTTTCCCTCACCAATCGCAGGAGTCACGATCTCATGCTCTCCCTGTTCGGAAATGGGCGTGTCCACGGCACTCGAGGTGGTTGGCTCCGAAGTATCAGTCGTCCTGCCTGGAGACGGCGTGCGCGAGTCTGTTGGAGTCTGAAAGATGGGAGTCATCATACCCTCGTCCCGCACTAGCACCTGAAACTCGCTGCGCCCTCCCGTCCCGACGTGGCCTGGAGGCTCAGAAACCGACGTCAACATCCCAACAATACCTACGTCCCTCGATCGCTTGTGCTGATGTCGCAGCTTGCCGGGCACACCCGCGCCATCCGCCTCAGACATCGACCGATTGTGCATAGCACCGTGCGACGCGGACGGGATCCGGTCCGCGAAGAGGGGAGCAGTCGATGGCGGCGTGAGATCAGTGTAGGTCTTCGGGGAGGCGTCGGGGGGAGCGACGAGTGCGAGTCCATCGACGTGGACACCCCTTCGCGACATAATGGAGGACGTCATAGGCGCACCTCCACCTTCAGAACCAGGCTGCCTCATGCCCTGGCTTCGCTTGCGCGAGAGCGACAGGGGAAGCGTTGAGTCCAGCTCGACGATGGCCAGCCGTCGTCTGTCCGCACCGCCCTCCGAGGGCACGCTCTCTCGTCTCGTCCGCTCTGAGTCTGCCGCCAAGTAATGTTGTGTGCTACGAGAGGGCCGTGCATCGAAATGGTCGTCTGGCGACTCAGACGAGTACTCCGAATCTGAGCCAGAGTCGGTGGACGCTTTCCTCATGATTGGTGGCGCCGGGGCAGAATCAGAATCAGCGGCGGTGTAGGCCCGCCCAGCATGCTCAGACTGGTAATAGGAGAGAATGTTGTCAGTGTCGCGGCGAATGACCTTTGGCCGCAGATGGGCCGCTGCTGGAACATCATGAACTTGAGTCAGAATACGCAGCGAGGGAATGAAAGAGAAGCGTGCTCGCCTTGCTCGCTGTTATAATCGCTGTCGTCGGACGATAGCGGCAGCAGATAACTGCTGGCCGATTGTTGTTGGACACTGACTGCAGTCATCGCGCGCGGTGTGAATGGGTGAGGGAAAGGAACATGAATATTGGGCTCTGTCGGGGGCGGTGAGCAGTGGGAACCTGCGTCGCCAGCAGCGGCAGTGACACCGCTGGGCGCGCTCCGCTCCTTCCTTTGCACCGGCTCACGATTTCCAAGCCACTTCCGCGGCAGCCACACGTGTCCTCCCGAATGAAAGACAACGTGTGCCTTCCTTTTAATTTAATTCGATGGCAGTGATGGTCACCAAGGATCCTGTACAACGGGGATATAGGCAAGATACGTAAAATACATCAGGGACCATTCACCAATCCATTTTCTTCTTCGTCTGAGGCACAATGGGAATCTTGCCCTTGTATCCAAACCCGTCTAGCCACGGCCATCGCTCACTCCGATGCCTCTCAAACTCCTCAATCTTGTCCACCTTCTGCAGCGTCAACGCAATGTCGTCCAGCCCATTCAGCAGGCAGTGTCTGCGGAACGGATCAACGCTGAACGGGATCGCGGGCTTCCCGTTCGGGCGACGGATCTCCTGCTTCTCGAGATCCACCTCCAGCTCCAATCCCGCCTCTGCATCCTGTGCGAGCGCACGGCAGTCCTGCTCGGGCAACGCGATCGGTAGCATGCCGTTCTGCATGCAGTTGTTTCGGAAGATGTCACCGAAACTCGGAGCGATCACACAGAGGATGCCGAAGTCGCGCCTGTGGCGGTGGCAACAGTTGTGAGGTAGCAATCTCGACGGCAATGAGGAATCCACTTACAAAGCCCAGGGAGCGTGCTCGCGAGAGCTACCGCAGCCAAAATTAGGCCCGTCGCACACGAGAATCTTGGAGTGAGTATATGGCTCGCGGTTGATGATAAAGTCCGACTTCTCGCCAGACGGAGTCCTACGGAGGGCGTAGAACAGCGCATCCGCGAGACCGGTGCGTTTCAGCGTCTTCAAGAACCGCGCAGGAATGATCATGTCTGTGTCGACGTTCTCAATGTGCAGCGGCACCGCAATGCCCTTCAGCACTCTAAAAGGCGCGACGGTGGTCGGTGCCTCCGCAGCGGGCAGCGGCTGGCCCGACACCTCCTTCACCGGCTCTGGCGCAGGCGCAGGCTGCACCTCGTCCGTCAAGAACTGCAGCTCGTTCACGACCTTCATTTTCGGGGCCGCCGACTTGTCCGCACCGAGAAACCTGCGCACGTCCGTCAGGTGACCCGTCATCGCCGCCGCCGCCGCCATTGCTGGGCTCACGAGGTGCGTCCGGCCACGCGGGCCCTGACGGCCCTCAAAGTTGCGATTGCTGGTGCTCGCGCAGCGCTCCTCCGGCTCGAGCTTGTCCGGGTTCATCCCGAGACACATCGAACAACCCGCCTCGCGCCAGTCGAAACCCGCACGCTTGAAGATGACATCGAGCCCCTCCGCCTCCGCGTGCTGCTTCACCAGCCCAGAGCCGGGCACGACCATCGCAGACACGTTTGGCGCAACCTTCGCATCCGGGCCCGCGGCGAGCACGATTCTCGCGGCTGAGCGAAGGTCCTCGATGCGCGCGTTCGTGCACGAGCCAATGAACACCTTATCGATCTTGATCTCCTCCATGGGCGTGTTCGGCGTGAGTCCCATGTACGTCAGCGCACGCTGCACGGTCTCGCGCCGCTTCGGGTCCTCGATCTTCGAGGGGTCCGGCACTTTCCCCGTGATCGGCACGACATCCTGTGGCGATGTGCCCCAGGTGACGGTGGGCAGGATGTCCTCCGCGCGGATGGGCACTTCGATGTCGAACTTGGCACCCTCGTCCGAGTTCAGCGTGCGCCAGTATGCCTCGGCGCGATCCCAGACTTCACCCTTCGGTGCAAGCGGCCGGTTGCGGAGATACGCAAAGGTCGTCTCGTCAGGCGCAATGAGACCAGCGCGAGCACCACCCTCGATGCTCATGTTGCAAATGCTCATGCGCGCCTCCATACTGAACCCGCGGATGACATTACCAGCATACTCGACGACGCAGCCTGTGCCGCCTGCAGTCCCTATCACACCGATGATGTGCAGGATGACGTCCTTGGAGGTGACACCTTCGTGCAGATTGCCCTCGACGGTGATGCGCATGTTCTTGCTCTTCTTTTGGAGCAGAGTTTGGGTTGCGAGCACATGCTCGACCTCCGACGTGCCGATACCGAAAGCCAGGGAACCGAATGCACCGTGTGCTATAGAGCGCCATTGATTAGCAGTGCGACAGTGCAGCAACCTAGTTTAACGTACTTGACGTGTGTGAATCTCCACAAACACAGGTTATACCCGGGAGCTGCAGAAGGGTTAAAGCTGAATAGAGATTGTAAATAGACCGCACGTACAGTGAAGCCCTGCTCAGGGCCAATGATATGCACGATTCCTGCGCAAATTTCATCAGGTGGCGAACTATGCAGCATGTAGTTGATACGTACCCTGCCGCCTGTCCGTCATCCCAAAGTAAGTCAACCCAAACTCCTTCACGTTCTCCTCCAGAGCCTGGCATTGTGCCCTCGAGTCAGGCTGCTCGATAAACGACTCTACAGAAGTGAAGTTCTTGCGCGATGTCGTGCTGCTCTTCTGTAAGTGACAGGACGGATGCAACAGCGCGCATTTACTCACGGAACGTTGTGATCGACGGTGACCAGCGTGCAGTCAGGTCTGCGGACACGTCGCCCTGCAGTTCGCCTGAACTATAATGAGATCATACTCGGACGGAGGCGAATGACCACCTACAGTCCTTCGAAAGCTTGCGGACTAGTCACCTCGTGAACGAGATGCCTTGAGAGTCAAATCAGCAACCCGCTCACAACGGACAACTGAATCACGCACCTGTCGATGTATATGAGAGCCAGACCATCCTCCTGAACGTCACTGGGATCTCGCAAAATCAGCAAGAGTCCCCCCAACGTAGTCAGGACTTACATGACATGGTCATCCCAGATTTTGTCGTAGAGAGTGCGAGGTTGCTGGACGGGTGCGGGCATGGTGGTATACAGCAGCTTTCAGGAGGCCCAGACAACAAGACTTCGGTTTACTTGCAAATGAGTCAGCAGACGAGATGACTCGAGCTAAAAAGCAGCTCGCCACCCCCGCATGGACGGACAAATAATCCTGCACGCATTGGCTATCGGCCGATTGTCGGCACGATCAGATCATTTTCCTCTGATCGCTGTCGCACTGACGGTGGCAGCGGGCCTCAGCGGGCGCGTATTAACGGGTCCGAGGAAGGGAGAGCAGAAAGTCACAGAGATTAACCTTTGGGCATCCTTTTTAAAGTCCACTGTGGCTGATGTGATTTATACCGTTGCCAGCGTTAGGCAAGCGTCCAGCGCAATTTGCACTGTTTGACCGAATACGAGCAATGAATTGTATAATATTCTTCTACATGCTTGTCCGGCACATCACCGAGACTCATACAGAATGGAAATCCATGTGAACAAGAGGCAGAAGGGCCGAGAAGGTATCCCAGACATTCTCGAAAGTCAACTCAACTATCCCTAATGTATCATATGCGACCTGTGCTATGTGCGCATACTCTGCGGAAACAAAATCAAGGATCTGATCACCACCCATGGTGGCCTTGATCTCAGCAACAACGGCCACATCGACTTTGACGAGACAGTTCTTACCCCCCCACTCCTCGTGCAGTGAGAATGCCTCATTGCGGGACATTCCAGATGGGCCGGGCTTCTTCTTGTCTTTCCGCATCCGTGCAGCATTGTGAAAATCTTTGAAGTTTTGCAGTTCCTGCCGGAGAAGGCGTGACCACAGCCACTGACACAATTGGCTGTGGACGAGAGAGTTCTTGATAATTCTGTATGCATCTGGGGACAGTGTACTCACAATTGCTCAGGATCCTCTGCATTATATATGCCATCCTGCAGGCCTCTGTTGAAGTGGGTCACAGCGTTATCGCCAAAGTCAAGTCGAAGTCGAAGCCACGAGTGTTCTATGGTGATGTTGTGCACACTGCGAAGGTAAACATCTGCAGGAAGTTGCTGATTGTCGAGTTCCTCATGAGAGATTGACCTGACATGAGTCGCAGTCAAGAGCTCAAGCTAGATCATCAGAAAGTCACGAGTCCAGCTCACCGCAAAGCATCGACCAATCCATGCAGAGCAGTTGTTTCTGAGCCACAAACAGTTGTGAATTGCAGCGGTATGCCTATGTATTTGTGTATCAGTATTTGTCCAACTTGCGCTACGGAAACATCCATTCACGCGATGACTGACTTACCGCCGTACTTTTCCACCAAGCAAAGAAACAGATAGGCAATGATGTTCCCCATATGATTGCTAGGAACTATCCAAGCTCCGAGCCACTTTCCGGTTGCACCATCAAGAACTGCCCATATGGGGAAGCCGATCTTGTACAGCTTGTCATGACCATCTCCAGCCCACCTCTCATGGATACCAATCGGACGTTTTGGGGAGCTATGAATCTTCTTAGCAGTAGGGTTCCGCATCTCGAAGCCCTCTGCATCATGTTGATGCATGATCTCAGAGACGAAGTCACTGCAATGAGTCCAGAGATTTAGGCAAGCTATTTGCTCGTTGTAAAAACCAATCACGTACCGGGTCAAGTGTACACCATGCTCGAACGCGATCTTCCTCATGATGGTGTCTTTGCCTTGGTGACGAGCGGGATCCTTGTCCATTTGGGATACAACCAACTGCGTACGCTCATGCAGCGGCAAAGCCTTGGTTGTCACGCCGCTGCCCATAAGACCTAGTTCCTTCCGTCTCCGCCGTACCGTATACCAACTATTGACGTATCCACAGATCAGTCACTAAACTATGATACTCTTTGATACGTACCTCATGTGTATTTGATACTCAGCAGCCAGACGCTTCGCGATCTTCTTGCTATCGGTGAGCCTCTCGTGATGGTACTTTTCAAGTGCCTCTTTGAGAACCGGGTCATCCGCTTTGACTGATTTTCCTTTCAGACGCAATCACCATTGCATATGAATAAGATCTCACGTTTCTCTCCATGTTGATTCTTTCCCGTAGGGTTGTGATTGAACTGTGCCATTGCAGACACAATCAATACACTCACATCGATGAGTCACCCGCACGACAGCAGCCACAGCAGCCACACCGGAAAGCCTACCAGATTCGGTAATTCAATTCAGCTCCCGCACGGCACACTCAGCCCAGAGAATTGTCACTTCACGGAGCCGCCCTTTCCCAAGGTAGGGATTGACGAGCTGATGCCCAAAGACCTGACGCTGCACTTCGCAAATCGAACCTATCGACACAGGTAGCATACGATAGCAGACAAAGCGTGTATGTACATTGTTCCTCATGAGGTGGAAATAAATACTACGAAAGCTTTAATATTATATCTCTTCTCAATTCAATCGACGCAAACAAGAACTAGAAAGCATTGTGAACGACAACACGAAACAAACAAAAAAAGCCCACTAGGGTCTCCAGACAGGCTGACGCCCATGTGCGCTGAGCGCAGAAGTCCTTCCAGACCGCGGCGCCTTAGAAGGGGTATCTGGACGCCTGAGGTACTGCAGAGGGTTAAGAGGCGACCCCGGCGAGGAAGACTTGATAGACTGAGGGCTTGTTCCATTCGGCGGGGACAAAGAGAACGATGGCACGAACGGGCTCCTCGGTTCGGGTGTCACAGGCAGATTCGGTGGAGAAAATCGTTCGGCTGCTTGCGAGAGTGACGAAGAACTAATCCACTTCTCATCTCGCGAACCAAGATTTGGAGAGTCTGGAAGTATCCGGAACGCATCAGCGAAATGCTCCTTGATGAACCTGCAGGCATTCGTTCAATGAGCACTGAGGCGCATAAACATAGCGATGTCTCACTTTGAAAGCTCCGTCCATCCGCCACCAACTCGTACCATAACCGTTTGAGAACGCAGAATGCGGCAGAAACATAGTTTAGGGTCCTCGTCTCCTATCCAATACTTCCCACTCCGATCCTTCCATGTGTTTGCAGCGTGTTCCACATTGATATTTACAGGAAGCTTGTTGACAACATCGCCAACTGCGACATCTAGTTTGTTCTTTGGATCCGGAACGTACGGTTTCTTGACGGTCGACTTTGCCTTCGATAGCGGAGAAGATGTATAATTATTCGGGAACGAACGTCTCGGGGCTCGAGCCCAGGAAGCGCGTTGGGAGGTCGATGGCTGTGCCGACTGCGAGAGGCGAGAGACTGAGCGAGAATGAGACAGCAATGGGACCTCGGACCTTGCAGGCGAGGTGACACGCTTTGGGCGGGAGGATTGGCCAGTATGAGCCCTAGGCCGCGTGATCACCGCACTAGATGCCTGTTTGACAGCGACTGGTACAGGAGCCTCTGAAGAGACACTAGTTTTCCTTTGACGGGAGGAGAATGTAGAGCCAAATAACGCGGATGAGGGTGGGCGAGAGACAGAGCGACTTGCAGATGTGACGGATGCCCTGCTGATGGAACGAGCAGTGCTGGGAGATCGAGCTGATCGCGCAGTGCTGACCGAGCGTGGATTTCGCGAGGCCGAGGAGCTGCCATTTGTTGACCGTGCATTCCGTGGAGGGGCAAGGTATTGACTGTGAGTTGCTTCTGCAGAGAGGTTGACATTACTGGAACTCCTCTTGACCGAGAGCGTGGACCGTGAACTCGAGACAGAAGCGCGACTGCTCCGACCAGAGCTCATGACGCTGATGGGCCTCGACTCGGTTCCATCCATGCGATCTGCCGCCATAGCCTCCAGCTCATCCCATGTTTGCATCACGCGGTCATGTTCAGCCGTAGCACGAGGATCATCTGCCACATCAGAGTATTGCGACGTCAAGTCGGCAATGATTCCTCTGGTAAACTCCAGCCGAGCAGAAAGTTGTCCTTCGGGAGGCAGGGCAATGTCCGGCGTGTACGACGTCAAGAGCATTTCAGGAGGAGATGGATAGCTGTCGATATGCGTCAAGAGATCACTGAGCACGTTATCGCAGTTGACAAGGGCATCCGATAAGTGCGCCAGGCTATGCAGCTTTTGCATCAGTTCCTGTGACGATTCAATTTCGACGCGCAGGGACTGCAGTTCCGCCTCCACCAACGGTTCCTGAGCTGTCGAAGGCAAATCATACGTTATAGAGTTGATTAACGTGAGCTGGTGATCCATACGTCTGCATTGATCATGGCTCGGGAGTGAGTCGTGCGACTGCGAGCTAGGATGTGCAATCTCATTCTCATGGATGGAATGCAGTTTTCTGCGTAATCCGGAAATCTTGTCCAGCAATGCCTTGGCCTGAGCGCTGACTGTTGGCTCTGGCGATAGGGGTAGTCCTCGCAGGCCGAAGATGTCTGCACATAGTTGGCACCTCTGATTGAGACGTAAGGGAAAGAATGACTCACTATCGCCATCGTTTGCATCTAACCTGTCTAGAACTATAGTCTTGTCACCTTCCCACTCTTCGACTGGTTCAAGTACCTCCGGGACTAAAGTGATGTTGGTGTCCGTCTCCTCCTCAACCCCTCCCGTACCGACGCTAGCGATCGTCAACTCGGGAGTATCCTGCCTCTGTTCGCACACGACGCATACAGTCAGCTCCTCTTCTATCGAGAGTTTGGATGTACCTTACCTCCAACTCCTCGTCTGGTTTGTGAACCTCCACAGTTGTGGTCTGCACCGCAACATCCTCAACATCTTTAGCTTTCAGATGCTCTTCCTTGTCGATGAAAGCTTGCTCCGTTAGTCTAGCTTGCTCTGCATGTATCGCATGGGAAACGCGCTGCTGTAACAGCGATGTGCTTTCTTTCCACGATGCGAACTGGCCCTCAGCATCGTCCACATCCCTCTGCCGAGAAGTGAGGATGTCACTCGACGCCCCAGGCCTATCATCATGCGACTGAGAGCGGAGACGGTAGAGTAATCCGTGTAGAGGAGAGAATGACCGAGCAATTTCTGGCCCTTCTGTTTGCAATAGCTGCTCCAAATCGCTAGAGAGGTGTTTCAGATCCTCCAAGCCCAACGGCGTGGCATGGTCAGCGAATGAGTTGTGGATAGATGAAACAGTTTCTGTAACGGCGCGAATACTGTCTTGCACAGCGACAATCGCCTCGTCCACGGCTTGCGCGATCTTGGCCAACTGGAAATGATTAGCCTTCCGTTCAATTCCTTTGACTGACCCAGACAGAGTCAACGTATAAGCGTTAGAATCGGCGCGCACCGCGTGATCCGCTAAAGTAGGATCGATCGGCGAGCCAAGCGAACATGCCTGCTGCACAGCATCAAGCGTGCATGCCGGAATCGATGAGGGCCGCCATGTGTCCGAAGTATCACTGATCGAAGATGACGAAGATGTTTGCTGGCTAATAAATGGCACACGACGGGGTAGATCATCAATGTACGCGCGGACCGATTCTTGACAACGCTTGAGATCACTAGTCAAAGCGCCTTCAACGAGGAGTAGCTCTTCACCAGACAGACCCCCATCCAAGACCTCTGGTATCCATTGGTCAAATCGACCGTTTAGATCTCCAATCTCCCCTTGCAATTCGCGGAAGCGATCGCGGACATGCTCCATGATGGCCGTCTGCATCTTGATGGAATCCCAGACTTCAGCAGTGTTCCGCACGCTCTCCAAGAACGTCGACAATCCAGTGAAACACCGCGTTAGATACCCTAGCAGCGGCGGGCCTAACGCAGGTGATAGGGTCGCTAGTGGAACGGTGACCTGATCACGAAGATCCGCCTCGATTTGGTCCAACCTCGCAGCAGCTGTATCATGGCATATTGCGACGGGAGGGGATGGTGCATTAGGGCTTTCAGGGGTTGGTGGTGCATCATGTACATCAGTCTCTTGCTGCCACACCGAGCCTACCATCGCAGCAGCTACTTGCTCTCGGAGACGATATATATCCTCGAAAACGTGTCCCATCACAGTCCAAATACGCCTCACTGCCGTGAGCGCGGTAGCGCGACCCATAATCTCTTCTCGTGCTTTCGCAGTCTGTTGGTGAGAGGCGAACAATTGCTCAACTGTGCCTACACAGTCAGCCTTGAATTGCGGGTCTATCCCAGGACGGTCGAGATGCAATAATGCCGCTCGCGCAGCGCGAGATGCGTTCGCAACCTCCGAGTTTGCCGCGTCTATCTCCTGCATCATAGAAGGTAGCATCCCGACGAAGAATGAATGGCGAGTCCCTTCCAGACACGCCTCGGTAGACAAGTCTGGAGGTGTCCCATCGCCATTGTCGCTGCTGAGCCCCTCGGTCAAACGCTCAGTCAGAGAATCAAACCGCGCAGATATGTCTCTTGCAGTCTTGCATGTTGCTTCTGCATGTTTGACTGCCTCGACTGACGAGTGATACTCGTTGACCTGGCGCTCAACCCTTCTTGCTTGCTCCAAAGCGGATGTCAGCTCTTGAGAAAGTAAGCGCACAATGGTCTCGTTAGCTTCCGCTTGTTCAGGGAACAGCGGGTGAACCGGTCGGGGAAACATGCTCGAAGGAGAGGCCGGATTGTTTCTTGACGATATTCGCTTCACGAGCGAGCTGATGCGTGAACTGAATGCAGCGTCAAGACGTGGATTCGGATGGGCTTGTAGGGCGGCGTCCAATTCTTCCAGCAACGTCTCCACCGCAGCCTTGTCCTTCGACGTTTCAGCATAGATATCATCGGCCCTAACACTCTGTCAGAACCTGATGGTAACGGTGGAAAGTGTGGGTATACCTTGTCCATTGCGTTACTACGCTCATGACGAATCTCCCAACATCGTCCGTGGCACTGCCAACCTCGTTCTCGAGCCTGTCCTGCTCGTCAAGAAATTCGTCCGGAATTGTCCTTTGGCTCCTTCTGCTCCGCGCAATCCACTTATCCAGAGTCTTCGCCGTGACAGGAATCTTGCTGAGTCTCAATGAAGACAGCCGGCTCGTCAGCTGTGCGGCCTCGCGTGAAAGCTGTTCAGTGTACTTGTATCTCGAACTCCGAGAAGCCCCGGATAAAGATAGGTAAGACGAGTCAGAGGCCATCGAGGTCATGGATACTATGGAGCTGCGCCTGCTAGGCACCGGTTCGCTAACAGTTTCCGTTAGGGTTTCCGTTATGGAGGCCGCATGTTCGGATGCCGCACTGGACCAGCGAGCTCGTGTGGCCAAGAATTGTCTGATGTCGGCAAGGAGATTGTGGTACTCCGTCCACGCTGCAGCACGCCTATCTTCCCACGTTAGCCGGATGTCCAGCATCTGCAGGTTGGCAGCTCGGTCTGTAAGTAAATGGAGGAGCCGGTCCAACCGATAGATAGTAGTAAGGGTTAGCTCAATGAGGTCGGTATCTGCAGGAGATAGGTTGCGCTGGGCGGCAGCTACGAATGAAGAGAGAGCTTAGGTCCTAGGAGATGCTACTGGTTTGCAGGAATGAACTCGCCTTTCGTGAACTTCTTCAACTTTCTGAGCTCACCGTCATCGAAAATCCTGATATCCTTTTCTATCCTATCGTGCTCCGCAAACCACTCCTCCAGTTCCGCACGAGACGGCAGAGTATCCAAAGGGCCGAAAACCTCCACAGCCGGCATATTCTCTAAGAACTTGTGTGATCATGAGTCGCCACATCACCGTATTACGGCACAGTGCTCTACCTGTATCTTTTCTTCTATCCATTCTTTACGTTGACTGAATGCCTGGAGTTCGATGACCTCGTGCCATTCCAGAGACTGTTCGTCCGGCGATCCCGGTGACACGGGAGAAGGTTTGTCGGCGTCTTGTCGCTTGTCCCTGACAAACGTGTCCTTGATATCAAGAGTACCTTGCAACATTGCCTCGAGCGCAGCCGAGGCGGTGGTAGCTTCTTGAGGCATTTCTTCCAAACGAGGAGTCAACTGATTTCACGAAGGTATAAGTATCATTCAGAACTCCAGATGGGTGTGCAGCGTGTTAGAACATGCTGCTGGGCGGAGGTTGAGCGGAAGAGGGGTCGCAACGAGGCAGCGGTGAGTATACGGTACTATGGGATTATGAGAAGGCATGACTAGCGCTCGTGGGTAAGTATGACGGCTCGGCTAGCGCGATACAGTACACGGACCGGACCTGATTCACATTGCTACAAAACACACAACTACAACAATCTACGTTAGGTATGGAATATGCATGGCTAAGAGCGTCCTACCAGAAAAGACAGCCAAAGATGATTACAGATTCGAAGCTAACAAGGTAATAAAATAGCGTTCAAAAATGGCAGAAAGGGTCAACACGAAGTAAGGGGGGTCCATCGCGTCAACATCACCCCGCATACAGCACGTACTTGTCCGTGGTGTCCAGCCATATTCGCAGATCTTCATCGCACATAAGATCCACGAAGTCGTTGTTGACGCTATCTCGGAAGCGCAGAGTGGAGACGGGAGAGTCCAGCTTCAGCTTCTCCGACGCTTTTTCGAGCAGCTGAGCATGCGTGATGTTGGGGTGTACTCGCAAGGCAACAATGTCTTCCGCAGAGGGGGCGAATATCTTAATTTTCAAGAATGCGATTTGAGGATTGGTCGCGGATATTGGGGGATTGTAGTTCGCGTTGGATTGTGAACGAGTGCGCCCGGACAGCGAGGTCCGCGACGTAGCTGTAGAGCCGGCCTGTGAGACGCGTCCAGAACTCGGGTGGTGATCATGGGACGAAGCGACAGATGAGCAGGACTGGCCATTCATTTGATAGTATTCTGATTGCAAGCCAGGGGCGGATGTCTGCGAAGAATGAGTGTAGACGGATGCGCCGTTCTGCGCTCGCTCATGGCCAGTGGTGGTCCGTGACCTGGGCCGTAGAGGCTGCGTGGTTGCCCATTGCGGGTCCGTTGATAGACGTGACGAGGTGCTCTGGTGGTAACGGTGGCCATACGAGTCCACCCCATATGAATCGCCGAAGCCGTCCGTCTCGTCATAGCCATACCCTTCTTCGATAATCTCCCCTTGCTCAGATATCTGCAAGCGGGCTAGACGCTCCGCTTCGTGGTAGGGATCTACCCCATTCTGATCGTACTGCTCCTCCGTCTGCTGAGCCATTTGATCCAGCGCTGCAATTTCTTGCAAGCGTGGCTCAATATCGCCCTCGGCGTCACCGGATTTCAACCCCAAGAACGTGCGAACAAGCGTGTGCTCCAAAATATAGCGAGCATACTGCTGTAGGTCACAGAGCCTATGAAGATAGTCGTCGAGCTCTGCTCGCCTGGTGTTCGTGACTTCAGTATCGACTTGCGAGACAGGCCCGGGCATATAAGGTAAGATACGAGAATTCGGGTCAGAATCTCCAGCCTCAATAGGAAATGCGTGGAGCAGGTCGATCTGGAAATCGTAAAAGTCGTTATAGGATCGGAAGAGCACAAGTTGTTTCGCAGGGGGGAGATTGTCCGTTCCCGATGGGTCATACGGCTGGTAGATGGCGTGCACGCGGAACCAATATTCGTCCATCTCATAGTGGAAAGAATTGACGTCGGCTGACAGAAGGATGCCTTCTGGGAGGAGTTTGGGGGACGCAGGTCGGGGAATGTCTGGCGGCAGAGGCTTCTCCCGTTCAACATACTGCGAAGAGACGGACGAGGCTGGAGGCACAGGGGGGACGGCAGGCGTTCTTGATGGATTCCTCACGACATTAGCGGCAGTTGAATCGTCGAGCACACCCAGATTGATGCTATTGGCTTTGTAGTTCATCATGGCGCGTTTCCACTCCTCCACCCGTGGCAACGCTCCGCCATCAATTAGCGCCATTACATCCTCGACAGGACGACCAGTTGCTGGGTCACGGACCTCAACAAACGACACTGGGACTAACCCAGGTCGCCCGAGACGACCGATAGGTTTGGCCACAAACCACTCCCGGTTGGACTGAGCGACGACGGTGATGGAGTCCCCCTGCTTAGCATCCAGTTCATCGGCGCGCTCCGCTACGAAGTCATGCAACACAATGGCATAGTAGGCCTGAGGTTTGGCGGACGAACCGGACCTGGCTCTGTCCGTCGTGGCCGCACTGCCATTTGCTGCGCCGCCCTTAAAATTGCTAGTCGACGGCGGCCGTGGTCTTGGAGCCTATCGATATGAGCGCATCACGTGTAAAGACATTGATACTCACGTCGCTGCGCCCTTGTGAAACTCCTCGAACATATCGCAGGGAACTAAGCCCCGTGCGCCCGTCATCGGGTTATGGGCCTCATACCACACTCCTTGTTTGTTTAGATCGCTCAGGACATGGAAGAAGTCTCCCTTCTCAAAAGAGAGCTCTTGCGGGGCGGTGGATTTGTAGGAATCGAGGGCCCTGATGACCTTCTTCGGCGGTTGGATAGCGCTGGATGGTTTGGAAAGGGATGGCAAAGGAGTAGATATGTGTTGGGACTGGTCCTTGTGCCCATTAAGGGATTTGCGTAGTGTTTTCATCATATGTGAGCGACGTCAGCGGAGAGAGGTCGTGAGAGGGCGTGAAAGGAGAGAACTGGGAGACGAAGAGCAGCAGAGAAGACGGTGGTGGCGGTATTATCTGCGACCCGTAGCATGACCTGCCGGTTGAGTTCCCACACGGTTCACCGCAGGTGTGCTATCCCATTTTAGGCATGTCTCGTGGGCTTCTCTTGATCGGCAGATCCCATCCTGCAGGGACCCTAGCTGCGAACTCCGTCAATTCCAGCCAGATATCTGTCCCCCTCACATCGTCCACTGCATTTTCCCGCACATTCTCCGTGTCGTTTCGTTCGTTGCGCGCCACTGTGCGCCACGTCGCCGCAGTGCCCAGCTGCGGCCCGATCTAGGAAACCTGTTCTGTATTTCTGTCCGGTGCTTGAGGTGGCCGGTTGCGGTGCAGCTCCAGTTAACGTCCTCCCGGTCTGTGTTTAGGAACCGTGATGTTATCAACAAGAACCTTGGAAGGCTGTGAATATCTGAGATAATGGCGCCCACGTCGAGCACCTACCAACAATCGATAGATGTTCGCAACATCCATGTCGTAGCAAACACGAGGCTTCGTACTCCGCGAACATCTCTGCCCACCCGACGAGGCCACAACGTCGGCCCCGCCACTGGACACGCTCAGTCGATCGCGTTCGCCACAATTCGCGCGCCTCACGTGACTGTCACGCGATGGTCACAAGGATGTCGCAGAACACTGCCGCTCACTCTGGCTTAATTCTCCTGTACATCTCCTCTCTCTCATCGCTGCTCACCATGGCAGCCAGGAAACTACAAAGTACGTGTATGCTGCGTTCACGCTCCGCGCAGACACTGACCGCGCAGTGCAGCTGAGATTGACCGCACCTTGAAGAAGGTCGCGGAGGGCGTCGAGCTCTTCGAGAGCATCTACGACAAGATGCAGGCGTCCACAAACCAGACGCAGAAAGAGAAGCTGGAAACTGATCTCAAGACGCAGATCAAGAAACTTCAGCGGTTGCGGGACCAAATAAAGACGTGGGTCGCGAGCAATGACATTAAGGACAAGAGCGCTCTACTCGAGAACCGGAGACTCATTGAGACGGTGAGTACTGCTGTGCATCCCTCCACCCTCCTCTGCACGTAATCCATATTCCTTGTACTGGAAGATTGCCACGTGCGGAGGAGGTCATCCACCATGAGGTAGTTGCTGATCCGCGCCCCGCTTGCGTCCATCCTACACTTCACCCTCCACCCTATACCCTCACTCAGCAAATGGAGAAGTTCAAAGCATGCGAAAAGGAGATGAAGACAAAGGCATTCTCGAAGGAGGGCCTCATTCAGTCCGCGAAGCTCGACCCGAAGGCACAGGAGAAGCTCGAAGTAACAACATGGCTGCGCGAGCGCGTCGAGGAGCTGCTTCAGCAGGTTGAGCAGGCAGAAGCAGAGATTGAGACCCTGCAGGGAGGCGGAAAGAAGAAGAAAGCTGGAACGACAGCATCGGAGCGACTAGAGACGCTTGAGCGTCTGAACGAGCGCCGGAAGTGGCACATTAGTCGACTGGAGATCATCTTGCGTCTGCTGGAGAATAGCACATTATCAACAGAGAGGGTGCAAGATCTCAGAGATGACATCCAATACTTCGTGGAGAGCAATGCGGTTTGTCCAAATGTAAGCTTCTCAGTGGCAATATCTGACGTTCCTCTACAGGAGGATGATTTCGATGAGGACGAGGGCATCTATGATGAACTCAACCTTGATGAGGAGGAAGAGAAGTTTGGCCTGGCAAATGTAAACGATGAGGATAGTGATGAGTCGGAAGACGCAAGTGAAGGTGGGTGATCCTCGTTGCAGAGGGTCGTGTGCCATGCTAACTCATCGTGCTACGCATAGATCTTCTTCCAAGAACGCCGTCCTCTAAGAAACACGACGAAGAGCCTCCATCGATCAGTAGTAAACGTGATGGAAGTCCTGTGCTGAAGAGACCTAGTGTCTCCCTCCAAACACGCAGTGAGTGTTACCAGATGTTCCCAACCATGGCGTCCGCTGACCTCCCACAGAGCCGTCAATAGCTTCAGAAAGTGTGTTGCTTCATTCTGCTGCTGCGATCCCTATTTATCGTCCCTCTAGCACCAAAGCCACCGCCAAATCCAAACTTTGCGCAACAACCTATGGCGAGCATACTGAAGGCCGGTCTGCCCCCACAACCAAGACCAAGTCTAAAGTACGCTGCAGCGGCAGCGGCAGCAGTCGCTTCCCCATCATCAGCGCAACAATCGGCAGCACATCCACCACCGACACCTTCGGCAGCATCAAGTCAGCCTGCGGCGCCTACAGCGCCATCAATATCCACTGCGTCGGCAACACCGTCATTGGCGCCGGACCAGACGTCAGCAGTTACGTCGTCGCCGAGCTTGACGCATCCTTCTGTGACAAGCCCAATGCTCTCCTCAGCATCGGTATCAGCACAGCAGGCTGATGGATACTCTGTTCGTGACTCACCGGCATTGTCGGAAGCGGTACCTAGTTCCCTCAGCGGGCCTGCGGCGACATCGTCGCCACAACGATTGTCTCGGAAAGGTGCGTGTGTGTTCAAGTCAACTCATGTGAGCTGAACCTAATTGATTGGCCATGATAGCATCGGCATTATCACCAACAGCACTGCAGGCGCTCAACGCAGCAGTAAGTTGCAGTACTCATGTTCGATCCGAGCACCGCGTGAACCCTCTTCACAGCAACCGGCCCCGACAGAAGCTCAATTGCCTCCACAAGCCAATGGAACAACACAACAGCCACAACCCGCTGCTCGACAGCTACCAGCGCCATCGGGTCAGTCGCCAGTACCACAGCAAGCGCAGCCCTCCCTTTCCCCATCTACGAATGTCCAGCCAGCAGATGCATCGCCTATGCCTTCCGCTTCACAACAGCAGCCCCAGCAGCAGATGCCACAATATCCTCCAGGCGTTAGGGTGCCTGCGGCGAACCCGTCAGCGGACCAGGAACACGCGCTCCCGCAGGGAGTTGCGGCACAACAACAGGGCGTGAGCGTGCAGAGGCCTGCGTCGACTGCACCATCACAGATGCCGCCGCAATTGCAGCCACAGCAGCCTAGGCCTATTCCGAACTCCCTATCGGACCTTGTAGTGTCTTTCGAAAACGTCAAGCAGAAAGGTTTGTAAGGTTCTGTCTTCTCACTGGATCCGGTGGACTGAGGGTGTATGCGCGTACAGCCACACACCGCATGTCCAACCTCGACCAGGTGCACAAGTTGCTGCAAGGTAGCTACTCCAGCATGCCGCAACCTCAGGATACGGAGAAGTGAGTGCCTCTGCGCAATGTGGACCGCCTATCTCGTGCTGACCTGCTTCAGGCCGAAGTACTACGTGCCACGGAATCCCATCCAGACACCGTCGTACTATCCCCAGACGCCGAATCCTATCCTGAACACCGCGGGTATCTTCTCGCAGCTGGACGTAGAGACTCTGTTCTATGTGTTCTATTACCTTCCAGGCACATACCAACAGTAAGTTCTGAAAGGCCGCCGGTATCTATGCGCTCTTCGACCCACAATACTTGTTGCAGGTATCTCGCAGCCAAAGAGCTCAAGAGGCAATCATGGCGATTCCACGTGAAGTACTTGACATGGTTCCAGCGACACTCCGAGCCGCAAGCGATTACGGAGGAGTATGAGCAAGGTGTCTACGTCTACTTCGACTGGGAAGGCTCATGGTGTCAGCGCAAGAAGAGCGACTTCCGTTTTGAGTACCGATATTTGTCTGAGGACTGAAGGAAGTCCTTACGACTTTCGTCGTGCCATTCATTCGTATTATTTTTTTCAAATACCTCTCCTTGACAGTGCGCGATGCACATGTATTCTACGTTGGCGCAAGGGACAATGCAACGTTGCGATTAGTCGTTTCATGGCCCGTGCACGCGAGTAGTAGTGACGGTGCGACAGCTCTATGTATTAGCATCACTCGAGCTTGATGACCGCACCGAGGTCCATGAAGGTCTTCTGCATCTTCTCGGCCTCTTCCTTTGGCAGGTTTTCTTTGAGGGTCTGTGGTAGCGCCTCGACGAACTTCTTGGCCTGTGCGAGATATGCGTGAGCCCTTGATGATGATGTGTGGAGAGAGTGCGACGAACCTCGATGAGTGTCAAGTTCGGGACCATGGCCTTCACCTCCCGAATAATTTTGGGCTTCGCGCTGGCGTCGAAGGACTCGAGCTTCACAGTGAAGACTGTCTTTTCCTTAGGCTTCTCCTAACCATACGAAATCACTTTAGCTTGGATTAGAGCACTTAGACGGACGAACAGACCTCCGCTGCCTCCTCGGGAGCAGCAGCCGCGGGTGCTGAAGGGCCTGCTGCCGCCGGCATAGCAATCTCTTGGATGTTCAGCCGCGACTGGAGGAGAAGTGTAGCTGGCATGAGCATCTGGCATGGATAAGTGCACCAGCGGAACGCACCTTCAGTAACGAAATAAGATCTGCCGCTTGCAGCAAAGTCAATCCCGAGATGTCGTCCACGATCTTGTTCAGTTTCGGATCGGCGGAGACACTGGGTGGTGGCGGAGGAGGTTCAGACGAGGATGATGGCGCAGCGTCGGTGGCGGCTGCAGCGAGACACCTTGACGAGCTCGCGAACGTCCTTGACCTGCGAATCCCAGTCAGAAAATGCAGAGGTTACCGAGTGTACAGACTCACCGAGCCGCGCCGCGTGTCCGGGCAATCGCCCGCAAAGCAGAAGAGCACCGAGTCTGGGAGCATTTCAGACAGGAGATGGGTGAGAGAATGCGGGGCGTACTTACAGCCATGATATGTCCAAGGACGTCGACGCGAACTACCGTCAACTCGCGATGCCAGAAAATGCAAGCGCTCATTTCGTACATGCGCACGTGCTTTCCACGTGGCCCGCCCGAAAATGCGCCTCCCCTCCGATCGACTCTCCTCAGTCGCTACACCGCTGTTGGACTGAGGTAAGTTGGTCCGGCACGATAAATATTGTGCTGTACTCATAATGCCCTGTACATAGACTGAGATATTATAGGTGAATATGGCAGTCGCTACACCACCATGTGGCTGAGACTGAGATAGTATAGGCACCAACAGGTTATGAGTCTCGAGCTCGTGCTCCCGTAAGCCGAGCTTGTCGTACAAGTACTGTCTATTCTCGCCTCGTGGTGGTGGCCAGTGCACGTACAAGTGCGCATCCTTTTCTCACATCACTGTCGCTTCGCGTTATATTTGTCGCGATGGTAAATCCTCCCAAGCCCCCTCAGGCGAAATCGTCCGGTGGGCGATCCCGTTCTGGTACTGGTGGCTCTGCCTCCAGCGGCAGTGCTTCTTCCTCTCCAGATAGCTCGACGATGACTTCCATTCGGAAGGAAACTACGGCTACGCCGGCGCCTGTTATTCCCCCTATCCAACGGATCATCATTCCGTCTGCACTCTTCACTTGCGAAGAGCCGTTGGATCGAGCGAAAAGCAACTACGCTACTTGGCGTTCTAGCATCCTCGAGACATTAGCGATGATTGACCTCGACGATTACCTTCTCGGCAACGTCGCGCGACCCGATCCCTCCGTCGATCCTGCTAGTGCGGCGAACTGGGACAAGAATGACAAGACTGCCCGTGCATACATTGGTCGTATGTGTGCCAAGGAGGAGAAACGTTTCTTGGACAACGGAAACTATACCTCAGCAAAGCACGCTTGGACAGCGCTTCGCATCAGGCACCAGAAGGAAGGCACATCTACTCAGGTCCTTCTGCTGCAGGAGCTCCTGAACCTTCGCTTCTCCCACTCTGAACGCCTTTCCGCCACTGTCGAGAAGATCCAAGATCTCGTCGATCGTATCTTTGCTGTCGGTTTGCCTGATGCGGATGCACTCACTTGCCTTGGCCTCCTTCATGCTATGACTGGCGAGCTTTCCTCTGTCCAATCCCAGGTTGGCACGGAACTCGCTAAACTCAATCGCACTGAGCCGTATAGCTCTGCCGACATCATCGCGCGTCTCGATCTCGAGCAACGTCTTATTGACGGCACTGCGGGCCCTACTGCTGATGCTATGCTCGCCAAGGCGTCTGGCCGCGATGCATCTTCTAATAACTCTAACCCGAAGCGTGGCCGAGCGGGACATGAATTTGCCGATTGTTGGCAGCCAGGTGGACCTTTGGAGGGCAAGCGCGAGGAGATCCCGGCATGTAAGAAGGCACGAAAGGAGAAGGGTAAGGCCCTTGCCGCCACGTCATCCTCTTCTTCCGGGAGTACTATTCTTAAGGACAACTTTGGCCGTGCTTTCATCGTCGATGCTGCTACGGGTCACGCTTTCTTCCTTTCCACTGCTCCCCCCAATGTGTCTACCTCCCCCGTGCCTGCATCTACGTGCGACTCTAACGTTGCGGGTTTCAGAATTTGTACTGCCCATATTGTTCCCTCTCTTCCCATTGAGGTTGTCCCCGACGTTGTCGCTGTTTCCCCCACGCCATCCTCTGTCCCTTCACCTCCTGTGCTCGAGCCCATTTCTGAAGTCGATAAGCTGCTCGCTTCCGTTCCTGAGACCGACGACATTCTCGCTGCGCTGTCCGCGGAGGGTGTCCTGGATATTGATCCTCTCTACCCTGGTGATCCCAAGACGCCACGTGAGGCCCTGGATTCCCCCTATGCTGATCACTGGCGCGCTGCCCTCGAGGAGGAGTTAAAAAGCATCTATGACCTTGGCGTCTATGAGCTCATTCCTCGATCAAGCGTTCCCGCAGGCCGTCGCATTATGAAGGGGCGTCCAGTCTTTGTACTTAAACGCAACCAGTTCTTTCAGCCTGTTCGGTTCAAAACTCGTTGGATCTGTAAAGGATATGAGGCTGTATTCATGCAGGACCCTTTTCACACCTCCTCTCCTACCATGCGCATGCAGTCCTTGCGCGTCTTGCTCCATCTTGGTGCTGCCTTGGATTGGGAAATCCAGCAGATTGATGTCAAGACTGCCTTCTTGTATGGCTTGCTTTCAGAGCATGAAGTGTGCTACATGGAGCAACCGCCGGGCTTTGAGGAGCATGGCAAGGAGGATTGGGTTTGGAAGCTGCGAAAGGGTCTGTATGGTATGAAAGAAGGTGATCGTGCCTGGAATCATACTATGGACGCCCGTCTCCGTGCCATTGGCTTCACTCGCCTCCCATATGAGAACAGCATCTACTACCGTCATACTTACGAGGGCATCGCGATGACTGGAATTCATGTCGACAACTTCGCTCTTATCACGAGTACGAAGGCTGCTGCTGAGTCTTTCAAACGGGAGCTTCGCGAGCTATGGAATATCTCCGACCTGGACGAAGCACAATTCGGCATCGCCATCGCCATCGATCGTGACCGTGCATCTCGCACCGTGGCTCTCTCTCAGACCGCGCTCATTGACAAGATTGTCACTGACTTCCGTCTCCAAGATGCTCACCCAGTCACCACGCCAATGGACCCTGGGTCCCGCCTTTCCCGCCTCGAGCATTCTCCGACCACTGCTGAGGCCATGGCTGCCGCTGCTCGTCATCCATATCGTCAGCTTGTCGGCTGCTTGCTCTATTTGTCCATTGCCACTCGCCCCGACATTGCCTTCGCCGTCCAACAGTTGAGCCAATTTTTGGATTGCCATGGTGATGCTCATTGGGAGGCTGCAAAACGTGTAGTTCTCTACCTCAAGGGTACTCGTGATTACAAGTTATTCCTTGGAGGCGATCATATTGCGACACTCTTAGGTTACTCGGATGCTGACCATGCCAACTGTCTCGACACACGTCGCTCTATTTCCGGTTACTGCTGGTCTCTGGGCTCTGGCGTTATCTCGTGGTGTGCTCGCAAGCAGGAAACTGTTGCGCTAACACCCACTGAGGCGGAATATATCGCGGCGGCAGAATCTTGCAAGGATGGCTTGTGGCTCCGCCTCCTCCTTGAAGGACTTCATTTTCCTCAGGATGGTGCTACCCCTCTCCACTGTGACAATTTAGGGGCCGTGCGCCTTACCGAGAATCCCGCTTTTGACGATCGTGTTAAACACATTGATCTCAAACATCATCTCATTCGTAAACATGTCGATGCTGGCCATATCGCCGTTCATTATGTCAACACCCATGACAACCTTGCAGATGCTTTCACCGAACCCCTCCAGCGTGTTAATTTCCAGCGCATGCGGAGCAAGATGGGAGTCTGGAAGTCCTTACGCAAGGAGGAGTATTCCGGTTGAGCAAGCGTATCGCATTTTCAGTAATATATGTTCATTTTCTTTTGATCTCTGACATCATTCCTTGTCCTGTCGCGATCTCCGCGTCACATTTTTCATGTTGAGCGAGTGCTTCGAACCATGATTACGCCGGCAAACAGGTGATTGGTGTCGGGACAATGGAATGCATCGCCTACGATGCCGAGTTTTGATCAGTGTCTTCTCGCAAGGAATCGCACATCCGTTCTGTGCCACCGACACAAAGCAAGAAACCTGCGCGGAAGAGAGAACGATCCGATCAGTGATACAGAGGCATTGGGTCTGAGATCTGAGCTCTTCAGCTACACGGAAGAGACGGGCGAAGCGCACGCAGCGGCCACTAAGCATGAATTGGAACAGGTAAATACCGATCTGTTGTAATCAAATTGGAACTCCTTCTTGATTTTGACTCGAGGCTAGAGAAAGATCAACCATTCGGGCGAATGCAGAAATTGGAAATGTCTTGGATTTATGGTACCTTTCAAGTGCTTCTTCAGCACTCACCTTGTGCTTACTGTATCTCTGTCAAAACCCGAAGCATGAACCTGCATAGGCCATCACGGAATCTATATCGGAGGCAAGATGATAGGAAGCTATTCTCAAACTGTGGGACCCAAGTCACGCGGTCCGACGACGTTACCGCTATCTCTATCAAAGCAGCCGGCGTGCAAGGACACGAGATGGGAGGACCCTTCTCGAGCTTGCCGATTTGGGGCGCTCAAGAAGCATCCGTGAGCCTATTTATACGAGGTTCGTGCGAGGGGACGTCGGCTGCCCTGCACTTGAAAGCATGTCACCCAGGCTCGGTCGAGCTGCCATTCTCTGTGCAGCATCTGTCCTCGCGGCCGTCGTTCACGTCGGCGCGCTCTGGCCGCTCCCTCGCAGCATCGAGGAAGGCACAGATGCCCTGCGTCTTGCCGACACGTTCAGAATCTCTCTCTCGTCCAGTATAGCCGATCCTCCTCCAGACTTGCTCAAGGCGATCGCGAGGACTCAGACCTATCTCTTCACTGACGACCTGGGAAGGCTCGTCGTGGATCGCGGGGCGGGAGATGTCAGCACGTTCGAGACGGCAGCGTACCTATCGGAGCTAATACTATCGCTGGAGCCAGGGTCGACTGTGCTCTCCATTACTGCCGAGGCGCAGAAAACACTCGCAGAGCGAGATGAGAGCTACAGCATGGCGATTCCTTCCAATGGTTCCGCCGCGACAATCACTGCTAGTTTGACGTTGGGGCTCTTTCGAGGCTTGACGACTTTTGGTCAACTGTGGTATGAGTACGATGGCACCATCTATGCGTTGAACGCGCCCCTGCAAATTGAAGACTCTCCTGCATATGCGAGTGCTATTCACATGATCCGGGGCTGATATTGCTAAATGATGCATCCCTAGCCTTACCGAGGGCTTCTCTTGGACACGGCGCGGAACTAGTGAGCAGATCTCGCCTTTCAGGAGGAAAGCAATCTCACAAAACACAGTTTCCCGGTATCCGACATCTTGCGAACCCTGGATGCGATGAGCTGGGTAAAGGTACGCGCCCGACTTTGACCACGCAAATTCCATCCTGAGTGCTCCAAGATCAACCAATTCCATTGGCACGTCGTCGATAGCCAGAGCTTCCCACTCACAGTGCCTGGGTACACAGAGCTCGCCGCGTACGGCGCCTATTCGCCACAAATGGTCTATAGCATCAGCGATATCGAGACCATAGTGTCATATGCCGGAGCCGTATGTGCAGTCATCATGGTCCCTCATGCGGAGTCATTTTGATCTGGAGCATCGCAGAGGGGCATCGACGTGCTGGTCGAGATCGACACCCCCGGGCATACCGCTGCCATTGCAGACGCACACCCGAATTTCGTCGCGTGCAACCAGGCTCGTCCTTGGGCCGACTATGCCGCTGGTACGCCGACTTTCTCGTTCCGCCTGAGCACCTCATCGCCTAAGACGTGTTTGTGTTTGGCAGAACCGCCCTCTGGCCAGCTACGTTTCGCGAACGCCACCGTCGCCAACTGGACGGCAGGGCTCTTTGCGGAGGTCGCGAAGCTGTTCCCGTCCACTATAATCAGCACGGGCGGAGATGAGGTGAATGCGTACTGCTACGAACAGGACCCCGAGACACAGTACGACCTCAACAGCACCGGCCGGTCATTCAACGATGCGCTGAGCGACTTTGTCGCTGGCAACCATGCTGCGCTGATTGCAGCGGGGAAGACGCCTGCCGTTTGGGAAGGTAGGTGCGGTTTGTTTTGGATGCAGCCAGGGATGTTGATAAGCGGCACGCAGAGATGGTCCTCGACTACAACCTGACTTTGTCAAATGAGACTCTCGTCTTGTGAGTGGCTCTCTCACCGAATGCACCAACACTGAACTCTGCGATCAACTTATAGAGTATGGATCTCTTCGGACGACGTGAAAGCTGTAGCAGAGAAGGGCTTCAGAGTGATCCACGCGGCGTCCAACTATCTGTACCTCGTCAGTGTCACTCACGCTCAGGCTGAGCATGTTCGATATTCAAACGTTCCACAGGACTGCGGTGCCGGCGAGTGGATCGGCGATGATCCAGATGGGTTCGTCCAAGTCATTGCGTTGTCGATTCGCCGCCCATACCTTCTCGCATCTCCTTAGAAACAGCTGGTGCGACCCCTTCAAGACGTGGCAATACACATACACCTTCGACCCCCTCGCGAACCTCACCTCAGACCAATACCCACTCATCATGGGCGGTAAGCACCTCCATCAATCTCTCACACCAGCCTCCTCATGACACGCATGCATACATAGGCCAACAGAACCTCTGGACGGAGCAATCCAGCCCGTCGAACCTGGACCCCATCGTGTGGCCGCGCGCCGCGTCCTCCGCGGAGGTCTTCTGGAGCGGGCCCGGGGGCAACTTGACATCGGCCCTACCCCGGCTGCACGACGTGTCGTTCCGCATGCAGCAGCGTGGGGTGAATTCGATCCCGCTGCAGCCGTATTGGTGTGCGATCAGACCGTTTGAATGTGATCTGACGTGGTGATTCGCTGTTGGGTGTTATGTACTGTATATGGGCTGTCGGCCAAGGATTTGCGGATCAAAGACCCAATGAACTGAAAGACGGATCGGGAGCGGGAAGCTAGCCACGAATTCGCTATCATATATCGTCGGACGTGCATGGACAAATCAGTATATGTAATCCTCGCGAGACGTTCCCGCTCAATACCAGCCACTAATTCTCCCGAGGAAAACGTGGCTAGTCAATCTCGGCATCGATTATGACCAGATACGTACGCACCAGAATCATCACCACATCCTGACAGCGCTCGATCTCACAGATCTCATGCGCCAATTTGTGACGGCTCATATGAGCTAAGACGAAAAGGCTGCGGACAGGACCCGGCGCACTGCTACCGTCTCCGCGTCAACCGGAGGAGCGAGATTGCCTCGCGTGAGTAGACTGCATGGTCGGGGTCGTCCGTGACCTGTACGATCCGCGTGAAGGCAATGAGATTTTCGATATTCGTCAGGGCGGTCGATAGGTTAGCCAGCGTGGAAAATTAAATAGAGACGGTGGAGTGCTTGGTGAGGTAATGGATGGAGAAGAGGAACGAGCGCACACACTTCCGTCCAGGTAAACTCTTTCTTCAAGAGCGTGAAGAACCGTTTGTCTGCCTAAAGTACAACAGAGCATAAGCATAGACGTAGAACTGCATCCATGGTACAACTCACCTTCCTTCGCTTCTTATAGCAAAACAGCACCTCTACGTCCTTCCCTTCCTTCGGCACCAGCTCCGCAAGCGTGCCTACGAGCAGTGGGAATGCCGGCTCGAAGTACACGCAGTCCGCCGCGAGGACGAGGTCTGGCGCCGGCAAGTCTGCGGGGAGCGGTGTACCCCTGTGCTATCCATGCATGCTCAGCGGGCTGCGGGGACACGAGGGGTCCAGAGAAGAAAATGGTGCAGACCAGTTGAGCTCTGCGATGCGCACGCGCGAGGATAAGCCGTTGAGCGCAACGTTGCTGGTCATGATAGGCAGGAGTGGACTAGGCGCGTGGATAGAATGCGTCGAAAGTGGTATGCATGAGGGAAGAGAGGTGGGACGTGTCAACCAAGGAGATGATGGTACGGTTGGAAGGGGACGCACGCTTGGTCGGTGATCCAGACGTCTGCACCGAGAATACCCGCAACGAGCCCTACGAGACCGGTGCCGCTTCCGAGCTCGAGAGCGACGCGTCCGCGTAATGAGCCGCGTCGTGCGAGGTAGCGGGAAAGGACCTATTGTAGCGGGTGGTGCGTGTCAGCGCGTGAAACATGCTCGCGATAATCATGGGAGCAGTCCGGCCGAAGCAAGGTATTGCACAGATGAGAAGACGCGATGCACACCTCCCCAGCTGGCCACGCGATCCCACCACATCCCGGCGACGCGTCCACTGAAAGGTTGATCACGATATCCTCTGGTGTGCGCATGTCCGCTTCCGCATGATGAGAGTTCTTCAAGTCAAGCCGGGAAGTGGGAAAGACAAGCTGGGTAGTCTGATTGATGATGGATGGCGGCTGCGCCGGGACGATGTCCACGTCCACGTCGTTGTTGCGCAGATGGCGGAGAGGGTCGAGTGCGTCGAGCTTCTCCTCGAGCGCAGGATCAAAGGAGGAGCTGACAGGCATTAGGCGTGCTCAATTCTTAGTTCGAGGGGCGAGTTCTGGCGAGTTCAGTCGATCTCAGGCGCCAAGAAGTTGGCGATGCCGGGTCTCATCAAACGCATTCACCTATCAATGGCTCACATGTATACAACCAGTTACTGAAATGAAATGGCCAGACCATGAATTTTTGACATACAATTAGGTGTGCTTGTACTGTTATGTGTGGGTATAGTATGGAATGATCAAGTGAGACACTTAGAATGGGGCAAGATACTTTCGATCACATCATACATATCCTATAGAGAAGGAAAGGGAAGCCCTGGGTAGCATGCACTATGGAAACTGTTGAATGGGATCATGTATAGATGGCAATTTACTATCAAGAAAATGTAGTGATTCTCCGAAGATAATTTTGCCACTCTGGCACCGCAGACATGAAGCGATTTGCACACGTGGCAAATGCTTAGCAAATGTCGACAGGTTTTTTGCCTTTGTGATCTCAATTTGCTATGGTTCCTTCCCACATTCCGTATTAAGTATTTGTATATAATATGTTGGAGGCAGAAATTTAAATCATATATTTTAAGAAATGACACCATTTTCAAACTCACCAAATACATTTAGAATTTGAGTGCTGTTGAATGTAATCATACATTTTTGAATTCCAAACCATCACATGTATAAAATACCCAGTAGCAGATGAAGGTGTAATTACAAAAGACTTTCATTCTAGTAATCTTGGTTAGAATGACTTCAGTAGGGAAGTAGAATGTAGGCATAATTACACCGTTGTCTGCTACTGGGTATTTTATATATGTGATGGTTTGGAATTCAAAAATGTATGATTACATTCAACAGCACTCAAATTCTAAATGTATTTGGTGAGTTTGAAAATGGTGTCATTTCTTAAAATATATGATTTAAATTTCTGCCTCCAACATATTATATGCAAATACTTAATACGGAATGTGGGAAGGAACCATAGCAAATTGAGATCACAAAGGCAAAAAACCTGTCGACATTTGCTAAGCATTTGCCACGTGTGCAAATCGCTTCATGTCTGCGGTGTGGATCCCTGTCTAAGGCCCCCAAGCTTACACGTTATCACCACTCTCTCGGCGCTGTGATCGATGGCGATCGGCCGCCTCCAAGGTGCAGAGATCTGGACTGATATGACGCGCAGAATCCTCCGAGAGGACGGAAAGTAGCCAACGCGTGTGTACGAACCAGATGCACAAAGTTCGAACGTGGGCTCTGAGCAGATGATGGAAGAAACAGGAAAGGCGAACGTGTGGCCGCGTGTCGGTCGATTTGCCTCGAGGTCGATCGTTGATGCATGCATTGATGGCGGACGCTGCTAAATCAGGAAGAGCTGTCGCTTGGATTGGGTAATCGATGCAGCAACGCGTGGTATCACTTCCGCTGGATCGCTTCGACCAGCCATTCAGTGGGTCTTATCATTGGCATCAGGCTCGACAAAAGGCGTGCATTGCCTGCCGTTTCAAATTTTTAGGGCTCGGATACCATGAGTGTGAATGTAATAGAAGATTTCAGAGCACAGGCAGGGGACGAGGTTCGTACTCGATGTATGGCCCGAGCGTCTGAATGCAAGCATGGGTTCAAGGTGGACTTTGCATTCAAAGGCGCCATGTAGAATGAGTCAGCATGCGATGACGACAGAATAAACGTTAAAACCATTCGTCCGGAAGAATTGGTGAACCCAAAATACCGCGCGCTGCAGCGAGCAGTAAGATAGGCTCCTGCGGTAGCGCATGCGTCCGGAAGAGGGGATTAGAGCGCCGCGCGCTGAATTGAATTGCGCGTAGTCACGTACCCAGCCGACATCCGGTGGTATATAAGACGTCTTCCCCCCGTTTGAATACGCGCTGCTCCTCCTCCTGTCTCTTATCGCCCGATTGTGATCTCGCAACGTAAGCGATTCACTTGCCGGTGATCGACAGGATCTCGGCCGAGCCCAGCCGCCCGTACCTCCTCACATCATTCATTCGCGCCCGCCCATCGCTCTCCTCTCTCGACGTTGACGTGGTCTCTTCCCAGTCTAATCCTGTACCACTAGATTCCCCCAGGCGCTGTGCTAGCCCTTTGTTTCTCTCTTTCCACCTCCTACTGTATCTGTATCGTCCTACAGCCATGACTACCTCAGATCTGCACGCTGCCGTCTTTTCATGGTACGCCCCTCCCAGCTCACCGCATCTCGAAGCTGTACTCACCCACCCACCGCAGGCCCCATACCGATGCCCAGTCGGTCGTCCTGACGGGCTCCTTTGATGCGGTACGTGCGACATCGCCCTATCGCACTCCAGCCTGACTAACGCCGCCGCAGTGGACCGCCTCCTGCCACCTCACCAAAACAACCACAGGCTTCAGCGGCACCGCCCATGTGCCCTGGGGCGAGAAAACGATCTACAAGTTCATCGTCGACGGCACTTGGACTATAGCCAACGACCAGCCCACCGAGACTGACGCCAGCGGCAACGTCAACAACGTCTACGTCGCTCCCCCGCACCCCAGCGTGGCAAAGACCATCAACGGCACTGCCGCTACAGTTACTGATCCAATTGTGACCTCCACGACTGCACCGATAAAGGCCGCGACTGAGGGCGCTGCCCCCATTCACGCGGGAACGTTGGGGACCCTAGGCGCGGCTGCAGTCGCGATGTGGACGACTGAGCAGGCGCCGCAATCTCCCGTGCCTGTCCCCGAGCCAACTTTGGTACAGCCAACCCCCCTTCCAGCAAGCGAGGCGCCCACGTCTGCCCCTGTCCAGGAGCCGACATCCGCACCGCAGTCGAACCTTGCCGCCCCCGAGTTGCTCCTCTCGCCCGCCGAGACTTCCAACCCACATCTCGCTCCCGAAGTACCCGTACACGTTCTTCCGCTTGAGCCTCCCACGGTCAGCACCACCATCGCCAAGGGCGAACCGCAAGAGTTCGCAGAGACTAATGAGGCTGCTGAGGCTATCGAGCCCTCGGGGGAGTACAGCAATGACATTGAGCCGCCATCGACGCACTCGCCGAGCGGCCACGCCGGCGTGGATGGCACCGCGGAGGAGGAGCGTTCCCGCACGCCCGAGGAGGGCGCAGACGTGCGTGCGGCGATGATGAACGGCGCCACCGCGCCGACGCTCGCAGCACTGGACGCCCAGCCATCCGGAGACGCAGCGCACACGGAACATGACGCGGCGGTGATCGCGCCGACGGGCGAGGGCGAGGCGGGGGATGCCAGCACGCGCACGCTGTATGCGCCCACATCGGGCGCGGCGACCAGCACGGCTCCGAGTGCGATGCTGAGCGGGGCGGGCACGGAGACGCCCACGCCTGGGACGCCCGTGCCTGCGCCCCCCGCTACGACGAACGGCAATGCGACGCCCGCGACGCCCTCGAAGGAGAAGGCGAAGGGAGTCACATCGCCGCGTATGCGCTTCCCGTCTCTGTCCGCGTCGGCGCGCTCGATCTCGCGGCGGAGCGTCGCGAGCGACACCACGCAGACTTCGGCTACTAATACGACTGCGAACACGTCGGAGTTTGGCGCGGGCGCGGGCGCGGAGGCGGGGCCCGCGACCGCGAAGGATAGTATTCCGGAGAATGCGGCGGAGGGCGCGGCGCCGGAGAAGCCCGAGTCGCCTGCGGTGCGCGCGGTCAATGAGGGCTCGGGCGCACAGAGGAAGAAGCGGATGAGCTTCTTTGGGCGGATCAAGGAGATCTTTGAGGGTCGCCAGTGAGTGGAGCGGGACCAGGGATGATGCGCCTATGATCTGATTATGACAGTGATGACTGCGATTGATGTTGAATGTCGGAAGGGTATGGGGAGGTGGGGGGACCGACGGTATGATTCTCATGCTTATGCCAGCCTTATGTCTTACGCTCGAACTATGGGTTTCTTCCTCTCTCTCTCTCTCTTCCTCTCCATATCTCCCGATGCCTCTGTTGGCGTGTGGTTTTCTTTTTTTTTGTCCGTGCCTGTGACTTATTCCGTGTCCTCGTTGCTGTCTCCGCGATGTTACCCCCTAATTGATTCCACCGCGCGCCTCCTCTAGAGTTTTCGGTCGTTCACGCTGTACTGTAGGCTTGTATTACACTAGTGCTTATAGATATTGCGGTCGGACGTGCTCGGGCAAGGGACACAGCTCTCATCCAGTGGCTCCACAATGCCATTGCAACATTGATGCAATTCACGTCTTTCCCGTCTGACCACATACCGCGTTCAAAAATCATGCAATGTACGTGCGAGTATTACGGCCGAGGCTGCCTGTTCAGATTTTCGACATTGCGTGTGGCTGCCAGAACGAGAATTATACAGAAGGTCCATTGGAGCTGAGAATAATGGCGGAGCTGTGTCGGAGAACATCCATTTCGAGTGGTGCCGGATTTTGGGACTGTCAAAATGAGGACGTTCACTTTTAGGACACGACACTCCGAAAACATTGCACTAAGGGTAAGGTCAGGGTAATGGCCCTGACAGTAAAGATTACTTCAAAGCAAGTACTACGTTACATTTCAGCAAGAACGCGCAGACATATCATGCATGGCCGCGATCGAAGCAGGCAGGCAGGCAGGCAGGACATCATACCAGAGCAATTCCTTGAAGCAAGACACCGACAGCACAAGCAAAAAAAACAGCGCAAAACGCCCACTCTGCACGATCCGTCCGTCCGCCCTCCCACATTCCCGCTTGCTCGTATACACACGAGGAGAAGGCTCATCGCTCATCGCCCACCCTTCTTCTCCACCTTCCACTCCTTGAATATCCCGTCCAGGCTTTTGTACAGCAAGTGCGACGGGAGCGATCGGATAACATCGCCCGCGCGTTCCTCCACCTCATGTTTCCCGTTCCCGGGGTCAGCACGCTTCGCATATTCGACCGCGATCCTAAAGATGGCCAGCACGGCAAGCGATACGTGCGTCTGCTGCGCGCCGTGCGCAGCGCCCGGCGACAGAGCGCCGAGCAGCGGGCCCGCGACGTGTGGCTGCGCGAGCGCGGGCGTCGGTGCGGGGTGTGCGGGCCCCGAGCGCTCTCCGCGCACGAGCCGAAGGAGGATCTCGAGGATGTTGTCCGTCTCGGTCATGTGTGTGCGCAGGAAGCGTTGTCGTTCGCTCGTCTGCCCTACATTCGAGTTCTGCGCCCACGCCTCGAGGATCGTCCAAATCGTCGGTGCCTTTCATGGGCCTCCAAGTCAGGATGTTTGCGATAGCACTGAGGACGAGATATGCGTACCGGATCGGGATCGACGACCTCGATCTTCTTTTCCCAGCCTTCGGCTGCGTCGCCAGCTACCCAGAACATTCGTCCGAACATGCTTTTCAGCCATTCCTGCACGTCGCCGGTCTTCACCCAGCGCGGTTCGGAGAAGGGGCGGTCTCGGTCGAGGTAGGCAATCAGGGTCATCTTCGATGGAAGCGCGACTTTGGAGAAAGGAGGGACAGTGGGGTCTGCCTCTGGAATTTCTGGCATTTCAAGAGGGATATAAGAGGCTGTCGTTTCCGAGTAGGTCTCCATCTAAAGTTATTGACATTCTTCAGTCCGAATTTGGATTGTTCAACGGTGATTATACTCACGAGTATACCCTTGTAGGTTGTAGCGTCCTCCTTATCGACATTCATGAGAACCTCGATACGGCCGTCTGCCCTAATGACCTTCAGCTTGTCGACGATTTCCGCATCGATAACCATTCTCCGCGTTCCTGAAGCGTAAGCGACAGAGAGACGGTTTGCTGATGCGGTCTTGCCAAGCTTTCCGGCAGCTTGAACATTGGACGGCTCGCCGTAAGCGGAAGAGTCAACCGCATTACCTGCGGCAGCGTCAGATTCATTTTGCTCGTCCTGAGGCTCTTCAAGCTGCGTAGGCTCCTGCAGGAGTTGGTTGACATCGTGCTGCTCTTCCTCATCAATGACAGCGGCATTGAACGACGCGTAAGCGAGGTCCTTGTTGCCCGTATCGGGCACTGTAGAAGCGATGGAGTCTTCCGCCTGCAACGGCTTTGCATGTGTGCTGTTTGTAACGGGGGCCTGAACGTCGCCATTGGATGAAGTGTGAGCAGATGCAACAGGAGGAGAAGCCAAAGGAGCAGCAGAAACATCAGGAACAGCAGACGATTCGGCAGGCGCAGAGAGGTAAGCGTTCTGATTGCTGTCGGAGTCAGCCTCGGGCACGGCTTGACCAGCGGGTCCAGCTACCGAACCACTCTCGTAGTGAGGGGTGCCCCCTGCTGCAGCATCTGGAACATCGGCCATAGAAGGATGCTCTGAGGTGTTGACACCTTCAGCGCCGTTGGGATTAACGAGCAGCTCAGCATGTCCCGCAGTCGAGGCGCTTTGGTCATGCTGCTCATCAACAGAGCCATGGGCATCCTCATCACCCAGCGTATGATACTCGTCCTGACCCTCCCCTTGCACGCCATCATATCCATTGCCTTCTTGAGAAAACGTGTATCAGTGGCGCGAACGCATTCGTTCGAACGAGGTGCGCGTTCGCAGGTGCACGAGCTCGATCGAGGAGTAGGAGGCTTACCAAATTCACCCTCGGCATCAGCATCGTGGTACTGTTCTGCCCCGTTTGCATTATCATGATCCCCTTCCTCTCCTTCTCCTTCCTCACCGCCGATGGCAGCCATCAGCCAGTCCGCTTCGCTAGTCGTCTCCGCTACGCTAGGAGCGACACTGTCACGGCCAACGGCGGTATCAGTCCCATCATAATCCATGCTAGGAGCCACACTAGCATCGGCATGCTCATTTGCCATATCAGACGAGTGAGGAGGCGGGGGAGGGGGGCCGCGACCATCTTCCACGTCGCCATCATCATCCTCCAGCTTTTTACGCTTCCCCTTCCTCGTAGTAGAGGACTGGCCAAGAGAATAAGAGGTTTGGGAAGGAATCGGATGAGAATCATCAGCAGTCACGGGCGTGTGGAAATAAATGCGGATGCGAGAAGGCGGGGGCGGCAAAAGAGCGATCGGCTCCGTCTTTACGGGGGCACCTTCAGCAGCGGGCGGCACCTCCCCTACAGCTGTTGCTGTAACAGTAGCATCACTGCCGCTTGGAATAGCCTCAGATTTGGCAGGAGACGCGGGAGTCTGAGGGTTAGAAGCACTGTCAGATGGAACAGCAGACTCGGTCTTCTCCTTCTTGACCGTCACATCCGTAGACTCCGATTTGGAGACACCCCAGCTCCAAGACAGCTCCGGCATCTCCAGCCCAATAATCTTGAAATCTGTCAGTGTCCGCCTATTCTCATCTTTCTTACCAGTGGAGAATCCTGCGGACATTGCATTGACATTGTCTCTGCTGCTATGCGCAGGACCCGAATCATGACGACTTCCCCTGCTGGACTGGGAGAAGCTCTGATTGCGACCACGGAAGGAGTTATTCTGATAGTTGTGCTGATGGTGGTGGTGTTGCTGCTGATGCTGTTGCTGGTAGCCGTGCGAGTATCCTTGACCTCCAGCATTGAACGACCCACCTCGCCGATTGTCTCTATTCCCAAATCCCCTGGTGGGACCGTGTCCTCTGAAGCTTCCTCCACTCTGTATCATCCCCCCTCCTCGACCACCCAGGTTGTTGTAACTTCCTCTGCCACGATTACCACCTCTGTTCATTCCCATCGGCGCACCTCTGCCTCTTCCGCCCATATTGTTCCCACCGCGTCCCCCACCATAACCGCCCCGACCACCTCCCATCTGCATCTGACTCATTACCGGTCCTCCTCCGCGACCAAAACCTTGCCCTTGATTCTGATTGAACATGTTCATGCCTCCGCCTTGTTGCATGGGCGGAGGTGGGGGAGGCTGAAACTGAGGCTGGGGAGGAGGAGGGCCACGGTGCTGACTAGGGCCATCGAACCGCTGGCGCTTGGCAGGCGGAAGTTGCTGAGGCGAGGCGTGATGAATGTTGCGATTGTTGGGCCTTTGCTGCTGCTGCTGCTGGGGATGATAAAACTGTTGCTGCTGTTGTTGCTGGAATGGCTGGGGAGCGACTTGTGGCTGATATGGCGTCTGAGGAACTTGCTGTGGCGCAGGACCGCCCTGAGGAACGTAAGGCTGTTGATAAGCTCCTGCTTGTGGTTGATACGGATTGTAAGCTGGCTGAGGAGGGGGAGGAGGGGGAGGCTGTACGACGGGTGGAGGCGGTTGGAAGTGCGGTTGAGGCTGTCTTTGCTGCTGCTGCCAAGCCAAATTTTGCTGGTTTCCATATCCATAGTTCGCAAACAAAGCAGATTGCTCAGCGGTGGGTCGCGGAGCAGTAGCGGGTTGCGCATGCTGCGCGGCGGTCCACTGCGGATTATAGGTACCAACAGTGGGCGCCTGGACGTGTTGCGCCGCTGCTGCCGCCGTCCAATAAGCAGCGTAGTCTGGCTGAGTGGGCTGAGGAGGAGGAGGACCAGGTGGTAGAGGTGGTTGCTGCGGGGTGTATGCCGCCGTCGGGACGAAAGGATTCTTGTTCATGATCGTGAGACTCTACGGAATAGATTTGAAAAGTAGAAGAAGTCGTCGTCAAAAGCTCGAAAAGCAGAAAGCAGGAATGATGGCGGCCAGGTACTGCGATTTGCTCGCAGTCGAGGACAAAGGCAAGCAGTCACGTCAGCACACGGAACCGGTTACACTTCGAGTCACAGTGTCACAGATGATCAGGGCCACAAAAATTGGCCGGTACAACCCGAAATGGAAGTTGGCAAAGAAAAATGTACAAAATAGGTGAACAATGCACCAAACAGAAAAAATGACAAGACTAGATTATGTATCGTCACCAGATATTTCCTCGGATATCTTCTTCGGCTTTTTACGCTTTTTGCCCTCGTCCATCGCGTTCGCAGACTCTCTTTCTCTTCGTCGTTTCCTCTTCTCCTCGACAGTTGGGGCTGCAGTCTCCACAGGTGCAACGAAAGCCTCTGCACGCTTGGCGCGTCGTTCTTCGGTGGCCTGCTCTTGCTGCGAAGGTGTGAGATGGCATTAACAGATCATCTTATATAGAGTACAATACCTTTTCTTTCCGTTTGCGCTCTTCTTGCTCTTGTTTCTCGTGAGCTTGGAGGAAGTACTCTCCCGACTCCAATTGCAAATCCATCTGCAGATCGATGCTTAAGCTACGGATCGTGAACACACAAGGGACGAATTGCTATGCTGACCTTGCGTGGCATCTGTGGGGGTGGGAAGGGAGTATACACCTTCTTCGCTGGCTTCTCCTTGCTTCCAGGGCCAATGGGTTCCAATCCAGCAGCTTTCCGAGCCTCATTCTTCTCTTGCAACTGCTCATTCTTCTTCGCAGTCTTCTCGGACGTCCTGAGATGACGTTTGCGGAATTTAGGCAAGAAGCGATCCCAGGACTCGCTTGCAAGTTGAGGGTCCTTAGCGAGTTCACGTTTGATCATGAACTCCTGGAGACAGTATGAACAGTGCCAATGGATCACAATCTCTGAAATCTCACCTTGATCCGGTATATTGGGTGAATATTTTTCATGCAGTCTAACACAATGTTTCGTACTTCCTTGAGGCCCTTGTATGGACCCATAGCACTGACGGTGGTACCTTGCACTAGGACGTAGCATTGAGTCAACAGCTCGATAGCCTGAAGCCGTAGTTTGTCATGAGTCTGTTAAAAGGAGAACTGACAAGTTAGCACACCTTCAGAGTGCTACCATCCGGCCCTATAATTCTTTGTCGCCGCTTCACGAATCGCTCCTTATTCCGTACGATATTGCCGATCTTGATAATGTCGCAAGCCACATCATCGTCCAGAATCTTCGCCGCTTGGCCAACGGCAACGCCACGAGCCAAAAGTTTGATCATGTCGCGGGCTTTCAAAATAACATAGGGATCATATGTCTTCCTGGTCGTGCGCACTGACATGGATCCATGAATAAGGTCCAGCGTGCAAGCGATATCCTGCGCGCCCGGTCAGCCTATACACATGTTCAGAGTCTGAATCCCGTACATGTGCATCCAGCGCTTGAGTTACCGCACTCCAAACCTCTCGCAGGTATTTCTCCCGGTATTTAGGAAACAGCGTGGCGAAAGAGGACTCCTCCGTGAAGGTGCCTCCCTTGTTGTCTTCTTTCCCAAAGGGCTGTACGGCCCACTGCGCCAGGTCTTAGGAGAGTAGATCTAAAATGTCAAGTAGCCTGCTTACACTGCCAGGGGCATGAGAGAGTGTATGGCTGAGAACTGGGACGGCAGGGCTCACTGGTTGATGTCATCTGTATCCCAAGCTGTTCGCGAGGTGAGACGTTGCAGCAGATGCAAACTTGATAAAGACATACGCTTCTCCTTGTCATGCTTTCTGCTCTTCTTAATAGTTGGCCGTGTGCCAGCTGAGTCGGTCATAGTTGAGGTGGGTAACAGATTTGAGGTACAAGTCGGATTGAAGCTGCAGTGTGCGTGACAAGCAGCCATAACAGAACGTGACATTTGATGCCTGCACGTCTGAAAGCGCGCCACCATCCTTTCTCTCGAGCCCTTGAAGCAAGCGTAGACTCTGCAACCACTACTCTATGGAAAACACTCTGGACATCTCGGAACCCCCTCAAGAACTACTCTCATATGATGAAACGATCTCATACGAGGAACAACTTCCTACACAAGTGCCGATCGAACCTGGTCGCCCCCAGCTCGCCGATCGCATTGGCAACACGAAAGTATATCTGCTCTCTGAGACGACTGGGACGCGGCTAGGAAAGGTGCGCTGGTAGAATGTCTCCGGGGCCGACACGCAGGAGCCTAATGAGAGAGTTGTCGGCTTGTGAATTGGTTGGGTATGGATACTCTGGGTCTGACTTCGACGGATTAGCGGAAACATGATGAGGAAGCGATAGAAGGGAATGAAGAAGGGGATGTTGAGATGGAGGAAGGTACGTTCAGTATACTTTGCCTCAGTGACAATGCGTCTGACGGTCTACTTAGACTCGCTTTACAGGGAGAACGCTATCTTCATTCGCGGGACGCCTGTATCACACCTTCCTACCCCAAGTATATTCGCATATGCTACGCATTTCGACGCCCACCCTATGGCACTCGAGTGGATCGATGACACCACCTGCATCCTCGTCTTTAACTCCAAGACAGCTGCGCGCGACGCGTTTCGTCACCTCACGAAGTCCATAGCAGAGGAGCCTTCAGCAGAGGATGGATCAATCACAGCGAAACCTATACCGGTCGCTATCTGGCCTCCGGAGGAGAGGATCAACAAGAGCTTGGGTAAGGGCGAAGGGTTGAAGGGTACTATACGAATGCGGTGGGCCACTCGTCAGGATGTCAAGAAGAGAGGGGCGAAGAAGGAGAGCGAATTCTACCGAAAATACGGGAGTAAAGCAGGAAAGAATGCTGGTGAGGAAGGTTTAGGACAGGAGGGAGAGGATGGGCGGCAAAGAAAGAGAAGAAGAGGAGACGAAGTTGACGAAGCCATTCAAAAGTCTCAGCTGGACGAAGAACTCGACGCATTCTTAAATGAGGACGAAGAACCCCAAGCACCACCGTCGCCCCCGTCCAAGATGCGTTCCGACTATCTAGGGACCTCAGGAAAGTCTCTACTTGAGCGCACGTCGGTCATGCGTGCACGACCAGAGGCGCTTGAATCACGCATGATGGCCGAGATTCCGCGGCGGGCGCGTTCACACAGGGATAATGGGCTTGATGACGGAAGGAGGCGGTCGGGAGAGCGGTATGGGCGACGGGACAGAGGTGGTGCACGCGATCGTGGTCGAACGGGTGGAGAGCGACCCAGAAAGACACAGCAGGACCTCGATGACGAGCTAGATGCGTTCTTGAGAGAAAGAGATTAGAGAATGGAATGTATCGGATCTCTTACGATTGTATTGATGTTGTAGAACACTGTGGCCCCTCCCCGCTCAGTATCGTGTATCATTGAAGTCAGATGTTCTCTGCATCGATAAATCAGATTTTAAAACCAAGCCTTAACTTTCAGCCGCTGCTTTATATGCTACAGTAGTCTGCAGAAGCAGGACTTGAAGCTTGAACACCCATATGAGTGAAAATGAGAGAGGTGCTGATCGACGCTAACTCAGCGGCACAAAGTGCATGAAGAGGAGGCCTTCTACAGCGTAGGTCTGATGCGGTTGCGAAGGAGCACTGATACCTCGCTCACATATGCGTACAAAACTACCTTGATGCGGTCACGGCGTTCTTGTTTGTAGCTAGTGAAGCACCGTATTCAGCGAATACTGTCTTGAGACCGCTGAATTTACTTGCCTGCAAGCCATGGATGCCCTCGATCTCCTTCTTGAGTGTTTCATTGACCAACCGGTGTTGCTTGATCATCGGTATTCCCTTAAATGCCTCGCTTGCGATGACTATGTGGTAGAATGTCCCACAACCTCCTGTAATTCAAGACACGAGTCAGGAAGTCCAAGGCGAGCCTCTCCGGAGAACACTACCTGAAATATCCTGTACTTCAAGCTCGGATGGGGAGAACCTCTCCGTCAGCTTGCTGTATATCGTGCGCTCTCCATCCGAGAGCCCTGATGGAGGAGGCGCAGCGTAATGTCGAAGATAGAGAGGCACGCGAGTGCGTGCGATCCGCCGAGCGAGGGCGACCGAGAACATGAAGGGCGAGCTCATGATCGAGGACCCGCTGGGCGCCTTCGTGTCGGAGGCTCGACCGCTCTCTCGTCCGCGATGTGTGCAGTTTGCCCACGGCGTACGGCCCAATCCTGCTCTTCCCGTTACTCAACGACGCACGCTGCCCACTTCGACGGCAAGGTAAGGGATGTCGCTGTTGGGAGCATGGACGCGTGGCGTCAGCTTCGGGTCGCGGTCGTTGTACGCCGCATTCCCGAGGCAGCCGTGCTTCCGAGCTCTGCACGGAACGAACATCGCGGCGAAGCCACTCCTCAGGCAAATACCTCGCAGTAGCCCCCAGACCCTCTGGACGCGTGCAAGCACATTACAGGATGCATTCCGACGTGTCAGCCTGCTAACGCAGGGGAGGAACCTGAGCCTTCGTGCAACTCGCCGGCCACCATTCGACCCTCGCTTTTTCTCAAATAACGCTGCTCAAGTAGCCCCAGAACTCCCCGTCCTGTCTCCTCCGCCCGTCGCTGGCTGGTTGATTTTCTCTTCGGTCCTCGTCTTTGCGGTTATTGTCGTCGGAGGTGTTACTCGCCTGACCGAATCTGGTTTGAGTATCACGGAGTGGCGCCCGATTACTGGTATCCTACCGCCGCTTTCGCAAGCGCAATGGAACGAGGAGTTTGAAAAGTACAAGGCTACTCCGGAGTTTAAGCTGTGCGTCATACAATGCAGTTCTGCTGTCACAGCAATTTGACTGTTCAGTGAAATGATTACAGGCTGAACCACTCCATTACCGTGGATGAGTTCAAGGACATTTTCTACATGGAATGGGGCCACCGCGTCCTCGGCCGTCTCATCGGAATTGCCTTCGTCGTCCCTTTGACGTACTTTGTTGTCCGCAAACGCCTCTCAGCATCCATGCCAAAGCAACTCTTCGGCATGGCGCTGCTCATCGGTGCGCAGGGCGTTCTCGGATGGTACATGGTCAAATCGGGTTTGGAGGACTCGCTCATGGAGATCCCGGGCGCGGTGCCGCGTGTCTCGCAGTACAGGCTGGCGGCACACCTCGGCACGGCATTCGTCCTGTATGCGGGGATGTTTTGGACAGGGCTTGCCGCGCTGTATGATTGGAGGTACGCTAAGAAGGGAAAATGGGGTGGTCTGAAGGGCGATGCGGCACAGTGGAAGACTATCCTAGAGAATCCCCATGTCAAACGATTTGCGCGATACTCTAAGGCATTGACCGCATTGGTCTTCATCACAGCGCTGTCAGGTTTGTTGCTCCACCTACTGAAGAGAGAAGTGTGACTAATATGTTTGTGTAGGAGCTTTCGTCGCTGGGCTTGATGCCGGACTGTTGTACAACGAGTTTCCGCTGATGGGCGGGCGACTTGCTCCTCCGAAAGATGAGCTGTTTTCTACAGCATATGCAAAAGCGCCCGATGGCTCAGACATCTGGTGGCGAAACATTTTCGAAAACCCCACGACGGTCCAATTCGACCACCGCTGCCTGGTATGACCTTTTGAGAATAACGCTTTCGTACGATGTTTCTGATGGACCGTTCCCGCAGGCCATTACAACCTATGCAGCTACATGGTGGCTGTACGCCATGACGCGCAAGCCTGCTCTGCGCGCTGTGCTTCCGCCTCTCGCAAGGCGTATGGCGATCTCGGCCTTTGCAATGGCAAATATCCAGGTGCTCCTCGGTATCTCGACACTTCTGTACCTCGTGCCCATCCCTCTCGCTGCTGCACATCAAGCAGGCAGTGTCCTGCTGCTAACAACGATGGTGCAACTGTTATTGGCGCTCAGACGACCTGGCGCTGCCGCGCGAATGTGGAGGCAGGCATTGCAGGCGAATGGGAAGTAGTCCTGAGTCCGAGGCAGATGCTGTGTGGTATTGTAGATAAGGTATCTATCCCCCCTGCTCATGAGCCATCGATCGTACTCGAAAATATGAATTGAGTCCGGCGATACAAGCACATGGAAACACACAAACTACTCTGCCATTTGTACATCTTCATCTCCCCCGGCTGGTGGCTGTGCGGCACCGTCTGCTGCAGGCGCCTCCGCCTCCGTTGCCGTTGCGGACGGGGGCTCCTCGCCGTGGGTCTTGGGCTGCATACTGTCCAAGTATACCTGGATCGGCTCGCCCTCCAGAATGCGGAATGTGCCTTCTGGAGGGACGTCTTTCTCGTGCGCGCCGGCAGGCCCGACGATGCCGATGGACGTGTTGCTGATCGTGAGCTCCTTGTCCTGCTGGAGTGTCTCACGGAGCGCGTGCAGACCGTGCCGGATGAGGTCTTCCAGATCGCCTGATAGTGAGATGACCGCGTGAGCGACGTGCAGCTGCGGAATGAGAAGGGAAGATCGGCGTACAATCCATGAAGCTCTCGAAGTGCCTCTCGAGATATGTTTTTGCGCTCTGGCTCCGTGCACCGATGGACATGGCATAGTATTCGTATGAGTTTCCGGACGGAGAAAACTCGTACAAATGAGGGCCATTCTTGTCTTGTCCGACCACAAGGAAGCCCACTCCGTATGGACGTCGGCCATATTCTTGGGTATTAACTTGTGCCTCTAGAACATCAACATCAGAGCAGGATGAGAAGTGGCCAGAGGCAATAACGAACTGTCGGCGATGGAAAAGACGAGACGGTTTACGGGAATCGGGCGGTTGAATACCATGCGTGAGGACATGGCTTGTTGCCGCATGAAGTTGCTGTCGACGCGCATATGAGTGCAGGTCCAGTACAACGTCGCAAAGACTTACCTCAGAACGCGAGCATCGGATGTGAGGCCAGCGATCCCAATGCCGACGTGATCGTCTATTCGGTACATCTTCTGCTGGTACGACGCGAGCTCTCCAAGCGAACGCTGCACGAAACCGCGAACGAATGTGCATAGAATTTTGCAAGTTTTACGCGTAGGCACACACCTTCAATGCCAGAAGAATGGAGTGCGTCTTCGATCGCAGCCCTACGACTGCAGAACCCTGCTTCACTGCTTCAGAGGCATACTCGACCTGGTGCAGCCGTCCCTGCGGCGAGAACACGACGTTATCCGAGTCGTAGGTATTTCTAAACTGTCTCGATGCATATGTTGAGTCTACAATGCCATCGGCGACGCAGACGACTCACCATGTCGAGAAGATGAGAGTGTGGTCAAGCAGGCAGAGTGACGCGTCTCGAGTACACGAGTGGGCGACGCGCAATGGCTGCCAAAAGCGGCAGTCGTGATCGCGATGCTCGTGACTTGCCAACGACACGCGACCGTGGCCACAACTCCTTTCTCTCCCAGCGTCTACTCTCCTCTGGACCTCTGCTTGCCTCTGAGCATCAGCAGTCTGCATGCTTGACTTCTGGCTTGCATCTGTGATGTGCGAGGACTTAACGGCCGCCTAGTAGATATGCAGTGGGCCGCTTCTGGTTGTCCTCCTTTAGGCGCGTTCTGAGTTGGCCGCTCAGGCACTCTACCGTTTCATGGGGAAAGCTGTTAGCTTGTTGATTATGTTCTGTTGCTGTTCCACGGGTCTCCTTGGATGTCCTTGCCAATAGCATCCTGCTTTGCGCACTTCACGAATGTTCTTCAAGGTTCACTGATGGACTGCCCGAACGTCGCTCCCTTCGATTCTGACGTTCGCGGGACCTTAACGGGCTTTTCAGTGCACCTAGCCCGTTCCAATTCCACCTAACGCTCTGTCGGTGGGTCTTCCTTCCTTTAACTCTCAAGATCATGACGTATTTAACTTACTGATGTCATGAGACTTTTCCGATCGGCGGAAAGGTTCCAGCCACAGCGACCATATATAAGTCTTTGTCCGACTTCCTGACACACATGGCTGCGATAGAGCATAGCTGTCTCTAAGTCTCGCCACCCCTGGTCTCGCTAGTGCACACTGAGTAGGTGCTCTGTCTCGGTCCTGCATCTCTGGGCGGCATCGCGGTCCATCCAGCTTCGTCTCCATGCAATGACAATCTCCTATATAGCATCCGGTCAACGTTGATGCCTTCTTCGACATAGCTATACTTGGCATCTACCGCCTCCGCCCTTGCATCACTCAATTGTGCGAACAGTATCTCAGACCGACTTCTTAGGGTTCAAGCACTCCGAGTCCGTCACCTGGGTTGGCTTGTGGAGCCCATTCCTGCGGCATTTCGCGCTTGAAGAGTATTGGGCCTATCTTTGGACGAAGGAAGGCCGCATGGCGTCACTCATGCTAGTTGTTGTCGTCATTGGTCGGGTTGTTTGCACCGTTGCTCTAATCGAGGCTTTCGATTCGGCAAGGTACGCTATGCCACTTCTCGAGTCAGTCCCGTGACTTATGTTTTCCCGCAGCGCCGCGCCCGAGGCCTCGTGGGGGCTATTGATGCTGTCTGGTTTGCGCTATCTGGCGTTAGACCACCGTTCGTCATCGGCAGAGATGTGAAGAAGCTTGGCGTAAGGCAAGACGTAAGTGTCCAATGTGTTGTGGACGATGACCTGCGCTCACAAACGATGCAATTGTGCATTGTGCGCCATCTCGCTGGCGGCGCGTTGCTCATTACATTGTACCTGCTGACGCTGTCTCTCCCAGAGATCGACAAGCTCTGCCGAGAAGCCTTCGTGGGCTTCTATTGCCCAGACCGTCTGCACGTTCGTGCGCGTTGATGCCTTACCCCATTCTGCTGCGTCTCTCGAAACTTCTCGGCGCGCTCGTATGTCATAGCGACTCTGATGTCACTAGGCTGGTCTCTCGGCATTCCCATATCCAACCGAATTCAGCGCGAATGTCCTCGGGATCGTCTCTCGTCCGTTTGGAAGACGGTGTCCTTGGGTCGCGGATAGTCTTCCTCCTCTATCGCACCAGACTTGTCATATGTTTCATTCGACCAATCCTCTCCCTAGCTTACGGGGTGCCCGATTTGCCTACGGCGAGCCTTCAATTAGAAGATTCGAAACGTCTGCAGCTATCTATGCTCGGTGAGATCTCATCACCTAACTCCGGAATGTTCATCATGGCCGGACACCAGGTAGAGTAGCGTCTTCCATCTGTCCCGTGATGATTTCCAGCACATAGTATCGATGGCTCTATGTCATGGTGTAGGTGTTCCTCGAGGTACTGACGTCCTCTAAGGCAGGCGCATTTGCGGGCTCCGAGTCTTATGCTCCCCCGACTAACGCAATTCTGTGACAAGCATTGGTGGTTCATGCATGTCCCTGGTGATATCGCTGACAGGCGTCAGTAAAGCAGCTAACCCATTCCTTTCATCATCATACGAGCACTTGGAAGAGGGCTGTTAAAGGCGCCTGTCTTACCATCCCTGGCAGAACTTCCAAAAGGGTTGTGCATCCTCATTCATCACGATCCCCCCTTGCCACGCAACCCTTGACATTAGAACCGGCTGTCCTCCTCCCCCCGAATCCGCTATCCCCTCTTCCATGATCACCGCCTTCATTGCAATACATTAACCACCCCCGAGCTGGGAGGAGAAAATCGTGGATGCCCCGATCTGCCGCTTCTGCAAACCTTCTCGAGAGCGCTCCACGGCATTCTCTCACGTCGTCCACGCGAGTATTAGCACGCTGTCTGCTCGTGGCATTTGTCCTGGTTCGAACGGATTCTGCTCGCACGTCCGTTCAATATATTGCTGCTCTCGCGCCACTAACGCACGCCTCGATATCGCCCCTCATCGCCCCTCGGCGCTCAGGCGGTCTGCTGACCTCCTCTAGCGAGTTGGCTACTGCGACGCCTGCACTTGCGGGAAGTCCATTTGCCGTATCCGTGTGCGTCCCTGCCTCGCTCTTCTGATGTGCGAACTTTGAAGCGTTCTCGTGGTCTGGACCGTCATCGCCTTTAACACAAGTAAATTGTTGATCTTCGCCTTCTCTGGTTGCCGCTCTCCGTGTGACTTCTCACTCGGTTCTCTCTGCAAATGTGCTGGACGACGCTCTAGCTCGCTGCGCTATCTCTGTAACTATCTTGCGTCCGACTCTCGGGAAGCGAACTGGCCATACATTCGTGCCTTCGTCTTCGCCTTCGTTAGGGGCTGGTCTGCAGCCGACCTCACGACGAGCCCCCTGGGCCATTCTCGCTCGCACCGTTGACCGTGCGTACAGTATACGCGGCTCTGCAGAGTCTGGATCCTCATTCTATCCGCAACGTACCTGGTCGAGCCAGCGATTGTCCGACCCACGGTGATGCGCTGCGATTGGCTGCGAGGGCGTACGCGCCGACGATGTGTCATGTGGCATGAGAAACGACGGGGCCCACGGCCCACGGGCTGCGGGCAAATCGAGGTGAGCGCGCAGTTTTCTCGGTCGTGCGTGAGATGGGCCCCCTCATGCGTTTGCTGTGCTGTCCTCAGCTTCTCGCTGGTTCTGAACTTCTGGAGGGGTCGCCTCGTGGCGCTTCGCTAGGGTGGGCGCCGCTCTCTGTCCGCCTGATTTGACGCGCTGCAAGTATCTCTGTCTCCTGAGTTGCGCGGCTGCGATTCGGATTCGTTGCTCTGGACTTTTTGGGTCTGGACCCTCCCTCGGCTCGTAATCATGATCAGGCCCGTCTTTGCCCAATCATCGGCGGCGCGAGCTGCTAATTCACGAATGTGCGTGTTGAGTTTGAAATTCATCGCTGGCGAATCAGAATATGGAGCGGGATACGCGAAGGCGCCTTGGGGCGCTGTAAAGGTGGCAGGTGTCCGCACCTCGTCGGGGGCGGCTTCGGACCGGCAGGCGTCGCACTGGCTCCATGGATGGATGGTATCAATATATGATGTACATACGATCCCTACACAGCGCCCGTGCGCAGAGAATGCAGATAAGAGGTGGGATGGATATTGAGAGCTGCGCGTTAAGCGGCAGGCAGACAGGGCCTGCATATGGAAGAAGTGCGAATGGAATACAGCGAGGATGATACGGATGGCACGACGTCCGCTCAACGCACGGTCTATTTCGGCGATACTATACGGCCAACCCAAGGAGAGGGAATACTTTAGACATTGCGACACGACGATTACCCGCGACAGACGGTACCAGGTACGTACACGTGAACCCGAGAAGATGAGAGGACGAACACCAATGAACCCAATGAGAAGGGACGTCGTTCGGGACTGGTAATAGTCCGAGAGTGCGTGCGTGCATAATTCGATCGAGAGCAGCGGAGCTATTTACGAAAGATGGAAGGTGGGTGGCAGGCAAGGTGGATGTGAAGGGCGCTTAAGTATGATTGAAGGCGAACGAAAGATGCGAAGTCGAGTTCGAGCGATGCGAGCGGAAATGCAATGATGCATGAAATGAGGCGAGAATAAACAGATGCAGATGCAGGAGCGGAAAATGAGACGAGCGCTGTGCGATGTGGGTGACTGAGCGTGCATGAGGGCAAGCAGGATGTGGGACAACATTCTACAAAGGAGGGCACGGGGAAGGCGCAGGGCGGCACTGTGGGCATTTTCGCGAGAAAAGCTTCGGTGTGGTGTGGTGTAGATGTGCATGCTGAGTAAATGTCAACTGAGCAAGATCTTTGTGTTGTACCTGGCGTCGCTACTCGGCGCATACCGCAAGCTCAGTCACAGGCCTGCTCGACACCGAGACAGTGTCGACCATCGTCTCCGCGTCGCTGACAAGGTCGCTCGCGACGCTCTTCGTCTGCGTCTTCGTGCGGGGCACGTGCGCAAACCCATACGAGTGCCGCCGTTGCTGTGTGGTGGCCACGAACACAGATCAGTCAAACGCAGCATGACGTCACGCGCATTGCGACTTACCACTCTTGGTCTCTTTGGCAAGCTCAACGTGGACAGCTGTGGCTCCTTGTCTGGCCCGGGCCGATCACGTTGCTTCTGCGTCCGTCCTACCGTGTCCCGCCCCCGCTCGCCGACGCGCTCACGTGCCCTGAACACCCGCGGCTTCGCCTCGCCCTGCCTCTCCTTCTCGTTTCCCTTCACTGTCTCCTCGCCTTCCTGCTTGACCCGTAACTCCGACGGCGGCCATGAACAGCTTGACCCCGACCCCGACGACGCTGCGCGCGACATCGGCCACGGCGAGCTGCTGCTGCTGCTGCTGTTTGGGGCAAACATAGTCGCAGTCCACATAGGCGGGGGAGAGACGCATAGCTCCGAGAGACTGAGCACGTATTCATGAGGCGAAGAAGTGTCCGGCTGATCTCTTGTACCGCTTCTTTGTCTTTCCTTGCCTGAGCGTCGTGAAGCATGGCTGAGTAGCGTAGCGGATGAGAATGACGGCACTCCCATGAGGGGGCGGCGCGTGGGCGAGGCCGGCGTGCTCGGTGACGGCGGAGCCGTCTTGGACACGCCCGTCTGCGGGAAGGGATATTCTTCCAGTGCGCGCTCCTTGCCTTTGGTCTTGCGTTCCGGAGAGCGCGGCGCGTCAAACACCGGAGACGGCTTGAGAGTCGTGCCGGGTGAAGTCGTGGGAAGCTTGGGTGAAGGGGGAGATGATGACGGCTCGACGGATGCGGAAGAGGAAACGGAAGGAGAGCCAGATGCTGTTATTGTTGATGAAGGGCTGAGGAGGGTGGAGGAGGAGGAAACGATTGTAGAGGATGTGGAACGTTTCGAGCCTAACTTTGGACGCGTACCGGTATCAGCTGCACTGCTGCTGCTCCCCTCAACGCTATTCTCCACGTTAGTCGTCTGCCTCGTATTTACCCCAGACAACCTCGCCACCTCCTTACTTCCCATAGGCCACGCTGCGCCGCGCTCGTACTCGCCTCGTTGGTAGTCCCACAAAGGCGTCTTGGTGACAGCGGTGGGACTAAGGAACATGATAGGTGGGAACGGCGGGGGATCCGTGGGTGTCGGGTGCCCAGCACTCGGCGTCGAAGGTGGGCTGGAGGGCGTACGCTGGGCCTGGTGATGGGGCGAGCTCGCAACGGCCTGGGCAAGATGGACGAAGCCCGCGGCGCGCATGTTGGGACCGAGGATGGTGCGCGCGTCGATGGCCCCCTCGGAGTGTTTTGCGAGCTGGTGCTGAGTGAGAGCAGGGCGAGACCGTTGGCCTGCGGACGCTGCGGAGGTGCTGCCGATGTCTGCTAGAGGCGACATGGGCGAGCAGGGGGCAGGTGGATGGGAAGCATAGCCAGGCACGAGATGAAGGCGGGACGAGGTAAAAACAAACGACGTGCTGGCCTTGGAGGTGCTGGTGGGGGATGCACTCGAGCGAGTGGCCGGGATGCGCGGCGGGCCCTTGCAGTCGTCGAGGTTGATGGGCGGGGGCGGGGGGGTCCTGCGTTGCGGGGAGCAGGAGAGCGCTGCTCGGGAGGGGGAGGAGGACATCACGGCAACGGAGGGCAGCATGGCATGGTGGTGGATGGGAGCACGGAAAGCCATAGGACGTCTGGGGACGTCTTTTGAGATTGTGGCCAAAGGGGGGACATCACAAGCGGACCAATTTGACGGGAACTCAATTTTGGCGCACGTCGTCCAGGCGCTTGTCCAGCGGTGTCCGTGGGCCTGGCAGCTGTCTGCACCAGACGCCCATCCCAGTCTCCCGTCGAGAACCCTGCTCACACCGTCCTTATCTCGTGTCCCGCGCGCTTAGGACGCGCTCTCCCTCCTCCAAGACAGTATGGCTTCTGCGCAGACGCGTGCTATCAGCTGCTATCTGCATGATACGCCCCCGTCTTCGCTCTCTGCCAGTGACTCGTCCCCGTCGCTATCTGCGTCAACCTGAACCCCTCCGCGCGAGCATAAATATTCGCATTTATTCCCCATTTTTGCACCCCCGCATTTCCCTGCTCCATACTGCTAGCATCATGTCCGCGAAACCAGTAGTACTTACGCTCAAGACAGGCAAGAAGCTGACCGTGCCCACGGGGCTTTTCATCAACAACGAGTTCGTCCCGTCGGTCGACTCGAAGGAGACCATCGAGTGCGTGTCGGCAGATTCCGCCGTTCCACCGTCCTGGCTCGAGCCTCTCCTCCCTTCTCTGCGATCCGTACAATCTTGACGCTGACACCGACACAGATGCATTAACCCCGCCACTGAAGAGGTCATCTGCTCCATCGTCGCCGGTACGTCCTGTCTCCTGTCTGCCTGCTCCAGATCCAGACCTTGCGTGCTGCCGCGAAACGCGATCGACGGTCTCCTGGCCACCTATCGGCACTCGCGGTCTCGGTGACCGCCAGCACGCACGACACGATCGACTCCCGTCTGATCGTATCCCTTCGGCATTCCGCTGCCTCTGTGCCCGTCCCCTCGCTGACGGACGGATCCAGGTTCGGCCAAGGACATCGACGTTGCAGTCGCCGCCGCGCGTGCGGCGTTCAAGACCACCTGGGGCAAGAACGTCACCGGCATCGACCGCGCGCGTCTCATCAACAAGCTCGCAGATCTCATCGAGCGCGATGCACAGGAGCTTGCCGAGCTCGAAACCCTCAACAACGGCAAGCCCCTCAAGGTCGCAAGGTGCGCGCAACCTCCGCCGTATTAAGTCCGTACGCTGACTGTATGCGCGTGATTTGGTGGTTTATAGAGATTTTGACATTGGCGATAGCGTCGCCTGCCTGCGATACTACGCCGGATGGGCCGATAAGATTGTCGGCCAGGTGAGCTTTGTGCCTTCGATGTGAACTGTATGCTCCTTTGCGCGGGAATGCCCTGCACTGGGACATGTTTCCAGTGCAATTTTGTGCCCATGCTTTCCTGTCACGGGGCCCAACACGAAGAACGTGGACGGGATCCACCCCACTTCTGGCGCGCCGCATGGCACTAAGCTACAATTCTGTCTCGGTGGGCGCGGTACTAGAAGCTTTCTCTTGATGAATGCGCCCTTACCTGCGGCTATCGATCCGCCGGTAAATGGCGGAACATTGAGAGTGATATCTCGTTGAATTAGATCTCCAAAGTTTCCTTTCAGGGAGATTGGGGTCACCAGGCAAAGATAGCTGCTGGGGGTCACCACGCTGGTAGATCTGACAGACAGGTCGCTGCCTGCTGCTCATCTGCATCTCTGGGAGGAGTGTAGGCTGATGTTTTCGTTCTTTGTTCCCATGGTTGTTGTGATGGGTTGTGTGATGCTTTCGTTTGGTCCGCTGTCGTCGGGATGTTGGATGTTGGTGGCTGACCGTCGTTGCTGCAGAGCCTCGAGGTGGATAACAAGACGAAGATGGCATTCACGAAGCACGATCCGATCGGGGTCTGTGGCCAGATGTGCGTTCCCTCCCTTCTCTTTGTATGGACTTCTGTGTTGCACGCATATATTCGCTCTTCCATGTATTTATGCACCCGTTCCCTGCGTATCATCCGTGCGAGCCTTCGGACCCCCGTTGATCGCGCGACTGTTACCTTCCTCCCCCTTCCCTCTCCCACGCTCCAGCCGACCATGGATACTACACCCATAACACGTCTCCCTTTTGTCATCCCCCGTTCGTCCAGTTCTTGTCCTTCTGACACCGCGGCCGCACAGCGTCCCATGGAATTATCCCATCAACATGTGGTATGTACATACTTCCAATTGCAGTCCTTTCCCCCGGTGCTCGCATCACACTGCCTCCCTTCCCACCAATGCCCTGATGCTCCGCCCCGTGTGCATCGAATTGATCGGTGGCTCGATCTACCGTGATTCTGAGTTCGGGTGCACTGTATGCCGTCAACGGGCATAAGACGGTACGATCGGCTCTTCCGTTCTGTCGTTGAGTCGTGAGGCGGGGTATGGACGTATGCAGGCGAGGAGAGGAAGAGAATGTGATTCGGGCTGCGAGGGAATACTGGTAGGTGATTGTGCTGACGGCGATCGCGACGCAGGTCATGGAAGGTCGCCCCTGCGCTTGCATGCGGATGCACGATCGTGATGAAGCCATCGGAGATCACACCGCTCACTGCGCTGGTGAGTAACATCCTTGGCCGTTTCACCTCTTCATTCTCCATCTCCTGTCTTTCCTATCGGTGTGCTGCTTATCAATCCGCCTTCGGGTCTCGGTCTGTCCGCTTGCATGTTTTTCGTAACGTATTTCGCTTCCGGCCTTTGCGGTTCACCATCAGATGAGGGGTTGAGAGCCAGGCCTCTCGTGAGGCCTGTCCTTTCAGCCGCATCACAACAATGTTATGGAGGAACGTGCAATTTGATGCGCGTTCATGTGAATGCGCTTCCGCGTTGGGTTCACCGTTTGCGTTTCGCCGCGTTGCTGCCTTCGGGTTTCGGTGTCAATAACCTCGGCTCTTCGAGGTCGAATGAAACGGTGCGGTGCGGTGTTTCGGATGTGCCGTTTTTGAAATGCTTTGGCTGGGATCGCCGTCCGTTGTATGGATTCGAGATTGTCCCACCATTTCATTTTGATGCTTCTGGCGCGAACGTTTGTTGTGCGTCGAGGCAAACGCCGTCGGGTGCGTTTGCAAGGGGTGGGTTTGGTGGACCAAGTTTCGTCTCGACGCGCCGCACATGATTTTGTCTATTTGCTGCCATGCCGTACGTCGGGGCTCGCATCGGTTCCGTACAGGTGCCGAAGTCGCGAGTCGTGGTTGCAGAGTGCATGTCTCCTGACTCCACTACGCCGGCCACCGTTGACCGTCCAGCTTCGCCCCAAATGCAGCCGCGGGACTGGGGACATGCATATCAACCAGACTCCACGCCATCTCACAGGGATCTTCGCGGGCGGGAGTAGCGCTGCTCGGGGTCAGGACGGGGGCTTTTGGCGGCGAGAAGGCTAAGGCTAATGGTTGGCTCCCGGTAGGCTTCGTTGCCTATCGCAGCGATTACCTGCGGGAAGTTGTGTGCATGCGCTGGTTGTGATTCGCGATGGGAGGCGAAGACGTTCGAGGGTTCTTCTGCGATTGTGTTATCGGTTCTGCTGGGGTATGCGGGATTCTCGCGTGCCGTACGGCGCCTGGCTATAAGCTCAAAAGCGTTGCGCATGGTTGATGTCCGTTTTGAACCCTGAACCTTGCTGTGCTTTCTCTTCGACATACGTCGACCGCCTGATCCTGCCACTTGACCTGCTTGACTATGGTGCTGATTGATACGTCCCCTACAGAAATTGTCGGAACTGGTCGTCGAGGCGGGGTACAGTACAGGTCCCTAGTGGTAATCGTCGAAATCGCTGATGATGTCTTTGTGTCGGTCCCAGTTTCCCTCCTGGGGTCGTCAACACCGTCCCTTCACTCGGATCGGTCGGAGGAGCCGCGCTGTCTTCACATATGGATGTGGATAAGGTAGCGTTCACGGGGAGCACTATTACGGGTCGGAGAGTAATGGAAGCAGCGGCGAAGAGCAACCTGAAGAAGGTGCGCAGGAAAAAATATGCTACTCTGCCCACAGACTGGCTCGCTCACCCCACTATTCCTCTCTCGCGCTGCTCCGCCCACCAATTGCTGGGAACAGGTGGGCCTCGAGCTCGGCGGCAAGTCTCCGCACATCATCTTCGAGTCTGCGGACCTCGACCAAGGTGCGTTCCTTCGGGCGATGTAGTTATGCCAGCGCGTGTCTCATGCCAGCGGCCCGTCGCTATAAATCCCCCGCAGCGGCCAACTGGACGGCCCTTGGTATCCTGTACAACAGCGGCCAGGACTGCACGGCCGGATCTCGGTTGTTCGTGCAAGAAACCATCTACGACAAGTTCATGTCGGTGGGTCCCCGGCGCATTACCACGCTTCTTCTTGAGGATCATGACCGCTCACGTTACGGAGCAGATCTTGGTGGCGAAGTTCAAGGAGCTCGTCGTTGGGGACGGACTGGATGAGGACGTGACCGGTGGCCCTGTGGTGCGTGTCTCCCGTCAAATTCGGACATATTGTCCACCATTGCTTCCGCCACTTGGAGTGTCTTCTCACATTCACTGCGTTTTACGTACACCTGGAGTCGCGAACCTTAACCCCAATCCGGGTCCCGCCCAAGGGGTCAGCTGCCTGTGGCTTCGGACCTAAGTTCCGCTGTTTATTCCTCTATGCAATGATCGCTTGCGCATCTGTCATGGGAAATATGTTGCTGATAGCGTTGCCGCAGGTGTCTAAGATGCAGTATGACAAAATTTTCCGTTATATCGGCTATGGCAAGGAGGAAGGTGCTAAACTCATCCTGGGTGGCGAGAAGCGCGCGAGCAAGGGCTACTTTGTGGATCCTACCAGTGAGTTTGTAAGAGTGGAATCTGCTGTAGTTGTAAAGATGGTCGTTTGTAGTCTTCACGGATGTCACACCGAACATGAAAATTGTGAGCACAGAACGAGCTCCTTACGATTATTTGTTGAGTTGACGCGTTGCGATTGCAGTTCCAAGATGAGATATTTGGTCCTGTTCTAGCGGTGACCAAGTTCAAGACCGAGGAGGAGGCTATCGAACTGGCTAACAACACGCTGTACGGCCTTGGTGCCGGTTTGCACTCCAGTATGTGCTTGTTGTCTCTCATTTTGGCCAGGTCCGCGGAGTTATCTGTAGCTTTCGCAACCTCCGGGCATGTCGGAGGAGGCTGTGCACGAGCGCTTTGCATTCGTCTCGCTTGGAGACTGATGCGCACTATGAGCTATGAGGCAAAGCGTACTGATTATCGTGGATAGATGATGCAAACCAGTGCATGCGCGTTTCGAACGAACTAGAGGCTGGCACTGTGCGTGTATCTCCGTTCAGCTTATTAGTCCTAGCTCAATGCGGCGTCGCAGGTCTGGGTGAACCAGTACAACTTGCTATCGAACAACGTGCCTTTCGGAGGCAAAAAGCAGAGCGGTATCGGTGCGTCTAAATCTTCTGACTAGTTCATGATTTTGGGCGCGGCGTGCACGCGCGCTCTTGGCAGATCCTGCCAACGAGCGTGCTGTGGTGCCTGATGAGTTGACACGAAGAACGTGTGTTGACGATGAGTTTCGGCAGGGCGAGAGCTCGGCAGCTATGCGCTGGAGGAGTACATCTCTGTCAAGGCGGTCCACTGGAACTTTGGCGAGAAGCTGGGCTGGCCGCTGTAGATCGCTTATTGTAAGGCGTTGTGACGATCTAGGCATCGGCTGTCGAAGGGAATGGCATTTAAAAAGGAAATGGCGTTAATGAAGGATCTTGCACTGTAATTGCGACAGTGCGTGTATTTGCTAGGATACGTAATTGATCTGTGTCGCTTTCAACAAAGAACAGTTGCTGTTCCGATACTCGAGAAGACGGTTTGCATATGTCCAATGAACAAATCGGTGTTGGCGTTCCGGTCCAAGAAACAGCTGCTGTTCCGATATTTGAGAAGATAGCCTGCGTACGTTCAATGAAACAATCGGCTTTGGCGTTTCGGTCGGACACGTTGACGTTGGCCAAGTGCAGGAGGAGCGTCATGTGGCGTAACTTACGACGATCACATTCGGCCATCATATCGGGCTTCTGCGGGGTACGCTCTAACTTATGAAACCATCGGCGGAACCGGCGGAACCGTTATGTGCTGCCAGGTACAGGCGTATTTGCATTATCGCCTAGCCTCCGCATGCCGATTTCATGCCGAAACATATAATTGGATCACGAATGAATTGACGAGCAGGGAGGGGACGGTCTTTGCCCGCATCCGACGGGGACGTAGAAGTGATGCACACGACTTTCCTGTGCAGAACCAGGAAAGTGCGGAACTTCGCATCGAGTCGGCTTGGCACTGACGATTGCCGTTTGGACGACCAAGTCCGTGCTGCAGCGTCTATGCATGCCGAACTCCGGCGAGGACAACTTCCACACTGGACCCTTTGGTGCGCCACAACGAACTGCACCTTCGTGTTTCCGCACGATGGCAAGTTCGAAATTAAAGCTTGTGCCCATGGCTACGTGCAGTGCCCGCGTTTGCTGCGAGCTGTGTACAGGGGTATCCATGCTTGAAATTTCGTCCAGGTCGGCTGGAACATGCTGATCTGGCTATTGCAAAGCAGGGGCACAAATGCTTCCCACTCTCGCCACGTCTAGCCGCGCAACAATGTCCGCCGACACCGCGCCCGGCTCCCTGACTGCATACGAATTTGTTATCTTCCTCAACGTCCGGCGTTCTTTTCACAATATGGGTTCATCCAGCCTGCTGTTCCGGGCAGGCGCGAACGAATGATGGTGCGGGATAGCACGGCAGAGCAGTGAATATGTCTAGATCTCGGACACTAGAATTGAATGCGTGCTGGATTCGTCGAGCTCCGCCGGACTCTGTGCAAGTGTCACAGAGATCCGTTTGTGCCCGTGGTCTCTGGCTGCAGGTACCTGCTCATGCATTAATGAACCTGAATGATGGATCCTCCTCCGTTCTTATCGGCGTGATCGTCGTTTTCTGATAGCGTGGGGACGAACGTGGTCATAGTTCGTACGGATCTATAGAACGAAAGTCGCGCTTAGCAACCGTCGTATGCTCGCTCTTCTCATCAAGTCTTCGCTGCAGTTCTATCATGTCGCAGTCGAGTCAAGTTGCGGCTGTGTCCGTGCACTAGCAGACAGCGACATGACATTGACGTTACACGAAAGTGGCTTACTCATCCACTGCTGATGGAGCCATCACGAAAGCTGACGCCGCTTCCTTCTCTTTGTATTCATTTAGGCATGGCGTGACCAATGCATACACGCCTGTCGCAGCATGGTGATATATCGGCACGCCAGACGGGCTCGCCGACCGTCTAGAACCTACAAACGATCACCACGCCTGCAGATCAGCGCCAGGAAAGGCTTACCGAGCTGTTTTTGTTGCCCATTGGATAAATTCACTGCATGATTAACAGAGAACCCTCTCCACGGGCGTCATCCAGGCAAGCTGAGCAAGCACCAAATTTATTCTATAGGCGTTCGTGGCATGGTTAATAATACAGCGGGATCCGGTCAACAAAAGTGCGAATAATATAATGATACAGCAGGAAGTATTAGCTACAATGGTAACCTGAATCATACGAAACATCAGATGGAGACGCTTGCGCGAGATAGCAACGACGTATGGAGTTGGGGAAGAAGCAGGGATAATTGTTGGCTGTCCAGACAATGAAACAGGTTCTCAAAATTTGCGGTAGCGCGGGTTGTGCTGTGCTAATTGCAATGTCAGCAGAGCCCGGCGAACACGAGGCCATCACGCACAGTGGGGTCCATCCATTCCCCGTACGTGCTTTCGGGGGACATCACTCCTGTGGAGACAGCATAGAACCCTTGCTGACTGTGTTGATCTTGATAGGCATATTCCGTTCTGCCACACGCCTCGGTAAAAACGCGTCCCCGGATGCAGAGATCCACACTCACGCATGCTCGCTAGACGGTATCGTCTGCACATATGGCTGGCCTGCGCCCGCGCCATAATCCGCCAACGAGCCTTGGTAAAATCCAGCACTTCGGCTGCCGCTATACGTGTCGTACGGCAAGAAACCAGTATCGTCAAGAAGAGACGAGGTCTGCGGCGTCTGCAGCCGTTGTGATGAGCACTGCATGTCACCGCTCAAGGGGTTCGGCTGATAGACTTCATGATGTGGCACGCCCAATGCCGCAGGCGCCGACTGCACCATCTCAGGCATATAGCCTTGCATCTGCGTTTGTAAAACATGTGCGTTCTGCCAGTCGCCCTGCTCCAAAACGTAGCCGCTGTAGCCAGTACCGGGGAACATCTGGCTCGGATGCTGCGAGGGGGAGGGAGTGGTGGACATCGACCGGGATGTTGGTGAGGCAGGGTAGGCGGAGAGAGTGATTCCAGCGGAGACTTGTTGCGCAGACGCCGCGGCAGCAGCGGCGAGTTTCTGCTGCTGTATCGGTATGTACTCGCACTTGACCCCCTTTTTCTCACAACGCTCGCATTGCGGCGTACCCCCGGTACACTGACAATAGTGGATATCAGCCTAGGCCTCGATAAGTTATCGCACTACTGTGAGGCGCGTACCTTTACTTGACGTCTGCGGCACTCCGTGCATGCAATTGGCGTGCGCTTGCTTCTCACAACGGGAGTAAGCAACGTCTGCTCATACGGGCCGCGTTCACGACTTTGGGCTGTGGATAGGCGCACAATGTCATGAGAACGACTGATGTATACCGTGATAAGCAGTACAACTTACAAGGACTGGAGCGGTGGCCGCTACCGTTGCTCTTGGTTCTCGAGGGACCGACGTAGCCCGCGCGCTCTCCGCCGAGGTTGGTCATGTCCATGATAGAAGAAACAAAGTACCGGGGAGGTGTGGGGGGACGCGCTCGGTGAGGATAGTGGGGCGGCAGCAACACGAGCACGGTGGTTTATATGCAGATTGGTGGTCAAGCAATACACCGAGCGCCAAGCCAGTGCCCCGCAGAGAGCCGGACAGAAAAGGCAGATGGGAATCGGACAGCAACATTTACGATTAGATCTTGTCGTATTTTCCTCGTGGTCTTCCACGAGGTTAACCGAAAACATCAAACAGTCCGATGCGAGCGCCCAGCTCTGTTGGCGGAGGCGCTGTCCTGGGGCGATGGGCGCCCGTGATGTCCACCGCCTCATTGGGTGCAAAGTATAGACCTGAAACACATCGAAACCGACTCATTAGAGACTCCATTGCCTGATGCTGAACCTTACGTTGTCTGAGCGAAGGGATCCTCGTGACCCGACGCCGATGAAACATTTAGCTGACAATTCCAGGCCATCAAGGGTCTGTCCTGCCATCGAAGATTCGATGGAGACTACGCACAGGCCGGCGTGGGTAAACACGAACGATATGGCACGGCGCCATGCTATGTGTCCAGATTGTCCACCGAGCGAGTTGAGATGATCACACTCAGCGGCAGGCACATGGCCCGAATGCGTTAGGTTTCGGCATCGCACTCAACTGCAATTCGTGCCCCGAACTCTCCGCTGCCCGATGCGTCCCTATAGCTATGTCCCTCCCGAAGCACCATTCCCTACTGAGCACCGATAATGCGAGTCTATGCGCTAGATGCTGGATGTTAGTGGCACGATGGACACGCTGAGGCGGTCGACTGAGTGGAAGCTGCCATCCGAGGTCGCACCGACGTGCGCAAGCACCAACGAGGATGCATCCTTCAGACTCACCAATCATCACCCTTGGAACTCTCACTACCCCGCATAGGTAGAGACACCGCTGAGTTCGGATACGGACGGATGCGGGGCATCTGTGGTCACTTACGCGCGGAGAGGAGCGTCAACACATTCTCGGAGACTTTCGCGTCACATCCATCAAAGAGAACAGAGATCTCTATGACGATGCAACTGCCAGAGTCTGCCTCGGAGTCAAAGCAAGACGGTACCTCGGAGTAGCTCGTGAAGCTGCTCGTCGTAGGTGTGTCATGATCACCGTGAGCGGAGGAAGTGCGGACTTAAGATCGCAGTGGCTATTCTCGTAAGGGCAACATCGAAACCATAGGCACGTACTTATCTGGTAAACGCCCGTACGTGAGACGTCGAAACTCGCCGCGACCAGGAGCAATTCCTTTCCGACGTACGGATACATCAGAATCTGCGCTGCGAGAAAAAAAAATCTCGATGTACAATAGAAATCAATAAGTGCATCATCCGCAGCTACATGGCAAGGTAATCTCGCACTTCCTCCTCTGAGAGCTTCCTGAATGTCGCTTTCGCTCGTCCAGTTCCCTCGATCTTCCCAGCCTCGAGGTCGGCTTGACTTGGTACGGTGATGACACCGATCTCAATGGTCTTCTCTGTCATATGCCCTTCGAAGCCTTCCTTCAGCGTCAGGAGCGCGGTATGAATAGCATCCTCCAAGCTAATGTCATCGTTGTACCTAGATTCGCATCACGACCATGCATGCCCGAAATAACGGGCGATCAGCAAGGCAGCCGCTTGGCGAGAACATCAATGCGACCCACCGTTTCTCGAGGAACGTCTTGGCGTTGACCATGTTCTTGCCGATGGCGCTCGCCTTCCATGCCCAGTAAGAGCCAGATGGATCGACCTGATACAAGCTCGGTCCACGGTTGAAGTCCCATCCAGCCACTAGCAGGGACACTCCGTATGGGCGGACACCACTGTGCACGGAGCGATCACATTCAGTCTGGCACGCTCATGACTTGACAGGCCGCTGAAACACACCCGGAGTGAGTCGCTTGCTGCATGATGGTGGCAATCTCCTGGGTGAGCACCTTCGTGGGTGGGTATTCGCCGTAGATCTTCCAGTACGCCTGTGCACTCTTGCGCGCCCGCGACACGAGGATGCGGAAGTCGGGACCCATGCCTGAGTATACGATGCCGATGTTTGGGCAGATGACGGCGACTTTCTCGATCATGGAGTCGTCGATGAGAATCGAGGATGCTTTCTTCTCCGTGGCAATGACGATTCCATTGGATGCTAGTTATCCCATCAACACGCGCTCGAGGAACGGTAACTACAGCATGCACACCTTTGATACCGAGACTTGTTGTTCCTTGAGACACTGCTGCCAATGCATGTTCAATCTGAACGAGCTTTCCGCTCGGCGAGAAGACGGTAAGAGAGTAGCTGTGACCACCTTCAGCACGTCGTATCTCAACTAGTCTCGCACTGCTGACCTGTATGCGCCTCCGTCTGCACTGGCCATGTCTGTGTTGTACGGCTGCGATGAAGTTGGGAGAGAGTGGGAGCAGAACGCGTAGGACGAGAGGAATGCAGAGCGCAAGGACGCGCGTCGCACGCGTCTCGAGGGAGAGGACGTCACATGAGATCCTTGCCCCCGATCAGCCACTGATGATCACCACATGGCATTAGCGTGGCATTTGCGTGGCATTCGGATCTCCCCCAGCAGCGAGCCCAGCGACGGCACTTGAGTCTGCTCCTCGCTCCTCGCAATCAGCGTCGGCATCAAGCTGTGCAATTTCCGTATCATTCTCCACTTCGCATGATGGGGCTGCGACACTGAGTACAAGAAACCCCGGCATTGCGTATGCCGATTTCCAGGAACGCACGCCGTCACTTCATCATACATGCTGTGCGGTTTCAGGAGATCGGTGCTACGAGCAACTCTCACACTACATTACACTCTGACTCAATCGTGGAAGCCTCCTATCCATTCTTTGCCAGCGATCAGTCGATGAAAAGGGCATGCGTTGTATTCTCAATCGCTCGATCATGCGGCCAAGGCTACGCCGCGGGGCCATACCATCGCGGCTGTACATCGCTTGCAATGTCTCACAATCATCACACGTACTAGTACACTTTCGCTCTCCCACGGAGATTCCATCGCTCAATCCACCTTGAGCGGCGTCGTCCTGAGGTACGGTTGCTGTGTCCACACTGTCAGCGAAGCTGCGGCGCACAACCTCCGGATACCGCACCTCGTAGAACTTAACCTTCGGGAACAGCGTTTTGGCCTCCTCATTGCTCACGGTGGGATGCACGATGACGTCCTCGCCTTTCTTCCAGTTCACCGGCGTGGTGACACGGTACTTATCTCCGATTTGCAGTGCTACAGCCGACAGTGCAAACGTTCAGCAGGTTGCCCTCGCCATCAACGAAGGCACTCACAATCAACCACCCTGAATGTCGCCATGATACGAGAAATCAATGATGGACCGCTCTTGAGGTTCGGAAGTACGCGCGTACGTACCTCAAGATCTCGTCAAAGTTCCTTCCGGTCTGCGCTGGGTACGCGATCGTCAGCCGGATAACCTTCTTGGGATCAATCACGAAGACAGTGCGAATCTGCCAACATGCGCGGCAGCGACATCAGCACACTTGACAACAGCGCAAACACCACATATGGAGATCACGCACGGTAAAGGGCTGTCCCTTCGCGTCGCGGTTAGTCTCGTCCTGCTCGTCCAGCATGTCGTACAGCGTCGAGATCCTCCTGTCCGCGTCTGCGATCTGTGGTGTATCGAGATCGGGATCAGTCAGAACAGACGTAGCGGGACAGGGCCACAGCATACTCACGATGGGGAACTGAACATTCGTCGGCCCGAGCGTCTGCGACCCATAGTCGTTGATGTCCGTGATCCACTTGTTGTGGTCCTTCAGGTCATTCGCGGAAATGCCGATCACCTTCACATTGCGCTTCGCCCACTCGGGTGCTCTGTGCGGAGCAGTGCACGTCAGATTGTCTGCTCAAGCTGCTAGGGCCCTGGATGATGGATGCGCGATTACTGACTTCCTCGCTACCTCGGCCAACTCCGTCGTGCAGACGGGAGTAAAGTCTCCAGGATGGGAGAACAGGATGGCCTACAAGCGCGATCCCCGGTCATTCCGTGTAGCTGAATGATTCGTATGTATGTCTCGTACCCAAGAATCACCGATCCAGTCGTGGAACCGGATGTGGCCCTTCGTGGTATCGGCCTCAAAATCCGGGGCGATGCTGCCGAGACGAAGAGAGGGCATGATAGTGTACCTGTTTCTGCTGGTCGGAACGGTAATCGTTAAGATTACTTCGAGCAGCGGGCCCCTTTATATGTGTATGCGCGGTCGCACTAGAACACGCCCAGTTGAGAGTGATGACATAGAATTCGCAATGCAGCTCATCGGGCACGACTTCGATTCCCACGCATTCAAAGCTCTTACTATTGCTGAAGCGCAGATCGGGTCTTCGCGGAAGCAGTAGTACATTCGAACGTTCATCCTTTTGCCCAGCAGGGCCACAGAAGCTCATGTGACGTTTGCTCATGAGAAATCGATGGTGATTCGGCTCATATAGGCCCTGTATTTCAGTCATTAAAGGCGGCTACGTCTAGGTTCAACGCATCGTTGCAACAATGACGATTAGAGCTAAGTACGGTTGGCACGAGCAGGTGCAATTGCGCCATGGCTCGATGGGGCAAAATTCAAAGAAGGCAAGCTCGCGAGCAACTTGATCGACTCGAGATACCAACTCCCGGCCCCCCCAAGCACGCAGCCAGAGAGCGACGAGGCACAGCCAGACCAGCCATTGAGTCTCTCGGGACAGCGGAAATGCTTAGCCCTTCCGCGCAATCCCACCGCTCAGTGACACTCACCTACCCTCGCAGGTCAAAGCGCACACCAGCTCTCATGCACTGCGGCCTCCGCCTAATATGCACAGTCAGCACAGGAACTTTCCTCCTAGTCGATGACACGATGGAGGCCGCCGGGCGGCAACAACTTGGCGTCCGGAGTCGCAGGCCTTGAGAGCAAGCTTCGAGAATAATCACGAGAGTAAACGTCTCGCTTCCGATCGCGCAGATGTGCGAAGTTCGAACCATCCCGGCACGTGGCAGCATGATGAGATTCCACCCGCGAAGCTTCACTGCGGGAGGGCTCCGCCTCGACGGGGGAGTCGCACGGTGCACGGGGAGACTCGTGTGCCTCGCTCGCAAGTATTCATCCACCCGCAATCAGCCAGTCAAGAACCGAAATGTCGCTATCAAAACATGGGATGCTGCAAATGGAGATTCGGCAGGGATGTTCCGACCGAGCGGAGCTTCCATCCACATCCTCATCGTATATGGGAGAGGGGATTCCTCACCAGGCCACCACGCTTGCGGTAAAGTGACACGCTGTGGAGCAGTGGATGGTAACCGCCGAGTCCTGTCCTGCCGGCCAATCATGGCGCATACCTACACGATTCACGGGGTAAGCATTCGGGCCTCTGTGAGAAGCGCAGCGCGAGAGATACTTGCAATGGAGACCCTGAGGCGTCAGACCTAAGACCTGATCTTCCGACAATAGAAGCAAGCTCCGGTGGAAGTGCGGGGCATCAAGCTTCATGCGTTGTTCCGACCTTTCCCGCGAAACAGACTTGGATCCCCAGTCGGTGCAGCTCATCTTAAGCAGGCTAGCTATTCCCACCGAATGGGCTGCACCGGGACCGACGGGATTCGATTTCTGCATAGAACGTTGCTGGAGAGCCACAGGCGTACATATGCATATGCACCGGGTGTTGCATACGTGTTGAAAATCCTTGGCGCGTTCTCAGGGCCGTTGATGAGAGCCCCTCTGCGGGGGTGGGAGGGTGCGTATCCGGGGCGGTGGTGGATATGGAACTGGCAGCTCGCTCAAGGGTGATCACGGAGCATTTCGATCATCGCTCGGTTGCTACTGGGAGAGCTGGGAGAGATGCTGCGCCAAGTGAGTGTATGGGCCCTGTATTTAGAATTAGGTTTACGCACTGTCGTGGTTGGCAGACGAGATCATTCGATGACAGCGGGATCAGTGGGAGGGTCCAACGTCAACGGCAGTGTACTTGACACCCGTATTGCCCCATGCGGCATCATGTAGTGATCGATTCAAACCTGCAGTGTTGAAGTACTTTGATGTTCTCAGAACGCCTGCGGTCAAGCGGCATCGTTCCTTGATGCGCAATAAATCGGTTCAAATATAAAATCTTGAAGTACCTTGATGTTCTCAGAACGCTTGCGGTCAAGGCGGTCAAGCGGTATCGTTCCTTGATGCACGAAAACGTGAACTATATCCTTCGGCTCACTTTCGTCGGAGTAAACGGAGCTGTGCAAGAAATGCAGATAGGATACCATCATCAGGTACGCATACATTTATCAGAGCAGGCTGCCATGACTGCTGGAGCGACATGACTGAAAAATGAGTGAACACAAAATATACATCCGAAACAATAATCATACAACTTCCACGGAAGAGTTTCCATGGGTGTGGAGCACTGCTTTCGTCGCGATGAGCATGTTGAAGATCAATAGTACGCAATGGCGTGCAGCAAACTATGGGAATGCTTCTCCTGTTGTACAGCTAGTATTTTGTCCATGTCCTCGTCTATGTCATCCGAAGCCTCAATCTGCACAGCCGCGTACACCATGAGCATTCACCGACAGTCAAGCCGTGAAATGGCTCACCGCTGCTGCGAGATCAAGAATCGCCTTCCCAGCGATGTGCGCCTCCTCGTGATTGTCTTTGATCTCAATGTTGACGATATGCACCGGTCTGTTGAACTCCCCTCCCCTCGTCAGGAGATCTATGCAGGACGTTAGATACAGCACAATCGTTATAAGCGGAGACTAAAGACTGACCGTCGCACACTGCGTCGAAACATCGTTCCTCGCAGGTGATCACGATGTCGGCTACTGTTTTGCTTTCTTGCCATCGCTCTGGTGCCAGTTTTAATCTACGATTACGGTCTATCATCTGAAGGAGGCCATTCGCCGTGTAACTTGCATATCTCATGGTCAGGCATAAAGCACACTACGATTCTTAGCAGGTACTCACAGTCGAGGGTCTTGTGCCTGCAGCTCTTCGTAAATGTCATTGTAAGGAGTTCCGAATGGGTATATATTGGGCTTGTCTATTGCGGGACCAGGGAGACGGACAGCTGAGCCTGTTCCGTACGAGACAACTCGGTACCCCGCCTTTCTACACGGCGCGTGAGAGCTCCGACGAGCGACATATAATCGTGCTACTTACGACAAAACGTAGTGGCCCTCCATGGACCGATTCTGCCCGCCAAATCAGCGTACGAAGACGGCGCCAGTTGAAGACTGCATACCTGATTACTAGCACACACCACGCAAAACAACGGCCGCGGCTTATAGATGGGAGGTTTCGGAGGCTGCGGCTTAGGTATCGACGCTGCTCCGCGGGCTTCCTCGGCGAGCTGCTGGTTCGACAGTGCGCCGCCAGGATACTGTGGCGGCGTCGCCGTCGGGTATGGCGGGAGGTTGCTCGGTATGCCCTGAGGATATGGGATGGGTGCCTGTGGCGGTGGTTGCGCGTGCGCGGGGGGATTGGATTGCATGCGCTGGAGACGGGGATCGGATGCACGCGCTAGGCGAGGGTCTCGCGCCCTTCTTGGATCCATGTTCGTAGATTTCCAAACGTTCACGCCTTACAATCGCCGTCTGTCAAAAAATATTCGTCAGTTCAGAGTACGCCTTGCCGGCTGGACGAGTAAATAAAGCAACTTCAGCAGTATCTAGAACATTCATAGTCTCCCTTTCAACCCAGCGAGGTGCTTGGTAAGCGCAACGAGAATAGTGCGGGTCGATTAAGATTCCACTCTGAATCATCTTTAGAGCATAAGAGAGATTTCTTAGTTACCTGAATGGTCCGAAGGTGAAGATATTCTTGGTAGCAAAGAAACGAGAGTGAGCCGATGCGCGAAAAGCCTGAAGCGCTCGCTGGACGGGATATATGTGGCCTCCACGTGGCTCGACTATCGCTCAAGCGCCCACGCCACCAGGCGACGAAGCTGCCGCATTTGGCACGTCGTAACACTGCTACTACATCTCACGCATTCCTGTCGCAGATCGTGCACGTTCAGTTCAAGAGCATTGTAATAACAGACCGGTCTGTTACAGCTTGCTACCCAGGTCGCTAACGAAATCGTTATGTAGGTTACAGTGGTCCGTAATTACTTGCATCAGCTGAGATGTCAGACTCAGATGATCGACTGCGCTACCGCCGCCAGCCAACTCCAGAAGACGTCCTCGCCGCGCGGGCAGAAATACGAGAACATGAGAACGCCATCTCCGGCATCCAGGAGCACATCACCGGCCTCCTCTTGCAAGTGCAGCGCCTCCGCCGAGAGCAGGAGAAGCACCAGGCAGCCATCAACAAATGCAAGGGCGTAATCACACTCGCGCGACGCATCCCCGAGGAGCTCCTCGCGAAGATATTTGAGCAGTGCGTCGCGGACGGCTGGTCGCGCTCGCCCATCACCGTCTCGCACGTATGCTCTGCGTGGAGGAAGGCGGCATGCACGCCAAGGGTGTGGTCACACGTCTACGTGAACTGCCCGTCGCCCGACGCGCTCGACCGTACGCGCTTCTGGCTTGGCATGGCGCGCCAGGCGCCGCTCGATATCACCGTCGTGACGGGTTGGTGCCCCGACTGGCAGCTCGGCGAGGTCATGGAGATCCTCTTGCAGCATATGCGCCAGTGGCGCACGTTCGTGATCGAGTCGCCCGACTCGACGCAGGTGGACCACATTCTCTCGTGCATCGCGCGCATTCGTGTGCCCCGTGGGGCGTGCCTGCCAAACCTGCGCGAGGTCTACATCGCGACGGAAGTCCATTTCGAGGATCCTACTGATAGCGAGGATAACCCGCCCGACACGTTCGAAGATGCGTTCGGTCCGCACAACGCACCCAAGCTCTCTGCTCTGCTCTACACATCCAACGTTCTCCCGCTCTGCATACCCGACAAGCCCACATTCCCCTCTCACCTCACCAGACTCGACCTCACGTTTACTGAGAGCCTCTTTCAACGCCCGTTAGCCGCCGAATCCCTGCTCACGCTCTTCGAGGGTGTCCCAGAACTGCGCTCCCTCGCACTCGCGATGCCGCTGATGTATGTCCAGCCCTTCGTCCCCGAAGTCGACGCCTCGCGGACAGTGTGCTTAGCACACCTAGAGGAATTGTCGATGTACGGGCCGACGGACATGAACGGGTTTCTCCCGCATATGCGCGCACCGAGCCTGCGCCGGCTGCACCTCCGCTCTCTCGAAGACGTCGGATACCGCCAGCAGCCGCTCGGGCCGAGTCTCCTGCGGTTCCTCTACGGAAAAGAAGGGACCATCACGGAGCACGAAGACGGTCCACTGTCGATCGAGTTGTTGGAGCTGCACGACATCGATTTGACCCCGGAAGCGTTCGTAGAGTGTTTCGAGGCACTTTCAAATTTGCGCGAGCTGCGGCTGCACGAGTCGTCTCTTTCGGACGCGATGCTCGCGCTGCTCCAAGACCCGCAGGGGCTCTGTCCACGGCTGACCCGCCTCGATCTGCGGTGGTGCGGGCACCTGAGCGGCAGGGCGCTCGTCGAGCTCGTGCGGAGCAGGCTCCGCCCCGATGGCGCGCAGAAAGCTGATGATGCGTCCGCTGCAGATCCTATCAGCGAGGTTGCCATCATTAATTGTTGTTTCGTTGAGGAGCCGGATGTGATGGACATGGCGGCGATGACGGTCTGTCGGGTGGTGATGCGCGAGGGGGATGACTACTGTCGTAAGTGATGTTTGGCATGATGTCCGAGAGAATGGTCAACTGAATGGGATGTAGGTATGAGAGGCTGCTGCGACAATTCACGGTATAGGACGCGGCTGCGTTTGAAGCATGCGGACAATATCATTAGGCATGCAGAGCGATCCCAGGGAGATGAACGATGGATGGTACCGATACGATTGGTTGTTTGAAGATGTTACGGCGGACTGCTTCGGCGTTACCTTTCACTTCGCTCTCGTAGAGTTCTTGGATGGATATCACGCATTGCAACCTAGTATTTCTCCTTATGCTGGTTAAGTTCATGATTTTAGAGTCTCATTCTTGTGGCGGCCTCCCGCCATCGGCCCGTTGATCAATACATCTTTACTGTCAGTGCTAGAACGGCTACGTTATATATGAAACTGAGAAGCAATGCTAAGTATTCACAGCATACATACTACTACCTACCGTGGTGACCCATCATCATGCACGCACCTATCGGTGGACATAGAATTACTAGTTGACGGCTCCTTTTAGCCTGGAACCCTTTTTTTCTGGCCTGGTTGCTGCCTTGATGAACTCGTTTGGCTACATGTATACAAACACCTGATATCTGTAACGTTCATAAGGTATACAATGATCCTCGACGAACTTCGTACGAAACGGAGCTCGATCAATCGGCAAGGAGCATGCCGGAGCCGAAAGCGCGTGATTACCCCAGACATTCCCCCGCCCCCGCGTTCGCGTTTCACGGCATCTCATATATACCGCTCCTTGTCAGGGCCTGAGTCCGCATCGTTTTCCTCCTCAATCTCCTCTCCGTGCAAAAATGTTGCGAGCAGCATCGAAGGCCGTCGGGCACAGCGTTCGCCGCAGCGCGGCTGCTCCAAGTGTTGCCGCTAGGTCAGTGCACCTCGAGTGTCGATGCCGCAGGATTTGTGGGGTTGAGAATTTCTCCAGGTCATTCTCCGTCTCACAGGCGGCATGGTCGGAGCCCCCCGTGAACTCGCTTGACTCGTTCACAGAGGAGGAGCAAATGTTGCGGGAGTCTGGTGATTAGTCCCCTGATGCATTTACAGAGCTGTCGTCCACCCTAACAATTTCGCATAGTGGCACGCTTTGCGCAGGATGTCGTCGCCCCTAAAGTCAGGGAGATGGACGAAAATGAAATGATGGACCCAACTGTTGTCAAGGGTCTCTTCGAGCAAGGGGTATGTCGGCCATTTCTCATCGCGTACATCGACGTTCAGTTCTATTCCCGCAATCAATCATGACGTCGCACAAGTAATCATATATCAGGAATGCCTGATATTGTGATTGACATGAACTGAACGTCGATGGACTATATGCGCTTAACTAGAGGTACTAATTGACTTTCCAGCTGATGGGTATTGAGACAAGCAGCGAGTTCGGTGGCGCCGAGTCGTCCTTCACCTCCGCCATCATCGCCATCGAGGAGCTAGCCAAAGTCGACCCCTCCGTCTCCGTCTTGTGTGACGTGCACAACACACTCGTCAATACGATTCTGCGCAAATATGCAAATAAGGAGCAGCAGCAGAAGTGGCTCCCGCTACTGTCAGAGTCCAAGGTATGCCTTCCAGTTCTGAGACAATTGGTGTTCGTCCGGCTGACGTCTGTGTAGCTCGGCTCGTTCTGCTTATCGGAAGCGGCATCTGGATCGGACGCGTTTGCGCTACAGACGCGTGCGGTCAAAGATGGCGACCATTGGGTTATCAATGGCAGCAAGATGTGGATTACGAACTCGTATGAGGCGGACGTCTTCCTGATCTTTGCCAACGTCAGCCCCGTATCAGCACTTAATTCTGAACACGACTAATTGGCGCGTTCTAGGCGGACCCAAGCAAAGGCTACAAGGGCATTACCTGCTTCATCGCAACGAAGGACATGGGCATCGAGATCGCGAAGAAGGAGCAGAAGCTCGGTATACGCGCCTCGTCTACGTGCTCGCTCAGTTTTGATGATTTGCGCGTGCCCGAGGAGAATGTCATTGGCGGAGTCGGCAAGGGATACAAGGTCAGCCTTTTGAGCACTGAAATCGCTTATCGCTGAATGGTCCCATTCAGATTGCCATTGAAATTTTGAATGAAGGTACTTATCGCGTTTATTTCCCAATGCACTGCGAAACTCACTTACCATTCCGTAGGCCGCATCGGCATCGCCGCACAAATGCTTGGTCTTGCACAAGGGGCATTCGAAAAAGCCGTGCCGTACACTCTCCAGCGAACGCAGTTCGGTCAGCCCGTCGGCACATTCCAAGGTCTGTCCTTCCAGCAAGCACGCGCAGCGACGGAGATCGAGGCAGCGCGCTTGCTGACGTACAACGCTGCACGTCGGAAGGAGGAGGGCCGTCCGTTCGTACAGCAGGCGGCGATGGCGAAGCTGTATGCGAGCGAAGTCGCGCAGCGCGTGTCGGGCGCGGCGATCGAGTGGGCGGGTGGCGTTGGCTTCACGAGGGAGACGGGCATTGAGAAGTACTGGAGAGACTCGAAGATCGTGAGTAGATTGTACAGCGATGTTTGCAAGATGCGTTCGCTGATACGTTTGTCCTTGATAGGGTGCCATCTACGAGGGCACGTCCAACATCCAGCTCCTGACGATCGCGAAGCTTATCCAGAAGCAATATTCATGACACCTTTCCACTATCTCGCCTCGCGAACTCGGTGCTGTGGTCATTACTACACTTATTTCAACAGTGGTCTCAATGTACACTATGTAGATCTGCACAACGATAGCGATTAAACGATGATGAGGTCGAGGATTCCGCTACGTATGAAGCTAACGTTGAGATGTCCGCATAAACATAAGTACGCCCTCGTACGTCGCCCATGCAATGGCCGAATTGGGCAGTTTCCGCAGGATGCGTAGGACTGCTCCGTCGTAGAAGCCGGGTATGCCTCGTTGCTGAGTAGCGGTGAGCAATGCATGATCAATCATGAGACGGTGCTCAACTGTCGAGCGTAGCACACTCACGCGGTAGATCGTCGTGACGGTCCTCAGCAAGCCGTGATATCTGTCTTCGGTGCGGACTTGCATCTTTGTCTATCCCAATAGGTCATGACGAGTCTGGGGATTGCCACATGAAGGCGACTGAGCAGCATACCTTGATGACATCGAACGGATGCGTGGCGAGGCTAGCAATCATCCCTGCAGCTCCGGCAGAGAAGCTATGTATGCCGGTCGAGTACGCCGACGAGGTCGGTGAGACGACACTAGCTGTGCAGAGCGTCAATCGCTACACTCCCTGACGTTACCGAGAAGAGATGAAAGCGGTCAGGACGGACGCGGCGCGGGGACACACCTACTTCCGCCTTGATTTGCTCGTAGAAGAGTACGAAGAGCCCCGCGTAGGGTGCATCGCGGAGGGACGCGGCGAGAATGCCGCGGAAGAGCTCCGAAGGGCCTGCGCGGATGAGGCTACCAAGGGCGCGGAAGACACTGGTATATGCGTATAGGTCACTCTAGGTGCAATTAGGGTAAGACGATCTGGATGTATGAGCGGCTAAGCTAGGAGCGTAGTGACTGAGAGCCCACCTCGTAGCGTGCCTTGAGCACTGCGAAAGGGTTGAGCAGGGCCCCGATGGCGACGCGCGTCGTTGCGCCCGCGAGAAGGTTTCCCTGCTTGTTAAGCTTGGGAAGGACCGAGCCTGAGTGTGTGCGCTCCGTGGCTGGTGTCGGGAGAGCAAAGTAGCGAGTAGAGGCGAGGAGCGTCCGGGTGTAGTTCAGGCCGGTAAAGTATAGTGCAACTCCAGGGACGTTTCTTAATAGGAGGTGGGAAGGAATGAGAGGAGACGACTTGTATGAGCGGGAGATGAAATACCGTAGGAGCGTGGGTGATGTTCCTCTCCATAGGCCGAGCACTCCTTCGCTCTTGACTATATCACGGGCAATAGATACAATGGTTCCGGCAGGCCTATGGAGGAGTACATGAATATATAAAGATCACATGTAAAGAAAGAAAGTTCACGGACCTTGGCCCATGCATTGTTCCGTCGCCTTGCTGCAGGCGGGTTTTCAGAAGATCGACTGCATTCAGTACGATGTCATTGCAGAGACCAGAGAGTGAGATGCATTAGAATGAATATCACTTCATATGTTTGATGGCTTACGCGGTTGAAGACATATGCTCGACGCGAACCCAGAAACAGCACCTTAGTCGGAAACGAAGACGAGTGAGCTCCCAATGGCACCGTGCATCTCATGCGGGTGACACACCTGACAGCAGGTGTTGACCAACATCGTTCATTAGTATTTTAATGTTCGAGTATGTTGCTTTTCCAGGCTCGTTGAACGGGAAAAGAATAGGGAAAACAGGGTTTCTCACAAATATGAAAGCAGACGCGACGCGTAGAGCGCGTCAAGTAAGTCGTAGAGATACGCGTTCGTCACGTGCATCGCGACATCCCCTTATGTTACTCGGAGTCCTTCGCGGTGCGCAGGTTCATGTCTTTTCGTCCGCTCGTCGCAGTTGGCAGAGTCCTGCGTGCGCAGCATCTCTCAACACTCCCAAGGTGTGCTCGTAGACAAAGATCATATGCTACACATGCCTTGGCGCTAGCGAACGCGGCCGTCAAACCCTCCAAATTCGGGCAGCCACTACATCCGTCTCATCCACATCTCCGTGAGTGGCAAACGGCATATTCATATCAGCTTACGTTGAAGATGATCAGTGAAGGAGGGGGAAATTACTCCCGGGATTACCGCGGTAGAATATGAGCACAGAAGGCGCTCTCTCATGGAAAGTCTCCCGGACGGCAGTCTGGTCCTCTCGTTTGCGGGAGACGTCAAGTATATGAGTGGTCGTGCGTGGGTCAATACGTCGATGTGATGCAAAATTGCTAAGTAGACTGCTTGTGGCAGAAATATTGTAAGCAGCGCGTTCCCTACCGCCAGGGTGCCGCTCACCCCCTTGCAGCTACAAGTACCGTCAGGCATCCGACTTTTGGTATCTCACCGGATTTGAGGAGCCAGAGGCTGTTTTGGTCCTTCAAAAGAAGCCTTCCAACGAGCGTGGGTACCGGGCTATCCTTTTCCACCGGTTACCCGACCCAGCGCAAGCAATATGGGATGGTGCGCGCACGTCTTCGGGGGACATCGTGAACATGTTCGGTCTGGACGAAGCGAAAGATGTCCAACAGCTACCAGGCGTGCTCACAAAGCTCTTGAGTGACGCGGAGCATGTATATGTAGATATGCCGGCTCGAAATAACCGTCACCGCACGCAAGGTCTCCGCTCACTATTCAAGGTGCGTTTGTGACGATTGAAGATGAGAAAATCCGGCCATTGAACATTGAACGTGCACGTTCTGCAGTACATGGGAAGTGCCTTCACCTCGCAGAAAGGCTCAATGCAGGATTCCGTCTTGGACTCGCTCGGTGCTCTCAAACCCCGTCCACTCGCTCCAGAGGTCGGACGTCTGCGTTCAATCAAGAGCACGGCAGAACAGCAGGTTATGCGTGCCGCCGCAGATGTTAGCGCGCGTGCGCATTACCGCGTATGTCCCTTCAGCTGCTCCGTGCTAGTGCCCGATACCGATACTGCTGCCAGACGATGCGCTTCGTGGAGCCCGGTATGTCCGAGCACGACGTCGCTGCATATTTTGAGTATGTATGCGCTCGCATGGGCGCCCAGCGCCCTGCGTATGTCCCTGTTGTCGCTTCTGGGTATGTATAGCATGTCGCTGTCAAAGTCGTGCGAGGAAGTTGACGCGCTGCATGCAGTCCGAACGCGTTGGCGATCCATTACACTGCAAATAACCAGCTCATTAGAGAGAATGAGATGATCCTTATGGATGCAGCATGTGAATACAAGTAAGCCTCTTGCAATCCGCGTCCAGATGATCACGTTGCCGTGTACATGCGAAGCTCACGCCCTTGGCGCAGTGGCTACGCATCAGATATCAGTGCGTCTCGAGGAAGCAACCTCTTTGAATTCATGCTCTGACAACCTCTTCTGCTGCGCAGCTCGCACATTCCCGGTCTCAGGCAAGTTCACACCGGCACAGCGCGAGCTCTATGGTGCCGTCCTGCATGCGCAAAAGCACCTCATCACGCTCTGTACTGTGCACTCGGGGTTCTCGATCTCGCAGATCCACCAGAAAAGCGTCGAGTTTCTTCGCATCGAGCTTGCCGCCATCGGCTTTACAGACTTTGCGCAGTGGGATGGTGCGGTGGGGTCGAAGGTCCAGAAACAGATGGGGGAGTGTTACCCGCATTTTGTCGGGCATCCAGTCGGCATTGGTGAGTACTGAATGGATCACAGGTCATGTTCGGTCCAGTAACAGGTCTGGCTCTGGAATGGTAGATCTGCACGAGTCCAGCCACTTCGATAGGCATCAGCCGTATGTCGCATGCTGGCCTTCTTCTCTTGATTTACTGACTGCTTGTTGTGTGCATGATAGACTCAAGCCGGGTATGGTGATTACCATCGAGCCAGGTACATTCACAAAGACATCGACAGCTACGCACTGCTCATTTACTCCCCCCACGTTTAGGCCTTTATATTCCGCCCACACCATACTTCCCCACGAGATTCCATAACTTAGGCGTCCGCATAGAGGTACGCATACTGGTTACACAATGATCGTTCGCTGACCCACACGCGTGCTCGTACATATGTACAGGACCAGGTGCTCGTCGGCGAGCATGAACCTGTCGTGCTCACAGTGAATGCGCCGAAGGAGGTACGTACTACCCCCACGAGTCGGGGTTTGTCACGATAGCTGACCTCCTTTGCAGATTGACGATGTCGAGGCAGCCTGTCAGAGGCTCTTACCGCTGCAGGACGAATTTCGCACTGATGTCTGAGAGACTACAAGGTTTGCTTGCATGAAAATCTAATCACATAAGATATGCAACGCGCAGTCGAGGATTATCTATGCTATTAAACAAACCCCTCATCCGGCCTCTTTTGATATCATTCGATATCATTCAACTCATTCGATCGATACGGACATCAACTTGACTAGATCTAAGCAGTCTTCGTGTATCTCTAGATCCAACCTTCGGACGGAATCGCACACTCTGCTTCACTGAACATCAACTTCGTCGTCGACAGTCTTGCTGACGGAATCGCGACGGAGCCGAGCACCATCTCTGCCATCGATGCTGGAACTGCCAGCCTGAGGCTCTTCATCAGCAACCTCGAGCGCCCTCAGGACCTGGTCGCGGCGTAGCCACTTGTTTTCAGGAATGAAGTACCAACTAAGGATGCCAAAAATGGTGACCGCGCCGAGGATGACAGGTGCCTGAGTGCACAAGAACCTGTCAGCTACAGCTAGAAAACTGAATGGCAAGCACTGACGAAGTTAAATGACTGAGCGTCGACTGGGAAATAGAACGGCGAGATTTGAACCTAGCAGAGCGATCTCCATTAGCTCTTTGCTGCTAGCAAACGCAATGAGGCTCTTACCGCGAAAATTAGGCCATTGAACAGTACGGCGATAATATAGAACGGCTTCCTCCACCTGCCCAAGTAGAAGTGCGACGACTTGAAATCATCCGGCGTTGCGATCAGACGCAGCAGTGCAATCAAACCGTACGCCGCAGTGGTGGGAATGGCGCCCGCTGACGTGAGGGAGGAGAAGGCGACCGAACTGGGCAGGATCGTGCATAGCAGCGCCGCGGCGAAAACGAACATGACGGTGACGGCGTTACGAGGCTGGCGCTGCGCGTCGACCTGTCCAATCCATCCAGAGAATGGGAGTACACCGTCACGAGCGACAGCGTAAATCAGGCGGGATGCAGCGACTATGGAGACACTCGTATTCTGCGCGGATGCATAAGTCACAGTAATCGGGAGTATGACAACATGCAACGTACAAGAATAAGTCCAAGCGTTGCGAGAATTGTCATGAAGATACTTCCGCCTTTGCCGAGCGCCATGGCGTAGATCTGGACGAATGGTTGCGGAGCGCCCAAGGAGAACAGCGTGTCCAAATCTGGCGTGCAGAAGAGGAACAGAATAGTGGTGGCGAATCCAAGGACACCCGTGGCAATGCAACTGTACAGAATCCCGCGGCCGGCGATGACACTGAAGCGAATCCATTAATGGCAATTCATTAGTTTATCGGAGAGGAGATCTCACCTAGCATGCTTCGTCTCTTCGGCAACGTGCCCAGACGCATCGAAACCAATCATAGTCCCGGCAGAGTACAGGCTAGCAATCGGTTAGCTACGTTGGTCAAGACACGTTGGTGAGGACCTACAAGCATAAGAGGAAGTTCCATGCAGGAGGAGCCCCAGTGTCGTTGTCTGAGTGATGCAGTTCTATCAGCGACGTGAAGCTACAAAGATGGAAGCGCACATACAAACAAGAGTGAACACATCCTTGCGCGAGCGGAAACCATAGGACTTAGACACGCCGATCGGAAGCCAGATAAGGCAAAGAATGAAGTCCAGCATGTACAAAGCCATTGAGAACTTGAATACGGCGGAGTACATCCTCGGGGGAAGGTAATTGATCGCAACTGCGACAACCAGGCATCCCTCTGAAATCGCCCAGACGAGAGAGCGCCATTGAATGGTGTCGTTCCCGACACCACCTGGGTAGTTAATGTTATACACTACCAGTTCCGAGACGATGTAGTTAGCCGACGCCTGGTAATGTGTTTCGTTGGGATAGTACTTCGCAGACGACTGATAAATGTACGTACCAGGCAGCAGTAAGCAGCGAACGTCATCCAAGCCGTACACGCCCACCAGGCAACAATGAAGCCGAAAAAACGTCCATGTTTCGGGCCGGCACTCTCAGCACTCCAGACGTAGATAGACCCGCTCAACGGCAAGGCAGAGCAGATCTCAGCCATGACGGCCGCCGTAATGAACATGCCAATCATCGAAATGATGTAGGTGGACCTGCGAAGCGCATATAGCCATCTTGGTAGCACTCGGAAGAACAGCAACACGTACCATGTTGCAGCGGGTCCGCCGGCTTGCAACCCAAGAAAAATACCAGCACTGATGATAACGGCGTCAATAAAATAAGGAACCGCAAATTGGGATCAATGCTCACCGGACGCCTCCGATGAAGTTGAGAGCAACAAAGCTAGCCGCAAAATTCTCTACAAGGCTCCAACTACGGTGAAGTTGCTGTAATAATGCAGTGATCGCATCAGAGCGTCGAAGAAGAAAGTCTCATTGAAGCTACCTGTGTGTATCCGAGCTTTTGCTGAGAAAGACAAAGAAAAGTGGTCAGTAAGCTCTGTTGGCACCCCCGCTGCTGCAGGGGCGATTAGAATACGGTGACACTGGGGGGCTTCCCTACGCAGGTATGAGCGCTGTTCAGGTTCAAACGGTGTGATCTCAACCCTCGCTGATCATCAGCTCCCTCCGCTCGAGTTGGTCATTATACGAAATGGCCAGCAAGCCGGCGAGTAGCATCACAACGAGGATACCCGTAGCCGTTCCAGTCACCATGTACTGAAGATCGACGTTACCGATGATACAGTCACAGCAAGCCCTTCCCCCGCATAGTTCTTTCCAGCTGCACCATCGTAATTACCAGCTGAATCTCGTCTTCGTCGCCGAGCGAGACACGCTCGCTGTCGATCTTCGTGTCGATGATGTTTACGGTTTCGGTGTTCATCTCTCGCATGAACTAGAAGCAAGAAGCAAAGGAAGAGGGAAGAGAACGATGCAGATTGAGGAGCGAGGTACGGTATAAATACAATGCGGTTATGTAAGGATTCCACACGAGTCACTCAGGCGCCATGATCGCGATCGTGCGCCCAATGCGACAGTCCTCTCCTTGAAACAGGTACAGATGTTCATTGATAACATGAATTCATGTACAATCAGATCAGCTCATTGGATGTTCAGACGCTGCGTGAGATCGAGCACGTCAGTACGCCATGAGCAAAGGAACACCATACGGCAGCACTCACAGGCTTCAGTGCCTTGATAAGGAGCCATTCGTCGTTGCTTACGTCTTGCTTGAAGGAAGTCTGGATCTTTGTGAGCACCGTCCAAGGCAAAAAGAATCAATGAAGACCGACCTTCAGGACATCAATACTTTGTCGCGTGATATGGCTGTAGAGCTCGTCCTTTTCATCGAAATGCCGCCCAAACATCTTTGCCGACTGGTACACAGCGTGTTCGATCTTCACAGCAACACCGCCGCCAGCTTGAGACTTCTTCACAATCTGTGCGAAATGCTCAGTACTTATCGGATCGGAAGGAAGTCTTCAGACGAAACTCACGTCTTGTGTCTTGTGATTGATCTCCAGCGAGGTACTACGTTCAGTTCAGTAACAAGTCGGTTGAGCGAAGTTATACATCGACATACATTCGTCCGAGGTCAATGATTTCCTTCTTTTGCGTCTCTGGGTCGACCTTGATGACACATAGCGGCGTGCCCACCCGCAACGTGCCATCCAGAATATCTACACCCAGGATGATAGGGTCACGCTTACAGAAGGCAGCGATGATCTTGAGCCTGCATGGCCAGACTGCCTGGGGAGCGGCGTCGCGCCGCTTCGCCTCCGTGATCTCGTTGTTGTACGCCGTGAAGGCGTCAAACAAGTGGTAAATAATGTCCGCTGTAAGAACCTGTTCAGCGACCGAACGTTGCGTACGAAAACTCCGAAGTGCCAACCTTTGAACAGACGAATACCCATCTCATCCGCGAGCTTCTCCGCTTCCTTGTCGACCGGCACATCGAAGCACAGAATACATGCAAGCTCCTTCGCCTTCTCCAGCATGGTGGCCGCGCGCATGATATCCTTCTTGTGAATGGGACCGATGTTGATACCGGAGACAGGGATCTTGCTCGACTTGAGGAAGTCGAGCAGCGCTTCCAGCGAACCCAGTGTACTCGCCTGCACGCAGACGCCGCGTCCGGACTTGTCAATCGAGTTAAGTAGGGTCGTCAGGTCGGACATGACCTCGTCCATGAGCTCCTCTTCATCGTCATCGGGGCCAACAACGAGCAAGCGGGAACCGGCAATTGCCTTCTCCAAATCCGGAGCCACGAGCTTGACACCGAGAGCCGCCTTGACCTCCTTGTGATGGACGTACGCCGACTGATGAAGTATAAATTGTCAGATTCAAAGCACAATCTGCCTTGCAATGCACTTGCCTTGATACGCAGTTCACGAAGTGGCTGAGGCGTGAGCAGCGCACGGATCTGAGTCACGATCGGTCCGTTCAGACCACAAACAACGATCTTGTCACCCTCGTGCAGGATACCGTTCGAGAGGACCACGTCGATAGTCGTCCCAAGACCCTCGATGACCTTCACCTCAAGCACCGTACACTCCAGCTCCGACAGGTACATCAAGCTGTCACTCATGCGCTGCTGAGTGAGGTTCACGAGAAGCATGATCATGTCCGGTACACCTTCGCCGGTGATAGCGGAGGTTGGCACCAGCGAGACGTTGCGCGCGAAGTTCTTATTCTCGTAGTAGAGCACGGCATTCAAACCCTGCTCCGCGAACGCGACGATCGTCTTCTGCACACGATCCTCAAACTCACGCTGCACGGAGCGCTTCTGCTTCGCGAGCGAGCTGCGGAAATCATTGTCTGGCGTGGCTTCCCAGCCATACATACGATCGATCTGAAAGAACATTAGTCGATGGTGCGTACGATTCACAGCAGTCGACGAACCTTGTTCAGAGCTACGATGAACGGCGTCTTACGATCCCTGAGCAATCGGAGCGACTCCAGTGTCTGGGGCTCAAGACCGTGCTGATCAAGGAATCAGATCGTGCGATTAGAATAAGGAAGACGTTCGGGACGTACCATGATATCGACCACCAGAATGGCAATGTTACATAGCGAGCTTCCACGGGAACGCAAATTCGTGAAAGACTCATGACCGGGGGTATCGATGACCAACAAGCCAGGAATCTTGTATTCCTGCGAGCCATCCTGTGAAGAAACACAGCATGAGCAAGTCCGTGAGATAAGCAAACCAAGAAGAGCACGAGCCTTGTTGAGGATAGCGGTCTTCGTCTTGATCGCGTCGATGGGGAAGTAGGTTGCGCCAATCTGCTGCGTGATACCACCCGCTTCGCCTTCCTGCACGTTAGTTTGCCGAATCTACACAGCGCACCAGACGATGCCGTCAGCAACTACCTTCGCACAAAGCTCGTTCACGACTCACCTTGTCGAGCAACTTCGTCTTTCCCGTATCGACGTGTCCCAGGATGCAACAAATCGGGCTCCGCAAATTATCCTTCGACCTCGCCGCCAGCGCCGCCTCGTGCACCTTCGCCCGCCGCTCCGCAGCCTCCGCCTTGCGTTGCGCCGCCATCTGTTGCGTCTTCGTCATCCCATCCGAGTCCTCGCTTGACGACTCATCTTCGCTCGATTCTTCCTCTTCTGACGATTCCTCCTCGGAGCTCTCCTCTTCTGACGATTCCTCCTCGGCCGCCGCGCCATGACCCTTTGCTGGCGCGGGTGCGGCTGCCGCCTTCGCTGGTACTGCTTTGGCTGGCGCTGCTTTAGCTTCAACAGCACGTTTGGCTGCGCCATTAGCTGCACAGAAGCTTCAGTAAGCGATGTCCTTTGCAATGCAATGCACCAACAGACTTACCAGCCGACTTCTCCTTCGGCGATTCAGGAGCCTTCTCTTCCTCTTCCTCACTGTCGTCCCACGACTCCTTCACGCCCTCCGCAGGCTTCTCCTCGTCGCTGCTCGCCTCCCAGTCGCTCTTCACGCCATCTCCCTCCGGCTTCGCCTCCTCCGGCTGGGGTGCAGGCTCAGGTGCAGGCTCAGGTGCAGGCTCGGGCGTGGCGGGCTTCTCCTCCAGCGCTGGTGATGCCTCCCTCGTCACGGGTCCACTTTCCGTCGTGCTCGTAGGTGCTTTCTTCTTCCGGCCGCCGTAGACGACCTTTTTCGAGGCCTGCCCACCGGCTTGCTGCTGCAGGCCCTCGATCTGCACGCCGGATGCGAGGAGGGCCTGCTTGCGCAGCTCGGCCATACGCTGCTCTTCCTTCTGCTTCTTGGTGAGCAGCCGGCCCTCCTTCTTCGCTATCTCGCGCTTAGCCTGTGTAAAGTGTAAGAGATCTCCAGTCCAGGACGCCTGCGGGGCCGATTCAGCGCACCTTCTCCTTCTCCTTCCTCCGCTGCTTCTCCTCCTCCTTCCTCTTCGCCTCCTCCTCCGCGAGCCGTTCCTCCTCCTCGATCTTCCTCTGCTCTTCCTCCTCCCTCCTCCTCGCCTCATCCTCCAGTCGCTTCTTCTCCTCCATCAACGCTTTCAGTGCGCTGATCGCTATGCCCTTCTTCTTCCCTGCGGCAGGAGCTGTGGTGGGCACCGCCTCCTCCTCCTTCTTTGGCTTCTTTTTCTTTTTCTTCTTCGACTCGGCCTTGCCTCCAGCCGCCTCACCCTCGCCCTCGCCTTCCTCCTTCTCTGCAGGTAGCGGTGCTGGTGCTGGTGCAGGTGTCGTTGGTGAAGGCGCCTCTGCCTCAGCAGCTTCGCCTTGTGCAGCCTTCTTCGCTGCCACTTGAGCCTTCTTCTTGGCCTGGAGTTCCATGAGCGAGAGCGAACCTAGGACCTGCGAATCTTACGTGCCTTTTCCCGCTCTTTCTTTAGCTTTTCTTTCTCTTTCTTGGAGAGAACTTTTGGTCCTTCCTCCTCAGCGGCGCCCTCCTCGTTCTCTTCCTCTTTCGCCGTAGCTGGTGCTGGTGTCTCAGCAGGTGCAGCCTCCTCTTCCACAGGCGCTGTAGGCATGATCAGACAGTACCGTAGTCAGAACCGCAACCTAACGTACCTGGTTTCTCCTCCTCCTCTTCCTCTTCATGCGCCTTGCTCTTCTTTGCCTTGCCCTTTTTGCCCTTCTTGCTCTTCTCCTTCACCGGGCCCCACTCCTCGTCCGCCAGCTCCTCCGCTGTCATCTCCACTGGCTTCTTTGGCGCACTGATGTCTCCACCAGCTGCCGCATCCTCCCTATCGGAGCCTTCGCCGGGCGGCAGTCCGTCCTGGAAGGACACCTCGGGTGCTGCCTTCTTTCCGCCCTTCTTCTCCTTGTCCTTCTTCTTATTTTTCGCGGAGGCCTTTATAACAGACTGTATAGATAGTCGAATTTGTAGGCATCAGAATGACCAGCCTTAAATACAGTCACACATACCATGAGCCCACCAAAGTCTTCCTCCTCCTCGGCGGCCGCATCGCCATCGTCTCCACCTAATGCAGCGAAAGCAGAGAATCCTCCCTTCCGCGGCTTGATTTCATCCTCGGGTGCCTCTCCTGCATCTTCGGGTGGTGCGACGTTGTTGCCAGCGACGGACGTGCCTGCTTGCTCCCTGTAGGAGTACCAAAGTGAGAGATCTCACAGGATCTAGAGCTGACTGATCGCGCACCAGAAATCATCATCGTCCTGTTTTTTTCCCTTCTTTCCCTTGTTCTTGGGTGCCATTTTGGTTAGTCAGTGTGATGTGTATGTAAGAAACTGGGCGAGGTATATGAGAAGCGGAGTAAAGAAAGCTGGGGGGGGAGGTGAGCACTGAGCTTGCGCGACCGAGGAAAAGTGAGCGCGCGTGATCTGATCGGGACCCATGTGGGTGCTCTCGAGTCTCCTGCCGTAACTCGCCGTTCATTTCTCCTGCAAATACGCTCAACGCTGTTTGTTGCCCATCTCTGTCCAACGATATGCCGCCTGACTGTAATCTGGAAAGCCTACGAGAACGAGAAGGAGGTGCTTGATTCGTTTCATGTGAAGGCTCAGCATCGAGACGATATATAATACCTCTCGTTTGCTTCAGACAAGGGCAGATGATCTCAGATGACGTATACGACGTGTGTTATGGAGTGCACCCTACAAGTCGACTGTGCGTGAAGGTCGTACGTTTCAACAATCTGAAAGCGATAGGAATACCAGGGCATTTGAAGGTACGTTTGAGTTTTTTGTTGCTACGCATCGCGATCGGATCATCATCGGAACGCATAGATATCTGAATCTACGTGTACTTGGACAACCGTGCGGCTGCAATGACCAACAGCCTGAGCCTGCTCCAGCTTTACTAGCCTCAGTCACGAACTCATTGTCTACTGGCGCGTCCCTGATCGAAAATCGACAATCCGACGGGATATACTTGACATTTTCGGGCTACAGACTTCTAGGTTACATAGAGCGGATATCGACCACAGCTGCTTAGAATTCGATCCTCTTCTTGAGACCGAGCGCTTCTCGTCTGGACTTCGACGACGAATCAAAATACGGCCTTTCTCCAATCGACACTACGCGGTTGCCCTCTCGGTGTGCGTCATAGTCGCGGGTCACTTTATCACAGAATATGTCAACATTGATCAACGGTACGCGGAACCAGCGACTGACCGTTGTGCAAACTTGCTGAGTTTGCCCAGATGGCCACATCGTTCCTGAGTATCGAATACCACAATTAGTTGACTACAGCACGATCGAAGAAGTTGTATCTTACTTTCGCCATTTGAACCGGACCTGCAGGTCGTGGTTCTCGGTAATCAGTCGGTGCAAGTAGTCAAGCGTGATGTCGGATTCATCCTTGGTGATCCCCAGAATACGTTTGGTGAAGCTGATGAACGCGATATACGTTATAGCCGACCCTTTAGCCAACAATATGAATTGGAGCATACTTCTTGTTCACGAAGACAGCCTTCCATCCGGTTACTGGGTTCGTTCGGATGACGGGGTGGATAGCTTGCAGAGTATCCCCGACGTTCTCTGGGTTTCCTCGCGGGCCCTCTTGAAAAGTGTTACCGGTTCTGTGATAATGGTTCAGGTACATTGTCAACAATGTCACGTTGCAACGATGCTGATAGACTTACGCCTCCACGTAGATCTTGAATTTCTTCGCGTCGTGAAGCGCGCTGAGTCCCTCCAAATACTTTGCAAACGGCGGGCTCAGCCGGTCATATGCTTCATATCCGCTCGCCCAAACAGTGTCCCCGCCATTCTCGGGAAGAGTATGTATCTTCAAGATCGCGAAATCCGAAGGGACTGGCTCGAAGGTGATGCTAGATGAACACGTCTACGTTTAGTACATCACGGTGATTGCGATCAGCTTACTCCGAGTGCCATTCCCGACTCGCGAACTGCGAGATGTCGAGCTCATTTTCCCATTCCTTCTTCCTATAGCATGGTGAGTGAGATAGGGTGAAATGGATGACTTTGACTGAGACGCTCACTTGTCCTTTAGCGAGGTTATGACAGATATCTCGAGCCCAAGTTCTGGCGAAGGCTGAGTGGTGGGATGGATATGCAATCCTGACTCCTTAGGACGACCAGACAAAATGCCGAGCTTGTTTCCCAGCTTCATAGAGGAGTCAGCATGCTGCAGATAAACAAATCGCGCAAACGCACCAGCTTCTGCTGCTCGACAGTGATATCCTGGTTCCTGAAGAAGGCGACGTTTCGCTGTGAGACTATCGGGTAACGATAAGCGCATGCCGCCATTGTGATGGATTCATATCGAACTTACCGATAATCGCAAGCTCTCGGATGAGTTCGTCGGCATTCTCGGCGTTCAGCAGATCGCTGAGCTGGACGTTCGGGTACTCGCGTCCAAGCACAGATGTAAGATCGACGTATTCGTACTTGTCCAAGGCACCAGTTGGGATCAGCGGCACCGTCGATGTGCGCACCGAAAGCGAGCCAGGAGTCTGGGACTCGGCGAGTGTGGTAGTTTGCGTGCTCGACATAGTGACTGTTCCCGATTATGGACGACGAGGACTGACTTGTGCGAAGTGTACAACTTCATCGCATTTATAGGCCTGAGTGCCATGCTGAATTGATGCCGCTATGTCGCCTCAGCCTCTTATCTATGGCATAAGAGGGTGCTAATATTCCGCAGAGATGTCGCAGGATAGGTGTTGATGTCGAACAGACCGATAACCATTCGTCATATGCATTCCCTCTGCGTTCGGAACCTCGCCTCCTAATCTCCGGGCCGGTGCGGTGCGTTCGTCGTTGCTTGTTGGAAGTCGTGCCGTCTGACCCCCTGTTCCCAAGACCATAATATGACGCCTTCTACGAATCTTCAGCGCAATAGGTCGCAATCCCTGAGACGTGTTGATGTGTGAGCCTGACCTAGTACGAAGGTGTGTTTGCTGCAAAGTCGACAAGAAAACGTCTGCCGATGAAAAGATTGCACGAGCAAGTGTATTTGATGATGTCGTTCTTGCAAAAGTGAGTGTACATCGAAACGATAGGATGTGACACTTACATGCCGTGGCTGCATCCCGGGTGCGTCGTGATGAATGTCGATAACACCAAGTCCCGCGCAGCAGTCGCGCTGGGGTTTGAGTCTCTTGTGTAGAACATCGTGTGGATTCAGGCAACCGATCTGAACACCAATTAAGCATATCCGGACAGCCGTCACAAATGAAGGATCAGACTGCGTGTAGCAACTCGGGCTGACTCACAAGTATGGGACTACGGCCCTCAGTAAGTGGAGCAAATCTGCCAGACGGCATTGACAATGGTATTCCTCATGAAAGAGAAGGATCATCTCTGTGCTAGTGGCACGAGGGGCTGAGAATCCCTAGCTTGCATAGTCAAAACTAGTGGAAATACGAGGAGAAGAATATTAAGCCCTGCCTTGATCTACTGAAAAGACGTGATGGGGGGAAGAGTAAGTCGCTTTCACGAATATCCGTGGGTCCACCACAGCGCCCACGCACCTTCACTGTGTTAAAGACATCGGCATTAGAAATGTTGCGGGCACGGTCGCGGACCACGGAGTCAAAGGTGCCGACCCATAGTGCGTCCTATTGACAGTTCTTATTCACCCAGATGGGAACCATGCATTTGATTACATGCAGGGTCGGACACCGTGGAAAGCCGATGTTGGGGATGAATAGAAGAAATTGCACTGCACTTGGATGAATGTTTCGTCGTCCGTGGACGAAGCGCAGATGCATGCAATGACCCAAATCGGGCTTCGGACCTTTCCTCATAAGACAAGAAATGTCGAGGTGCAGAGGACAACGTGACCGCGCTCTCAAAACCCCATTAGCTTAGTTCTTGGACCACTCCGACTTTCAATTGACCTCGAGGTGGCCCGGTACCTTGGCATCCCGTACAGATCTCACCGTAACATACGTTGAGACTGCGGATGCGTCACTTCGCGGCAAAACTACCATATGGATTTGATGAAACCTTTCTCTCGGCAGCGTAGCTCGCGCTCTCACTACGTTCGGAGTCGGTGGTTCCCAACCACGCGGCCCGATTTTATGCGTATATATATCGCGATGGTCTCTGGGTTTGAGTGCAGGCAATTGGGTCGAGCGCGAAAGCGATCGCATTTACCGAAGAACAGGTGAGCTATTGGTGCTATTGTCGCTATTCCTCGGTTTGTATCACTATTTAGTGCTGCATACCGTGGAGTAAGGAATTCAGGAGCATACTCACATTTGTTTCGCAGTATTCTCCAGGTTCACTTTTATCTGTACCTTCTTACACCAAGTTCGCCATGGAGGTCGCATCTGTGTCAGTTATCTGCAGATACCACTATTAACAACGACTGATCCACACCTCAGAGAGATCAAGGCCAGCGCGGAAGTGCAAGCATCGACCGCAGTGGCAATATCGAACGACGATATTCTCAATGCTCTCAAAGCGGTCGTCCAGTTCGGCCTCTCGCAGATCCCCTACGTCGGCAAGCTTATCTCCGCGCTAGTAGGGGTCCTCTGGCCATCCAGTGGTCCTTCAGTGTGGGATCAAGTTAGGGAAGAGGTCGAAAAGCTCATAGACCAGAAGATCACCGATGCGATCTTCAGCCTGTTGAAAGCGCAGCTCAATGGGCTCGGCGACGCGCTGAAGCTCTACATTAACGCGGTCAAGTCTGGAGGCTCAGCCCTCATACGCACCCAGTTCGTCGCGACCAATACAGTCTTCGTCGCAGCGCGCTCCAGCTTCCAGAACCCCGATTATCAATGGGTCCTCTCCCCGCTTTTCGCGATCTTCACCCAGCTGCACATGACACTCCTTCGCGACTGCGTGCTCAACGGCGAGGACTGGGGTTGGACGTCTGCCGAGTACCAGACGATTGTCGATCAGGCGTCCCAGGCGACGAAGGATTACATTGCCTATCTCGACAAAGTCGTCGCCGATAAGGAAGCCGATCTGAAGAAAGGAGCACCTAGCAGCCCGGGGAAGCACAAGACGGACATATGGCAATATTGGCAGGCGTTTAACCAGCAGAAAATCGTCCTGATCGACGATTATCGCTTGCTCCTCGTCTATCTCGACCCCGTCACGCATCCGAAACCAACGTCTAACATCCCGTTCAAGGACGTCTACAGCCGGGCCTACGGAACGGCCGATGACTGGGATGCGACTGCGAGCGGCTGGGCCAGTTCAGTGACGACGCCATGGGGCAAACCTCTTGCAAATATCTCCAACATCAAGATCGAGCTATTCAACTACACCCCTCGCGTTGTCGACGTCAACTATCCAAAGGGTGAGGGTCCCGCACTCTGGGGCTCCGAGACGGATCGCAAGGATACTACTGGCATCATCGCTAACTACCAGGGTGGAGTTGAGAAGTACACCGTCGAAATTCCTCGTCCTTCGTCAGACAAGACGTACAACATACAGAAGGCGTCAGTGAAACAGGGTAGCATTCCGCTGAACGTCACGCTCACGTTGGACGACGGCACCGAGAAGAACCTGTGGAACCGCACGGATCTTGGTGGACAGACATACGTAGTAGAAGTTCCTGGGCGCATGCTCACGACGTTCAACATGTGGACGCGCAGCTGGTATTACAACAACGATCTTGGCTGTATCATTTTCGGGTTCAGCCGCGACCCGAAGGCCGTGCCGCCGCAAGCCTACGATGCGTTCTACGTGGGCGCGATCGGCGAGCCGGAGATTCCAGCGACCTACTCCGTTTCTTCGCAAGTCGTCGAACGGCGTCTGGCGTTCTGGAGCGAGGTCGACGCCTTGAAGCCGTAAGAAAGGCGACCCTATCCATGTAGGTATGACCCATCGTTGACTTTGTCGTGTCTTGCTCTAATGGACACCTGGGCAGCGAATGAAGCGATTGCGATACGTACAATTGACCGCACCGAGGTTGAGATTGACGGACAATGATTTGGAGATGGAAATCGGCTAATTTTGGGATTCATTCGAGTACCGCGCTTACCTTGTACTTGTATACCTTGCTGAAAGAGAGCTCAAGCTTGACTTGATGGCGTGACCAGCGTACTATCTCACCGCCAGATGCGGGCTGAAAGCGTCGTCGAAGCTATGTACATGATGCATGAGGCGGCCGATGCTGAAAGATTAGGCGCCCGTCACTGAGCTCGGGAACATGATATGAAGGGCGCGTTACTGTTTACATGCTGAAGATCCTTGCCGCTAAGAACTGTCTGTAATGAAACTAGTCCGAGATTATCACCTCAAGAACGAGAATATCTGAACATTCCGCAGGGACGTTGGCGGCCAACGCACGCTGAATTCAACTTTTATATCCGAATCTCGAAATACACCAACCCGAAATTTCATCACCGAGATCGCCGCCCCGGATGGATCGATGGTATGGGAAGACAGCCAGTCCCGGGATCCTGCCTGACACCCCGCAACTAGCCGTCAGCAGAGAAAGCTAGCAGCCTTGCTTTGAAGTATGGGACTTTTGTTCTTCTAGCAGGCGGTGCACCAAAGTCAGCGGGCCCAAACTACACCTGTGCTGAGCTTCATGATGCCATTAACGCTCGCGGCCCCATCGCTGGGCGCCCAGAACGAGAATGACACACGCGCATCGGAATAGAGCACAGCTCGTACAATAAAGCCATGTTATCGCAGCGAGATGAGTGTGCGGGTCCTTATGAGGCATTGTGCTTGTTCTATTCATAGTACTTGCGTACCTTGCCCCGCAGACCGTGTTATATTGAGCAAGCATTCTTCTCCACAAACCTATTCATCCTTTCGATCGGCATTATCGCAGAATGACTACTCTAAAACATACTACACCCATCCTGTCAGACGCCTCCCGAAGTAGGAAGTAGCATTCACCAGAGATACAAAGTCGAAGAAAGCGGTGGAGATCAGCGATCCGTCACGCGGTCGAGGATGCCACATCATGTGGAGCTCTGAGACAGTATCACGGAGCTTTTGCCAATAAGCGAATGCTTGGGCAGCAGTTGGTCTTTGGCTGGGATCAGCAATCGTCATGTATGCTATCAGCGGGAGTAGGAAGTCGACGTTTGTGAATTTCTACCACGCTATGAGCATATGACCATTGACAGTGCACGCAATCGCAACGCACCCCAAAGAAGGTATGTAAAAAGAAATTTCCGACGATGAATACGTCCACCTTGAAAGGATCGTACGGAACATCGTCGGACAGTTCAGGAACCTCTTGATCCCGCCCGAGAGTCCCGACTACGAGCTTTTGATCTGCGTTTGGAGGAAAGTACACCGATATGCCGTAGTCGATATAGTAGTACTTGACATTGACGTCAGCTCGTCGCAAGTGGGGGGCAGCCGTTGTTACACCATCAGGGAAGAAAGATTCCCTGATTGGATGGAAGCCTTGAGGATACATAGCATGTGCGTCCATCATGAGATTCTTGTATGTGCAGTCGCTATAACAGAGATACCTGAGCATAGCGTGGGCTGAAACGATATTACACTCACCGGTGTGCCACTCCATGCTTGTGGAGGAAGACAAGGCCCTAATACTATGTTCAGGATCCTGCTTCGGCGCAATCAGTCAGCAACGCTCACCTCCATAATCTGGTCAACGCAGTCGACCATTTCTCCAACTAGCGCGAAAGGAGGTTCATCAACGAGACGCAGGAACGGCATAACGATGTATGATATATTCTCATCCTCTGCATCACGGAAGGTGTCTAGGATGGGAACGGAATGGTTTTCGGGGTCATCCCGCAAGGGCGGAGAGGAAAGCATCGTTGCGATCTGTGATTCATCGTCACCAGTTTGAACACGTTTGATATAGACAAGCTGCCCGTCAGCAATTCTGGTTGCATCGACCAGATGCTCTCGGAACTGTAAAGAATCAGTATGGACGAGGTGGGCAGATGATCGTTGCGCACCGGAAGTGTCAACGAATCCTCGAAAAAGATCGGAAATCTTGCGGTTCCCCTCCACGAAGGCACCCAGCCTGGACGATACCTAGGACGCAACATGTAACCTCGAGATTCAAGAAATGGCTGCCGGTCCCTCCAGCGTATCTCGAAACTGAGTAAAGAGGCAAATATGTCGCCATTGGGCTGGGGCTGCACTGCTGAAGAGCTCCATTCGTTGGAGGTGGGAACGTGAGACATCAGCGCAGGAGAGGACTCTACAGGCCTTCAGCGGGCTCGCTGGGGGACTCGGTTGACGGTGGACACGCCTCCACCAGATCATGTCATATATACCCAGGATCATCAAACATGGACCCACAACATTTAAACCCCGAGAGTGCGACTCGTACGGCCAAAAGCTGAGCGCTGAGCGCTGATCGTTTGTACCTCTCCAGCCGGTAGACGCCGTTTGACAGAACGACGGCATCCTTCAAACTGATGCTGCACGCGGCAGGGTATTGTGCTTTCGACCGTATGATCAGAAAATGGCATCTGTCACCCTGTTCCCAAAGGAGTCATTGTGTCACTTATGTGTGCATGCGCTCTACCATTGATTGCAGCAGCAGCAGCGATTATATCCGATCAGTCCATGGTCGTGAGCCGAACAAAACTCTGCCTGCTCTCGCGGTGTGAGAATATTTCTCAGATAAAAGATGTCTAGCATTCACGAATCAGCATTCCTTTACGCACCAATTGCCTACGGACTGTTGTTCCAGGGATATTATCAAGTCGCAGTCCCGATATGAAGTAGTTATCAATTATCATCGACAGATTGCGGTGGGCTAGCTGTAGATTATGGCATACATCGCAGGATTTGTTGGTTTCGAAGCCACCTCCAGAGCCGCAGGTCCGTGAGATCAATACCTTAGGCGGAATCTAAGTAATTTGACAGTCCGAGAACGGTTGAAGCGCAGAACAAATGCGAGAGCGGAGCGATGCACAACACCTGCCACCTAGCTTGCAAGCACAAGGAGAGCCAGACTTCCGCGAATGCGGAGAGCATCGAAAGCCACAGAAACGAAGTCAAGTAGACGTCGTAGTTGACCCGGTTGTGGCGTCGCGATCACAAACGTGAGATAATGATCTCCGTGATCGTTGATGGGATATTAGCCGTGCAACAGACAACTCCCGTCCCAGCTTTGTTGTCTTCACCTTTCCTCCCTCTCCTTGTCGTCGTTCAGTTCTGCAGCTATATCATCGCTCCGTCTGTTGTGTCGTACGTCAAGCACTGTGATGGGCCTTTTCACGATCATCCGGAAGAATCGCCAGAAGGAGAAGGAGATGCGGATCCTCTTCCTGTACGCGGTCCCAGTCATTCTTGCGGATATTATCAGACGGCTCGCGCTGCAGAGGACTCGACAACGCGGGCAAAACGACAATACTGAAGAAGCTGAATGGGGAGGACATTAGCGGCATTAGCCCTACCCTCGGGTTCAACATCAAGACGTTTGTGCATCGCAAGTGAGCCAGCTCGCGTCGATATTCGAGGCGTCGCCTGCTGAAGGCTGAGGCTTGGCGTGCAGCTACACTTTGAACATATGTGCGTGACATGGAGGGTATACACACAGGAGGCTGAACGCTCCGCAGGGGACGTTGGCGGCCAGCGCACGCTTCGGCCTTACTGGCGGAATTATTTCGAGCAGACGGATGCGCTCGTGTGGGTCGTCGACTCGAGCGATCGGATGCGCATGCAGGATTGTAGGGAGGAGCTCCATAGCTTGCTGTTGGAGGACGTGAGCCTCGCCATTGCTTATCTCTGTTTTGATTGGCACTGAAGACGTTGCACGCAAATGTAGCGACTTGCTGGTGCATCGCTGCTCATATTTGCGAACAAGCAGGACCTGCAAGGCTCGCTAACGAGTGCAGAGATCCGGAACGTGCGTGGCTTTGTTACAGTGAATGTCGTGCGAGCTGCCAATGCTGATCCCGAACGATGCTCTTGTATTCTTGCAGGCCTTGGGCCTCCTCTCGATCAAGTCGCACCATTGGAAGATCCTCCCATGCAGTGCGGTGACGGGTGAAAATCTCGTCGAGGGTCTCGACTGGGTGGTGGACGATGTTGCAAGGAGGTTATATTACTCAACGGCAATCGGAGATACAGCGCCACACCCCACGTTCAAGCCTGCCACTATATCTGTGTCATAATTTGCACCATCATTACAATGTGCACTCACGAGACCATCTAGAAGGCTGCCGCCCACCTACTTTCATGCCGTGCCCATTTCCCCGCGTCTAGTTGGCTATATCTTGCGTGTTTACCGGTCTCTTCTGACGTTTCGTGTGCTCATGATCAACCTCTTCAACATGTATTGGAATATCGCACCACCGTCTCGATGTCTAGGTCTCGGTCAACATTATACTTAGGGTGCAACGAAGGGGTAGCCAGGTGAGGATCGCAGAGGTAAGCTGACGAGAACTAGTATCGGTTATCGAATTGAGTTTTGATTCCTTCGAAACCTGTCATGCAAGTACCTTCATTGCGTAAGCCAATCCAGCGAGAATGGAACTCCTGCACTGACGAGAGCACCAAAAGAGGAAGGCGGGATGCCATAAAGGGCCGAAGGAGCTATGACGTTTGACCGGTCGCGTCATTGGCAACGCAATCACTCTCCTTCTCGCCGCTCATACATAAATGCCAGTACACGCGCAATGTGTCCTCGAAGTGTTTGATCCAACTCCCCACCCTGTCCCCCACCACCTGCACCGACGATGAGCTCTTTTCTCCCCGACACTGCCAACCCCGCGACTCTCCTCAGTCGCCGTTTCCGCCCAGAAAGCATCCCCGACCTCTCTGGCCGCGTTGCCATCGTCACTGGCGGCTCCGCTGGCATCGGATACTACGACGCCCTCGCCCTCGCAAAGGCAAATGCGCGCGTGATCATAGTCTCTGCGAATGAGGAGCATGGCAAGCACGCTGAGGCGGACCTGAACAAGGCTCTCCAGGAAGCCAATTCCGCGGGTACCGTCGAGTGGCACGGCGTCGATTTTGGCAAGTTGGCAGAGGTGGACGTGCTTGCGAGAAAGCTCGCACAGCAGGAGAAGCGCCTTGATATTATCATCTGCAACGCTGGCATCGGGCAGGCGCCGCATGGACTAACGAATGATGGGCTTGAGCGGCACTTTGAGGTGGGTTGCAAACGAATACGCGTCCAGTGATGATGTTCACGGTTCTCTTAGGTGAACAACCTCGCGCACCACGTCTTCGTGCTTCGTCTTCTCCCTCTCATGAAGAAAACCGCCATGATCGCCCCTCCCGCGACGGTCCGCATCGTCATGCAGAGTTCCGAGATGCATCGTATGGCACCGAGCACAACCAAGTTCCTCTCCAAAGAGGAAATCAACAAAGATGGCGATGGAGTGATGCTTTACGGGCGCACCAAACTCGGCCTCATATTCTTCGCGCGCGAGCTCGTCAAGCGCAAGCTCGCGGACCTTCCTTCCAATCGGCCCGTTCTCGTCATCTCTGTGCATCCGGGCGCTGTCGACACTGATGTCCAGAAGGCGTGGTCGGAGTCGTACGGCGTGATCGGCAAGGTGCTCGAGGCGCTGACACGCGCGGCTGGCAAGAGCGCTCCGGAGGGAGCAGAGGCCAGCCTATGGGCGGCGACGAGTGCAGATATCTCCGAGGAAAACTGGAAGAATTTCCAGGGCAAGTATTATTCCGAGCCGTATGGGAAGCCTGACCAGGAGAGCAAGCTCGCTAAAGACGACAGCATTTCGGCGAATTTCTGGAACCTGTGCGTGAAATTGACGAAGGAATTGCTTGGAGAGGACTTGCAGTGAACTGGAGACGATGTTTTCGCATGGAATCAGACTCTGGAAGTATAATGGAACGGAATGTATTATGTATTGTTGTTCACAACGCATGAGATCCCTGTATGAATACACTCCTCGGTAATTATGTCCTGGCCGATGTACAGACGTAGAATTCGCATACTTAATCCAATTGACTCTTTGTCTAGTTTGGGAGGAATCGGATTCCTTGCTTGTTCGGTTGCTGCAAGAAATCATGAAGGGCCTCGCATTACCGTAAGCATATGTATGAGAGAACATAGAGGCGCATCGCCGAGCATCAAGACGTCAAAAAGCCTACAGCAGAGTGGAGCAAATAACGAAACGAATAACTACTACGTGGAACAACTACCTACTGGTCCTCCGTAACCAAGTCATCATGCATCATGAAAGCGGACCACCGTCTTACGAGCCCTCCGCTGGCTTAGGCGCATCCGAAGAGGGCACCTCGCCGTTCGGGCGTCTCTCACCGTTGCTGTTAACGTTGTGATGCGGCGGACCACCTCGTGTGAGGCCCGCGCCCGCCAATCCACGCGCAGCGAACCCTCCGCCTCTCCCGCCGCGGAATCCTCCCCGCCCGCCATACCCTCGTCCGGGACCGCCGTTCTCGCCCGTACGCGACTCCTTGTCGGTCGCCTGCTTCACCTCGGGGATCGTATCCTTCAATTTCTGCAACGCACGATCGGTCAGACGATGACCGATGCAAGAGGATTGGGACCGACTGACCTCGCCGCTGTGCGTGAGCCCGGCCTTCATGGCCGCCTCGTCGCCAAACTCGATGTACACGATCTTCTTCTCCCGCCCGGCATACGTCGGCGGATAGTTGACGCGCGTGATCTGCATGACCGGGTCGCTTCGCTCAGTGACACGATCCAGAAAAACCGCAAAAAATACTCACGCCCGCCTTTGCATCGCCAAAGAACTCGCGCACCTCCTGCTCGTCCGCGGACACCTGCAGCCGCATAAAGATCGTCCACGGGTTCCGTGGAGGCCGCCTGCCCGTCGGCGTCCGCACCCCCGTGCTCTCCGTCGCCGGAGACGTCACACGGTCCTCTGGCTTCGCCTCCGCACCCACATCCGGCGTCGCCTTGCCCGACTTGATCTGATGCCCCGTCGGGCTGCCAGCGCCCTCGGGCACCGGCGTCGCGGGCTTGCTCCCACCGTCCTTCGCCACGTCGCGCTCCGCCCTCTCCTGCTGCTTGCGCTCCTTCTTCCGTTCCTTCTTCCGCTCCAACTTGTCTGCGCCATTTGGCTTTGCATCCTTCGGCGTCTCCGGTGCGGATGGGGATGTGGACGCGTTCGGTGGGGGAGTCGACGGTTTTGATTTGGGTGCGAGGTGCGGTGGGAGGGGCTTGTCAGACGTGATCGGTGTGCCGGCGCCTTTGGTGGTCGCCGGTGTGGCGCCTGTACCACTGCCTGCTCCAGCTGCTGCTGCTGCTGGCAGAGCGGACGTCGCAGAGCCTGGTGTGGGGACAGCAGGCGTTACCGTGCGGCGATAGGCGTAGTTGAAGCCTGGGCGGGTTTTTTCAGCTCGAGCAATGCGCCACACGACCATGACACTCACCTTGGCTCTTCAGCTCCGCGCTCACCCTTCCATCCTTGATGTCCAGTACGAGCGAACCATACGCGGCGTCACACAAGTTCCAATTCCAGCAGTTCTTCCATGCGGGCTCCTCTTGACCGATCTGTCCATTTGGTCCGGGCTGATGCGTCGGCGGGGGTATACGCTCGATGACCGACAGCGCTTTGTCCAGGAGCACACGCTGGTGCTCGTCGATCACCTGGTCCACCTGCGACTTGACGCTCTCCCAGACCTTGTCGAAGCCCTCCTTGCCGAGGAGTAGCTTGTGGCGCAGGCCCTCAAAGTCGCTCTGCACGCTGAACTCGTTGTATGAGGACGCGTACCGGAAGTGGAGGCCGGCGGAGATGGTGAGGTCCGCCTTGAGCACGAGGCCAAGCTGGTTGATGATGCCTTCGCGGCCCGGGCTGGTGTGTGTGACGAGCATGCGGGTCTCGGTGGGATCGAAGACACGCTGTGAGGTGTCGACGAGCTCACCGATCTGCAGCGCGGTCGTCCACATGGTGCCCTGGCCGCCGGCGATAGTAGCACTGCCATCGCCGTTGTCGAACATCTTGTGCGGGACGAGCGCGCCACCGATGCCGAGCAGGCGGAGCTTGACGCCACCAATGTCGAGGAGGCGGGTGGTGGCTTCGTCGAGAATGTTGAGGTTGTCGATGTCGTACTGGCCTGAACGGAATTTTTCGAGCACGGCAACGTCCTCGCAGGCGCCCCATACGGTGTACACGGGCACATGGAGCTTGATCTGGCCGGAGAGGAGAAGAGGAAATTCGGACAACAGCGAGATTTGGACAGTGGAACGTATCGTAGCGGCGTTGTTTTCTGGCGCGAGAAGATGATTGCGCTGCGCAGTGGGTATGAGTGGCGAATACATGGTCAGGTGGCGGAGCGTCCTGTCGTTGATTCTCTCAAGGCTGGATGCCTCTGCAGGGCGCCATCAGCGCGTCGCAACGCGTACAGCTGGACAGCATACGCACCGAAAAAGCCAAAATCGCCAGTGTGGATGATGGCAGATGCATTCGCTTCTCGTGCAAGATCGTTCAGAGCAGAAAGACGGCCACGAATGTCGGCGAGACACAGCAGGCGACCATGAGACGAATCAAAGACTTTTGTCTGCGTGTTGACCTGGTGCTGGGGAGGACGAGGATTAGGAGAGACAGCAGGATGGGTAGAGGTGGATGCAGGACGGGATGTTGGCTGCATTTTGGTGTGGCGGGGGTGGGAGGGAGATGAGAGGCGACAGGTGGCCAACGGGTCACATCAAAATTTGGACTTTGTGACACGCGTGCTGATGCTGATGGCATGACGGAGTTTAAAAATACCATATTAAGCAACTACCAGCCTATAAGAGGCAGTTTTGTGATGAATACGCCCAACCTCGCGGAATAAACGTGTTTGATGTGACCGTGACACGGACGAATCTGCAGCGCAATCTCGGGCGCCTGCCTTGGCTGAGGCCACTTGGCTGAGGTGTTCTGCTGCTGCGAACTTGATAAATGTATGCGTACAATAAAGCTCATTTTCAATGAACTGGCATTTCTTCTGACATTCAGAAATGTCGTCTCGGAGGCTTTCTCGTACGACCAGCCAGAATTGCATGCGGCTTTACCGCGTGCCACCACCTGCCCTCGATTATTATTGCTCATGCATGATGCTGTAACCGACCAACTCGGGCTGCTCAGATCTCAAGTGCACGTCTGTTCTCGTCTATTCCTGCGGTTGCAAAGCGGACGAGCTCAACGAGCGGAATTCGCATCCGGGCTCTGCAAACGCTGTGCTGGCAGGAGGAGTCTCCCATCATTGCATGTCCATTCTTGCTTCCATCTGAACGTCGAAAGTTGTCTCAATGGCGGCTAGGCCTCATTCAATGGCTCAAGACACTATTGGTACCTCTGTTCTAGCCCAGTGTCCCCCAACCGTCTCTCTAGCTTCACCCATACTCGGCTCGATTATCTCCCTCCCCGACAACCCCCTTATCGCCTACTCTGTATTCACAAGCGCATCCTCGCAGCCTTTGCGCGATCCTCTCAATCTCATAGAACTCGCTCGTCGCAAGATTCTCTCGCAAAATGCGAAACGCCATTTCCTCGATTCGCTGCTACCAAGCGTCCATATTACGAAGGATGTGTCTGCGCTGTATGTCTTTGCGTTCGGTTCCACCGACCGGACTTCCGAGGCACATGCTGCTTTGAATGCATTGCAATTTGACGGGTTAGCTTGTGAGTTCCTTCCTTGATCAAACAGTTTTCCAGAATTGCTACCACGAAGCATGCGGTGTGGGTAGTCCACTGCCTCCGAGCAAGTGATAGGCGCCCACGAATGCATTCGAAATACGATCTTTTTGTTCATGCCTATGTCAATCCTGGAAGGGATCTACTCTCCCTGTCCATTCACGTGTTGCCTTTAAGCTGTCAGCATTCAGGGCGGATATCCCGCTCGGGTGCTCGCGCGGTTTCCGCGACATCGTCAGCTCACCGTCTCCTTGATGCGTCAACCAATTTTTGTTGTTGTGACGTCTACGCACGATGTATTTGTCCTCCAGACTGTGATGATAGCAAATGATAGCGCGGCTGCCAATATGTATTGAGGCTCCAACGTTGGACGTCCTCATCTCTGCATCGCAGTATGAGGTGTTTGGGACTGTAGTGACTGGCGAAAGGCGCACCAGTATCTGACAGTGTTCCATTTGGGTGGTCTACGGGTGGGAATTAGGAATGCAGAGTGCGCCACTCCAAAGGCCACCTTAGCTCGAGTTATCTTGAATACACAGTCTTTCCTATGCAATGCCTCACATGCTAATTCATATCAACCCGCAGCCACCGGGCCCACAAACTTCACCCCATCTGCCATCTATCCATGTTCCGCCAAATGCGCTGACCAACTCACTCCATGCACCGAATGTCTCACTCACGTACCCCGCAACCTTTCGTCTGCATCCTCATCAGCCATCCTCTTCCCACGCAAGCCCCTCCGTCTACCCCTGCATTACCTCCTCAATGCCATCCGCTTACGATTGATCGATGACATCGCCACCGAATCTATGCTCAAGCCTCGTAGTCGACGCGCGACGCGGCTCAGGGACGGCTTCCTTCTCGGTCCTTCTCCCTCAGCATCCGAATCTGAATGGGGCGCAGGCTGGGAGCATCGCGCGCGAGGTCGCCCGCTCATACACGCACATTTGGACGTGCAACTCGCCCAGACGCGCATCGTGATACATCCAATTCTGAGGCCGACGTTCTACCTCCCGCTGCAGTGCCCACTCTCTGTGCCCTCGGGCACGCCGATCACGATTCTCCCTCATGGAGTGCCTGCCTATTATCTCAACACGTACACGGGCCCAACGTCAGCGCTCACGACTCAGTTCGAGGAAGCGCTCCTCGGCTTTGGCGCGGGCGATTGGAAGGGCGCACTGGATATGAAGATGCAACAGAACGGGGTTGGTGCATCTCAGGTGGATCGAAAGGTTATGTATGTGATTGCGTGGCTTGCGGTGCAGAACAAGCAAGGCGAGGACAAGGGTACGCCGATTATCTGGCCTATACGCCTCTGTCTTGCGTACCACCCCAACTCGCCGTCCATACATGCGCGGACACCCCTCCCATACGAGCCTGAACTTCCTGCACAGTTACAAGCATCCCCGCCTCCCCCCTCTGTCACAATCCCACCCACCCTCGTTGCTTCAGCAGCGAACGTTGCGACGCCCTCGTCCATGCCGGAGTCCGAGCAGCTCGTATCGCCGATCTTGCGTCGTCCGCAGATGCATACATATACGGTTTCGCCGGCGTCGGAGAGCCTGCAGGCTTTCCGCAACCTAACGCTTGCAACGAGGCCGTACTTGCGGGACGTGCAAAGGGTCGCGGTGGGAGCAAGTGCATATGTCGATTCGGTTTCGAAGGAGCGAGAGAGAGAACGCGAGAGGTTGAAGCGGGAGCGGGAGAGTGCCGGGTTGAGGGCACGAGGGCCAGGAAATAATGTTTCTATCTCGACAAGTGTCAGTATTCCCCCGGAGTCAACACCTACTATTCCAGAGGTGCTACCATTAGCGCGACCAGTGACGCCAGTCCCGTCGGTTGCTGAACGCCTGGAAGAGCCTCAACAACCACCACACGAACCCGCAGAAGAGACTGAGGAGGCCGCACCCCCGTCATCCGAGGACTCTTCCATCAATTCGCTCTTCTCACCTCCAGCAGATGCCTCTCCCTCTCCGCCCATCGAAGATGAGGAAGAAGAAAAGACTGGCGATGTGCAACCCAACAATCCTGCAGAGGCTCAGATGGATGTCGATCTGACCGAACCGCTCGTTGGACCTTCTCCAACTGAGCCGCCCGCGAACGTTGACAGAGATATCGTGCCACCTCTAGACACCTTTGCTGACTTCGACAATTCCTGGCAAGCTGGAACCAACGACTTCATGGATGTCGATATGTCGTCGTATGACATGGAGGGCTATAACATAGGCATGAACATGGGCACGCGTGGCGGCGGCGCCTTCGATATAGATATGGACGACGGGTTCGGCGTCTTCACGGATGACGACTTCAATTTCTTCGATGCACCCGCCGCGCAATCACATACGCCCATCGTATCCCGATCCTCAACCTTCAACGACCAGGGTATGAAAGTTGAGGGTCTGATACCAGCCAGTGGAGCAATGCAATTGGGCTTTTCCCCTCAGCGGATGGGTGAATCAGTACATCTGTCGGGTCCGGGGCCGCCTTCAGTTGAGACGACGCAGCCATCACCATGGCCGCACCATGCTGCCGGAGAGGGGCTCACGCCCAATTTGGATGAGCTGCTGCCCGCACCCGAACTGCTTGCCCCATCGCCAACGAAGACGTCTACGACACAATCTGCTCCCGCCACACCTACTGTCCAGATTCTCGACCAACACGGTGTCCATGCAAGTCATAAAGTCAGCCCGTATGCCTTGGGACCGAGCGACTTCGACCCTATCCCGTTCGCACCCAGCCATAAACTAGCCGACAGCAAGTATTTGTTTGGAAAGTTCGCGCTGCCCAGTCCTCCCGATAGCGAAGACCGGCTAGAACAGGTGTACTTCCCGTCTTCTGCCCCGTCTGTCATGAGCGGGTGGAAGTACAAATACAACCTTGCGACTGACCCGAGGATCGGGGTCGTACGAAAGTTGATTGGGATTAAACGGAAGGGATTGGAGCATGGCGTGCGTGAGGTGCATTCCTCGCCATCATGGGCTAGGGAATATGAGGAGTGGGAGAGCTGGGCGCCGTCACCGACTTTGGAGAACTCAAGGTCAGACATAGATTCCGACGAGGACGATGGATGGATGGATGACGATGATGCAACTGCATACTCGCGGCCATCGACACCGCCACCATCATATCTGCCGCTCGGTCCAACCTTGTTACAGACTCAGTTCCATCACGCCCGCCTCTTGCCGCTATGCGCACCATTAAGGCCTCCAGGGTCAGCCGGTAGCAATATAGGCAGCAGCGCAGTACCGATATCCGTACCGACGCCTGTCTCGCCCGCTGCCATCATGGGGGCTTCCTCGGAGAGAGCAAAGTCTCTTGAGGCTGCCGCCAAAATGCTCGTGAAGGAGATTGTAGAGAACGCCGTGTGGGCAGACGCCTGGAGGGTCAATTTGTCCGCGTCCGGTACTTCTGTGAGGACAGCTACGGATGTGTGGCAGGCCGATGTTAAGGGTGTTATGTCTCTGTTAGATGGCACTGGAGCGATGCAATCGCCTATCAGCCTCCGCGCATTGTCTCATCCCGGTATGTTTCTCCACAATCGATTTGTTTTGTGCTGATTTGAAGTAAGCAGGGCATTCCATCCCTGTGGACGTCTCCGATCGCACGGCTTTCTGCTTGTTAGAGCCGCCCATGCTTAACGTCGAGAAATCTAACGCTGTGATCCAAGTCATGCCATCTGCGCTACGGTTTTGGGAAAAGCTTGGCCTTGGACCCCGTGCTGGCAAGAAGGACGTCACTGCATATGTCTTCTTCGAGGCTTCAGGAGACGAAAGAGAGGATGAAGTATGCAGGTGGCTGGCCAAGGTCTCTGCGACATATGCGGTAAGCCCCTCGGCCTGTAGTGAAGCGGCCATCATTACCAGATTTTGATGATGTTTTGCATCAGGCTAGGAACTATGGAATACATATGCCCGGAAGTACAAACAATCCATCGAAGCCTGGCCTGGTCCCAGTACGTTTTGAGGAACTCAAAAAGTCACTGGGTCCGTGGTTCGTGTCGTATTGATGCCTCACCATTACTCATCCTCTTTTAGCAAACTACGTTGCAACTCTACCTCGTCACCCCGGAACATACCTTGTTTTCTATATCATCACACCACCCTCTGTCATGGCTCTTCGTTCTACGGTCTTGCGCAATTTTTTCACGGCAGTGAAACGTGCAAATAAGGCGCACCCCGATACAGACGTGCTATATCATTTTGCCCCGGAGACTCTCATAGCTGATGAGTATGGCGATCCCCGCTTGCTTCATAGAGGATTGGAAGCATTCGTCGCAGATGTTTACGATCGAATCCTCCAGCCTGTGGAACGTTCCATGTCACGTAGGTTGTTTGCACACAGCATGCGCATTCGGACGAGTCTCCATGCGCCTGCATTTGCGCTTGCTCGTCCAACTTCGGCAAGTTCAGCGCGGAATACTGAGCACGTCCCTCACGTAACGTTTGCTTTCGAGTCGAGACCCAGCTCTCTCGACGTGGTTGACAGGCATACCATGCTGCACGCTGCCTATACGCTGACGCCTTGCGGGCGATGGCTTGTAGCGGCATGTGTAGACGAAAGGGGAGAGGAAAGTGCCGTGGAAGCATGGCTGGTGCCTGAAGAATCTGTCGAGGCGTTCGTCGTCAACCAAGTGTGGTCCTTTGCGCGTAGCTTCGCTGCACGTGCCAATGTGGAATGGAAGCTCGTGGTGGCAAGGATGGGGGTGATTGGAATGAACGAAGTGGACGGTGAGTCAATAGCGTTGTCATTGCGTTGTCTTACTAGTACTGATTTGCTTGCCTAGCATGGATTGACCATCTCGAGAACGTTGTGTCCACCTCGGCCGACATCCCTGCTCTTCACGTCACTCTTCTGACTGTAGATTACGAACAGCCATGGTCGTTCCTAGCACCAAGCCGTGGTCCTCTCACGAAATCCAAATCGCCTCCCGGCTCTGTCTCGGCACGCCTCTCTCCACGCACGCAGTCAGGAGCAGTGATGATCGACACAAGCTCAACGACGTATGCGCTCTTCCCGTCAACTGCTGCTGATCCTACTCTGTGTCTATCTAGCCACAGCGCGAGCTCCGCCGGTGTGCTAAATCGAGGCGCGGCAGATCTGTCGTTTGTCCCCGATTGCGAAGGCGATGAACTTCTTCAACGGCACGTCTATGCTCGCGTGCCTAGCATGAGCAGTCTAATTCATGTCCCCGCGCGGACTGACCATACGACCATCTCGATGGTGAACGTTTATCAACTGCATATCGCATGCTCTCCGAAGTCGTCGTTCAGGCGGCCTTCCCACGCATCAGTTGAGTCGCAGAAAGAAGACGGGGAGACAACGACGGGCGAGGAGGAGCAGACGCTACGTGACGTCATGCATAACTTCCACGCTTTGGCGACATTAGCCCGCGCGAGGTGGGGATCTCGCGATTGTCATGGGCTGCCGTTGCATCTTGTCGCATTGGAGGCGATGAGCATGGCATTGTCGGGAGAGCCTGTGGAGTCCTGAGCGTGTGCAAGCATCCGTGAGTACTGTATTTTGTACCGCCCTTGTTATATTCTGGTCACTGTTTCTACTAGCAATAATTGTTTCTGGATGGAAATACCACTGGATAATCTTATCACTGCTGTTCGCTGATGCTGCGCAATGTACCTATTATTCACTCACCAAATTTACTACAATGCACCACTCCCACTTCCGCACGTGTTCGCAACAGAAGATCCCGACCACAGACGTGAGTACGATGTGGGTACATTTGCTTAACTCCGTAATTCCTTCTTGCTCCTAGCAAATGACTTTGTAGGTTCTCAGTCCTGAATCTCTCCACTCTTAACCTTCTGCAAGTAGTCCTCAATCACCTCCACGATCACTTCATGGTCCTCCTGCATCGTCAGCCCGCTCACCACAATCACACCAATCACACCCTCCACGCCCTTCACGCGCACCGGGAATCCGCCGCCGTGGATGGCATATTCTCCTCCTCGCGCACCCAGTTGGAACTTTGATGCAAACAGCACTTCGTCGCCCCCGTACTTGTTGTGCAGCGCCCAGGTGCTCGCGCCCCAGCGAAGGACGGCACGGCGCTTGCGCGCGACCCAGGTGTCGTTGTCCGGGCCAGTACCCGGCCCCGTCGCTGCGTGAAAGAGGAGCTGGTCGCTGTTGGCAAGCGTGATGTTGATGACTGCTGGCTTGGGCGATGCACGCCGCAGGCGATCGCGCAGCATACAGCCTAACGTCCAGGCGGTGTCAGCTGTGAAGCGACTGAAGATGCAACGCGCCTCCTCCGCGGCGATGCCTTGGAGCTACGACGATGTGTGAGACTGCGTCAGTTATGATAGTTGGGGAACGGACATACAGCGCTTGGTGGGGCACGGATGGGAACGAACGACATGGTCGATGACAACGTCTGAGGAGACGGTAGCTGAGGTCAAGATTTTCAAGGCAATGAAGGCATATATACGGTGCCATCGTCGATACCGCGCAATTAGCTACCACTGGAGTGTGTAAAGTCATTGGGTAATAATTGAACCCGTGGGTTATAATTATTATCCAACGGCTCAATATTATTCCAACAGACTTTGTTCGGCTTTTGCCCAAGGAAGAATCGTTACTTGCGCGTAAGTAGTGCTATAGAGCGTGCGGGTAAATAGGTTTGTCGCGGTAGGAATCTACATAAAAGAGGAAACCGCGGAAAATTTGAAGGTCCTGTGTCAACAGGATGAGAGTTGGTCCCTCTCGAACACAGCGCTAGTCGGCCCGGCCGCCCGATGAATTAGACCGAGGACTCTGAGGAGGGCATTCGGACGGACGGAAGACCCAAAAAATGATATGGGCCACATCTTCCACGCGTACTTCTGAGAACAAACGTGATATATATACATATGACAGGCACGTCTGTGAACTGCGCATCCTATCCGAGTCATACTCTAACTCTTCAATGCAGCTGCCGCTTTCCCGCAGACCTTACTGGTTCTTCTTCTCAGATGCAATGAAGCCCTTTGGCGGCTCGCCTTGCAGCGGCGACTTGATCCCCGCGAGCGCCGATACACCAAACATCACCGTCGGCACAAGCACGAAAAAGCCAATAAGTAATGAGAGGATGAGGCCGGGCGTAAGCAGCTGATAGCGCGCGAGGATGCCGCCGGAAGGTGGAGCGAACGCAGCAGTCGAGTTGAGCAAGGATGACGTGGACGAGAAGGGAGAAGGAAGCTGGCGAGTATGCACGGCGGGATGCCAGCCCGCGTAAACGACGAGATGCTTTGGGAAGGACTTCGCGAGTGAGGCAAGTGAGGATGAGAGCTGGAGTTCTATGGTGGAATGACCATTGCATTAGCAGGCATTAAGGTAAGTACGAAAGCGACTGACCGTGCTCAACCATCATTCCCTTCCTCTGCTCACCGTCCACTCCATCAAGCGAAGGCATCCCAATGCAGACAACGTGTTTCCCCTCTCCACTGTGTACGACCTCTGTCTGTCCGGCTTCATGCGAGACCAGTCGCGCGGCACAGCGTTCGGCAACCGCGCTTGCAAGCTCAGAGAAAGGAGGCGAGTTGATTTGAGGCATATATGGAAGCTCCAAAGTAGACGCAGCAACATTGAGGGACTCTACTAATGAGCTTGATGAAGGGAGATTGCGGAGGTCCGATGCGTGTAGCTGTCGGCGAGTCAGCTCTTATAGGACACGATTAAAGAGGAGCCGACACATACACCCAACTGATCAATCAGCACAATAGCATCGTTTCGACAAACATCATCATTCAATAGAATTCTCTCCAAGACGACTCCTGAATCTGCCGACCGCGATGACGACGCAGAGTCGAGGGTGTTCGAACTGTAATCCACGATCAATACAGCGTCTGAGATTAATATGGATGTTGGACCGGCCTGTACGATGACCATGCAACTATCGGATATGTGTTAGAAAATGCATGCGCGGCTGTCGGGAGCAAAGCGACGAAGAGACAAGCTGCTCGTCGTGCCATGACTTGAGCTCAACGACTTGAACCTAGTGGTGGCGGGAGGAGACCAGTTATAAGGCTTTCGGCAAAGTCCGCCTTGCCATGTATGGCAATCAATCAGCACCGGTGGCCCACCCTCCTCTAGATCTGTTCGTTCACTCAAGCGACCACCATCGAAAATCGCATAATTCGACCAGCTTTCTCGTCTTGAAGACATGTCGCAAGCACAAGCAGCCATTCCTCCACAGCCGCGCGCGAAGCAGCTACGCGCATGCCTCTTGTGCTCCATTATCCAAACACCAGCTGATTTCCGGAAGCACGGCTGCCCAAACTGCGAGGAGCTCATGCAGGTGCGTGATGCTGCTCTCATCGAATCCTTTGCCGTCTGCTCATGTATTATCTCTTACTCTCAGATGAAAGGATACCCTGACCGCATCCAGGCGTGTACGACGACGCACTTCGATGGCGTGATTGCTGTCATTGACCCTGAGCAGAGCTGGGTAGCTCGGTGGCAACGAGTCTGTGAGTAATCAGCTCGCTTAAACAGGCGTGTTTGCTTATTAGGTTTAACGATGCTTAGCAAAGTACGTCCGTGGCATGTATGCCGTGCGTGTCAAGGGCCGCATACCCGAGGACGTCGAGGCAGAGCTCGAAAGCCGCGGCATCAAATACCGCCCAAGAGATCAGTCCGACCAAGACTGAGACACCAGCTTGTTTCCACTGTCTCTTCATACCCGCATTTGTCTCGTCGGTTCTCGTCCTTCTTACATGTATTTAAGGTCTAGTCGGCTCGCTCTCGTTCGCAATTGTAATGTTAGCTTCGCAACGCCATTTTCAGCTCGAAGGGACCTGACGCCGCAAAATGCCTTGACGATGGTGATGTCCGATGCTCAACTGCAATGTTCCGAGCGTGAATCCATCCATATCAATATTGCTCTATATACACTATGCTACAAGCTATTCCGGGTGAGTTGATGTCTACAATCCGTACCAGCGGGCTCGTACTGTAAAGAAGGCGCAACTGCGGAACAGAATCCTCCACTAACTTCACTAGCGAATATAACCTACAGTAAATCATGCAAAACCCGATCATATTGGTGCGGCAAATGCGAACTGAGCATGTCCCGTGCGAAGACGATTTGCCCAAAGGCCTGCGGGACGTCTAACACCTCGAACAGGCGTACCTTCTGCTCACCGCTGCTGGGCCCCTTCAGCTTGCCATCGGCGTCCCGCAGGCGGTGGGCGGGGTGCAGATCGCCGTCCCGAAGAGCCCACCAAACCCGGCCGGGTGGGTAGAGCTCGGTCATTTGCATATTGGCTTCAAGCGTCTTGCGCATCGCAATGAACTGCACACGGATAAACTACCAAACTCGATAACGTCAAATGAGCGGACTCTACGCACCCATTCCGTGTCCTCCTCCTTCCCGAGCCCCGATGTCCACTTCAACGCACGTTTGGTAATGGTCGAATATCCTTCATGGTGCGCCTCTTCCGCCTTGCACAGCCACATCGCACACCGCGCGAGGTCCCGCACGCTGCCCAACGCGAGCCGCGAGACGACATCGTGCGAGTGCACAAACGACAGGATCAGCCCTGACTCGCCCGCGATCTTACCTAGGCGCGGAGATGTGAGGCAAGGCGGCGCGAAGCAGTATGCGGAGACGGTGCGGCGCTGAGGTAAGCCAGAACGCCGGTGGGTGAGGCGCGTGTATGGGTTCGCCCACATCTGTGGCGGGTCAGTACGGTTGGCAGATGTAATAAGGGAGGGGTAGCATCTCACCAGTGCGAGGAGGGCTGCGACGCCTGCGCCAAGACTATGACCGCAAAGTACGAGAGCTGGGAGCGAAGTTTACTCACGGATCGAACGTAAGAGCGAGTAAGTTACATACAGTAACCCCGGTTCCGCCTCAACACATCCCGCACCGCAACGTGGACAGGCTTTCCCGGCGCGCCCATCGCTCGCGCCATCTTCAGCATTCCGCCGTGTACCAGGTGGACTGACGTGTCCGTGTCCGGCTCGTTCACCACTGGTGCTGGCCGGTCGTCGACCGTAGCATTCTTCTTGTTAGTAGTTGTTTTCGAGCGCTTGCGAGGCGGCGTAGAGATGTCCATGGGAAACGCGCCGGGAATGCTCTCCAGCACTTCGTCGAACTCACTCCACGCATCGTCCTCCGGTTCCGGCTCCGGCTCCGGTTCTGATCGAGGCTTATGATGCCTGCCCTTTGAGTTCGGCCGCCGTGCGTGCAGCTCAAACGGCGCGGCTTCGCAGGTGAGGTCGACAGCGAGCTCGTTCAGACTCATTGTACCGCGTATGACGAGCACGACTTCCCGTCGGGCATGGTCCGTGAGCACCCAGAAGCGCGGCATCAGGTTTTCAGAGCCAACGTAGGCGGTCGAGGGACGCGCGTGCGTCGCAGGCGGTGTTGGATCTCCAGAGGATGAGGCCTTGGGGTATAGAGCGTCAGAGTTTACGGTGATTCATACCATTGATATACGCACGATAGTTTCCGTAGGACGAGAGTTTGCGGAATCCAGGAATATCTCGTGGTCATGCCGGCCCATTAAGACATTCCACCATGAATATGGCTGCTTTCCTGGCTCGGAATGGGTGCTGTTTTGGCGAGGGTTGGAACGACTGCCCGAAGCTACTTCCACTTCGGACGCGCCTACTGCACTCGCCAGTCTCGATTCCTCCTTTTGTTTCTCCTTGTCGGAAGAGCTGGATGACGCGCCAGATGTATTCCAGGGAACACCAAAGAACAGGAGACTGGGTCCTCCATAACCGGCAAGCACCATCTTGGACAAACGGCGGAGCGTTTGCTTCAGCTGTGCATCGGTCATGCGAGCAGCATCCGAGGAAGAGGACGTGCGTTCCGTTGTTAGCCTCGCTAGATCAGATGTGGTCTCACCGATGTCGGCGGTGATAATCTGGCCACCGTGGCTAGGATATATCACGTCGTTCGTGATATGTACATCTGAGCCGATATTTGTTCGCGCGTGATGTCCGCTGTCACTTTCTGCGCCAACGTCCAGTGGATCATGGACCTCGAGTTCTCGCAGGACCCGGAGCCACCGATGCTCCTGCCATTGACTCGTTACGCCTTGCAGCGTAGCCCAACCTACAAGGGCCTTCATCACCCGGGCAATTCCATAACGCTCTTCCGGGAGCCCATCACTATCAACCGGCTCAGTCCATTCTCTCCGGACAAGTCCAACAAAACTCGCAAGAGAAAAGCTGGCCTCATCGCTCCCAGGGAAGATGGTTGCCAGAACAGATAGAGTAGAGTGCGCAGCAACCAGGGATGTAGACGTGAGAGACTCGCCGATCAGAATGGGCGCGAGCGCGAGCGTTTCGATGGTAGAGATGGCGGTGGATACCGCGCCGCCCAGAAGAGATCCCGCACCGATGCTTCCGCCGAAGAAGGCATGATCCACCGCAGAGCCTGTGAGGTCAGCTGCGGTGGATGCTATTCCCCGTGTGATTGAAAACTGTGAAGTTGATGAGCGGGAATAAGTCCAAAGGCAAGACCTCATACCCCCAGTTTGGTGCCTATCTTGGCGGCGGAGAACCCAATAGCAGTCGCCGTCGATGCGACGTCAAGACCGAGTCGGCTATACTTGTCCCATTTCGGCGCCATAGTGGACGACGCCGACGGTGGGTTTGTTGCGACTACAGAAAGATTGACTTCAAGCTTAAGCTTCACCAGTCATAAGTCGGGAGCCGCGACTTGCTCGTCTGCTGCGTGTGCCACTGAGAATCGTGACAGATCTCGTGATCCACACTACGCGTGATGTCACGCGTTTCGCATTTCCCCCTCGTTTGACAAAATCCATCCTCTCACTAGATTGCCACACAATCTTCAATAATACTTGTGGTCCGTGGACATACTTAAACATGTCCGAGGCTCGACATGACATCGGACGCGTTTCTTCGCATAATATTGGCTCATACATGAGTTCAAGGCAACACATTGCTCATCGACATCATATGGTATTCCTACAACATGCAACCTGTCTATGACAACTCTTGTACTGGGCGATGCACTTGCAGACTGGGACGTATGCTGTTCTACCGGCTTGGGTTGTATACGTGCTACGGCCTTATTGAAGAGCTTCTTGGCTTTTCGGTACGCTCGCCAATCTTTGGATGAGACACAAGCAGCGCATAGCCCAGCGTTTGCTTTGACAAACTTACCGTAAGCTACATGCTCATATTGTATCGCCCTATTTGTCCCTCTGCACCGTATTCACATCACATGCGGTACAGGTATCACTATTGGGGTTAACGAGTGAGCAGTTTTGCTGTTGGCATTCGGGTGTGCTCACAAAATCGCATACTCCGTTGTAGACGGTACTCTTCTACCGCCAAAACTGTGCCACTGAATGCGAGCCGTCTACGATAGTCCGATACACTGTCACTGTTCTCCGCGTACATCTCAACGTCGACTTCGCTACGTCGCGATGCTTGTTGATATGCTGTGCGTTTTCTGACAAATCAAATGTCTCTGAATTACTTGCGGTATGTATTGTATACCGAGAGGATAAATAATCTTTTCATGTCGCGTTGTGAGGCTGCGAGAACCTTATTATACGTGACTTTAGCTCGGATAGCTGTTTAATCAAACTGGCATTTATTTGTGCTCTCCGGTGCTTGTAGAAAAAGACTAAAGACGTACTATCGAACAGTTAATAGCGAATCATAGCGAGAACACGCAATGAGGGCACGAAAGCACTCATAGTACGCATGAAATGCTCTCTGGACTGAACAGAAGGCAGGAAGAGACCGAGAGCAACCAGCTGTGGGACAGAAGTCTCCCAGACCGTCATTGAGTTGTTTGAGAAAACGAGGAAATGGAATGGTAAATTCTTGCCATGAAGCATCGCATATCACCGTATCTGCGAAGAACACAGAAAGAGGAAAGAACTCATTGCGACGAGCCAGTTGTGGACAGTAGTACCTGCAATAAGTGAGCCGTAATGACGTGGAACGGAAAAACGTAGCGGTGTTTATTCAAATGGAAAGGACCAGTGCAGCACGCCGAGTGACTCGGATGCAAGAGTTGAACCATAGGCTTTCCGAGCGGAACCAGCTCGCTGAGAGCGAGAAGAAATGACCGCGAAAGTTCAACGAAGCTGTTTGAAGTCCGCGAACTTGTCCCGAGCAAGGTATCGCGTTGTCTTCGGATATACGAATAAATTGAGCGACTATTACGAACCACCTGTAGCCTGAGCTCCAAGCTCACACCTTCAACCTTCAACCTTCATGGTCTGTGCTTTCGCTATCCAAGAAGTGAAGGCGAATCTATGACCGAGCGCACTCTGATATCGCGAGTATCTCCCGGGGTGGCGACGACTGGCCCAGCAGTTGACTTAATGCTTGACAAATCGATGTTTATATTGCGGGGCAGCATGCCTCAGTAGCGTCCGCCATGATGGGGAAGGAGACACAGAACCTCTGACCGACAGTCGCAGACGGTGAACATTGAATGCCGATCTCGGTTTAGCTCGTGGTCACAGTTCTTTTATTACATTTGTGAACCGCCAGGACTAGACGAAGTAGCGGAACGGTCGGAGCAAGGCCGAAGCGGGCTCGCCAGTTCGTGGGCGGTCAATCATGAAGGATCGGGAAGCCTAGGTAGTAAGTAACAGAGGCGGGTTTTCTCGACCAATGTTGTGCTGCATTCATGTCCGCGTCGCCCTAGACTGCGCTTTGGATACGCGTACCACGAGGCGTCTTTGGGTAGGCCAGCGTCAGGAGCTCCGGGCAACTTGCACCACCAAGCGCAGGCCACCGGCGCCCGTACAGTAAGCCCAGCGTCTGCATCAGACCTTACTCGGCAACTTACTTTGCCTGCAGGCTAGCAGGCGGTGCGCATCGCCTCACGCCTTCTCTCTCTCTCTCTCCAACCAGCATCGTTCTACGCTCAAACGTCGACGTCTTGCCGTACTCTCTCGAACATCTCGATCTCAGTCAATTGCCATACACAAGCAACTATGAACAACATCGCGCGCTCAGAAGGTAAGTTTATTTCGCCATTATCCATCCGATATCGTGATGCTATCATGACTCTGCGCAGAATCCGCCATGGATCGCACCGTTCCTGCGGTCGACGACAGTCTTCGCCCTGTCGGGACTGAACCTGGCGCTGCTTCGCGCATCGATCTCTCGTCTGCTTTGGTTGACCCGAATGGAGGGCCCGTGCTCGTCCCGGTCACCACCGATTTATCCACTCCACACGGCGTGGACCTATTTTCTGTCCCGGTGGGCACAGACATAGGGCCCGCCGATGCTCCAGTTCCTGTGATATCATCTGCTGTAATCGGTCTCTTGCCTTCCCAGATGGAACCTGGTGCTACTTCGACCTGCACCGATCTCCCGTCTGCCTTGATTGACCCGAATGGAGGACCCGTGGTCGTCCCGATCACCACTGATCTACCCACTTCATATGGCGTGGATCTATTTTCTGTCCCGGTGGGCACAGACACAGGGCCCGCCGTTGCTCCGGTCACTCTGATATCGTCTGCTGTAGCCGGCATGGACAGGCTTCCTACCAATGCTGGCATCGGTCTCTCGCCTTCCCAGACGGAATCTGGTGCTACTTCGACCCACATAGATCTCTTGTCTGTCTTGGTTGACCCGAATGGAGGACCCGTGCTCGTCCCGATCACCACTGATTTGGCCACTCCCTACGACGAGGACTTGTCTTCTGCCCCGGTCGGCAGAGACACAGAGCCCGCCGTTGCTCCAGTTACTATGATATCATCTGCGGCAGCCGGTATGGACCAGCTTCCTGCCAATGCTGGGATCGGTCTCTCGCCTTCCCAGATGGAACCTGGTGCTATGCCGACCCGCATCGATCTCCAGTCTGCATTGGATGATCCGAATGAAGGACCCATACTCGGCCCGATCACCACTGATTTATCTACTTCACACGGCGTGAACTTGTCTCCTCACCCAGTTGGAGCAGACATGGGGCCCGACGTCGCTCCAGTTACTATGATATCGTCTGCTGTAGTCGGCATGGACTGGCTTCCTGCCAACACTGGTGGTGTCGCGCCTTTCCCACCAAACGAGGGATCCCCGAATGAGGCTGTTGTTCTTGATACGGGCTTACAGGCTGCTATGAACTATGAAGGACACTCCACTGCTATGGTTGACGAAAGCCAACTGGCTTCAATGGTCAATGAAGAAAACCTGGTTGCTATGATTGATCAAGGATACTTGGCTACTACAGTGAATGAAGAACACCTGGCTGCTGTGACTGATACAGGATACTTGGCTACTACTGTGAATGAAGAACACTTGGCTGCTATGATTGGTCAAGTTCATCTGACCACTATGGCTGTTGAGGGACATTTGGCTGCTATGGTCAATGAAGGATGCCTGCCTTCTACAGGTCACATTGCACCTGTCTCCATGGACTGTCCTTCTGCCTCACAATGCATTTCTACCACTGTTGATATTGGAATTTCCCCTCCTTCAGCCAGTGAAGGATTCATGATCAAGGCTCCTGCATTTGATGTGGGCTCTACAGCTTCTACAGTTCATAAAGATTCTCAGCCTGCTATAGCTAGTGATGCATCTTTTCCTGCATCATCCAGTATAGAACATTTGTCCACGTCAGTCTCTTCAGGACTTTCTATCACAGCCCCTGCAGCAGGCCTTCCTGCTGCTGTCGATCAGACCTCTCTGCCTGGTCCAGCGATCATGGGCCCTTTGCCTGTCCCAGCATGGATAGCCCCTTATCTGGCTCCTGAGCTTGTGCATAACATCATGAAGAACTTGACATGGTCAGAACCACGAGCATTGGCCAATTGTGCCCTCACTTGCAAAGCATGGAAAAAGCTTAGCAAAGAGCATCTGTCTGATACAGTGGAGCTAGAAAGTTATGCTGAATTTTATGAGCTGGCTCAAATTATTATCAGCTCAGGTTACATGAAGGGATCTAGCCCTTTGAAAGATTTGATGCTTTTTGAGGATAGTGAGAAGCCCTTTGTTCATATTGTGCCTCACATTCTTGGTCATATTTGCAATCACTTCAAGACTCTTGGCATCAGGGATGTCAACTGGCATACTAGGCAACAACTTCATCCCAGCTTCTTCACCTCAGTTGCACAGTTCACCTCTGTCACTGAGATACAGTTGTTAGATTGTCAATTTTATAGCCTTGTTGAATTCATGCATTTTATATGCTCATTTTCTAATCTTAAAACTCTGCAACTGGCTCACATTTCATGGGCTCCAGCGATTGGACACTTTTTGCATGTCAAATCTTTCAGCAGATATGCATGCAGGGCAACACAGCTTAAAATTAGAAGTGATGAAACAAATCCATGGTATCCTGAATGCTTTTATAAGCCTGATTTTCTGTCAGCCATTCCATACTTGTTCAACTCAGTCACAGAGATCAAATTAAAGGATATATCTGATAAACATCCTACTAAAATGCAGACTTTTCTTGGTGCTTTTCCCAAGCTTGCTTATCTAAAGCTGCTCGACATAAAATACTTGTCAGATGGTGATCAAAGCTTAGCTTTGCCAGTCACTTCTGATTTTGTTTCTATTGGGTCTCAGATTCAGCTGCAAACATTGAAGCTTCACAATAATTTTGATCGTTACAACAAAGGTCCTGCTATTATTAGCTGGCTTGTCAGAGCATTGGCTCCTCATACTTTGAAGAAACTTGACCTTTATTCCTCAAAGTTTAAACCTTCAATGGTGGATCATCTAAACAAGATACTAGAGATCTCAAAAGGTTCTATTCAGATATTCAATTTAGATATACAAGGTGCATTTCCAGCTGGTAAGTCTGTTGCATAGCTTAGTGCTAGTAAAAAAATATCTAACCAAGGTGAAACTATAGATAAACAGATAGCTTTGGCCCATTGCATCAACTTAACCAGTCTTTCACTGAAAATATGGAATGGTCATCCATGGAACACTTTGTGGAACAGTGTTGCAAGTACTCTTTCACAGATCACAAGCACTCAGCTTGAAGAGCTGTCTATGACATTTATACCTGATAGAAAGCATTTGACAAAGTCCATGCTTGAAAACTATCTAGAAAATTTGAATGAACATAGTGAAAATCTCATCAATCAGGTCACCAAGCATGAAAAGTTCTCAAAACTGAAAATGGTTTGGATACACTTTGCTCTTCCTGTATATAATGATGAGGAAATAAAGAAGGGTGCAAAACACAAAATAAAAGTTCATATATGCTCTATGTTCACTGCATGGGATGCCAGAGGCATTGTGAATGTTGGATTGTGGTAATTTTCATGACCTTTTCTTATGTAGCTTACAGCTGTGATGCATGTCCTTTTGCTATACTTTCAACAGAAATGTTCACAAATTTGATAATGTCAAGAAAAAGTTGCTGTCCTGTCTAATGTTTTGCCTTTTTTTTTTTTTGAAATATTCATGTTCTTCATTGTTTGATTCATTTCAAGCAGTCTGTATGTTCAAAAGTTATGCTATGCTTTGGTTTGACCATTTTTGACATTAAAGGGTTGTGTATGATAATCAGATATACATATGATTTGACAAGACCCTGCTTGATGAGTGCACTGCTCAATATGATTTCTGTCAGCTCTACTGTTTAAGCCATCTCCTAGGTGGCACGGATATAAATTGTCAGATGTATTCTTCCGGTCAGCCATACTAGGGCTGCAGACCGAGCATCTCGCAGTCCTACACGAAAGATGAGCACCTGCTTATAACCACACAGCAGCAATGTGCACCTCGTTTGTAATCCACTTGAACAGACTCGGCATTCAAGTCTTCATGCACCACCTTACTGATATACATGTTGGAAGTCCAAGTGCAGCATGCACTTAGATACGCACCTGGCGTGCCGAGCACAAAGGTTTTGCGGTGGTGAAACACGTCAGAAGCGGTACCTGGAGACGGAATGAAACACACAGGGAAAAAGGGCAGAAGGTAGCATAAAATACATACCTAGGTAGTCAGTTCCCCAGCTGTTTACACAACTCATACGCACTCTAACGAGGTCACTGGGGAACTGAAATGGGCACGGACTGCTACCACAGTGTCCGGCCTGAAAAATTATAAGAGTACATGCCCAGCTCCTTCTGCACTTCGACCGCCGGCGCGAGCGTCATCTTACACTTCTCCATCTCTTTCGTGGTCTTCTTCACGCGGAACTTGTCGCGTATGATCTTGAGCGCGCCCACCTTCTTCACTGTGCCGTTCGCGTCGAGCAGTATGGGCTATACATTGTCGCGCGCGCGCGTTGACGGCTTTGCAGAGCGCCTGCCACTGGATGTTCTCGAGATTCGGTCGGCGAAAGCGCTTGAGGTACGTCCGCCAGTCGGGCTCCTCGAGCAGCACGCGCGCGCAGGCCTTGCATATGCATTGAAGGATCGAGATGGTATGCCTGAAATAGCCAATGTGAAGGACGGGCATGGCGAGTTTGATGTACGCGTTGTGTCCGACGCAATCTACCGAAGACAAACCACATGTCTCGCAATACACATTCTTCTCTGTGATACCCTAGGAACACGTCCGACTTGATGAATCCGGGAGGATAGATGGCCACTTACCAGATGACGATCGAGGTGAGCGACCTAAAACCCTGAGACCTTGACCGTGTCCTGGTTGCTCAGGAGGCTAACTGAAGGACGGTCAATGGATATGTGATGATGGCGGCACATGCATCTTACATGACTTTGGGTGCTTTCTGAGATACGGTTTCCTTCAGTTTGACATCGAGAGCCTCCAGACGCGCTCAGGGATTTGAGTGTCTAGAGGCTCAAAGTAACCGAGTTCGTCGCCAACCACTGGGTGAAGAGACCGGGCACTGCAGCCAATGACGCGTCGCCGATCGCGTGTGCCCGCGCATTCTGCTCCTCCCGATCCGCGTCCTCCGCGGCTCACGTCATGGCTCAACATCCCCGGCGACGCAGAGGCAATTAATCTCGAGAGGATCCGCGACGCGCAATCACCTCCTCGCGCCAAAATAACTCTGCCATTCCACAGTCCATCCGGCCAGATCAAGCTTGTAACTGAGCACATCTTCTGGGCCACCTACAAGCTGCCGTGCTCCGAGGCCACCACCCGCTTTTCGACGCCGCCTCATCGGCCACCGGCACCACGCTCGTCGCGCACATGATCCTCGACGACGGTGACGCTGCACGCATCGACCCGCCCGCTCTGCCTCGCGCACATGGCCGATCTCTCCATCTCCGCCGACCGTCGCTCGCCGTAAGCATCCAGACGATTTTGGAGGCATGCGTTTTTGACAAGCCCAGGAGATCGTTGACTCGCAGGTCCGTCGAGCGCACATCGCCGCCGACGCACAACGGCGAGATCGGCCAAGCGTAGGCCACACAGGAGGGCTGCTCGAACAGTGAATTGTGCGACGCAACGTATGGTCGCTCGGACGGGAGGGTGAGCCCGGACCTGAAAAGTCCAGTTACGTGGCATGACCGTGTGCGTTATCGTCCGAATTGAATGCCCACACCAGGTTTCAATTGGGTATATCGCCATATCACCAGTCATCTCGACGTCC